AGAGAGGAGCGAAGAGAAGAGAGTGAGAGTGAGAGTGAAGATGAGAGAGATGAGAGATGAGAGATGAGAGATGAGAGATGGGAGATGAGGCAGAAGGAGGGGCGGATGGGGAGGGTCGGATGTAGGATGGTCCACTTGACGTCTGTGCTCTTCGGATCCTCGGATCCTCGCACTGCTGTACTGCTACTGCTAATCACAATGTATTGAGATTTGATTAGGGCATTACACGGAAGACGAGGCCCAAGTCAAGTTGGGGAGATGGGGGGAGGGGATACGAGGTACCAGGCACAATATCCGCCGTACATTTCTGGAATCCCAGTGGTCAGGTTGACCGACGATGCCACGTGCGTCTCACGCTACCCGCCTGAAGAGCTCACAAGCTGATGCCTAATTGCTATACACGGGACTGAATCTACTCTGATTAATATTCTAGACTCGCCCAGCTCTGACCGATGACGTAATGTCCCAGTTGACTCTCTTTCACCCTGCATGGCTTGCATACCAATCCGCGCATCAACGCGCGAGTTGGTTGTCCTTCCTCGCTCTCTTTCGACATCTCTCTCATCTCGCTCACTACCACTTCTCTCTCTCTCATCCCTCAACCGTCACCGTCTCTACTCCATCTGGCCCCTCTTCGCCACCATGTTGGCTCTCCTCGTGGCCCTCGCGGCCACGCTCAGGACTGCCATCGCACTCGATACCGCATCTCAACTAGAGCCCAAGTCGCGTCCACCACCTCCTCAAGTCCCAGGCGGCAACCCTCTCGCAACTCTGGCCAGTGCTCTTGTCGCTGTCGTCCTCTACATCCTCCAAACCATCCAGGCTGCTGTTACTCTCGTCACAATCGACATACCAACGTAAGTCGACTAGCCGACTAGCACGTGCATCTTGGCTAACCGGTGCAGATCACTCGTCCGCATGCTGCACTACTCGGCCACCATCTCGCTCGGCTTCCCTCACTTTGCAGCACTCTTCATCGGTCTGTCTGGAGTCATATTCTTCTTCGTCCGCTACAGGGTATGTACAAGAGACGAGCCCCCAACTCTACTTACACATTAGTATCTCACTCGTTACACTGAGCTCAAGGAAGCAGCGTGAGTCGCCACCTCTTAACGCGTGCTGATCCCCTCCTCAGCCTTCCTCCCCCCTCTCCACCAAACCTCACTAACGATCTCCCTCTTCTCCAAGATCCTCTTCTTGCCAATCCCACGCGCCGTCCCACCAACCCCCTCCACTCCTACCTCGATGACTTCCTCTCCGCCATTCGTATTTTCGGCTACCTCGAGAAGCCCGTGTTCCACGAGCTGAGCCGTCATCTTCAGACGCGCCGACTGGCTGCGGGCGAGACTATCGAGATCGGCGGCGGCGAGTTCTGGTGTGTCGTTGACGGTCACGTACAGGTGGTGCGTCGCGAAAGGATTTCTCGCGTCGTGACGGATATCCGCTGACGTCCAGTACGCACCATCGGGTGACACACCTCCTTCCCCCGACCCCTTCAACCCTTCCTCCTTCAACGGCTACAGTCTCATCAACGAAGTCTCCACGGGAGGTACTCTCTCGTCTCTATTCTCCATCCTGTCGCTCTTCACCGAGGAAATAAAACTTCCATGGGCCGCCGACGACAGCGAAAGAGACAGCTGTTCGCCTCGTCTATCCCGCGCAAACTCGGATGTTAGTCAGTTGGATGGCAAGATAATGGGCTTGAGCGTGGCGCAGGGCGCTTCGTCGCCAGGCAGCGAGACTCATTCCCGCGAATCGTCGGAAATTGCAGAATCCGGACGTCAGTCAGGCGATGACCGCGGCCGCAATCGCTCCAACTCCATGAATATGGCCCATGAGAAATCAAAGCAGTCTATCTCCCCCCAGGCTCATCCCGCGCGTGGGTTTGACACAAACGGCGGCTCCCAGTCGCAGCCGAGCACAACTCCACACTCGCCCGCCATTCCTCCAGACGGCATCCGGCCTTCATTCAAGCAACAGTTTCAGCGGGATCGACACTACAGTGGATCCGAGACGCCAGACTCGCGGCAACCTCCCACCCCTTTCAGTACTGTGGCCGTTGAAGGCACTGTCGCGCGCGCCACTGTGGACAGCACACTCGCAGTCATCCCGATCGAGGCCTTTAAGAAGCTCACACGCAAGTTCCCCAAGGCAACTGGCTCTATCGTTCAAGTCGTGCTGGAGCGCTTCAGCCGTGTGACCTTCATGACAGCTCACAAGTTCTTAGGGTTGACCAAGGAAATTCTGCGCTCCGAGGCGACGCTCAACTCACTGGTCTCATATCCTCTTCCACGTTACTTTTACACAGGTGGGGGCATGCAGGCTCTGCGAGAAAAGTTCCAGCCGGAGAGTAAGCCCACGCGCAAGTTCTCGACTACGAGCACCAGCGACTACTTTTCCGAGCAGCCGAGTCCCACGGTGAGGGCTCCGTCCCTCCCCTCGTCCACCCCACTCAAGTCGAACACACCCGCCGCCAAGCTGTCGCGACTTCCTTCGGAGTTGATTCTGGAAACAGATGAGACCTCGGTCGGCGAAGAGGTCATCAGTCCGGTATCCATGACGAGCAAATCCTCAAAGTCCAAGGGATCAGGCAGCCCAAGAAAGAAGGCCGCAGCCGGTCTTACCATCACCCCTGCTCAGACATCAGCCGATGGAAGCCCGGTCAAACCCGAATACTTCTCACCTCTTCCTTCCTCAGCCCAACGCCCAAACACCTTTGCACGCCAGGCGTCTGCGATGCGCAAGGAAGTCACCCCCGGCGATCTGGCTACCACGCACGGTCACGACGCCGATGTTGGCGACACATACTACCGCCCTCTCAAGACTCCAGGCCTTCCCCGCATGGACACCTGGCGAGGTCGCACACCTGTCATGTCCACTACTTTTGGGGGATCAAGACTAGAGTCTGACATTGACGACGAGGGTGATCTTCGTGACGCCCTCGTCAGCTGCATTGCCAAATCAATCGGCCTCTTCCAGCCGGCCAACAGCCAGATGGAGACCAGCCAAGGCCAGTCATCGGTTGCTCCATCTATGGCCATGTCTACCCAGGGCTCCCCAATGTTCCATCCAGCGCAGCGCATTACCTCGAACGGTCGTCCTCCTTTTGGGAACGTCCTCGACATGATGAACGCCTCAACCCCCGACAACAACAACGTCAGCGGCCTCCTCCGGGAGAGCTTGCTCAAAGCGCGCGCAGACGAGGACGAAGCCAGCAGCGTTTCTGCAAGCTTCCGCGCTAGCAGTTTACACGGGGCAGGGAGCGACGTGAACCAAAAGATCATGAAAGACATGGGCGAGCGCATCGAGGTGCTTTACTTTAAGAAGGGCTCCGTTCTTGTCAAGCAGGGAGAGCGCTCCTCCGGTCTTTATTATGTCATCGATGGCTTCCTGGACGTGAGTGCCACACACAATGCCTCTTGCCGTGCGCTGATCATTTCCCAGATATCAATTAAGACTGCGGGCGACCCATGGGCAGAAGCTCCGACAGTCAGCGCTCAGATGTCTAAACGTCCTTTCGGCGCCGCCATGGGGCTGCGCGAGCCGCACTCGCCAACCGGTTGGCAGAAGCAGTCGAAGAAGGTAGAGGAGCAGCTCTTTACCATCAAGGTGAGTCCACGGAGTCAACAGTCGCTGATTGCTGCCTGGCGGTCTCGCAGGTTATCTGGCATCCCTTTGTGGTACTGAGTCATACGTGAACATCACGTGAGTTTTAAACTCGGATATGGCAGCACTGACCGGACTAGAGCCAAGACTGATTGCTTCGTTGGCTTCCTGCCCCAGAGCGCTCTCGAGCAGATCATGGAGCGCCGCCCCATTGTTCTACTCACTCTGGCCAAGAGGCTGTTGTCACTTCTCTCACCACTTGTCCTCCACATTGACGCCGGACTCGATTGGATTCAGCTGGATGCCGGGCAGATCTTGGTAAGCTGATGCTTCGTGACAGGTTGTTAACGCGCAGTACGAGAAAGGAGAACAGGCAACTGATTTCTACATTGTCATCAACGGCCGCCTGCGATCCGTGGTCAAGAAACCGGAGAGCGAGAGTGTAGACGTGATACAAGAGTACGGTCAGAATGACTCCATCGGTGAATTAGACGTCATGACTGGACACCCTCGTTCCAACACCGTACAGGCCATCCGAGAGACTGAACTCGTTCGCATCCCCGCAGCGCTCTTTGATGCCCTCAGCATGCGTCACCCGGCTACAACAGTCCAGTTTATGCGTCTCATCGCAGGTGAGGTGCGCAAGCACGCCAACGAACAGCATGCTGCGATACACCATGCCAGTAACATGTCACACGAGCTGCGCGCCGACATGAACCTGAGTGAGTGACAGAACTCATGCAGCACAGGTTTGTGGAGACTGACAGAACCAGAAACGGTCTGTATTCTTGGTAACAACCGCAACGTGCCAGTAGCACAATTCGCAGCCAAGCTCAAGGCATCACTGGAGGAGATCGGTGCACCTGCCTCGTATCTTGACCAGGCGACGGTTATGCGGCATCTCGGGCGCCACGCCTTTACGCGCATGGGGTAAGTCGTTGAATGAGATTCACCTGACCTTCCAGTGCGCTCAAGATAGCTGGGTGGCTGTCCGATCAAGAGCAGCGTCACCGTGTAGTTCTCTATGTGGCGGACTCTACTCCGTCAAGCCAGTGGACGATGACGTGCATTCGGCAGGCCGATCTCGTGCTTGTCCTTGGTATGGGCGACGACCCCGCGCTGGGAGAGTACGGTATGTGACCAAGGTATTATGCTGGCTGACGCCGACAGAGAAGCTTTTGATGGCCATGAAGTCGTACGCTCGCAAGGAACTGATTCTGCTGCATGACGACCGGACTGTTCCTCCTGGTTCGACCCGCCTTTGGCTGAGGGTGAGTGATTTCTCCGCTCATTGCTGAACTCCAGCTGCGTCCGTGGTTGCAGGCGCATCACCACGTGGAGATGCCTGGTGTCGTTACGACGTCAAAGCCTGGCAAGGTTCATGACCCTGCTGCTGTCGCTGCGTTCAAGCATCTCCGCGAGCGCGTGGAGACAAGCATCAAGAAGTACCGCGGGCTTCGTCCTCTCGATCGCCCCCGCCGGCCACAGCACATGAACGACTTTGCTCGTATTGCTCGCCGCATCTGTGGAAAGCAGGTCGGGCTGTGTCTCAGTGGTGGTGGCGCCCGCGGCATTTCGCATGTGGGCATGCTTCAGGCGTTAGAGGAGTACGGAGTACCCATTGACGCCATTGCCGGCTGCTCCATTGGCGCTATGGTGGGCGGCTTGTACTCTCGCGAGACCGACCTTCTCCAGGTTGTCGGCCGTCTCAAGCAGTTTGCGGGCCGTATGGGCTCTCTCTTCCGCATCCTGAGTGACGTGACGTACCCTCACGTTGCTTACACCACTGGTCACGAGTTCAACCGCGGTATCTGTGAGTGATTGTGCCATCGCTCTGCTGACAGCTCCAGATAAGGCGTTCTACAACACTCACATTGAGGACTTCTGGATTCCCTTCTACTGCAACTCGACCAACATCACGCACTCCCGCATGGAGATACACCGCTCTGGCTATGCCTGGTGAGCTATCGGCCTCGCGGAGAAACTAACCCCAGGCGCTTTGTCCGCGCTTCGATGACGCTGGCTGGTCTACTGCCTCCTCTGTCTGAGAACGGCATGCGTACGTGACCTTTGCGCTTACCGGTAACTGACGCACAGTTCTTGTTGATGGTGGTTACATGGACAACACACCCATTGGGCCGTTGCGTGCGAGCGGCATTCGCGATATTATTGTCGTGGATGTCGGCTCCATTGACGACACATCGCCCCGTGTGTACGGCGATTCAGTGTCAGGCTGGTGGCTCTTCATTCAGAGGTAGGCTGCCTTGTGAGAAGGAGTCGCTAACCGCAGATTCAACCCCTTCTACAAAGCCGTTGTGCCGTCGATGACGGAGATCTCCTCCCGCTTGACTTAGTGAGAACCTGGTGGTGTCTTCGCTAACCTTTAGCGTGTCGAGCGTCAAGCAGCTTGAGGACGTAAAGAACGACCCCCACTGCCGGTACATGGCGATGCCAGTGCAGCAGTTTGAAACGCTTGGCGGCTTCAAGCAGTTCCCAGAGGTGCGGCAGATCGGTCACGATGCCGCGCGCAAGAAGCTCAAGGAGTGGTCCCTCGAGGGCGTCCTTCCCAGAGGCATAGTCGACGGATATAAGCCGCCACAGATGAGGCGGCGCGGCACGCGTGTGCGGCGCATGTCCATCTAGACGCGCCGCCTGCGCCTGCCTGTGTATAGACACATCAATAGAAGACATCTTCCAGATCACGCGAGTCATGTAGGGGACAACCTTGTGGCATGTACAACACTACTGCATATATTGGACAAGTAGATGGATTGTGGTGTAAGTGTGGTTTACGCTCCGCCGAGTACGCCGGAAGGCACTGGCGAGATGTTCATGTTCTCGAGGGATGTGCCGAGCCCAGCGTCGCTGAGGAGGTTGCGCCGGCGGTGCTCGCCAAAGCTGCTGCCGCCACTCTTGGCGATGGGGAGGGGCCGCTTACCCGCACTGATGGAGTGGGGTATCCGGCCAGGCCCCAGCTCGTCCTCGCCCATGCTCATGCTCTCGTCGCTGTCATCTGCCTCTTCATCCGAGTCGTCCGAGTCGCCGCCGAGGTCAACAGCCACCTCGTCCCACGTGCGATAGAGCGACTCCACGAACTCGCCAGAGCGCGGCAGGTCATATGGGTCGAAGGGGAAGTACGAGTCGAGGCCGGCGTCGATGTTGGCCTGGCGGGCGGCGCGGGGTGCGGCGATGGCGGGCGCGCTGCGCTTGGTGTGTGCGTGCGTGTTCGCCTCGATGATGCTGAAGCAGTATGCGAAGCCCGTCGAGTGCGCAACCTTGGCGAACATGCTCACGACGCTGGGGTTGCATCCAAGCAGCGGGTTGAGCTCGGACGTAAGCGCGCGCTGAAGGACGTCGAGGTCGCGCATCCACTCGCGCTCGCCAAAGTCCATCTCCAGCTCCCCGGCGACCTCATCGTCGGCGGTGAGCGCGCGCCACCGGAAGCAGAAGATGACCATGGCCGCCTGGCAGACGGCGTAGAACAGAGGCAGCTCGTCGGGCGCGACGCGCCGCGTCTTGGACTGTACCTGTGCCAGCTTGCCGTCCACGTAAGCGAGGAGGTACTGCAGCACGGTGCGGGCCTGCTCATCGCTCACGAAGCGCGCACGCGTGACGAGCGAGCCAATGTACACAGCTGCCGCGGTGCGGTGGGCGAGCGGGACGGGTTGAGTGGGCGTGGGTGTCGGCGTATCGCTTGCGTAGAGCGCCAGCGAGACTAGACGATGCAGGAATAGGTCGGCGTGTGCGGGGCTGAAGCTCGAGCAGAGGAACAGCGTGAAGGGAAGGTGCTGGGTCGAGCTCGTCGGCAGAATCTGACGGGAGAAGAGGTTGAGCAGGGTCTGGAAATGGGCGAGACTCTGTGCTGGGGTGGGCGGTGAGCGCTGGATGCCAGTGATGCTGGAGGGGGTGGATGGCGTGCCGGGCCGTGGGGTGGCGGAGGCGCTGGGGGTTTCGGAAGACACGGCGGACATGTCACGCGCGGCAAGCTCGGCAGCGCTGACGTGCGTCGTGCCGCGCATGCTCTCGTCCAGATGTGCGAGGAAGTACATGAGCATGCCATCGAGCTTCTGGCGCATCGAGCGCAGGACTTCGCGGCGCTTCTTGCGCGTCTCGGCCGAGTCGGGTTCTTCAGTGTCGCTCTCACGCTCATCCTCCGAGCTGAGATCATCGGGATTCAGATCTTCTCCGTCGTCGCTCTCATCATCGCTGTCTTCGTCGTCGCCGCCGATGCCCTGCTCGACTGTGAGGTCGAACGGATCGCCACGGTGGCGCACGTCGCTCTCCTCATCGTCGTCATCGTCATCATCCTCGTCGGCACGGTTGGTGATCTCGACGTCGATGCGAAGCATGCGGTCGACGAGCGAGCTCCATACTCTTGCCCCAAGCTCAGGGCAGTAAGCAATAAGCTCGCAGCAGTTGCGAACCCATGTGGTCTGCACAACCTCGGGCTCGCGCTTGTTGGGTGCCGAGCGATTCAAAATGGGCTGCAGCACATTGGGAAGGGTGGGGATGAGGGCAAGAAGATGTGAGATGAGGAGGTGATGCCGGGCGTGAAATGTGCGTCGGGTAATGGGCGTGCTGGCGGCCGAGGGTTGTGGTGGTTCTGCTGTCAACTTTGGCCTCGGATGCTCGAGCCGATGGGGCAGAACTTACGCCATGTGAGACCTCGAATGGCCATGGCGACAATATCACGCGCCCATCCTGGATGTGCCGAGACAAGCACGCCACAGAAGCCGATGTAGCATTTGACGAAGCGGTCGTCTGCGGTCGCCCAGGGGAGGTCGAGGATGGCGGCGACGAGCGCGTGATGTACACCACTGTCGAGGAGAGAGACGTGCGCAGTGAGTGCGCGGAGGAGGGGGAGCAGTGGAGGGAGCTGGGGCGCCGCGGCGCCTGGAAGTGGGAGAAAGTGGGAGAGGAGGTCGGAATAGTTGTGGGTGTTGCCCTCAAGCGACTCGTTGAGGGCACGGGGTACGAAGACGCCGATGAGCTGTCGCTGGAAAGCTTCCCTCTCGCGCGCTTCACGGCGATCCGACGAGCTGAGTGCATCACGGGAGTCGCCGCCAACACTGCGTGTTCTCCTCGACTTTTCGGGAACGTCGGGCTCCAAGCGCCGACGCTTGCCTTGCATGCTAGATGCGCGGGGCACGAGGAGATCTGCTCGTGACATGTTGTCCTGGATCGGCTGGAATGGTGGGGGCCGCTTGAGCTTGGGCTGTTGGCGGGGCGTCCTGGAGGTGTGGGAGGACGACCAGGACGGGGAGGAGAGGGCTTGGGGCATACCGCCTGGCTCCCCGGGCAGACGGATGGGGGGAGGGAGCTTTGGGGTGGGAGAGGAGGGCAGGGGTGGAGGGGATGAGACAGGAGACAAGGGAAGAGGAGATGAGCTAGTTGAAGACGAAGATGGAGATGAAGAGGAAGGGCGAAGTGATCGTGTGAGGCGAGTTGGAGGGAGCGGAGCACGCGGCGTGCACGCCTTCTCTCCCTCCCACATGAGAATCCAATTCCACTGAAATCTGATGCGACTGATATCAGGTGGCGAGTATGTACACGTCAGGATCTCGCGTGGCTCCCTCGTGCTTGCCATGCGGAGTCCACACCTCCACCGGCCTCCACCTCCTCCACTGACTGGAACTGATCGACTACCCTTTGTTTGTCACCGCACCCGCTTGATCGCTCCTCGTCGTCGCGACGGGATCTTGTTGTCATCCATCATCCTGCCACTTGCTGCTTCGCGCCTCATCTGTACAGCTTTAGCGCCCAGTTCTCGCGCATCACAAACTCAACTCCTTATCTTTACACTGAACAGGACGTCTCCCCCGTGTGGCCCAGTCGAACGAATCATCCCCCTCTCCTCCTTCCGTCCATACACTTCCTCCTCCTGCCCAATCGCGCAACCACTGCCTCCTACACACCATGGCCTCCCTTGCCGCCATCGCCCTTCCCGCCCTTCCCCAGTTCGACGTCCCCTCACTCCCTCCCATCGCCGACAAGGCTCTCAGGCTCTCCGCTACCACCCATTCAAGTTATCACCAGACTCCTCGCAATGCGCAGTCTCTGGATCTCGACTACCAGCTTCCTGAAGACTATGAGAAGCTCGAGCATATCGGTGACAGTGTCCTGGGCACTCTCGTAACCCTCCTCTTGCAGGACCTCTATCCCAATCTTCCCGCCGGTTCAACAACCGTACGTATATTCTCTCTACCGCCCCTGTCACACATCACTGAATGACGCCAGATGCTCAAAGCCCACCTCGTGAAAAACGAGACTCTCGCCCAGATCTCCGTCCGCCAGGATCTTATGAGCCAGCTGCGAGCCGCCCCGTCGGCCGTGTACACTGTCCGCGGACAGATCAAGGCGCAGGCGTCCGTCTTTGAGGCGCACATTGCCGCCGTTTTCTTCGACTTTCTCCGCAGCCCCACTCCTGGCGGGTACATGGACGACGTATGTAAAGCGTGTCAGACCCAGATTATCTGACATCAGGCCAAGGAAGATGGAAAGAAACGCGCTCTTCCGTCCACCCAACTGCCCCCTCTCCCGGACATGCGCCTGCGCACCAACGGCCAGGCGCTAGATTACGTGGGGCACTTCTTCCGCCCCATCTTTACCCCGATCGCCGAGTTCGCCTACGCCTTCATGGCTACGAAAGCCGAGGAGCTGCGCAACACGCAGCACGACGGGGGAGTTGACGAGCCCGACTTTGACGGCCTCACGAGCGGTGCCGCCGCGAGCCTCAACACCTTCTGCATGCGCACGGTGGGCCGGATACCAGAGTACAACTACATACCGCTGGACGTGAATGCGTGGGAGTGCGAGTGCGTCGTCGTCCTCAAAGGCGCGCGGTATGTGACGACGGCGGTGCGCAGCAGCAAAAAGGCCGCGATGGGCGTCGCCGCGTGGAAGATAGGCAAGCTCCTCAACCTCGACTGGGCGGAGCGCGGAGCGCGTAAGCGCGTGCGGGAGGCCGTGGCGGATCCTTGAATTTGTGTATCTATTCGTCAGCATTTCGATACCCTACTATGCACATTTGGCTCTCCTTCTCCTTAGTTCATTCTCCATTCGCCCCTACCCCGCCGCGATCTCGTCCGCGAGCTTGCGCGAGCGCTCCGCCCTCGCGCCGCGCCCCAGCCTCTCCTCGACGCGCGCAAGCACGCGCAGCCCACGCACACGCAGGCGCGGCACATCGCCCATCCACGCGGGCGCCGCTCGCATCCGCGCACGCTTCATGAGGCGCTTGCACTCGTCCTCGACGGCGCCGCAAACAGCCTCCGCCGCAACGAGGTTGGGGGGCACGAGCGCGAGATACGCGTCGGCGAGGAGGATGCGGGCGGAGAGGAGGGGCGTGGGGTCGGGGACGCGGGCGAGGCGGAGGGAGGGGGAGGGGGAGGGGGAGGGGGAGGGGCCTGCGGCCGCGGCTGCGGCTGCGGGCGCTGCTGGAGATCCCGCGGCGTCGGCGGGGTGATCGGCGTCCTCTGTCGATGCACGCTCCGTCTCCCGCGCCGTCTCGAGAAGATGCACTTTCGCGCTGAGGAGCTGCACGCGCACCGTGGGATTCGTTTCCGCGTCGAGGGCCGTGTCCACTACGTTGAGGGTGAGGAACGGGGACGCGAGGATGGATGCTTGGTGCGGTTGCATGTGGATGTGGAGGAGTCAAAATGGACCCTGGACGCGACTGATCTTGCCACCGGCTGCTTCCGTGTCCCACCCTCACCCGCCTCGGACACCGCTCACAACTCCCTCGCCAGCAATGCATGATAGTACAAACACGGCTGCTGCTGCAGGCCTATCAGTGTCCAGTGATTAAAAGGCTATAGACGGCGCACGCCACGCTTGACGGCCGTCTTGGGCTTTGGGGCTTTGACGGGCTTGGTGGGCGCCTTGATCGCAGAAAGGTCGGGCACAGGGCTCGACTCTTGCCGGTCGCTGTCGCCCAATGGGGCGCGGGGGCGGGTGGGCGACGCCGAGAGGGACGAGGGGGCGGACGACTTCAGCGCGGGGGTGCGGAGGATGGGGTCGCGCGCTGGCGTGTTGCGGAAGGGGGCGGGGGGGAGCTGGTGTCAGTGGGCGGTGTCAGAGAGGAGGCAAGCGAAACTCACCTTTGGCGTCGCGTGGATACCCGTAATAAGTTTGGCGTACTGCCGTTAGTCTGACCAGCTTGAGGAGTGCCCACCTTGCAGTACCCGTCGTAGTCTTCGTTCAGCTGCTTGCCGGCTTCCTCGTCCAGCGCACTATCGGGGTTGGGCACGATCAAGAGACACTTGATGACCTGGTGTGAGCGGGCGCCGTGGACACGCTCACCGTCAAGACATGCCCCACGCCATAGTCCTTCCGCCATCCCTTCTTGAGCGTGTCGACACAAATCTCGCCCGTCTTCGAGATGTTGGGGTGGAAGATCTTGGTCGCCATCGTGCCTGTGGTCAGCGATCGCTCTCGGCCCTGGCCTCTCACACTTGGGAGGAACATTGGGATACTCGGGCCCAAAGTCAAAGATGACTTTGAAGTAGCCGCCCTCGTACGGCGTGCCGGCTGCTGTCAGCGTTCATCGTCCGCATTGCAGAGATGGAGTTGGCCGCTCGGACCATCGGGCCCTCAGGGTTTGTGAGATTGAGGGACAGTCGAGGGATGGGGAACCAAACATTGAACACTCACGCGGCCCAGCGACCCATCCCTCGATAGCAGAGATGTCGTCCTCGTCGACGACGACACCGACACCCTCGGGTGGAGAGGTGCGTAGGCTTAGTAGCTCTCGCGAAAGCAAGCGGAGGGCTAGGGGCGTGAGGGACTGGGGTTAGCTGGGGGCTGATGGTGATGGCAGGATTTGTGGTGTGGGGATGGGGTTGCCCAGCCTCGCGAGGAGGACGCTGTTGCTCTGCACGAGGTCATGGGCAATGGAGCAAGTCGCACTGAGACTAGTAATGTGACGAGGACGCTGACACTCCCTCTTGCTGGAAGAGCTGGGGCAGCGATCGCAGGGTCTGAAGTGCGTTTCGGATGTCAAAGCGCCTGCCCGACCTGTACGTACCATGTGGAAGGTCTGGAGGAGGATGCGAGGAGTAATGGGAGGAGGACGAGAAGAGTGGAAGAGACGAGGAGAGAGAGAGAGATGTTGCAAGAACGAGGTAATGTTGGTTGCTTGCTGCTTGATTGTGGACTGGCCGACATTACCCACAGGACATTTGTGCGTCATTTCACAACAAGCCACCCCCCGCCCCGGCCCGGCAATACTGTCCGCCGCCCTAATCCCGGCCCGTGGCATCTCCCACCTCCTGTACATGCTGCATGCTTGTATGCATCACAAAGTTGGTTGTTGGACATTGCATCAGGATGAGTAATGGGAGCGGTCGCGTCGGTCGTCGATGCAGCGCGGGGGAGTGGGAGGTACCAGCTGCCGAGCTGCGGCAAATGCGACTTGGCTGGTCGTGCGATCAAGTGTGGCCGCACGCGACTTGCACAGTCTTCTCTTCCGCACCACTCGGAGGCGACGAGCCCGGTGCGCGGCGTCTGCATCTCCAACTGCATCTCTGCGATCGTAAGCCCCTCCGCCGCACTCACGCTGCTGGTACAGGAAACCCAAGACTCTCGCAAAAGCAGTGCCTGTGGCTCCCGCTCTCGGCGCTTGCCGAGCACCAGTTTTCATGCTCGTCGCCAGTATGTCTGTGTCCATGTCGATGGGCTGCAGCGTGTCGATCCGAAGGCAGCCCCCAAGAAGAATAGCAATACTACGAAAGAGATGCAATGTTTGCAGCGGCAGAGATGTAAACATGCGGCTTGGTGCGGTATCATCCCCATCCCATCTTATCAGAGTGATCGACGCCTCAGTCTCCTCCCCTGGCCCCTCGCGTCGCAACACCGCCTCCACCTCCGTCTCCGTCTTGCCGTCGCCCATCACCCGTCCCGTCAACAATGCACGACCGGCTGCCGACGCACAACGGGTATGCGCGCGCGTCGCTGGGCTCCGACCACGGCCTGCCCGCGCGCCGCGCCTCCACCCCCACGCCGCCCACCAAGACGCGGCACTACGTCGTGCCCTTCGTCGTGCTCTTCCTCATCGTCTTCGCGAGCGCGACGCAGACCGAGACCGCATCCTACCTCGCCTCCGTATACGGCTTCGACAAGCCCTACTTTGGCTTCTTCGTGACGCACTCGACGTTCGCCCTCGTCTTCCCCATCCACTTCGGCCTGCTCGTCCTCTTCAATCGCACGCCACGCACGCGGCGCGAGCGCGCCAAACAGCTCCTGCGCAACCTCCGCGCCGTGCTCGCCGACCAGCTCGGCACGGCGCCGCGGTGGCGCCAGCTCGCCCGCCCGCTCGCCGCCAAAATCGTCCCCCTCACAGCCCTCATCTCCGTCCCCGCCATCTGCTGGTTCATCGCCATGGCCTTCTCGCCCGCGATGGACATCACGGCGATCTACGCGACGTCCGCCTTCTTCGCATACTTCTTCTCCCTTTTGCTGCTCGGCACCCGTCTCACCCGCCTCACGGTGTTCGCGATCGCGGTCGCGTTCGCCGGCGTCCTCGTCCTCACCTTCGCGGGCGCCGGCAAGGCGCCGGAAAACGGCGACACGCGCACAGGCATGCGTCGTGTCATCGGCGACGGCATCATGGTCGTCGGCGCCATCCTCCTCGGCCTCTACGAAGTCGTGTACAAGATGGTGCTGCCCGAAAGCCAAGGCGGGGCGACGCACGCCCACAAGCCCGCCGACGGGATGCATTACGCCGCCGTGCCCGTCGAAGAGGACTCGGCGGCCGAGAGCGAGGCCGAGGACTATGCCCTCGGCGCAGCGCAGCCGCAGCCACATACACCGCTCCTGCTCAAACCCAGCAGCCGGCCCCCTTCCCCGTCGCCCGCACTCGACGGCTTCGCCAGAGCCCTGCCCAGCCTCTCGCGCACCCACTCCCCCGCTCATTCCCGCTCCCATTCAGACTCACACACACCCATCCCATCGCACCCGCCGACGCCGATGCGCGCGCCCCCGCACGCCGTGCCCCGCCTCCCCACCGCTCTCCACTCAAACTTCCTCACCTCCTTGATCGGCGTCGCGACGTTCGTGCTCCTCTGGCCTCCACTCCCCTTCCTCCACGCCGCGGGGTGGGAGACGCTCGAGGCCCCGCCCAAATGGAGCCTCATCGCCGTCGTCGCCATCGGTGGGGCCGTGTACAACAGCGGGCTCATGATTTTGATTGGGGTATGGGGCCCGACAACCAGCTCCGTCGCAAATCTCCTCACCATCGGCCTCGTGGCCATCTTCGATGCCGTTTGGATGGGACACTTGCCCGACCTCCAGACGTTCATCGGCGCCGCGGGCATTGCTGCTGGCTTTGGCTTGCTGTTGTGGGAAGGGGAGGAGGATTAGATCTGGGAGGCGAGCGACCGACTTAGCATTAGCATCTGTAACACCACTACTAGCAGTGCATTGATTCTACCGCCTTGATTGGCACCGCTGCTGCGCGTATCGCTAAAAGCATGCATATGATCAGAACTCATGCAAATGAACAAAGCAGGTCTCCATGGGTCGACGTCTTCCAGTCGGCTGCGGAGAAATGGAAACAAAAGAGAGCTAGAAGACATTGGGGGCGTCGCATGAGGTGGCAGACGCAACACTGTCCATCACGCGGGAGCCAACAGCGTTGCGACCCACTGGGCCATGTTGAAGTTCATAGCCTCGCTGTGCCGGATGAAGGGGTGACTCAACAACTCGCGCGGGTACGGGCGAAGCGTGCCATCCCGTATAAGGCTTGTGTCAATGGAGCTCGTATTGTCTCTGACGGGCACAGTTACTCACCACTTGTCCATGAAATCGCGAATTTCCGGACGCCAGAAAATGCCCTTCTCCGGGCTGTCGATCATGGTAGGTAGAGGGGCATGTAGGACGGACATAAGCAATTCAACCGGCGACAGTCCCTTGCCGTACGGGAAGCGCAAGTGCGCCAGCTCGTGTAGAGTCAAACCGAGCGACCACACGTCCGAGCGGATCGAGTACGGCTTGCCCGTCAAGCGCTCGGGCGCCATGTAGTACGATGTCCCCGTAAAGGTTCCCGCATGCGAGTCGACCAGCTCGCCAGACACGCCAAAGTCACACAGCTTGATTGCACCGTCCCGCGTAAGGAGGATATTGCTGGGCTTGATATCACGGTGAATAATCTTACGCGTGTGCAAGTAGTCGAGGCCGCGGAGAACTGAGCTGCCTACGCGACCAATGACATGCTCGGGGAAAGGGATGTTACGGCTCCTGAGCTTGCCGATGATGTAGTCAAGTGACCCACCCTCGCAGTACTCCATGAGGATGCAAATCTGCGAGTCGTGGTCAGCCAGGAAGGCTCCGTAGTGGTCCACAATGTAGGGAGATTTTGTAGACGAAAAGAACGCCAGTTCGCGAAGAATCTGCTTGTGAATGGCTGGGTCGGCGGTGCGGGAAATGACCTGGTTGTCAGTCAAGGGGGAAGACTTGTAACGGCTAATATCCGCGACCTACCTTGCGCGCCATGATAGAGCCATCCCTGCGGGATTGGACCAGGTGTACCGCACCTCCTGCACCCTCTCCTAAGCTCTTAATGACGACGAGGTCGGACGGGTCAATCGAGCCCCCTGTGGCGTCATGGATCGACGCCGGGCGACTGCTGCTGCTACTGTTCGGGCTCTGGTGGGCCTGTGGAGGAGATATTGAATGATTCGAGGCCGAATCGCCAGAAATTGGTGGTGTTGGAGGTGGAATGATTTTCAACTGCCCAACCTGCTGACGGAGCTCCTGCATCATCTGCGCATCACTCTGGGCCTGGTTGAACGGAGGGCGCACGCGTTGCCTCGGCATGACGGTCTCTTGGTTCGGCACGGGAGTCAAGATCATGTTGCGGCCGTCCTCTTCGTGCTCCTGGAACTGCTGGTCTCGCGATGGGCCTACCGGCATCTCGATCGTCAATCCACCTCGGCGCGCCGCCGAAGGTGTGGCGGACAATGACTGCGACCGGCCACCGGGCGTCATCCCCGGAGAAGGGACGCAAGTTGCCAGTCTGGGGAGTGCAGGCCCACCCGTGGGGAGGGGGGGAAGCGTGGGGACGACGGGCGCAGTCGCAGACGGGAGCTTGAGTTTCGGACGAGACGACGATGCAGCCTGAGGTCCAGCCGTTGCAAGAGAGGGTAGCGCTCGTGGAGAGGGTAGCGCTCGTGGTCTCGTGGCAAGCGATGGAAGTGGGCTAGGTGTGTGCCACCCACCCTGTCCAGCCTGGTCGACTACGATACCGGCTGGGGTCAGTCTCGAGCGTCCAGATCCCACTCGGACTCTGCATCAACGTGTCGAGTGTTCGCCTTCGCCAGCCAATGTCCCTCCCCGGCTACGCCGGATGAGCCGCTCTCAGAGAGGAAGGCGCAAGTCTCAAGGAGGGTAGATACGCCAGTCCGAGAGGTACTGGCGTCGATGCCTCGTCACCTCCTCGTGTTGCGGCGGGCGGCCTGACGGCCTCTTGCCCGTCTGCTACTGGGACACACATTACTCTAGCCAGGCAGACATTCGGACTCAGCTGTCGAATCGAGATCGAGGCGCGGGTTCCTGAAACAATCCCACTGCGCTCGGCTCCGGACGAGCTCCACGTCCACGGCGCAATGACGGATATGGGAGGGAGACGTGAGACTCACGGACATTGCCTTCCGGGATGACGACGCGGGGCGGAGGAGGAGGGGCAGCACGGGATGAAGGAGGAGGGTAGTAGGAGGGTGAGGGAGAGCCGTTCTGGTAGGTGGGTGGGGTAGGGGGGAGGTGGGATGCGGCGGAGCTGGGATTAGGGCGGGCACCACCTGGACGACGGGGGGCCGACATGGTGGAAGCGAGGGGGAGGCAGGCTACTTGGATGATGAGGAGGAGGAGAGAGTGGATGAGAAAGAAAGAGAGAGTAGATGTCCAGAGATGACAAGAGATGACAAGAGATGAGCAAGACGAGCGAGTGGTGGGAGAATGGAGGAAGGTGGATGCAACAGGGGAAGGGGGTTCAGGCGTTCAGGTCAGGGATCAGCAAGGGAAGGGTGGCGGTGGTGGTGGCGGTGGAGGAATCAGATTACAACCCCGGCTATTCCTCTTAATTACCTTGCATGTACCTTGCTCAACACCGCCTCCAACTCTTATCCCAGTGCGCTCTGTCGTCTCTTAAACTGCTACTGCATCGCTATAATGGCATCGCTGTGCTTGTTGGGAGCGACGGGCGTGCGGTTTGTCATCGGACTTTTGTTACTGCGACACTGATGGTCTCCTTACCTCCTCAAGCTCGGTGGCATCTGCAACGGTGGACCGAGCGCCGTCCAAGTCCCAAGTCCCGCACACAGTGCTCTTCTCGTCACTTCTTAGCTGTCGCGTCGGTCTGAAGGTGTGAGGAGGGTGATTGGAACATCTAGCCGCCAGCGGGGCGTGGCAGTGGGATACCTGACAAGGCCAACCTCGCCGGGTCAGCCCGAATCCCTCCCAAGAGCCGACGGGAAAGCCAGAAGACAGAAGAGGTGCTCATGACGATGTGACGAGTGCCACTCGCATCGCGTGAATTCATAGATGCCCTCGCACTCATCCATGCTCACACTTATCTACGCGGCAGACCGCCGGCTGGTCACTCTCCTGCAACCACAGAGGTCTGCTAATGAACCCCTCAGCCGGCAGGCGGCAACTCGGTCGCCGCAGAAGCTACCCAAGGGCATACGCTTTGCGCATGTCAGTGTTCGAGTAAGGCTGAACCCGAAGATGGAAACAGCAGAGAGACAGGGGGCGTGGTGACCGTCTGTACACCAGGTCTGAACCGCGCAGAAAGTCGTCGGGAGTTCTTGATCATTCAGAAACCACACTACGGCAACAGGAGTAGCGGATACGCTATGACTACACTAAGACACTCTGTTAGATCTCCAGCGCTATTCTACGAGGACTGCGCTGCACGCACAAATCTTGGACGACGCTGTTACCAGCTGGGCTGATAAGCATCACGTGACATCCGGCCTCCACCCACCGATATTTCGGCTCGTTCGTCTCCACAATTGCCGCCATCGCTCACTTTACTCACCTCACTCACTCACACCTCTCATGGCCAGCCTCGCTCGATCAAGGATATCCGGGCTGTCGGGTCTGTCCGGGCGATTGGCGCCGCGCTTCAGCGTCTCCCGTGCCGCCATCGCCCGCGCGCATTCGCGAGCCTTCCACCGCTCCGCCCCCCTCTTTCACGGCAACCCCCTCGTCCGTCCCCGCCCGGCCCCACTGACGGCAGGGGATTCCCGTCCGCGACCCGAACCCCGCGCCCTCGCTCCCGCGGCGCGGCGGCCCGCCGCAGCGCGCGCGCATCCGCGGCGTGAAGCAGATCGTCGTCGTCGCCTCCGGCAAAGGCGGGGTGGGGAAGAGCACGGTGGCGGCCAACCTCGCGCTGGCGCTCGCGCACACGTCGCCGCTGGGCCGTGCGCCCCGCGTCGGACTGCTCGACCTCGACATCTTCGGGCCGAGCGTGCCCAAGCTCATGGGGCTCGAAGGCGCGGGCGAGCCCGCGCTATCCGATCGTACGTCGAGTTCGACGGCGACAGCGCTGACGCAGGCAACAAGCTGCTCCCGATGCAGAACCACGGCGTCGCGACCATGAGTATTGGATACCTCCTTCCGGCGGGGGACACGCCCGTGGCCTGGCGCGGGCTTATGGTCCAAAAGGCTGTGCAGCAGCTTCTGTTCGACGTCGAGTGGGCTGAGGGCGGGGACGAGCTCGACGTCCTCGTCATAGACATGCCGCCGGGCACGGGAGACGTGCAGCTCTCCCTCGGCCAACTCGTCGTTGTGGACGGTGCGTCGCGCAGCGCCGGAGCTGACAACAGGCGCCGTCATCGTCTCCACGCCGCAGGACGTCGCGCTCATCGACGCACGCAAAGGTGTCGTCATGTTCAACAAGGTCAACGTGCCGATCATCGGCTTGCTGCTCAACATGAGCCACTTTATCTGCGGGAGCTGTGATGCGCCGCACGAGTTGTTTGGCAGCGCGGACAAGTTTGTGCGCGCCGCGCACGAGCTCGGCCTCGATGTGTTGGGTGAGTCGTAACCAGGTGGTGCTGATGGCAGGCAAGGTGCCGCTCGTTACGAGCGTGTCGGATGGCGGCGACGCGGGAAGGCCCGTCATGGTCCAGAGCGAGGCGACGGGCGAACCTGTGCGCGAGGTTATGCGCGGCGTCGGCGAAAAGGTGTGGAAGTGGCTCTTGGCCCGGCCACACGAAAACCACGGTGTGCGGGGATGAGGCGAGGATGTAGCGGTCGCAGATTGTAGCAGCATGGCATCTTGCACAACTCCGGCGGCTGCTAGTCCATGCAGTGCAGCCATCCCTTGAGATCCACAACCCCGACGCTAAGCGCTCTCTGCAGCACACTGACACCGACCAACTCTCTCTCTTCGTCCTCTCGCAGTCAGAATGCATTCTTCTGACTCTGCTCAGACCAACCGCACCGCGGGCTACGATGCGTCGCCCGGCCGCGGCTACGATGCGACGTCCGCCGCCCCTCCGACCACACCTGTATCATGCAATGCGGTCCATCCTATCCTACAAACCCCGGGAACAGTTACTCCTTGCCGGTGGTGGCGCGGGTGTAGACGAGCTGGGCGTTGTGGTGGACAACACGCTTGATAAGGCCCTCCTTCTCGAGGTGAGCGATCGCGCGGCGCGCAAGCGAGCCGTTGACCTTCATGCGGTCGATGAGCACCGACTGCGAGATGATCTTGTAGGTCGGGACCTCCTTCATGATGCGGTCGCTGGGGTTAGGGGCGCCGAAAAGCGGGTGCTCACTAGATAGCCTTGTCGAGGACAACGGCGTTGTTGGCCTTGTCCTTGACCTTGCCCTTCGACCACTTCTTCTTCTTACTGCGGGTTAGCGGTGTCGGGGATGTGGCGGGCGGCGCGTTCTGCATTCTGCGTTCTGGCAGCTGGTGGTCGCCTAGTTGCTCGGGAAAAGATGAGAGGCAAGTGGAGTTTGACGCAGCCAAGTTTCACCCTGGTGCCATCGCACAAGCTCTTCTCCTTACCGGCGCACTCGTCGCACACCAGAGCACCATCCACAGAATGCGCGCGCCAGTCGTCGCTGAATAAAAACTCACCCGGCCTTGGAACCGGCCTGGGCGGCGAGGGCCTTCTGGGCCTTGGACTTGACCTGGGGAGGCATTCTGCTGTCAGCACGCTCCTGCGTGTGGTGTAGCGCGCGGGCTACCGCGATGTCGGGGCGCGGTGACGAGAGGGCAGAGCAGGTGGCTATGGTGGGATGTGGAGCAAGTTCAACGGAACGGAGGCATCTTCGCCGCTCGTTCCACCGCTCCACGCCCCATAGAGTACCGTGGTGTCGGGTACCGCGTCCGCTTTCGATGTTGTCGTGCCCGTGCCCGTTCCCGCGCCCGTCGCCGCGATGGTGCCGCGCGCTATCGATGCTCACTTTGTTGGTGGTCGGGAGAGAAGAGGAAGGATCGATGGCAGCCTCGCCTCACACCCCGTCCCACAGCGGAAGCAAATCCGCCATCACAATTTCGCCCAGGTTGGTGGCCACGTGTGTAATGCCGCTAATCCCGTGTGAATGACCGTGTGGCACAGATTCGATTCCGCGGCACCCACGCGACTGCTTTATGCATGCTCGCCGAACTCAAGAGGGAGGATGGAGGTCTACGCCGCCAACTACATTGACGTAGATACGATCCTATGGCAACAGCATATCACAACAAAATCAACTCGAATCAAAGCCGCGATAGTCCAGCTAGACGGCCACTGGCTGCAACTCTACTCTCCGTCCAGCTCGTCCTGAACTATCTGGGTAGGCGAGCGCACGAACGTGATCTCATCATCTTCGTCACCCTCTGGGAGACGTTCAAGCACCGCCCTGTTGTCAGCTCGTACTGCAATCGCAGCTGTATACGCACTCGCATTCGCATAGCAGCTCGGTGCAAAACAGGTCGAGGTTCAGGTCAGAGGGATCAGTGCCAAAGGGCATCTCGACCTGTGCCGCGATACCCTCAACGCCACAGAGCGTGAACGCTGTGGTGGCCACAATGAAAATCGTCTTCCAGCCCAACACGTCAACGAGCACAAAGGGCAGACACAGCAGGTAGATCGTGACACACTGCTTGAGATGCGAAGTGAAGACGTAGGGTAGAGGAGTTTGACTGGCGTCAGAATGGCGGCACAGAGCGCTCGACACTCACATACTGTCGTTAGCTGGCGTTAGCAAGTCCGAATGTACTCACATACGCTCCATAGACCCCAGCTGGTCGACCATGTTCTGTACACTGGTGCTCATGGAGTTGAAGCCCTGATGTTAGCCGTGCGAGGAGCGCACAGTTCAACCCACCGCAGGCCCTATGGACTCGAGGTTGCCATTGCGGCGGAAGCGGAACAATGAGCGGCTGATTTCATGGGCGATGACGAGGGGAAGTCCGACCTCAACCATGCGGCCGAGCTTGTCACGATGAGCCGTCTTCAGCGACGAGGTCTGTGTCTCGACGTCTTGGTGGGTGCGACGAAGGTCAGAGCGGACGCCGGACTTGATGAGTGGCGTGCGCTCGTTGGCACTGCTGTTCCCGGAAGATGAAGTGGACGTCTTCTCGGTGATCGTGGGGCGCACACGTACGGCGGTAGGGCGGCGCACGGGGCGCGGGCGGTTGGGACGAACCTCGACTGGAGACGGGGGAGGGAAGGAGAACGAGTTGGATTTGACTCTGGTAGGTGAGCTGGGAGGGGCAAGGCTGAGGCCGACGACGCGTTCTTCGTCACCGCGCTCCTGAAGTGCGGTAGTCGAGTATGAGCGGGGCGATAGGACGGGAGGTGTGCAAGACGTGCTGGGGGCGTCGTCGTCAAGTACCTCTTCACATTCGTCGGTCGGGCCTTCCCAGACAAACCTCGCAAGCGACTTGGGCAGCAGGCCTTGGAGATCCGCATGCTCTGCACCGCCCTCCGAGCGAAGGTAGTGCTTTGTGGCGAACACGAAGCCGAGAATCAGGCGGATGATCTCCTTCTTCTTGTGGGTGAGTTGGTGGCGCTCAAGGCGTGACAAGGGGCGGTCGGGCGGCGGAACAACGTTGATCCACACGGCCTGGCGTTAGCTACGGGCGCACTCTGTGAGGGGGAAGACCCACACGAGAAAGGTTGCGAGCGCATGAGATGAGTGCGGTGAAGTCCTTACGCCCCCTGGGGTGAGTATACTGTAACGGTGCTGCTCCCGGGGGCGAGCACGTACTCGGCGTAGCGCTCGTAAGCGGACGAGTTGCGGAAGACTGAGTGAGCTAGTTCATGTTCATATGCGGATCACTCACCGAGGAGCAAACCAACGACAACTGAGAGCAGGGGTACTGCCAATCAGCACGGGCATTACGACGTGGCGACTACACAGGTACTCACCAACATTATTCGTGAGGGCAAGGTCCTTGCCATACACGATCGATGCGACGGCGACGACGGCACTCCAGGCGGTAAAAAAGATGACGGGACGCAGGACGACGGGGAGGATGGATGAGGAGTACACCATGACATCGTCGAGCCACGAGATTTTGGAGACCTGTGTGTGAGTGCGTGAGTTTGGGTTTGCGAGGGAAGGCAGACGGGGTAGCTGGTTGCACTTCCACAAGGCGCCTCCCCCTTAGTCGACTATGGGCAGCGAGGACGCGAGGACGAGAGAGACGAGAGAGACGACTCACGCGCGGCTTCGAGTCCTCCTGCGTCTGCATGCGTAGGAGAGAAGTAAGTGTGTGTCTAGGCCGCATGTCCTGATGTGAGCGTGGACGGGAGGCAGGCCCACCCAAGACATGGACGACTTGGTCTTGAGGGGCGGTGGGGCAGGTCGCTTGCCGCGAGGCATGCCGGAGGGGACGGGGGTGTTGTCGCCGGCTATGGAGGACATTGCCACGACAGCGTTGAGGGAGAGAAAAGAGCAAGAGAGGAGGCGTCGGGGTTGATGTACGTGTCAGGAGGGGGGATAATGAAGGAGGAGGCCGAGGAGGTCAGTGCGGGGATGAAATGTGATGATGCAAGAGGGGGCTGCGGGGGTAGATCAAGAGAGGGGATGGCTGTGGCGAAGTGACGGAGGAGAGTGCCAGCGGCGGGACGGAGACGGCCGAGGCGCGCAGCCAGCAATCACGAGAGTGGTGGTGATCGTGGTGAACGAGTGAACGAGTGATGAGCAAAGCGTCGCAGCATAGAGATGGCAGAAGGATACTGTCAGAGCGTGCTGTCCATCGAGACCCCTTCCATGCATCGCATTAGAACACGTGAGAGCCGTGAGACGCGGCGCGTGCGAGTGCAAGAACACACCTCCCTTTCGCTGATCACCCCGCATGCCGCACCACGTCATCCGCCAATCGACGCGTCGAAACAGCCACATCCGATTTCGAACCAAACATGAAACCCTCCTCCACGTCACCACATGACCATCCTTGCTGCCATCGCCCATGCTCGCCCAAGCAGCGAGCAGCGGGCAACGAGCGCGCAGCGAATAGGGCACCCGGATGGCCGATGAGCACAAAGCCGGCGACGTGCACGGGCACGCACGGCCGAGGCCGACCCTCGCCATCCTCCTCCGTACACAAGGGCGTGTAGCTCAGTTGGTAGAGCGTTCCATTCGCATCGTGATTTGGAAAGGTCTTTGGTTCGATTCCTAACTCGTCCAGTAGCTTCTGCTTTTGCTCGCGTGCATGCCTGAGACTTGAGGGAGGAGCGCCGAGCGAGATGGTATAAGTAAAAGGTTGCAAGTTGCACACTGTGGAGCAGTGTTGGCATGTTCACAAGTGTCCGTCCTCACAGCACTTGACAGTCGACGACACCTCTTCGACACTCTCTCCACCCACATGCCGCGGACGGCTACATACAACAGGTATGGTAATGAATACGAACCCTTCGTGATACTGGTTCCCAACACCTCCCTCCCCCACTTCTAATCGCACTGATCCACCCTATGCCTCCGCGTTCTCCTCCTCTTCGTCCTTCTCCCTCTCCCGCTCCCGCTCCCGCTCCCTCTCCCTCTCCTTCTCTCTCTCGAGCTCGGCGATGCGCTTCTTCGCCGCCTCCAACTCGAAATTCGCTTGTGCCACGCGGTCCTCGGCATCTCGCCATGCCGACTCCCACTTGGCTGCCCCCGCCTCGGCCTTCTCGAGCATGGCGCGGGTACGATCGAGCTCGGTCTGGGATTAGCTCTGGCCTGTTTGTGGTCCTCGTCGCCATGCTCGCCCTCGACTTCGCCGATCACTCAAGCTAGACTCACCACATATTCCTGCTTCTCCCGCTCCTTCGCTGACAAGTCTACGTTGTACTGGTCGCACTTGGCCTTCAAACTGCTCATATAGTCTGATGCACGCTTCAGGAGGATCCCCTTGCCGACCTTGGGGTCCGATCCGCCGGGCACCTGCGAGACGATCTCCATGATCCCCTCGTTGATGTTCTCGCGGCGGCGCCGCTCGACCTCTTTCTGACATTAGCCCACGCTCATCCGCCTCACGCACGTGGCTGTCCTTCTTCATCTTGATAGGGTCGATAGGATCGCCGTTCTCGACGGGCCCCACTACGCCGTCCTCCTCGCGCCTGCGCTTGCGCCGGTATTCGCCCCGCGAGGCCTCGACGGCGTTCGCGACGGCGGTTGCCGCATCGCTCTCGAGCGCGCCATCGTATTCGGCGTACACTTCGCGCTTCTCCTCGTCCTCAAGCATGCCGAAGCGGGCCTCGCCTGTCGCGGTGAAAAACGAGTTGTCTTCATGGTGGAAGTTGGCGAGGCCGATGTCGTTGACGTCGCCGACGGGGTCGATGGCATTGTCGTGCAGCTCGACGGCGTGCTGTGCGAGGTTCTCGAGCGTGTTCTCGCGCCCGCTGTCGAGCGTGCTCAGAGAGGGGAAGAGGTCGGGGGGCGGGGCGGGCTCGGCACTCGCGCGCGGACTGGGTGAGTCCTCGCTGAGGCGGGGCGATGGGCGGCGGTGGTCGACATCGACGGACATGGCTGATGCACGTCCGGTGGGCGGGGAGGTGTGTTATGGGAGGAGTGGGATGTGTACAAGATGTGAGTGGTGGGAGGGAGGCGGAGTAAGATGATGGATGATGGAAGAGAGAGATGAGATGCAGGTGCGGCGGGGTGGATGTTTACGTGTGAGAGTGGGAGGGAGGGAAGAAGGGGGAAGGTCAGGTGATTCAACTGGGGTTAAAGGGGAACTCGCATCTCCCCTCTCCTTCCGCACTGCCCCCCGTCCAAACACAAAATCCAATTAAATACCCCCAGATAATATCCCGCACTCTATGGCCCCGTCGCCCGCGTCTCACATACCTCACCTCTTCGTCTCCACGTTCCGATGCCCCGCCCTCATCTCGTCCAAGTCAGCAGATCTGTATCGTATCCTACTAGGGCATGCTGGAATCTGGCCCAAGATGATCCTGTTCATCCGGACCGCAATACAGCATGCATGACTCGTGCACGGTATGCCCTATGAATCTACTTGGTGCCCTTGCTCGTCGCGGCGAACAGCCGCTCCTCCCATTCCGGGAAGAGGTCCGCCAAGCGCCGCCTCACGGCCTTGAGGTGCGGCGTCCCCCGCGCGAACCGCAGCGGCGTCAGAATGACCTCGTAGCTCGGCGCCAACTCGGCCTTCATCTCCGCCACTGCGTCCACGGCCTCGTGCAGCCGCCCGTTGCGCGCCAGCATCTCGATGTAAGCCTCCCAGTCCTTCTCGCCGACGATGAAGCCGCGCCGGCTCGCCCACGCCCACACCTTGATCCCGCGCTCGACCATGCCTGCGTGCCCGCACATGTCGAGCATGACGGACACGGCCGCGCCCATCTGTTCGGGCGGGTACGTTTTGTGGAGGCGCACGATCTCGGCCCATACCGCCAGCGCGTCGTCGACCGCCCCGCAGCACTGCAGCGCCGACATGAGCGACGTGAGCAGGCGCAGGTCAATGTCCAGCGCCGCGTCGAGGTTGAGCAGCGCTTGCACGTTGCGCGTGGCGTTGAGCAGCTCGGAGTGGACAGCGGCGGCGCTCCGCGCCTCGTACTTCGACACAGTCTTAGCCATGTCCGCGTATGCCCACAGGAGCTTGGTGAGGATTCGCGAGCTGGGAGAGTAGCCTGCGGCACGCATGTCGCCCAGCATGCGGATGAGGAGCTCAGGTGTCGGCACCGTCGAGCCGGGGAAGGACAGCTGGATGAACTGTAACAGCACGTGCTCCCACTGCTTTGCGTCCAGCGGCTGCGAAGCCGACAGCACGGCGTCGTACATTGCGCACGCGTCGGGGTGGTCGATCGCGAAGCGCTTCCACATGTCCACAACCAGCCTTGTCGCATAGCCGGCCGGGAACCGCCGCCGCGCCACGGCCATGTCGACCAAGATGTGCGAGAGGACCGCCTCGCGGACCTCGTCCGTGGGCTCGACCGCTAGCGCTGCATCCAGCAGACCGACGTACACCTTCGGGCGCATGGCGGGCGCGTCCTCGTTCGTCGTCGCGTCCGTGTACACCTGCAGCGCTTCGTGGAAGAGAGGAGACTCCATCGCCGTCAGCCGCGCGATCAGCTCGGCGGCAAGCGCTTCGCCAGGCGCGCTGTATCGCTGGTTATTGGCGCTCCACACAGTTTCGAGATCGGTACCGCGCTCAAGAAGGGCAAGGAAGACCTGGTCCCACGTCTCGGGCGAGAGAAGTGACCCAACCTGGTCAGCTGTGCGGCTGATGCCCCCGAGTATGTCGCCGACGGTCGGCGCGATGGGTAGTTCGTCAAGAACGATGAAAGCAAGAGCCTCGGCAGGAACCTCGCCGAGTGCGTGCTCGCCGGAAACCAGCTTGCGCACTGCCGCCCCATCTCCGCGCTTGACAGCGCGGTCGAGATGCACGCGCCAGCGTGCCCGCGCCAGCTCTGGATCGGCGTCCGCTTCTTCCGGCCAAGACTCGACAATTGTCTCCGCCTGCCAATCGAGGCCGGCGGCGACGTACGCCTGTGCGAGCCCAACCTCCGTCCACGGTCCGGGGTGCACGCCGCGCGCCGCCATGAGGGCCTTGATCTCGGCGATGCGGCCGCGGGTGTTGACGCGCTCGAGGAGGACGGAGAATGTGTGGTCGTCGATCGGCGCGATGGCGAGCACGCGCTCCACGTCCTTCTGGGAGCGGAGGAGCGCGTCCCACTCTTCCCGCCCCATGGCGCCGGGGTGCTGCCCAGCAATGGTGATCGCGAGCTCCCGCGCGTCCCGGAACGCGATGGTGGTGAGGAGGCGCACCATGGCCGCGTGGTGCTCGGGTGTCCGCTCGTCCACCGGGATGCCCTCATAGCACTGCGACGCAACGCCGTACAGCAGTGGCGGGGGGACGCGGGGGCCGCGCAGCTCCATACACGCTCGCAGGACTGTTAGGCTCTCGTCGGCAGTGAGGCGGCGCGAGGTCGGCACGGAGAGCGTGAACGCGTAATCCCGCCATTTTGTGGGCACGTCGCCCGCACGGCTCGCAGCAGCTTCGAGGAGGTGGTCGGCGGGCGTCGGCTCCTTGAAGCCCAGGAAGGAGCGGAGGCTCGCGCGCGGCGCCGAGGTGTACAGCCCGCGGGCCAGGAGAGTTGCCGGACCCGGCCCCGCTGCTGCCTGTGTCGGCGGGGCGAGCAGGGCGCGTGCCGGCGCACGCGGAAGTGTTGGCGCGCGGACACGGCGCCGCAGCGTAGCGGGGTTGACGCGTGCCCGGAAGGCCATTTTGAGTGTGGAAGATGTAACAGATGGTGCTGGTGCAGAAGTCGAGGTGAGGTGACTTTCAGGCTGAAGAAAATGTCGTGTCGTTGAGCCACGTGGTGATACTCCACCAAAGCAACAACCATCATGAGCATCGTTCTTATGAATCTAGTCTCTCCTCATCTATCTTCGACGCGCGCGCTCCATCTTGCACAATGGACTCCTCCCCGCCCCCGGAGGGTACGTCCGGTTCCCCCTCGGACTTCCTCAAGAACATTGTCGGCAAGAAGGTCAAGGTTAGGATCGCAAGCGGCATCGACTACCATGGTGAGTGATCTAAAGTAGGAGCGGATGGTTGTTGCACGGAGCGAAGTGGGCGATGCCGTACATCTTCTGGCTCTTCTTGCTCTATCGTATTCTTCATGTGCTGCGACAGCACATGCGCGGGCATCTGGAGGAACAAAAGCGGGGTTACCTCGGCGCCATAACTCGTCCATCACCGGGAGCCCAGCCGGTGCTGAACTCGCCGAATCCTGCATGTGCCTTCTTCCCTTCTATGGGAACGCCGGGAGTCCGCTCGATTCCTTGCCGCCTCCATTACCGAGGACGTCAAGGCTCGGCGCAACGACTGTCTCTGCCCTTCATTCCCCCCACTTCCATCTACCCGCTGACACCAGGCACCCTCTCCTGCCTCGACGGATACATGAACGTCGCACTCGAGAACACGGAGGAGTACGCCCACGGCCGCTTGACGGCCAAGTACGGCGACACGTTTTTGCGCGGCAACAACGGTGCGTAGCGCGCCGGGCGATATCTTGTGCTGACCTTAGTGCTCTACATCTCGGCGATGGAGGACCTGTAATACCGCATGTATATGATAGAGACAGAACGGGCGTTCAGGCCGAGCGTGGCTGGTCGTTACAATGACGCTTAGCGCCAGCTCTGCTGCAAATGACGATGCTGAGCTCTAACCTCAACCGCACAGATGTGTGCGTAGGTAATAGCATGCCACCCAAAACTACAATAGTTGTACATCGACGGACGGACATTGCGCAGTTGTAGCGCCGCCACAGTCCGCAGTCTAACCCGTCATGGAACGAAGACCTAGGTGCTTCTTGCACGGCGCGCTCAGAAACACTCGCGGCCAGAGCCGACATAGTCCTTGCCCAGCAGCTCGGGCGCGGCCAGCTCGCCCTTCTCGAGCGCGTCGACAGCCGCCACAAGGTCGGCCTGCATGCCGTCGGTGACCATCGAGTCGCCCTTGTACTCGGGGTGGGAGGTAAAGAAGTTGCGGATCCACGCCGCGGGCGTGATGAGCTCGCCCTTGGCGCGCATCTTAATGAGGTCGAGGTATGTGCGGATCTTGCACTTGGTGGCAATGTCCGTGTTAATGCTGTTCAAGTAGGCGTTGACGACGCCCATAAGGCCAGGGAAACCCTCGCGGCCGTTGATCACCTCGTCGAGGCTCATCGCTACAACCTCGGGCCCTTCCTCGGCCTCCTCCTCCAGCAGAGACGCACACGAGCTAAAGCTGTTGGAGCTGCGGAGGTGCTTGGGCGTGCGCGCGCCGTGCCCATTCGCTGTGCCGTTCGCGTGCCCGTGTCCGTGTCCGTGCCCGTTGCTGAAGCCGTTCTCCTCGTGCATGCTTCCATTGAGCGACTCGCTCGGCGGGCTCACCGGCCGCGAGTCGAGGTCGTACGTCGACAGTTCGTTCGGGAAGACGTGCCGGCGGAAGAAGAAGGACTGGGCGCGGGCCGCGTTGCGCTCCTGCGCACGCTGCATGTTCTCGTCAACCTGCGAGATGGGCATGTAGAAGTTGAGCTTGAAGCTGATGATAGCCCGCGTGAGCAACACGATGAAGATGGAGAACGCCGCGTTCTCAAAGTCGGTCATCTGGATTTCCATGGGGCGGAACTCGACGCGCCACCCAATGTCCGAGTTGACGGGGGGTGGCTTGAACCGCACAGTCTGCCAGTTGGTCGACTGGATGTTCTCAAAGTGATCCATGCTCTCCTCATCGTTCTGGTCGATCGTCTCGGAGAACTGCACCAGTGGGTCGCGGATGAACAGGTGGCCAATGTGAGAGGCGAGCTTGTCGTCCAGCCCAGCGTCAAGCAGCCGCTGGCGCACGCCTTCGTTGATCGGCGCGGAAATGTCCGAGTACTCTGGCTTGTTGCGCTCGTCGTTGGCAATGTAGAGACTGACCGAGTCGTACCGCGACTTGGGGATGCGGTACTTGTTGTCCTTGAGCGGCTGGTGTAAGCTCTGATCCAAAGCCAATGCTCACCTTGAGCCCACGCTCCTCTTCCGTGCGGTCGTCGACTGCAGCCGAGATGACGTTCCAGCGGGCGTCCACATCCGCCAGTCGTCCACGGAACGCGGGCGCGGCAGCCGTGAGAGCAAGCTGAGGTCAGCCCTTGGGTCCAAGCGTCTTATCGCTCACCATAATCGGCGCCACAGGTACCAACGCATCATATACCGAACGCGCCTCTCCGACGTCCCATGCCTGGAATGTAATCTGTAGGCAGCAACAGCCCATGCCAAAGCCCATAGCGTCCATGTGAATGTACGGGGTGCCGGGCTGAGGCCGGGCGGGAGTTTCTGGGTCGTCAGCCCCTGTTCGAGCATCGCACGGTTCGCGTGTGCCTCATACTCACTCGGGTTAGTCCTCGATAGGGGAACTTTGGATCCCTCAGGCAGCTTCGTGTGCTCATCGATGAAGAGAGGCAGACGGATGTCTACGAGGGAGCCTCGCCGCTGACGAATGTTGGCGGTGAGGGTGCTACGGTCAGCATCACACGACACATGAGAGAAGGAAGGCAGTTTGTAACTCACGGGAAGCGGGCGTGTGGATTGGTAATCAGCTGACCAACATACTGGCTCTTGCTCGAGGTATGCTCGGGGTCGGGGTAGGAAGGGGGGTCAGTGAACTGGGCGTTCTCGACGCCGAGGCGGGGCCAGCTCGTGAGGGTGATCGGAAGCTCGTGAGGAAGAAGGTGCGACCGGATGATCTTGCGCCGGAACCGCATGTCGCACTCGACATTTACGAGATCGCTCAGCTGTCCGGTGTAGGGGCATCCGGGCGTCGACTCGATCATGAAGCGTCCGTACTCGGGGTGGAAAGTCGGCATCTTTCGGCTGCACAAAGGTCAGCACGTGCTCGCTTGCGGTTGGGACGTTGCGCCGCGCTACGCCGCGCCGTCGGCGAGGTCGACGTACCAAGACTCGGGCTTGACCTTTTCAAGCGCGGGGTCGACGGTGGCGTGCTGGAGCTTTTCGAGGATCTCTGACTGACGGAGACTCAGGTAAGCTTTGTGCTGGGCCGTGTCCATGGAAGCGACGAGGTACTCGATCTTTGGGGGGGTCAGCTTTGCATTAGGTGATGAGCTACCTCGTCGCCCCAGAGGAGACCCTCTCCGGAGCGGTCCTTCCAGCGCTTCCAAGTGTTGAGGAACTGGGTGATGCCATGGTTGCGGATGTGCTCTGCGAGAGGCTTGGTGTCGGGCCAGTCGAGGGGGGTGCCGAGGGCGAGGAGGCCCATTTTTTATGATGGGGGGAAGGGGGGGAGTAGATTAGGGTGTTGGAAGAGTGACCTAGAGTGGGGTAGTAGTAGCGTTGAGACAAGTAGTGGTGGCAAGAGAGATGACAAGAAGAAGAAGAGGAGGGGGAGGATGGATTGCAAGCGATGGATGGAGAACGAAGAGTACGAGGAGGAGAGCCGAGAGGGCCGAGGGTTGCCGTGGGTGGTAGATGGTGGGGTGGGCACAAGGAGCGAGGCAACTTTGCTTTGTAAGATTCCGCCAAAGTGGAGGTTGCTCAGTGCCCTTGTCCCGCATGTCCCGACTGACCGACGCCTCTCCTCTGCGGCTCTGCGGCAACTTCAGAGGGGTGCATCGCTTCGTTCAGTGCCTGTGACTGCAATGATGATGCATGCTCCTCGTACTCCTCGCTTCATCTGCCGCTCTTGCTGTGACAGTCAGTTGCTCCAGCCTGCTCCATGCTCCAAAAACCAAGGGCAGAATATACGCTATCCGACGCCTCTGATGTCGCCGCAACCACCCACCCTGCTTCCGGGACGTCCGTTCATCATGCGTCCAGAGGTATTCCCGTTTTCCGGCGATTTGATTCCGAACAGCACACCACCGCTTTCCGTATTTCTTATCGCTCACGTGATTCAGCTTCCACCGTTATTTGGTTCCACCCTCCGCGTTGTCCAATCAAACGCCCTCGCCATCTCGCCATCGCTCGTCACGATCGTCGCGTCGCTGATCGTCGATCGTCGAGATCGTCGCCATGTCTCGGCTCGCGGCTCGAGCATGCGAGCATGTTCCACGATCCACTAACCCATCCTGCACGTTCCGCCCGATCGCAAGATCGACGCTCGATCGCGTGAGCGTTGTACGGCGTCTCGCAGTATTGCGCAGGACGAGCTCGCAATCCACTCCACCATCCACCGGATGACTGAGGGCTGGACAGAATCTCGCAACCGCGTCTCAGAGGCCATGGATGGATAGACCATGACGCAACCACACCAAGTCTGTCAAATCACCCGAGTCCACGTCCTGCCTGTATACCAGCCAGCGCCCGGTGCCAGAAACGAGAGCTCATCGCAACTCATCAGCATCTATCGCCATCGCCCCCGCCAGTGCATCACTCGACCTACTCCCACAACCGCCCGACCGGCTCGTCGCCGACACGCCGCACGACGTCCTCCACGACCCCCCAAATATCCCGCTCCACCTCCTCCACGCTCCCCTCCGCACTGACTTCGACCCAGCGCGCGTCGCCGTGCCGCCGCCCCACCTCCTCTGCGACTTTGGCAAACTGCGCGCGCACGGCCGTTTGCGTGTCCACGTTTTCGTACCGCTCCGCACCGTACGCGCCGCGCCGGGACGCGGTCTCGGGCGAGAGGGTGAGGTAGAGCGTTGCGTCGGGGAGGGGGAGGCCCGTGTCGGGGGACAGGCAGTAGGTGAAGTCTAGGCCCTGGGGTTGGTGAGTACTTCCTGGGGGATGGGGAGGGGCGTGGGAAAGAAGGGAGAGAAGTGAGAAGATGGGAGGGGAGCAAGGAGGGGAAGATGCGTGAGGATAGAGGACCCGGTGAGAGGAGGGGAGGAGGGAGACGAGTGAGAGGAGAGGGGCGACACCTCCGGATGAGAACGGTAGCGCTGCACAATACCGTAGACCAGCCGCAACAGACCCACCTTGGCCGCCGAAAACGCGATCCCCGAAAACGCGTACCGGTCCACAACGACCGTCACCCCCTGCGCGAGGTCCCTCTCAATCGCCGCGCTGCCGTCAGCCCCGCTCCGCCCCGACTCACTGGCATTCCCAGCGGTTGGCCGAGAAGAGGAGGTGGACCGCGCGGTCGTCCAGCTCGCTCGCGGAGCGGAGGTACGCGTCGATCATGCCGCCTATCGGCGTGGTGCGGTCTGGCGTCAGCACAAACGGCGGGCGGCCTACCAGGGAACTTTTGCAGGCGCGCGCGGTGGCCTGCCGCGTTGAGGCGGGAGACGAGGCGGGAGACTTGCGTCGATTTGCCGGAGCGGTCGAGGCCTTCGAGCACGATCAGAGCGCCGCGGGGCATGGTGTGTGGCGAGGTGTGTGACGCGAAACACGAAATGCAGCCGTGGTGGAGGTGTGCCTGATTCGTGACCAGCCTCCACTTGTATGCCCGCGCCCCACGATACGCTTGGGCCAGTCCATGCAGATTTCTACCAATGTAGTGTACAATCGCCGAGGAGGAAACACGGCCTACAGCAGCGCAATCGACTCGACGACATGCTCGCTCTCCGAGTATCCGAGCACGGTCTCGATATGGCGGCTCTTCATGCCCTTGATCCGCTCGATCTCGGACGAGTTGTACTGCGCCAGCCCCTTGCCGACCTCGACCTCCTCCCACTCGTCTTCGGCTACGTGATTCACCGCCGCCGCGACGCTCGCGACGGCCGCGTCGACGTCCGCGTCGTTCGACAGCAGCTCGCCCGTAATGCTCGTGACGACGAGGCGGTCGGTGACGGCCCGGATGGCCGGCGACGTCGGCGCCGTCCGGCTCAGCGGGTCCAGCGACGCGACCGACGACGACAGAGATAAGGTGGGGTAGATCAGCGGCGTTCCCGGCTGCGGCGCGCTGTCGGGCGAGCTCGCGACGCTGCCGACGCTCGCGGCCGCCGCCGTGATCACCGTCTTCGCGAGCGGGGAGGTGAAGTGGTCTGTGTCGATCGAGGACGGGCCGCCGTCAGGCGACATGCGCGACGGCGTCACCGCCTCGCTCTCGGGATACGTGAGCAGCGGGGCGGGCGGGAAGCGCTTTTTGCGCCGCACGACGATGCGCACGGCCTGGTGGCTTGCGAAGGGGCCTTCGACGCGCACCACCCCGGCTGGGAGGAGACGGCCGCCTGACTCGCGTCTGCCCACCGCGCGGTACGCGCCCTCGTCTATAACGACGGTGCCGGCGCAGTGCAGGCCGTGCGCTATCCACCATTTGCGGCTAGGAGTCAGTTGCGCCGCAAGTTTTAAAGCTCACTCTTTCAATGCTTTCGCGTGGCGCAAGAACCGCGTGCACAGCGGGCCGCCTTCCAAGTAGGATGTGTCCCCTGCGTTCCGGTTGGGGCCGGGACCACCAGCAATGATCCCGAAAATGTCGTCCACTTTTGTACTGTTCATGATGACGGTCGTCACGCCTGCTGCAGTCGCCAGCTCGGCTGCGATGATCTTCGTCGACATGCCGCCTGTTCCCAAGGATGTTCCGAGGGTCGACGTCGAAACTGATGTCAACTATGTCAAGCGACGTTCCCCTCACCCTCTTTCCGGACCTCCGCAATGTCCTTCACCACTCGGACCGCCTTGGCATCCGGATTCACGCGCGGATTGTCCGTATACATGCAGTCCACATCCGTGAGGAGGAACAAGTAGTCCGCATGCACGATATTGGACGAGATCGCTGACAATGTGTCGTTGTCACCAAACTTGATTTCCTGGCCGTCAGTGCGAGATGTCAACTTGAACTAACGGAAACCGACACCGTGTCGTTTTCGTTGACGATTGGCACCACACCCATATTCAGCAGCTCGTTGAAAGTGTTCTGAGCGTTCAGGTAGCGTGTGCGCTGGAGTTAGACATGCATACACGCCGACTCACGTCGCTAATGTCCGCGCGCGTGAGCAGAATCTGGGCAATCGGCTGGTCCAGTTGTGCGAAAAGGTTGTCCCACAACGCAATGAGCTGGCCCTGCCCAATGGCGGCGAGCGCCTGTTTGCGGCTGAGGCCCTTGCCACGGTCTTTGAGGCCCATGTGCCGGAGTCCGACGCCGATGGCTCCCGACGACACGAGCACGACCTTGTGTCCGAGCGCGCGCAGCTTGACCACTGCCTCGACGACACTCGACAGCAGCTGCAGACGCGGGGGGTATGGCGGCTTGGCAGCGACAATCGACGAGGTGCCTTTGGGTCAGAGGTCAGAGGGGCGGGAGCGCACCGAGCTTGATGACAATAGTCATGGACGGGGTCTTGAGCTTGGAGTTGCCATTGCCGTTGTTATCTGGAGAGGAGGGGCGGGTGTTGGGGCGACTCCTGGACTGACTCCTCGACTTTGGCGCCGAGATGGTGACTGAAGGCTTGCCCATATCGTCTCGTTGTTGAAGGAGGGTGGATGAAGACATTTCAAGATAACAAAGCGCGAGCTCGGCAAAGGGGGGGGGGGGCGAGTTGGAGCAGCACGGAGCGCGCCCGAGTGTTTGGATGGGGCGGGCGGCAGAGGGGAGAGAGCGAGGACAGATCTGTGGAGAGTAGTGTGAGATTGTAGAATACGCATTCGGTCTCGTCCGGCCTGTGACATTCCACCGTGCCCCCGACTCGAACACAAATGACACCTCGCGGAACTATTTCCGCTCAATTACCCGCTTTACCAGCGGAAAACAGCGGAAGCACAGGCACAGGGGATCCGCACATCGGGAAGTGGCACTTGGATGATGGATTCATCATAGAGCGCATCCGTTACGCTACTGCATCTCAACTTTTTACAAGCTTCCCCCTTACTCTTTAGGCACTCAATCGCAGTAGAATTGGAGCAAAATCTGGTAGGCATGAGAGTCGTTTACGCCTGCCTTGCCTGCTCTGTTACACTTTCTAACGGTATGCGTTAGCTACGCTGAGGACTTGGACCAGCTCACGAGCACGGCTCGTAGGCGAATTACAACTTGTGGTAGATAAAGGCTGCATTCTGACCTGGATATATTGTCTTCAGTCGTGACGTCTATAGCCAGAATGAAACAGGGCAAAATCTAGAGGACGCTCATGTTCTTCCATTGACAGCTGAGCTTCCGGTTACCACTCGGATTGTGACGTGACGCTTTAGTATCCTCCCAGTTTTAGGTGGGTCTTCATCCTGGGGAAGACATGACCGAGATACTGGGAGTGAATTCACTACTGCCACAGTGGAGACGCCTACAGGACGCACCAGCAGCTCAAAAGCGATTGTTAGCTTCGTTACATGGTCAAAAACGCTAGTTAAATGATCATTTGGAATCAACGTCCCTCAGAGGCCTAGCTCATCTGGTGGCACACACGAGATCTTCGCACATGTTTTGGACTCAACCCTGTGTGTTGCCTCTTGAAAGTGCGGTACTTTCGAAAATTGTCACTGTATCCCCTTTGGACCTGTTTCCCACTTCACATGCAGGTATTTTCAGCTTGTGAAGGTGTCTACCCCGAGATGTTGTCGCAAGAGGCCTGTGTCTGTGTTACCACTGGGTCTACAACCTCGCGCTGCCCCACTACGTAAGCGCAAGAGTCATTCCGCTTGTTCAGAATTTGGTTCCGCAGGTAAGAAAGGGGGAGGACGTCATAAATGACGCGCGGGGGATACGGGGCATTCTTGTCGCTTGGATCGCTATTCTCTCACCAAGCGACCGAATAGTGTGGAATTCAGCTGCACGCTCGGCCTTGCTCCTCATCTCGGTCTCGCATTCACCCTCATTCATACTTTGCTCTTCGCCGAGACTCACCTCATCGAGCAGACCGCAGAGCGAGCAACTGCACAAGGCCGTCGTTCCGTTCTCTTAGAGGCCAACTCTAAACTTAGACCCCGATCCCCCCCCCCATCAACCCCTGGACCTTATCTTTCGAGGTGGCCATTTGTCGACACGTCTACAACTCTCATAACCCCACGCCGGAACACTTCGTCGTTCAACAAACTTACATCGCATCCCCTCTTCTTGCTTCAACTCATCATCTTCTGAATATCTGCCTTCGCCCGATTGTCGTCTCCTCGGCCACTCGCTCTGGGCACCACACGTCATGGCGCCGCCCATCACACAGCCGCCCGATGGCGAGGTCCTGGACCCCACGACCGAAGAGTTCTACGCATCGTAAGCCGCTCCTCCCCGGGCTCAGCTGACATCTAGGTGGGGCTTGTGTATCCTCTGTGTGCTCCTCATTGGCGCGCTCTGCACATCCTACTACCTCCAGCTTAAGCGAATTCGTGCCATCCATGAAACAGTCATTTCCATCTTCGCCGGCATGGTCGTCGGTCTCATCATTCGCATGGCGCCCGGGCATCTAATCCGCGACATGTTGGTGAGTACCGACAGGCATCTAATTTGGAATGCGCGCTCACCCCTTTCCAGACGTTCAAGCACACGCTGTTCTTCAACTTGCTCCTGCCCCCTATTATTCTCAATTCGGGTTACGAGCTCAAGCAAGTCAGGCCACCACTGAAGCGCCAAGCTGACGACAGGAGAACTTTTTTCGCAACTTTGGGGTCATCCTTACGTTCGCGTTTCTGGGAACGTTCATCTCGGCCGTGGGCATTGGGTGAGTCACCGGTAGCCCTACGGAGCTGACGTTCAAGAGTGATCGTGTACATCTGGTCCTTCCTCGGCATCGAGCACCTCAAGTTCAGCCTCCTCGAGTGTTTGATCTTCGGATCCACGCTCTCTGCGACCGACCCCGTCACCATCCTGGCTATCTTCAACACCGCCAAAGTCGACCCCAAGCTCTACTCGATCATCTTCGGCGAGAGCATCCTCAACGATGCCGTCTCGATCGTCATGTACGAGACCCTCTCGCACTTCCACAGCAAGGACATCTACATTTCCTCCCTCTTCCACGGAACTGGAATCTTCCTGTTCTCGTTCCTGGGTTCCGTGTTCTTGGGGGTGGCTTTCGGCCTCGCGTGCTCCCTTGGCCTCAAGCACTCCCACCTTGCCAAGTACCCTCAGATCGAAAGCTGCCTCGTTGCGCTCGTCGCCTACACTTCCTATTTTTTCTCCAACGGTCTCCGCATGAGCGGCATTGTCTCGCTCCTCTTCTGCGGAATCACACTCAAGCATTACGCCTACCACACCATGTCCAAGCGCACTCAGAGGACCACCAAGTACATGTTCGCGGTGCTTGCCCAGCTGTCGGAGAACTTCATCTTCATTTACCTGGGGCTCAATCTCTTTACCCAGGAAATCCAGGTGTTCAAGCCCCTTTTTATCTTGGTATCCGCTATCGCGGTAATGGCCTCGCGTTACGCTGCCGTGTTCCCGCTCTCCGAGCTCATCAACTGGGTCTTCCATACGCGCGGCCAGCGTCACGAGGAACTCCCTCACTCGTATCAGATGATGCTCTTCTGGGCAGGTCTCCGAGGCGCAGTCGGCGTCGCTCTGGCCAACGGTCTCAAGGGCGAGAACGCTGACGCACTCCGCACGACTGTCCTGGTGGTCGTCGTGCTTACCGTCATCGTCTTTGGGGGTACAACTGCACGCATGCTCGAAGTCTTGGGCATCCGCGTTGGTGTTGAAGATGAGGACGCCAGCTCGGACGAGGAGGAGGGCTGGGTATCGCACTCCGGACAGTTGGCCCTCCAAATGGGTCCAGGCAGCCGACGCTACGCGGGGGCCAATGGGCAGGGGCTGTACGGGGACGATGACAGTGTTGGATTCGCCACCCCGCTGGACTCGCCCTATCTCTCGACGACCCGCCGAAGCGCAGCGCGGCTATCGTTGCCGCGCGATGGATCGCGCGCGGGCTTTTCGGTCTCCTCAGACGACAGCGAGGAGGAGCCACTTCCTTCTGGCTATGGTGACCGCGGCGACGCCGAGGCTGATGCCGCTGGTCCCGCCCGCCAGGGCATGGTGTTCCGCGATGGACAGTGGTTCACCAATCTGGACGAGCGGTACCTCCTGCCGCTGTTCTCTAACTCTGTGACAGCTCGCCGGCATCATGCCAAGAAGGCGCGTCGGCAGGCAAGTCTGCGTGGGGGCAGCGATTCCGCCTCTGGAACACCAAGAGGCGGGAACTCACTCGAACTAGCACGAGTTGAGGATGACTACCCCGGTGCCGACGGCGAGAGTGAGAACGGCAAGGTCAAGGCCCCTGCAGCAGGGCGTAACTTTAGGTGAGTTGATCAGTTGTGGCTGAGTGCATCACTGTCGATTACTGCGTTCGACGCAGGCGTCTTCATTCTGCGGGCACAGTTCAGGATCATCGGTGGCGGCGGTGAGGCGTGACAAGACCAGTGCGCCGCCAACTCCTGGTCCTGGGCCGCTTGAGTTTGGACGAGCGAGTCACGAGCTATGGGAGTTCAAAAGGCGATTAGGCGACGCCCGCTGACGAGCAGTGGGTCCGTGACCGACCTGTTCTATGCACGCGCCGAGGCTGGAGAGGCGAGGAGTACTCCACCTGGAAGTGATGGTCGTGGATCAGGGAGGGACAGCAGTTTGGACAGGAGGCAGGGAAGTTGAGATGGACGGGGGGCGAGTTGACCCGACGGCCGGCGCGAAGCCATCTTGGAACGGGTGGCGTTGGACCTGTGACGATACAATATACCTATGCTCTTAGACATCGTCATGCATTCTGTTTAGACACCATCATGAGCAACGTCGGCGCTGTTGAGGAGGACGGCGTCGCGAGGTGGTGGATGGAATGGGCGGGGGTCTCGGATGACGAAGGAGGGAGGGGGCAACCTCCACCAACCCCACCGCCACCAGGCCTCACCCTTTCGCAATCGCCATTCTCCATCTCGACTCTCTCGACTACACCTGCAACTCCCACATTCGCATCCACATCCGCATCCGCATCCACACCCACCCCGGCCCCATCCACATCCACTCCGTCCCCTCTCGCACGCCCCCTCTTTCTTCCCATCGGCGCACTTTTCTCTGGTTCGCAGCACCAACCGCTCTCCAGCCAGCTCCATTGCGCCGATACAAGACGTTTCCCTCCCACACCCGTCGCGGCCGGTCATAGCGCGCGCAAGCACGTCCAACCGACCGCACCGCGATCTCCTGCACTTCGGACACCGTCGTACGCCACTGCGGGGCCTCTTCGCACTATGGCAGCCCCGCCAACCCAGCCGAGCTTGGACGCGCTCGTGAGCAAGTTTCCAGCGTTGCTCCAGCCGCACGAGAAGAACCTCCCAGATGAGCAAAAGGCTCTTCTCGTGAAGAAACGAGTGCAGCAACTCGTGCAGAAGCAGCAGCTTCAGCGCAAGGGTCAGCTCGACGCACTCCAACAGCAGCAGAAAGCTCAGCAGGCGCAGATGCAGGCCGCAGCGGGAGGTGTGGCAGCGAACGGTGGCGTTGTCCGTCCGCTGAACGCTCAAGCCGGGCCCAGCCAAGCCAACCAAAGCCCCCGCGTGGGAATCGCGCAGTCACAGATGAACGGACAGCAGCAGATGCAGATGAATCCCCAAGTACGTTTGCCACCTCACTTCCCTTCATCTACCATGCTCGACTGGCCTGACCCCCAGATGATGGCGCACCTGCAGGCCCAGCAACAGGCAGCTGCTCAACAGCAAGGGCAACAGCAGTTCCAGAACCTGTTGGCCCAGCAGCGCTTGCAACAACAGCAGATGCAGCAGCAAGCTCAACAGCAGGGCACCCCGCAGCAGCAGGCGCAGCGTCTCCCATCACAACCTGGTGTCGGAACCGGGGTCGGCACTCCCATGGCCAACCAGCTCGCAGCAAGTATAGCAACTCCCTCGCCCCAGGCGCACCAGAGCCCCGTGGTCAACCCTGGTGTGCTGGGTGCGTCGCCAGTTGCTACTCGCATGCAGTCTGCCCCGAGCGGAGGTGCGGGCCCAGGAATGAGCAACGCAGGAACACCTGGTCCGAGCCACACATCTGCGCCTCCCAACCTGAACATCTTCGGCGCTGACCCAACAACGCTCGTCCACCGGATGCCAGCACTGCTGAAGCTGCGCAGTGAAGGCGGGATGACCCCCGAAATGCAGAAGACTGTGAGTGTACATTCCCTCAGTAGAATGCCAAGCGTTTTCGCCCCCAGATGGCTGTGCAGTTACTCATCGCTCAGTTCGACCAGTTGATCGCCCAACCAGAGGTCAAGACCTACCTCCAGAACATCCAGAACCAAGCGAATGCGATGCGACAGAACCTGGCCGGTGCAGGAGCAAATGCTGCAGGACAGTCGCCATCACAGCAACAGACGGCATTGTTGGCACATCAGCAAGTTGCCCTTCTTCAGCGCCAAAAGCAACAGCAGCAGCAGCAGCAGCAGCAGCAACAGCAACAGCAGCTTCAACAGCAGCAGCAGCAACAACAGCAACAGCAGCAACAGCAACAGGGGCTGGCTCGTCAACAGCTCCAGCAGCGACAGGTTCAGCAGCAACAGCAACAGCAACAGCAGCAGCAGCAGCAACAACACGCGCAGCCACAGCAGCAACAGGCCCAGCAGCAACAGCTTCAGCAGCAGCAGCAGGCATTTGTCGGACTCGCTGGCCTCACTCCTGAGGCGCTGGCGCAGTTGACACCACAACAACTCGTTCAACTGGCACAGTCGCAGCAGCAGTTGCAGCAACACGGACAATCCTTCCTTACTCCGCAACAGCAGCAGCTCCTGCATAATCAGCTCCTGCAAAGCAACAACCCTCAGCAGCTGCTTCTGGCTCGGCAACAGGCCCTCGCCCAGCAACATCAACAGCAGCAACAGAACGCCAGAACGCCCAACCTGGGCGCAGCATCTCTTCCGAACCAAGGCAACAACTTCCTCCAGAATCTTCCTCCTCAGCAGGCTGCTCAGGCATTCCAGGCTGCTCAGCTGGCGCAGTTCATCCAGCAACAGCAGGCTCAGGCTCAGGCTGCTGGGTTGACGCCTGCGCAGGTCCATCAGTTTGCCCAGCAGGCTTTGATGCAAGCGCAGAACCAGGCCGCCCAAGCCCAGGTGCAGGCGCAGGTGCAACCCCAGGCAAACGTGCCCAATCAGATCAACAACTTTGGGCCACCGCGTCCGCCACAGCCTCAGCCTCAGCAACAGGCGCAGATACACGAGATCAGACAGAGATTGGCGTCAATGAACGAGGGCGACAGACAGAGAGCGTTTGAGAAGAACCCAAAGCTGAAGGCGCTATACTACAGCAACCTGAATCTTCAATCGCAGCAGCTCATGCAGCAACAGCAGCAGCAGTTACAGCAAGGCCCCCATGCGCTCCAGGCTGCCCAACTCGCCCAACAACAGGCCCAGCAACAACAACAGCAGCAACAGCACCAGCAGCTACAGCAGCAGGTGCAGCAGCCTCCGCAGCAGCAGCTACAGCAGCCACCACAACAGGCTCAGCAGTTACTGGCCCCTCAGCCCGGGATCCTCCCTCAGCAATCGATGCAACAGCACGCAGGTACCCCGAAGCTCCAGCCTCAAGGGCCCCCGCAGAACGCCCAGCCGCCCATGCCGGGGCCGGGCGGCATGCCCATGCAGGCGAACGCATCCATGATGCAGGCGCGCCCGGGTACGCCGATGGGCGGTTTCCCTGTCATCAACAGCACGCTCCCAAATCTTCAGATACCTCCGGGCAAGCAGCGCGGAATAGCGGCAGGCCAGCAGCCTGGCACCCCTAGCTCGGCGGCAGGGTCAGCTCCATCTCCGCAGATCCGTAACCAGCTGCCCATTGCTGCAGCCGCAGCCGCAGTCGCTGCTTCACAGCAGGGCTCGCCCGCCGCGCAAAGGCTTTTCCAGCAAGGGATCCCTATCGCCGCGCCCATGCCGGCCAATGTTCGTCCTCCGGGGCAACTCCCTGTTCCCCCCGGCACTCAAGTGACGCCCATGCACATCCTGTCCGATCTGGACAAGCGCGGGGCCTTGCCGACCGCCCAGCCTCCACCGGGTAGGGCGACAAACGACATCATACCAGCTGCGCTGGATCGCACTGGCTCATTGTTGTCCAAGACGACATGGGCGCCGACGGCCGAGAGCGATGCCGCGCTCCGCAGTAAGCTCAACGAGTCGTTCATGCTGCCCGGTCGGCAGACTGCCCGTGCCACTCTGATTGAGGGCATGAGCACTGTGCCTGTCCTCACCAATGTGCTCGGCGAGCGCCTTCCTGCCGATCTGCGTCTTCTTGCGGAGGGTGATGTCGAGACCAAAAATGACGCGCTGGACGCCAAGGGCAAGAAGCACGACCTCGAGGGCGCAGGCATGCCGGGTGCCAAGAAGCAGAGGGTTCAGGAGTTTGCCGAGACCATTGACAAGTCTCTCGAGATTGACAAACCAGTTGAGGATGTGAGTAGGATGCAGTTGGCGGTGCTGACAACAAGATCTTCCTCTCACTGTCGGACGAATACGTAGACCTTTTGGCACAGACGACGTGCCAGTTCACCAAGCATCGCGGTGCCACAACCATCGACCGTAAGGACGCGCAACTCGCGTACGAGAGCATCTTTGGTCGTACCCTGCCGGGCTTCTCATCAGACGCGATACGCCTCGACCAGGCGCGGAGCTCGCGACGGGCCCCAACTTCCCAGCAGCGCCAGGGAAAGCTCAAGCTCGTTGCGGACGCCAAGGCCCAATGGCGGCGCGAGAAGGAGGAGGCGGCCAAGGCGGCCGAGGAGGCGACCGCCAAGGCGCAGGCGCATGCCGCGCTCAACGGCACCATGAACGGCGAGATGAAGGAAGACGCGACGACGACCGTCGCGCCTACCGCCCTCAACACCGCCGTTGGGACGGCGCAGACGTCAGCTGTGACGACTCCCGCGCCCGGGCTCGCATCGCTAGGCGTTGGCACCGAGACACCCACTGCCCCACCGGCTGCGCCAGTGGTTGTCGCTCTATGAGTTCCTTTGACATCGACATGTGCTGTATTGTTGTGTTCAGCCGATTATTATCCACTGTATTATGTACATGACAAGCATGCATAGTCCTAATCACGTCCGCCCGCACCTGGACGCCAAGAGGCCACACGGAGCTGGGCCTCGGAGATGGCGGAATACGGCCGGGAGCATTTTGCCACCTGCGCATGTGTGTGGTGGAGGTTGACATCTCGAAGTGCGGAGGGAGCGAAATGAGCTCGCTCATCGACATTTCCTCACCACCATCATGCGCGCGCTCTCCACTCTCCGGCCTCTCGCCGGTCTCCACCGCGCCCTCCCCGCTCTCCCCGCCCAGCGCAGCTTCGGCTTCTCGAGCGGCTCCCCCAGCGGCTTCGGCGATGACGCCTTCCCGGTCGTGCGCGATGCGCTCGTCCCAATCGTCGTCGAGCAAACTGTACGCATTGCCCATGCGCCCGCTAACACCAGGCCCGCGGCGAGAGGAGCTACGACATCTTCTCCCGCCTCCTCCGTGAACGCGTCATCTTCCTCGGCGGACCGGTGAGTGCGCTTCGGACGGCCGACGCACGATCGTGTTCGGTCACAACTGCCCGAGGCCAGGCTTCAAGCTCCAACCGGCGGAGGGGAGGGATGCGGTTCCTGTGCTCCGAACGTCGTCGATCGGCATGTATCCTGGCTTACTCGGAGCCGTCACGCCTCTGCCGCCGGCAACGTCCCCTTCTGTCTCGCATCGCATCGAGCCACTTCCGAGTTTCCTTCTGGTAGCTCTGGCCGGTGTCGCTGCGTTCCTCGGTCTCGTCGGTCGGCTGCCCGTGGGCCCTTCCTAACGCCGCTCCTTCCCAGTTCCCGGCCCCCCGCCTTCCCGCTCACACCAGGTCATGGACTCGATGTCCTCGCTCATCACTGCCCAGCTCCTCTTCCTCGAGGCCGAAGACGCGTCCCGACCAATCCGGCTGTACATCAACTCGCCGGGCGGGAGTGTGACGGCTGGCCTTGCCATCTACGACACCATGCAGTACATCACAAGCCCCGTACACACGTTCTGCTTGGGACAGGCGGCAAGCATGGGCTCGCTCCTCCTCGCAGGCGGAGAGAAGGGCAAGCGGTACGCACTGAAAAACTCGAGCGTCATGATCCACCGTGAGTAGCGCTATGCTGAGGTGATCGCCTCGAGGAACCCGAGAGATATCTATGGCAATCGCCGTGTGCGTCATAGTCGCTGACGGCAGAACCGTCCGGCGGGGCGAGCGGCCAGGCATCAGACATCGCGCTCCACGCGAAGGAGATCCTGAGGATACGCGCCGTGCTTACCGACATCTATGCGGAACACTGCCAACGCGATGATGAGACGCGCGATGCTGCGCGCGACCGTTTCGGTGAGTCGAGACTACGCGGTACCACGGCTGTCCGATGGCCGAGGACGAGTGCTCAGAGGCCGTGGGGTCACCGTACCCGTAGCTCGGGCCGTGACGTTATGTCTTACAGAGCCACCCGTCGGGCGAGTTTCGTGCCGAGATTGCGCTCTCGGCTCGTCTGAAACCGTTTGGCTGTCGTTGCGACGAGCCGAGATGTTTGAGTTGTGACAACTCGGTCTCGCAACGCATGCCCCGCTCGTGTGGTCCTGGAGGGGTCGCTAACAGCCAGAAAAGGCGCTTGAGCGTGACTACTTCATGACGGCAGCCGAGTCCGTAGAGTTTGGCATCGTAGACCGCATCGTCGAGCGGCGCGCAAAGGACGAAGCCGAGGATGAGCCAAAGCCGTCCGAGGCACAGGAGGGGGAACAGAGCAGCTAGACTTGCATTGTAACGGGTTCGCCAGCAGCAATCACCACGCGCCGACATCGTTTGGGTCGACCGGCGAGTGGAGCTCCCCTAGCGTCGGTGTGACACGCATGCAACAACCCCGACGCGAGTGTTCCTGGGTCCGAAACGCGACCCAAAAAAACTCAATCACTAACATCTGACGCGCGCTGACATCTGACATGCCACATCACTTGCTCCGGCTGCTCCAGATCTCCTGCAACTGGAACACTGGAACTGAGCATGTGTAGACTCGGCTAGGGGTGATGTGCAGGGGCACGGAGATCGCAAGAGATATGCTCATGCGCATGCACGTTCTGGCCATGCCGTCAGCCGTGCCTCAACCTTGCCCCTGGAGCATCACACCCACTTCGCGACGGTCCATTGTCTTTCATCACTTCGCGCTCACTGACGCGCCCGCTGGCCACTGATGCGCGCATCGCCTCTGCGCACGGCAGACGCTTCGAAGCACATAAAAGCGCGTCGCGTCGATCTGATGCACTTCATCCACTCTCCTTTCTTTGTATACTACTTCCATCTAGCAGGCTAGATGACGCACCTCTTCCCGCTCCTTACCGCTCTCCTCGCCGCCTCCTCGGCCGTTGCCTCGCCTGGTGCGGGGTACCGTGCCCACGGCAAGCGCCGCTGCGCCGCTAGTAGTGGTGCGACGGTCGCTGCAACCTCTGGCGGGCCCATGGCCTCCGTGGCTACTGCCGCCCCCTCCATCGCCAGCGCTGGGCCTGGCGGAAGCAACGTCTACGCCGCGGCGGGCGACTCGCTACCCGCTGGCGGGTCGGGCGTTGCAGCTCCCAGCGGCGCGGCGGCGACCAACGCGACCGTCCCGGCCTCATCCGGCAACACGACGGTCGTTGCCAACACTGCCTCTGCCGGACGACCTGTCTTCGCGCACTACATGGTCGGCTTGACGAGCAAGTTTGACCAGGCTGCGTGGGAGAAGGAGATGACCATCGCCAAGTCCAAGGGCATCGACGGCTTCGCACTCAACATCGGCAAGGACCCATACAACAACCCCCAGCTCACCAACGCGTACTCGGCCGCGCAGGCCGTTGGCTTCAAGGTGTTCATCTCCGTCGACTTCAACTGGTACAATGCTGGCGAGACCAATGAAGTCGGCGCGCAGCTCAAGCCCTACATCGGCCTCCCGGCACAGTACATGGTCGACGGGCAGCCGCTCGTCAGCTCGTTCGCGGGCCACGACTTCGACTGGAAGGCCGCGAGCGCCGCCGTCGGCACCGAGCTGTACGCCGTCCCGAACTGGCTCCAGGACGGCGGCAACAACATCCAAGGCGCGCCGGGTCTCGGCAGCGGCAGCCCGCCCGAGGAGGTCACGCGCCAGGGCACCGAGGAGATGGCTAAGCGCGGCGCCAAGGGCCTGTTCTCCTGGCACGTCTGGCCGGGGCAGCCGACCAACACGCCGATCGGCGAGAAGCTCGGCACCGCGGCTGACGAGAAGTATCGCACCTTCATGGGTAACGGGACTTACATGGCTGGCGTGTCGCCGTGGTGTACGTCTCTCGAGAGGGCAAAACTGACGAGCAGTCTTCACCCACTTTGGCTCCGAGGTGCCATACCCCAAGAACTGGATGTTCAAGGGAGAGACCCTGTGGGTCGACCGCTGGAAGGACATCCTCGCGCTCGGCGACAAGGTCAACATGCTCGAGATTGTTACGTGGAACGACTACGGCGAGTCGCACTATGTTGGACCGCTTGACACCCCTTGGACCAGTGACGGCTCAGACTTGTGGGTCAAGGGCATGCCGCACGACGCCATGCTCGACCTCGCCCAGCCGTACATCAAGGCCTTCAAGGCGGGTGCTTCCGAGCCTACTGTTGAGCAGGAGGGCCTTGTGTACTGGTACCGCCCCACTCTCAAGGACGTGAACTGCGACGCCACGGACAACACCGGCTCCAAGCCGAAGGGATGGGAGTTTGTCAAGGACTCGGTCTTCGTCGCCGCCATGACCAAGGCGGGCGGCACACTCAAGGTCACGTCGGGCAACAAGGCGCCCGTGTCCCTCGAGGCCAAGGGCGGCGTCGAGGTCTTCGAGGTGCCCATGGGCGTGGGCGAGCAGTCCTTCGAGCTCACCACCGCGGGCGGCAGCACCAGCGGCAAGAGCAACCTCACCATCACCGACCAGTGCTGGGAGAGCCGGCTCGGCAAGATCTACAACTACAACTTCTACTCCGGCATCCTCAACGTTGGAGCTTAGAGCTGTAGTGCACCATAGACATCTAATCACGATCTTACAATGCGTGCTGGCATGCAATATGAATCCCCATACAAACGGCTTAGTCGCTGTCGAAGAAGTCGTCCGCCTCCTCCTTCTCCTCGGCCTTGGCCGCCTTGCGCTTCGTGCCGCCAGCGGTTCCCGCCTCCACGACCGCCGCAAGTTCCACAGGCCGACGCTCCCGCTCCACTTCCGGCGTGCTGCTCAGCTTGCCCTCCTCCATCAGCTTGCGTGTCTCCAGCAGCATTGTGAGCCGTGTCCGCTCGCTCTTCTCCATAACGTCCGACAGCTCCGCCTGAAGGTACTTGGGCACCTTAAGCTTCTCCTTGTCATCGCCTTCCTCGCGCTTCTCCTCCTTCGGGAACAGCGAGATGTACTTGATCGTGTTTCTGGTGTCAGCATTTGTCAACTCCACTCATCGCTCCTTCTCAAGTGCCCTCTTCCCTTGTCACATCCGTCTCGTCCGGCAGTGACTCACGGATAGTTCAACACGTAGTTCAGCATGACGCGCGCGTCGCGCAGCTCCTGCTCCGCCTTGGCCGTCTTCTTGGCCTTGCCGTCCTTCTCCGCCTCGGCAACTTTACGCTGGGCACGCTTGATGATGCGCCCCAGCTTCTGCCTCTCGAAAAACTTGACGGCGTGGTACTTGGCGCCGTTCTTCTTCTCGACGTCACGCTTCTCGGCGGCTGCGAGGTCGGCTTCCAGCGCAGCAACACGACGCTGCGTTGATATGCGGAGCGATGGCTCGAGGTTTTCCTGCTGTCAGGGACTTGGCTCTGGGAGCGTGTTATCAGATCGTCTCGACAATGGATGGGGCCAGTGGGCATGCGCCAAGATGACAAGCGAGGCTCTCTTCATCCCCCATTGCATCCTGCCCAGCTATCCTCCCCGTCTTCGTCAAGCAAGCTGAACTCACCTTGTTCAGTAACCGCTTGGCTTGCCGCAGGCTCGCCTTGATCTTGTTAACGCCAGGCAGCGCATCCGCACCGCGTTGTTCCAGCGCCGGGATCTTGAAAGCAGGAGCTGAGGACGGTCCCGCCTCCGCGTTCGTACTTGTGCGCGCCTTCTTGCGCTGGTGACGGTCGGCTGGCATTATGTCGTGATGTGAGCGATGTCAACAGCCAGGTGGAATGACGTTCAGAAATTTCATTTGGGTGGCGGCTGACCCCTGCCTCCACTTCGCACAGATAGCCCCATTGGGAGTTGCTATATGACGCCCTTTAAGAGCAAACCATACCATTGTATTTTCAAGAGAGCGTACCTCGACGTCAGCCTACGACGTGCAGCAGTCGTAGGGCAAAAAGAGCAGGAGAGAGAAGGATATTCTGTTTGTGTATCAGACGGCGTCGCAGGGACCAACAATCTGGACTGCCTCGTTATATCAGTCGGTAGATTAAATGACTCTTAATGCGGACTCTTAAGTTCCGGTTGATCATTCGGTCGTGGGTTCGAGCCCCACACGAGGCTTCTCTTTTGGCTCATGTTCCCCCATCGTTCCCTTCCTCTCGTACTCAGTGCAGCATCTTGTGCGACACTGCGTTTGCAAGCCCAAGATGTGCTAGACGAATTTTGACAGGCTTTTGATATAACTTTCCTCTCTTCAGCTATGCCTGATGTGATTCTATACTCAGATGAACTTTCACGCCAGCGGTCAGGTCTGACATCGAATAGGGGACTCAATCCCAAACAGGCGATCGAAATGCGCCTAGCCGCCAGACAACCTAAAGTGGTGAGGTCGAATTGCACACATGCCTCTGACTCTTATCTAGTTCAGCAAAAGTTCTGAGGAGTCCATTCTCGATCTGACATGAGGCCACAATCGCTCGGGTACTATTCTATTCGCATCTCTCACTTTGCCTTCGAGACACTGAGAGCCGACGCATTGTGCAGGGGTGAAGAAAGGTGTCGAATCATCTGTTCCACTCTTTTCTGACGCTCGTGAATGTACAGGCAATGCATCATCAATCACTACTGCTGGTTCTTACGTTGAAGATTCTTCCTGAACCGCCGCCGCTCCTCACCGATAGCGCCTGACCCGGCTGCATCGAAGAACGGTACGTCTTCCCATCTCACACCTGCCAATCCCTCATCGGGCACCCCACCTCCGGGTACGCGTTCGCGCCAATCCAGCATACCGGCTGGTGGTAGCTCGAAGGCTCCATTTCGTACCAGCGCCGTCGCGCGCGCGAGAGTGGCAGGCGGCAGCGGCGTCAGAAGCTGGAGCTGCATGCGCTCAGCGAATCGCACAGCACGGACGAGTGCGTGGCCGAGACACGTCGCGTCCTCTGGTGGGATTGACCCCTGTTGGTACGCCGGCCCTTCTAACTCCGGCGCCTCAAGGAGCGCAACGAGCGACCCGTTGAGAGCGAGTGGCAGATCTCCGGGAATCACGTCCTCGGACCCCTCCCCAACCAGGTAGGCGCGCTTTAGCACCCCGCCCTCTCCGAGTGTCACCGTCCAGGGACGCTGCGCGAATAGAGGAACGGACACGTCCCATCGCCCACCGAGGCCAACGGCATACAGGTACGACAGGTGAGCGACAACACGCATGTCCGCCGCTGAGTACCGCGCCTGGAGCGGAGAAGCTGGCGCGGGGGCAACGGAGAAGACCTGGGTGGGACTCGCCGAGGGAAGTGTCCCTCCGGAATGAACGATGGTGCCTTGTGATTCGTCCCGAGCCTCCTCCTCGAAGGCGAAGATATGGGTCGGCTCAGATGCCACCTCGATCGCACGCATAAGCTCCTCGCCGAGCCCACGCGTCCAGCCCTGTGTATTGATCACAAGGGGAACGACGTCCGTCCGGCGCGCACTCGTGCCTTGTAAAGACACAGGTGGGTGCTGCACCTCGTACTGGTAGAGTTGTATAGCAGCGTGCACAGCTGCCATGTACTCATCGGGGCACGGCTGTGGGCTCAGCTCGCCGAGATACATGGCACGCAGTGGTTCACGGGGGTGCGTGAATGGTGGACCTGCTGTTAGCTCACCTCGACCACCTCGACTCACCGAGTACGGGTGCATCGAGCAGCCATAAACCCACGAGGCCACCCGGCCCGAACTCTCCCTGCCCCAAGTCGCACTCAAGCCATGCAACACGAGCAAAGTTGCCCAGCAGATGGTTGAGAGCTGCTCGAGCGAGGGATGACTTGCCGCTCCGCTTTGGTCCCTTGACGACCACCACGGGGACTTGCTCAGCCAGCACTTCCTCGTCGTCATCGTCATCCACGGCGGGTGCTTGAACGAGCGACTCCAGGGCCTGGGTCCACGATGGTGGAGTAGTATGCGCGTACACCGGAGTGGAGTGGGCAGTGACCTGATGTCAGATCACATGAAGCAGCATCGCATTTGCAACTCACCGGATGCACGCCGGCAAGGCCCCAAGCTCCCCTCTCCCCCGCCCAAATGTTGTTGAAGCCAGGGACAACATCGCCAGTCAAATCTTCGATGCCGGTGCGATTCTCTTGCACCAGGAAGATGGCGCGCGACGGGTCTCGCAGGAAACCCTTGGGAAGCTTGATTTCTGCGAGCGCAGCTGCACACACCAGCTTGTTTGAGTCAATGGACGGAGCAATGACGGGGACTGGGTGGCACGTCGGCGCAAAGACAGGGTAGACCTCAAGGTCGTCATCAGCTGGATGCAGAGTTGTAGAAAGGAGGGATATTGAGTGTTGGAGAGGGATGAGAGCAAACGTGCCCACGATGCCGAGAGTCTGTACGGTCAGAACCAATGCCCAAGCGAAGGTTCTTACCTCGTGTGCGCCCAGCGAGACAATCACGGCCTGGTCTGATTTCAGAACGTCCGGCAAAGCGTCCCCGTTCAGCCTAGAAAAGTTCACACCCTCCTCGGGTTCGAACTCGCTGGTGTATGGCCGCAGCTGGATGTGGCTGTGGTCAGTTTGAAAATAGCATTCAGCTCTCACCTCGACCTCTGTCCCATATCTGGCCCCGGGCTGGGGGCAGTCGACCACGGGGTCGCAGCACCATCAAAAAGCGGCCCCTCCTCGTCACTGCTTGCGTCATCGCCCTCGTCCTCTCCGGACGAGTCATCGCTCGGAAGAGGGGCGCCTGGCGAGTATGCCCGTGTCCTTCTTGATTTGGGCGCGGTCTCCTGCTCGACCGGTTTTGGAGCGAAGAATCTTCCCTTTTTATTTCTGGGCTGCTCCTTCTGCACCTTCTGATCCCCGTCCGTCTTGTTCACGCGGCGCTTCTTGTTCACGGGCGCCGCAATCTCGACCTCGATCTCCGACTCAGATTCGCTGGTGATAGACGGCGAAGGGCTCGCGCTCATGCGCTTAGACGGCTGCGCAGCCTCCTGAATATCCACCGGTGCAGTCGCCTTGAGCTTTGCCTGGGCTGCGCGGCGAGCTGCGAGAGCGGACATGAGCTGTGGATGTCTGGAGGGAGTGTGTGGAGGGCAAAAGGCGGCGCCGGCGTTGAGCGACAGAAATTGTTGATCTTCGTTCCTGAACGCGGGGACTCCGCAATTTTCAACCACATGGCTGGCGAGGAAGGAGATCGAATTCGAGTCGGCCACCTCTCCCGCACTTGTCGCTGCTCGATCTCCTCTCCTCCCCATCAATAACTCCTCTCCTCTTCGTTCTCAAGGCTCAAGGGGCATCAGCTCACATTCATGTCTGACAGAAACCTCCGCCAGGCCGATGGCCTTCTTATGAAGGTCCACGACCCCAAGTCTGGCCCCGTTCTCCCCAAAGAGGGCGAGCATAACGTCCTCATCACGTCCGCCCTTCCTTGTGAGACCAAGCCACCATGCCGTTTTCGACTGCCGCTGACAATTAGACGTTAACAATGTCCCTCACTTGGGAAACATCATTGGCTCCACGCTTTCCGCTGATGTGTTCGCGCGTTACAACCGCACAAAGAACATCCCGACCCTCTTTGTAAGTCTCTACGAGGTCGTGTGATGGATGCGGCACTGACTTTTAACAGGTATGCGGTACCGACGAGTACGGCACTGCTACCGAGACCAAGGCCCTGGAGGAGGGCATCACCCCGATGGAGCTCACCACCAAGTTCAACAAGCTTCACACCGAGGTTTACGAATGGTTCGAGCTTGGCTTTGACATGTGGGGCCGCACGTCCGACCCAGCGCAGACCGAAGTCACTCAGGACATCTACAAGCACATCCACAAGAACGGCTTTTTCCAGCTCGAGACGAGCGATCAGACCTACTGCGAGGACGATGGGCTTTTCCTTGCCGACCGTTTCGTCGAGGGCGTATGCCCTAACTGTGGCTACGACGTGAGTCATGCATGACCTGGAGATCTCACACTGACTTTCAGGACGCGCGTGGCGACCAGTGCGACAAGTGCTCCCTCACATTCTCCTCCCCCACCGAGCTCCTTCACCCCCGCTGCAAGCGGAATAAGAGCCACAAGATTTCCGTCCGTCCTTCAACTCACTCCTGCATTCGCTTGAACGCGATTCAGCCTCGTCTGGAGGATTGGATGCAGAAGGCGCGCGTCAAGGGCAAATGGTCGTCGAACGTTGTCATCACCGACAAGGGAGAGATTGTTGAGCCTCGTATGCTCGGCGAGGGCCTCCGTCCTTCGGCTGTCACTCGCGATCTTAAATGGGGTGTGCCCGTGCCGTCCGTTGGCGACAAGGATGAGGATGACAAGCTCAAGGACAAGGTCATCTGTGAGTAGTCGTAGCTTAAATCCAATTGACCTCCAGATGTTTGGTTCGACGCGCCCATCGGCTACATCTCGATGACAAAGTCTTACACCGACAAGTGGCAGGAGTGGTGGATGAACCCCAAGAATGTCGAGCTTTACCAGTTCATGGGCAAGGACAGTGAGTGTATCTGCGCGATCTCAGCTCACACGCGTCAGACGTCTACTTCCACACCGTTCTCTTCCCCGCCATGCTGCTCGCGGACGGACGCCCGTGGACCATGCTGCACAACATCTCATCCACCCAGTACCTCAACTACGAGGATACCAAGTTCTCGAAGTCTCGTGGCGTCGGCGTCTTCGGAAACAACGCTGCTGAGACTGGCCAGCCTGCTTCGGTCTGGCGTTACTACCTCCTTTCGCAGCGACCAGAGTCCGGCGACACTTCATTCCAGTGGTCCAAGTTCATCGCGTCCATCAACAACGAGCTGCTTAACAACCTCGGCAACTTCGTCAACCGTGTTGTCAAGTTTACGAATGCTAAGTTCGACTCGGTTGTCCCCGGCCCCTCGGACGCAGGCGGAAGGCCGAAGCCCTCGAGCCAGGGTGCTGAGTGGGCGAAGCTCGACGAGGAGTTCTTTGCGGACATTAATGCCAAGCTCAAGGAGTACCGTGACCTCATGGACGCCACCAAGCTTCGTGGTGGTCTCTCCACTGCCATGTCGATTTCAGCCCGCGGTAACCAGTACCTCCAGGATTCAGGTCTCGACAACGCACTCCTTGCCAACCACCGCGAGCGGTGCGCTGAGGTCATCCTCAACGGCATCAACCTCGTTTACGTTCTTTCCGTCATCTTCCATCCCTTCATGCCTAGCACGTCTCGAGACATGCTCGCTCAGCTCAATGCCCCCGCCCGCAGTCTACCCGAGGAGTTCACCATCGACATCCTCCCTGGGCACAAGGTCGGCAAGGCCGCTCACTTGTTCAAGAGGATCGAAAACCCCGAGGAGCAGGAGGCCGCATGGCAGAAGCAATTCGGTGGCCATGACTCTGCCAAGGCCGAGGGTGTGCCCGCTGCCGAGGCCAAGCAGGCGTCGCAACCGAAGGGCGCTGTTGACCACAAGGCGAACTGGGCCAAGTCGGCCGAGAAGAAGAAGGCCGCTGCTGCTGCTGCGAATGCGGCAAAGAGCCCCGAGGAGCGCGATCTCGAGGCGAAGCTGGAAGCACAAAACCTCGTGGTGAAGAACATCCGCACTGGTCGTGGAGAAGGTAACGTTGAGGAGGAGACTGCCAAGGCCAAGTCACTCAAGGCGGAGTTGGCGGCGCTTCGCAAGAAGCTCAAGGCGACCAAGATCTAGGATCCTATAGACACAGGGTATGTATGCAGATGACCATGCTGTCACGACATTCAATCAGGATATCTATCCTGATGCGCCACAATCCTGGGCCATGCTGTAATCCGGCGCATGCTGTAATCCGACGCATCTACCCTGGTCGGCACAAACATGGAACATCCCAATGTGCGTGCCGCACATGCTCCGAGGAGCGTTGCGCGTAAGACAGTGCTCCTATGCAGTTTCCCGATCTCCCGTTGTGTGTCAGCCTTCTCTTGGTGACTGACCTGAGCAACCGATCGGGCTTCAACTCACCATCACCACTCTGACCCTGCGCCCCGATTTCTTTTCCAGATAGCACTGTTTTGCATCCTTGCTCTCCGGTCGACTCAAAAGACTAATTTGTGCCTTCGTCAACTACATCGCCCACGATGGCGGAGTCACTTACGAAGCACGACCACAGCACTCAGCATCCCAGGCGCGCTGCACCATTCCCGGCAGCTCCAAACAGTTTCACGAGGACTCCTCTTCCCCGCCACCTTCCGAATCCTACCCTCCCAGGTGTATATGACCAAGCCAAATCCGCAAGCTGGTACCTCATTCATAGTGGCGCTCAACCGAAGCTGGCGCGTAACGCCTTCGCCGCTGTTTTCCATCTGGCAGTCCTACACTACGCTCTAGACGCGTGAGCCTTTCTGTGACTGCCGACTGAGATAAGTACAGACGCCTACCGCCAGCACCAATCGCGCGTTACACGCCACGAGTGGTATACCATCTCCGACAAATTCATCAACGAAGGCCATGACCAGGCCCTGTTATTCTTCTATCCCGTCGCGCCTCTCAGAGGCTCGCCAAACACATCGCCGACGACGGGACGCTTTCGCCCACCGGCTCGAGTGCGAGTGGAGGCTTGGTGTCGCGTTGCAATGGATGCAGAGATGCGCCGCACAGTGTCGGCGATGCCCGACTCAGCTGGGCCCATTCTCACCCACCTCCGATTGCCTTTTGTGGCGGACTTGGGACCCAACGGCAGTGAGATCATTGTGTGGGAGAGTAAAAACGGGCTGCGAGCCATGATACTGCTGATGCAGTGGGGCGAGTGGGGATGGTACGAAGTCCCCCATGCTTATGCTCGCAGGCGCAACTTCGTCCCAAGTTCGATCGGCTAGCCACCAACGACCTCTCGCCCAATCATACCCTCCACCCCATCTGAACTACCGTAGTAAGCATTCTTCTTCTTAGCTCGTCCAATTTGACGTAGATAGTAGCCAGGCATGACTACTTATTTCTGCGGGGTACCCTCGCCTTGCTGCTTCAGAGCATGGTCTGGGGCAGAGAGGCGGAGATTGATTTCGCGGAGTTCATCATGATGTCCGCTATTGTTGATGGGTTCGCGTCGCGCGTCCGTCCATCTCTCCGCACGTCCGCAAGTCCGCACTAACGCATTCAAACACTTCACCACTGAACGCAACTCTACCTTTGATAAAGTTGCCACCGCTCTTAACGGGCTTGTCGCCATCATGTCGCGCCTCAGCAGCGCGACCAACATCCTGATGGAGGTGAGTGGTTCAGCGCCTGCCGCAGGGAGATGCGAACAAGGCTTCATGGTGACAAGGCAACTTGTCGACAGTCGTCTTCTGATGATATGATGTGAGCGGCGCTTACAATAGATGAGGAAGCTGTTCCAGCACCCTTACCTTGTCGCCCCAGAGATGGACAACCCCGAACTCTCTCAAGAGGAGCAGCACAAGCAGCTCATAGACGCGAGCGGCAAACTATTGTTCCTCAAGCAGCTCCTTCCTCGGCTCAAGGAACGAGGTCACCGTGTGCTGCTGTTCTCACAGGTAAGTGTCATGCTCTCTCGCTAGCTGACGCGATCCAGTTTAAAATTGCCCTCAACCTCAGTTCGTGCCCTCCTCGTCATCATGCTGGATCTAACTTGCAGTCGAGGACTTTCTTTGCGGCGAGGGCTACAAGTACCTCCGTCTCGATGGTGACGTCAACCAGCTGCATCGTCAGAAGGATATGGACAAGTTCAATGCGCCCAACTCTGATTATTTCATCTTCCTCCTGACCACGCGTGCTGGCGGCGTTGGAATCAACCTGGCTTCGGCCGACACGGGTAGGCCTAGGGTAATGTGTTCGTCATCTCATGCCAGTCATTGTCCACGACCCAGATTTCAATCCTCATCAAGATCTGCAGGTGTGCTGTTCATTCAGCAGCTCTAACGATCACAGGCCATCTCGCGCGCCCATCGCTTTGGGCAAACCAAGCGGGTCTTGGTGTTCAAGCTAATGATGGAGAACTCGGCTGAGGGTACGTCAAGTGCTCTAATGATTGCTACAACACAGTGCGTATCATCAATAGCGGCAAGAAGAAGCTCGTTCTGGATCATCTTGTTGTGCAACAGCTGGGCAAGGACCGTGAGGAGGGCGAGTATGAGAACCTCATCCTCTATGGTGCCGAGGATATCACCAAGATTGACGAGGACGCCTCGGACATGCGTGTCTGGACGTCGAAGATGATTGACGATCTGATCGACGACGCCGAGAAGGAAGCTGAGGAAGCTGCAAAGGCGCAGGAAGAAGCCGACGCTGCCAAAGCCGTTCCCGTGGCAGCTGACGAGGCCTCAAAAGCTCGCGGCTTCTCGTTCGCCAAGATCTGGGAAACCAAGGCTAAGGAGGTTGCGGCGCCTGTCTTGGACGAGCCGGAAGAGGAACCTGACTTTGATGAGCATGGCTGGCTGCAGTTTCTTCAGCAAGTGGAGGCTACCGAGGCAGCCCAGCGAGAGCAGGCTCGTGCCGTTGCAGGTCGCCTGCGCGCATTGAAGAAAATCAAGTACAACTTGGAGCGGACCGACTTTGGCGACACCAGTCCGGAGAAGCAGAAAAAGAAGGGGAAGGGCAAGGAGAAGATGCAAACCGCGGTTGACGACACGGACGGAGATGACGACTTCGTGCCCCTTCCCGAACTCAGCGACGAGGACGACATGGACACACCCGGTGGCCCGACAGACCTGGAAGATCTTAGCAATGACCAGCGTAGGATCATCGGTGGCATTGCGGCTGGTCAGCGCAAGCTTACCAAGCACGAGCGAGCGCTGCTTAGAAAGTGGCACAGCCTCGACGAAAAAAGGCGCGCCGAAGCTTCAGCCAGCGCGTCCGTACCAGCCGCTGAGTCAATGCCCGTCAATATCCCGTTGACAAATGTTTCGTCTGCGACCGTTTCTCAGGCAGAGCATACTTCACAGCAGGTGCTTACTCCTCACCTTTCTGCCTCTTTGCGGCACGGCGCGCCCCCACCTGCAGCCGGTCCTGGCCCGGCAACTGCAGAACAGCGCGCTCTGACTTCCGCTCGCCCGTCACAGTCCCCACTTGTCGCAGCGGCAATCGCGGGCGAGCTCATCGGTCGCGTGGCGAATGGTGAGGTTCTCACCATGACTGTTCCTCCGTCGCACGGCGAACAAGTGTCCTCATCGGACCTCGTGAGATGGCCAAGCATCCGTATGATGGCAGAGCCTAAGCACTCAGAGCTCATTGCCTCTGGGCGAGCGCTTCTGATAGCTCTTTATAGAGCCCTTCAGGCCACCGACAACCCCGTGGGCTATTCCGCAGACTGGGGCGAACTCGTGAAGGTAAACACACTCACTGCGACTCGCAAAGACCACTACGTGAGGTTGGCCAGGGTTGCAGACCAACATCGGGCTACAACGCAGAACAACAAAGACCGCAGCTTCTCCGCAATCGACGCGGTGGGTACGGCCTTCTACTTCATCGACGCCCTTGCGCCAATCAACCCACCCCCGCCCCGTCCTCCGCCCGTGGCCCAGACTATGCACCCTCTCACCATTCATCACCGTCCAGGGCCAGCAGGTACACTCGCGTCATCCTCAGACTCCATTGCACCCGCTCCGTTCGCGACTCACTTTTCGTCGCATGGACCGCATCTCTCCACTTCAGCATGGGCCCCCGCTGGGTACTACAGCTCAGCAATTCCGCGACCTCCACCCAGTATGCCACCTTACCACTCGCTGCCGCAGCAGCACATGTCCCTGCACGTGCAGCATCCGGGGACGGGATCTGTTCCGCACTACAATGCCCAGCGCGCCCCTGTTGCGCCTATTCGGCCTGCCCCACCACAATCTCAAGCCGTCTACTATCACCAGCCACCAGAGTCCCGGCAAACTCGTGAACAACCTTTATCGTCGCAGTTACCGCAATCTTCTTCAGCGCGGTGGGCGGACCAACCGCATCCGTCGATCCAGTCCCATCAGCCTGCACCAGCTAACGCCCACCTGTCGCAAACACAGCGGCAGGATGTACTAGGGCCATCTTCGGTGCAGGCATCTGCTGCGCCTGCCCGTCCAGTGGATCTACGGCAACCACGGCCGCAGGATCTACCACAACCTTCTTCAGTGCAGACCCCAGCAGCGCCACCTCTGCACGGGACATCTAAGCACGCCATCATTCACCTCTCAGGCGGCCCGGTCAAGGACAGTGGTGCTCAGCCTGTTGTGCTCAGCGCAATGCAACTTGGCGACTCGTCACGGTTCGACCCACAATTCCTTGGCGCACAGTCTGAAGAAGCGGATCATGGCTGTTACTGGTGCCAGCAAGACCACCTACTTCGAGATTGTCCAGCGCTTCTCTCACTGGAGGACATCGGTATTTACCGAAGAAATATTGAGGCCAGTGACGAGAGCATTGATGCCAAGGTAAGCATAACCCAGAGCCCAAGCTGATCCAATCAGGAGAGAGGTCTTCGCGCGCTTGCGAGAATGGAAGTGGCCCGAAGGGAGCGTGACGCGATCTACAGTCGGAGATCCAGGAAGAGGGCGAGCGACCACGACGGCACAGCGAACGATCCTATCGAGATTGACTTGGAAGCGTCTCGCTCACCCTCCCCGGACACTGGCCCTGCCTCGAAGCGTGCACGAGTTGAGCCTACCTTCCAAGGTTGTCGAGTTTGCAACGGCGAGGTTGCACACGCTCTCGCCGCATGCCCTGTAGTGCTGGCCGGTGCCGACTCTATTAAGCGGTAAGTCGCCCTTCACTGTTCCTGCACTGACGGTAGTGCCCTGGGGAATTTTGACCCCGGCTCGCCGACGCACGACATGTTGTTGAAGTTTCTTCGAGCAGCCGAAATCGGAGTCCCGGCTGGTGCGCTGGAGCCGTGCGCATACTGCAACACATCGTGCGGCATGACCGTGCGACAGTGCGCCGAGGTGCGCGGCAAGCGCAAGGACCTCAAGCATAAGATTCGCCACATTGACGAGCATGTCCTTCCCAGCACCGAGGAGCAGCTCCGCGTACTCAGGAGCCGCCGCCTAACGACAGCTGATTGGGAGCTTCCAAGCCTAGAGCGTCAGATCGCCGACACCGAGAAAGAAGTCCACAGACTAGAGCGTGTTCTTGCACGCCTGTACGAGGCGTACAGTCAGTGGCCCAACCTCAAGCGACCAAGTGACGGGAAGGGCGCTCTTGGGAGCCCCGATGGTGTGCAGAAGACATCGTGACGGACGTGCGCGTCGAAGCAGCGGCTATGCCGCAGCGTACATGCGTTTGAGTCGAGTAGCATGAGTGACCAAGCGTTCACGTGCTTCCCCCTTTCCTAGTGCACGGCTACTCATGCCCATTGGTGTGATCCATCTGATCTGTCTGTGCCCAAGGGATAAAGCGCTGAGGTTATAAGTGGCACTACAATGCATCTAGGCTGACTCGTCCCCCGATCCAGGTCGCGTGATGAGATGACTATAACTACTTCTGTATTGTGTTGACCAGCCTGGAAAGTTAGCGCATGTAGTCTGATGAGCGAGCAATGCGTCCAGTAAGGGGAAATCGTGCCAAATCTGGCCGTGCGCGGGCAGATGTTCAAGGGCCACTGTTTGCACCAGTTATCCTCATGTCCCCACGACTGCCAGGCTGCAGTAGAGGGAACTCGCCATGGCGCGCCGAAGCGGCGTGATGATGTCTTGGGCGCCGCTTGAGCCAGAAGGGCGCTTGCCATCACGCGCTAGCTCTGTTCGAGACGAAGTACCCGCACACTCATTGCTCGGCATCCGTCGCGTGTCGCCGAGACTCCCCCACACTCCGCACCGATAGCAGACTCACCAGTCAAGCCCTTCCTCGAGCCCCTCGCCCTTTGTCGCGCAGCTCCCGCGCACGCTCCACTCGCGCCCCTTCTCCTGCCCTGCGAGACCAAGCTTGTCGCTGATCTCGGCGGGTGAGAGCGCGCCGGCCATGTCTTGCTTGTTGGCGAAAACAAGCACGGGAACGTTCTTGAGCTCCTCTTCGGCGAGCATTGTGAGGAGCTCGGAACGGGATGTAGGCAAGCGGGCCGTGTCGGCCGAGTCGATCACGTAGATGATTGCCTGTCGTCAGCGGTGCGCGGGGCGTCCACGGCATAGGGCGCACGCACTTGTGTGTTGGCGTAGTAGCATCGCCAGTATGGCCTGATACTCGACTGCCCTCCGAGGTCCCACACTTGGAAGTTGATGTTCTTGTATGAAACGGTCTCGACATTGAAGCCAATGGCTGGGCGTCAGTGGAATCAGCAGGAATACGCACTGGGGATGGTAGATACGACTTCTCCAATCTGGAGGCGATAGAGGATTGTTGTCTGGTGTGAGCTGAGCCACATGAGGGCGCGGAGCCTGCTGCTCTGCCGATGACAAAGCCGGCTCCAAAGCCAAGAGTGGCGTGTTGACGCACCTTTCCGGCAGAGTCCAGCCCAACCATGAGAATGCGGACCTCCTTGTCTTTCCCCCAGAATGCGAGACTCGACAGACTAGTGTAGATGCGCGAGAGAGACAAGCCCATCTCGTCAGGTGTTGATGGCGGCGACGGGGAGGGGAATGAGGAGAGAAGGTGGAGGGGGCGCGCCAAGACGTTGTGCGAGCGGGCGGAGCGGGGAATAGGCTGTGGTGGGAGTGGGGTGTCGCCTTGTGTCGAGCAGGCCACTCGGAGTGCGATGAGTCGATGCGAGCGGTGGCAGAGATGAGAGCGTGAGCGAGTGACAGATGCCAGAATGAGTTGAGCGGCGACGGCGAAGACGAGGAGAAACTCGACGAGCTGGGCGCGGCGCCCGCCCCGTGGCACACCTGGACCTTCCTCGCCCTGGGCCAAGCTCATAAGGGTCTGCTTCGGCCCTGAGCTCAAAGGCCAAGACTCTATCCTAATGCCCACGTGGTGTTGTAATTACGCCTCCTAAGAGCAGCCAAACAAACAAGTATTTGGGCCCCACGGTGGAGGAGCGGTGGAGGGCAAATATTTTGGTGTGGCTCACCCGAGCTCATCACCGTCATCTCATCACTTCGCCCCACTGCCATCACAATCATGTCCGACGAGCGCCAGGAGACCAAGGAAGAGCGAAGGGCGAGGAGGGCAGCTAAGAAGGCTGTGAGCTATACCTCTGCATCTTGCAGCTAACGGCAGGAGAAAGCCCGCGTGGCAGAGGCTGAATCTATCACCGTCAAGGAGGACGTGATGGAAGCTAAGACGAACGCCGAGGTCGCGCCGGAGGAGACAAAAGAGGAGCGCAAGGCAAGGAAACGCGCGGCTAAGGAGGTTGGTTTTTACCTTAAGTGTGGGTCCACTGACCACAGGCGAAGAAGGCCGCGAAGGCCTCCGAGGACAAGAAGTCGGTGGAGGAGGGCAAGGCGAGCAAGGATGGCAAGGAGCAGAGCGACACCAAGAGCAACAAGGAGAAGAAGCGGAAGCGCGACGAAGGCGAGGTCAAGGCGGAGGCTCAATCCAAAGCCCAGCCTCCCAATAAGAAGGCGGCGCTCGACACGTCGGCGCCAATCTTCGCGGACGAGAGCTTGTCCGATCAGGCCAAAAAGGGTACGTCGACTCGAGCCTCGTTGGCTCAGCATGGCCAAGCTCATTCTAGCTATCCACTACGCACAGCAGTTCGGCACACCCTCTTGGAAGTTCAACAAGGCGCGACAGGGGTGGTTGCTGCGGCATCTTTGGGGCGGCGAGATTCCTGACGAGCACGTCTCCACGGTCGTTGCCTACCTGAAGACAGTGCAAGGCGGGGTGCGGGGAGTGAGTTGCGACGGCTGGTTCGAACCTCGTTATTTGAAGCTGACAATAGGCGCTGGCGACCAAGGCAAAGGAGTACGCCAGAGAGGAGGAGGAGGTGAAGGCCGACGAGGAGGCTAAAGTCGAGGAGGCTACAGCGAAGGTTGAGGACGAAAGCAAGGACGAAGGCGGCGAGGGCGACAAGAACGATGTCCAGGAGGAAGCCGATCCTGCCGACGCTGAGGAGCGCGCGCGGCGAAGGAAACGCGCCCGCCAGCTCCTGGAGGCGATGGGTGAGACTTACAACATCTAGACATTCATCATGCACAGTGTACGTTGCGAGTATTTGCGCCTCGCGGACACGCGGCATCTACGGCCGTAAAGTATCAAGGGGTTTAGTGGGATCGCATGGCATGGCAACATGATCTAATATACATCTCTACTGGGTCTAAAACTAATGGAAGCCACCCATGCCCATGCCCATACCCATGCCACCCATGCTCATGCCACCCATGCCCATGCCGTTCACGCCGCCCATACTGCCAGGCATGGCACCACCCATAGCTCCTCCCATTGCTCCGGCCATGGGCCCGCCGCCCATGCCACCGCCACCCACAGCCCCACCGCCCATTTCAGGGCCGCCAGCGCCGGTGCCGGCGCCGCCCATGCCGCTCATCTGCGCGACCATGAACTGCATGAGCTCCATCTGGTTCGGCTCGCGCCCCGTCGACGCACGCCACGCCTCGCCAAGCGATGCCCAACTCCCCCCGTCACCGGGGTTGAATGACGCCCAGTCAAACGTTTCGAGCGTCGCCCCGCCGCTCCGGCCCAAGCCAGCGCCAGGGGGCTGGAAGTTGCCAGGGGCACCACTGCGCGAAGGCTCGTCTCGCTCATGAGGCATGTCGCGGGACAGCGAGCGAGGCAGTGAAGTGTTGGAGCTAGGTGGTGTGGGGCGAGGCGGTAGTCCGTCGGGTTTGGGAGGTAGCGTGCCTCGCGCCTCCTGGCTGCCGGGGCGGTCGTGGGAATGATCGCGGTGTCCGTGACGGGCGTCGCCGCCACGGGGGTCGCGGGGCCCTCGAAGGTCGGGTTGGAAATCGCGCTGTCGTGGGTCACGGCCACGCGGCGCGTCACGCGGATCATGCGCTTCACGATCGCGGGAGCCCAAGTCTCGATCACGTCCGTAATCGCTGTGCTCACGCTCACGGTCGCGGGGATCCCCACGATGTTCGCGAGGTGGGTATTCCCGTTGCTGCGGACCTCTCGGATCGCGATCGTCCCTGTAGTCCCTTGGAGGGGCGCGGGCGCGGTCGCGGTCGCGGTCGTGTGCATCACGATCCCAACTCCCGCGTCGTGGATCGTGGTCGCGCAGATCACGCGGGTCCCGAGGACCGCGGCGGTCGTCCCACTCTCGTGGGTCCCGGTCCCGCCGACGCTCGGGAGAACGCGAACGCTGCCGTTTTCGGCCGTCACGACTGGCGTCGCGCGACGGGTGGCCGTTCCGATCACCGTTGGGGCGAGGTGGTAGCGACTGCGCAGGCCCAGACGCATGGGAATACTGAGCGTGTGGTGCCTGCTGCCCGAGTGTGGCACCCAGGTTAGCGAGGGCTGCGAGACTCGCGGTATCGAGGTTGGGGGCAGACGGTTTCCTGACATTGGCCAGCACGGCGTCGAGCGCCGGGTTGGACTGCCTCCTTCTTGTTAATCTCACATCGTCTGACCGCCACAACACTTACGATACTGGGGCGGACTGTGGCTGGGGGTCCTTGTCCTTGACACCCAGCATGGCCATGATCTCTGGGGGAAGCTGCCCCTGCTGCTGCTGAGGTGCAGGGGAACGCGATTCAGGCGTGCCGCCCATGGTGCGCGCGTATCTCTCGATGAGGTGGAACGGTGGTGGTTCAACAGGTGTCGTGGAGCGTGCTACGGTCTCAGCTAGTGCAACGGAGGATAGGCAGGGAGGAGAGCACGGCACCTGGAAGGGCCAGCTAGCGTGCAAAACGGATGCATGCGGTTGGCGCGCCTACAACCGAGTAGATGTAGATACGGGGAGCGGCGAAGGACAAGCTCGTGATGCTGTGCTGTGGCATAATTGCCCGTTGTCTGGCAATTTTGGTCAAGCCTGGCCAGAATGTGCGATTCACAATCTGCACAAGGCGTCAAGTCAAGATATTTACCTGTTTTTGGTGCTACCGGACCCATCGGCGAGCGCGATCCAGGTGTTGAAGCGGCAGCGATCCGGGCCGCTAGCTGACTGACACAAGAGTCGGGGAAGGTCGAGCCTTTCCTCCAAATCTCAACAACTTTGCGAGTCTTGTCCTGCTGGTCAGAGCGCACTCTCGAGCGCTGAGGCCACACTCACCCTGCCATCTGACCAGACACCGCCTTTGCCATCGTCGACCATGCCCTGGATCCACTCGTCAACAACACCCTCCATTTTGGCGAGAAGACTGGCAGGATTCCCGCGACCACGCTCTGTTGATACTGATGTGTGAGTTCCCTTGGATGCAGCCTTTGCGGCGCGCGCGATCGCGTCAAAGACATAAAGCGAGCTGATACGCGCGGTGCTCGCTGGAGGCAGAGAAGTGTTGAGCTTTAGCAACGATGTTACCAGGTGGTGATCATGGGCCACTGCCTTGAGGGCTAGTTCCTGAAGATCCTTGACCTTGCTGCCGGAGAGACGGCTGCTCGTGACCGTCTTTTCCAGCAGCGCGTCGAACGCCTGGGGTGAGTTGGACACGATGACTGATGCTCACCTTGAGGAGGTCGTTTGACATGCTGGGATGGAAGATGTGTTGATTGATGAGGTCGGTGGCCAAGACAAACCAGTGTCGACTTGGATGGAATGGGAGTGTGCACCGAGCCAGGCGGAAGGAAGGGGGGCATGTGAGGATATTGCCGCAATACTTCCGGTGTGGCAGCGGAAATGAGGCGATGATGACGTAGCCAGGTGCAGGCAGGGGCCGGAACGAGGGGTGAGATCGGCGCGCGTGGCGGACGGCAACGATGATGCGCATCACGTTGAGGAGGAGACTTGAACCGCACCACGCTCTCTGCCTTCTTTACTTCTCATCCTCCCAAGCATTCAACTCTCGCTTGCTTTTCTCTGCTCCTCCTCTACACATCTCTTTATCTTTCTCCTTACCCCCACCCCTCGCGAACATGACAGTACGTCTCTCTCTCTCTATCTCCGTTTGAGTGGCGCTGACATTAGCTCTACTACACTCGTACGCCGGCCTTGGTCCAATGGTGACCAAGCTAACCTCAGTGTGCTTCGCACTCCTCATGGCCGAGGTGGGCCTCTTCACTACAATCATTGCGCCTATGCCCTTCACCATGCGCAAGCGGTGAGTGCAGCAGCTCCTCGGCACTACTGACCTTCAGCCTGATGCGCTTCTTGAGCGACAACCCAATCATCGCCAAGATCCAGTATGGGGTGAGTCTACCTTGCTTGATAAGGGAACTGCAGTGTCGCTGACCCCAGCTCAAAATCACATTCATGTGCGCTCACTAAATTCACCCCTACGCTACCGACGGTGCTGATACCAGTTTCATCGCTGTCCTCTTTGTGGATGCCCTCCAGCGTATGATCCGCATTGCCCAGGAGGGCGCAAAGGCGAAGGCGCAGCCTGACATCACTGACGCGCGAACTGAGATGGCCTAGTGAGTGTTCATGAGTTTCTGATACCGAGCCGATGCTAACTCTCAGCGCCGCTCGCCGCTTCTACGCCCAGCGCAACCGTGAGTAGCTTTTGTGCACCGCCTCGTTGCACTGGTCGCGGGAAAGGACACCCTGGTTCTCGAGTTTTGGCCGATGTGGACTTGTCGAGCAGTCGTGCTACACGTCCCATGTTTGCGAGCTTTTCGTCCGTCGGGGATCGCTCGCATAATCACTCGATCGAGTAACACCGGCCTTTGGCCTTGGATCTTCTGGCTTTGCTCATCTTTTGAAGAGCTGCTAACCTTTAGTCTACCTTACTGGCGCGACCCTCTTCCTCTCGCTGGTCCTCTCGCGGGTCTTCTACATTCTCCTTGACTTCATTACCACCCAGGAGCAGCTGAACGCCCTTTCGGTCAAGACAGCCAAGGGCTCGCAGGCTGCTGGTGAGACCGAGGAGCTCCGCAAGCGCGTTCGCGAGCTCGAAGCCGACCTCAAGGTCTCGCAGACCCAGGGACGCGACTTTGACACGCTCAAGAAGCAGGCGTCGCAGCAGGCCCAGGAATACAACCGTCTCGCTGACGAGCACGTTAAGGCTGTGAGTTCAAGCGGAATCAAGGCGGATGCTGCAAGTGACGAGTACACGATGCCGGGCGGCATCGGGGGCTGGGCGTCGTGGGCGGCTTCGTCGACTGTCCGCCGCCGCGGCAATCGCAGTTGAACGTGACGTGAAGATGAAGACGACGATGAAGATGAAGATGGCAAGAAGAACGCAATTGACAGACCAGACCGGCGCAAAGTCGGACAAGAAGTTCGACTGAGCCAGCACCCGAGCTCGAGTGGCCAGCAGGCGAGGATGGCCCTGCCTCGACGAGGCTGCCCTTGCCCTCGACCCACTGAAACGTACCTGAATCATTAGTCATGATAGAATTTAAATGTACTTGATTCGGTGTGAATGAACGGGTGTGAGCGTATGCCTGACTACGACTCTTTACTGACACATCGCCGACTCGCGATGCATATTGCGTACGATGGACGAAGCAAAGGACGGACACAAGGCATCAATCGCAGTGACACCCAACGGTGGTCTTACCTCGCGACAGCACCCAGTCATGCACTTCGTTTTATCTCATCTGTCCAGATCTTGTTTTCTCGAGCACTGCTGAGCTGCTGCACTGCTGCAAGGGCTCCCCTATACCACAGATCCGCCGCCACGTGGGCACGTGCTGATTACTTTTCGATTCCCCGCCTTCGGCCCGTCAGGTGACTGGGTCGCCACGCTCAATGCCCACGTACAGACATGATCACAGAGTGCATCACTACAGTGCGCGCCAGGAGCGCGTGACTACGAGGAGGAGCCACGGCGAGGCGGGCGGGCGTGTCGCCCTCCCGTACCCAAACCTAGCTGCCTTCACTGAGGCGAGGGGGGTTGACGGGGACTCGTAGCTCTGGCTGGCGCTGAGCGTAGTGTTGCTTCGGACGTCGGCGGAGATGTGGAGTTGCGTGAAGTTGGTGATGAGGGTGGAGGAGGGTGAAGGGAAAATTGACAGAGAGGAGGGAGCGGCGCCGTAAAGGCGAGGAGACGTCCCATAGGTAGATCGCGCGAGTGAATAGGCGCTTGCAGAGCAGCTCGCGAGCTGCGAGGCGTGACGGGTTCGAGGAAAGTCGAAGCGCGAAGACGCATAGGGTATATTAGAGGGGAGGGTTGAGCGGGGCGTGCTATCGTAACCGGGATCTTGAACTTGGCTGTGTTGGGAATTGGGAAGGGAGGGGACAGACGCAGAGAAAGGTGAGGAGGCAGAATTAGATAGAGACGTGAATGAAGGGGAGAGGGACCATTGTGGGGGACGAGTGCTGAGAAGGCGACAGACGAGGAGGAAGGGGGTCGGGGTGCAAGTCTGATCACCGGTGGCGCGATGAGGCAAATTCAAACTTGCAGTGGGGTGATACTGACCAATATATGTGGCGCGTTTCGTGGCGCGCCACATGTAACAAGCAGTCACGCATCCACGAGACCGCTACCATCCAACCCTACGCCTTCTTGCACACGTCGCTTCTCCATCGCTGAGCAGGACAGGGGACCTTGACACTGTTGGAAACGACCACATGGTCGTCGACCAACCTCAGGAGCTGGCTTACCAGGCCCCACTGCGAGGGTCACGAGCGTCCTTGCGCGTCTGCGAGCGCAGCTGGCGCTGCTGCGGCGAGTCAATGGCATTGTCCTGGGTGGGGGAGATGTGGCGAGGGCCGCCCATCTCCATGGTGCGGAGTGTGCTGCGCGGCGACCGCTTCGAGGCGTCGTCCTTGGGAGGAGGAGGCTGCACCGACCAGTCGAAGACGTAGTCATACTGGAATCCCTCACGAACGAAGAGATCGCGGAAGAGCTTGCGGAGGTACGAGTAGTCGGGCTTGTCGTCAAAGCGAAGCGAACGGCAGTAGTTGAGGTAAATGGCGAACTCGTTGGCGAAGCCCCGGCAAAGAATGTCGGTGGGAGTCGTCATCTTCTTCTCCATGATGCGGTCGTACTTCTGCTTCTTGGTCGCCGCCTTCAGACCCTGCCATGGAAGCTGACCACGGAGGAAGTACATAAGAACGTAGCCCAGAGACTCGAGGTCGTCGCGACGCGACTGCTCGACTCCCAAGTGGGTGTTGATCGAGGTGTAGCGGGCAGTGCCGGTAAGATTCTTGTTCTCGCGGTAAGGGATGTGCAGGTGCGTCTTAGGGTCCCGGTACTTCTTGGCGAGGCCAAAGTCGATGATGTTGACCTGGTTGCCCCTCTTGCCGATGCCCATGAGGAAGTTGTCAGGCTTGATGTCACGGTGGATGAAATTGCGCGAGTGGATGTACTCGACGCGTGAAATCAGCTGGTCGGCAAGGAGCAGGACCGTCTTGAGGCTGAACTTGCGGTTGCAGAAGTTGAAGAGGTCCTCGAGGGACGGGCCACTAGAGGAACGTCAGTCCTCCGCAAATGGGTCTCGCTACACAAAATCAAACTCACAGCAGATCCAAGACCATGGCATTGTAGTCACACTCAGTGCCGAACCAACGAACAAATGGAACGCCGACACCTCCGGCGAGCGACTTGTACACCTTCGATTCGTACTCGAGCTGAGGGTGCTTTGCCTTCACTGACTCGAGCTTGATGGCAACCTCCTCTCCGGACACAATGTTGACACCGAGGTAGATGTCACCTAAGACGGTTAGCCGACTCAACCTCTCGCACAATTCGGGCTCCATCGCTGACACTCACCAAACGAGCCACTGCCGATCTTCTTGCCAATACGGTACTTGCCGCCAACACGCAGGTCCATGGACGTCATTTTGGCTGTCAGAAGAGGCCTGTTGTTTGTCGGCGAAGAGACAGTCGTCCGCGCGTTGAGAGGTGCGAAGAGAGGATGTCCAGAAGGGGTTGGGGAGATGAGATGGGTAGGGATTCGAGCGGCAGCAAGCAATACCAGTCGAGAGGGCCATTCAAGGAACACACAACAATGGGACGGTGGCGTATAGAAAGGTCGGTGCGCACAGTCGGTAGCGCAATTGGGTTGGATGGAAGTGATGACAAAAGGGGAAGTGATGATCAGTCCCCGAGAGAACGAGAGAGTTCAGTCAGCACACAAATATTCACAAGAGACTACTCCACGTCACTCCAACACTGCCTCAACCCGGGAGTGCACTCCCCGAGGACAAACCGGTGGCGCGCATGCATGCGCACGGGCATGCACAGTCTCCACTCTTCTGCTACGCGCTGCGGGCGGCGGCGTGGGCAGACAGAGGGTCGAGGCGGTGCTCGCGACAGTGACACAGGCTTGTTGGACCTACCTTAGGTTGAAGGTGCTTGGTTATAGTGAAGATGGATGCTCGTTACAGTGGACGCGCACAATGATTGAAGGGAGGAGACGAAGGTGGGTGGGAAGAGTGTTGAGGGAGAGGGGATAATGACTGTTGTGTGTGGATGCGGGTTCAAGAGGAAAGCGGATGAAAGGCGGGACGGCCGACACGGAGCGAGGTGTGTGTGTGAGGGTGGTCGGTGCGTTCAAAGGTTGAGGTGATTGTGCGGGGCAATACGCAGTCGCGAGTCACAGCAGTCGAGGAGCCGATGCGTAACGCGGCGAAAGGTGGAGCCAAGTCGCGAGGTTGAATGAGTGGGTTAAGGATTTAACCAAGGACGAGGGGATGTTGGTAGGAGAGAAATGAAAGAAAGGAAGCGAAGTGTTGAGGAGATGTAGGGGCAGGTGTCAGCCAGTGATCCGCATATGAATTATGTGGGTAGAGAGAGTGAGACGAGCCCTCTAGTCGAGCATGGCGCGAAGGGGACGACGGTGGGCAGCATGGTCAAGCGCAAAGGAAGCGCAGCGCATCTCGCGTTTTGATGGCTCACCAGCGGCCAACGCCCACGAGCCCAATTGACTCGGCAGCGCAACGGGAAGCAATGAAAGGGGGAGGGGGCGTAGAGGTGGATGAGGTGGAGAGGGGGAAGGGGATGAAGGATTTGACTCACGAGGTGTCGCGGCGTTGAGCAGCGAAGTGGGAGGGAGGTGGAGATGGAGAATCTGCAAATGTGCAGAGATGTGCGTGAGAGATTGATGGCGAGAGAAGAAGGAGAGATGGAGAGAGAGAGAGAGAGAGAGAGATGAGTGGACGGGAGAGAGGAGGGAGGGAGTGATGAAGAGTTGAATGCACAAGTTGAGTGGAGAGAGGGTTGATTAGATCGTGGCTGTCGAGTACGCTGGTGCGCTGGTGTAAAGCCTGGCCTGCTGCCTGGGTCGCTGGTGCGCTGGCTGGCAACCTACCTGGGGTTGGATGCTGCGATCGGCTGCGGTCCCTAACGGGGGCGGGGCGCGGGGCGAAGGGCACAAGGGGGAGGCGCGGCACGGCACACGCACAATACTCTGCCACCATGCCTATCCCCGCTATCTCCGTAAGACGCCGCGCGTACGCGTTCAGCCCAGCTCAATGACGCCAGCTATGGCGAGCTACGGCCTACGCCGCATGTCCACCTCGTACAGGCCACTTCATCCAGTGCCATCATCATCTAGCGTCAACTGCTACTGATTTACGACTCAACACTCATCTCCGCTCACAACAATGGTCAGCCCTTCCACCCTCATCTTGTTTCCAGCTCACTCTCCAGTCGCTCCGTGTGGTGCCCCCAACAGTCAACAATGCTCGCGAAGAGTACACCGTCTCCACAAAGGTATGTCAATTCACCTTGCTCATGGCTGCGTTCTGCGTCGCGCCGCAGTTGCCGCACTTGCTGCGGTTGCGGGCGCAGGTCTTCTCCATTCGTTTAGAATGGCTAGGTGCGCTCGCCGGTCACGGTATCATCGTGCCCAATTCGTTGTCGGGCCGCCGTCGCCATTCAAACTCATCCCCCCTGTGCTGGCATCGAGCCTTCCCTCCCCAACTCCGTCAGCTGACATGACAGGCCACAAACCATCCTCTGACGGGAACGCATGATGCTTTCCGCTACGGACCATCATCTGCAGCCCAGACGGTCGCCGCAGGCAACGCTAGCCCCCTCCAGGCGCGTCTTGAGCAGGTAAGGATGGAGCGTTGACGCACTAGGCTCCGACAAGGCTCTAACATCAGTGGGCGCAAACCCAGGCGCAGCTCCGACAGACTCTTCAACGCCAGACGTTTGGTATGAGCGTGCCTCTGCGGCAGGCGATGGAGGTCAAGATTGCCAAAGAGGTAAGTTCACCCACCCTCCGCCAACGCATACTGACATCGCAGGAGCTGCACCACCCCGCCTTGCTTTCCGCCACGCCTTCTGGCCTTCCCCTCGGCGGGACACACAACCTTGCCCTCGAAATCCTCCAGGGCCATGACGAGGCGCTGGACGCGGCCGACTTTATGAGCGGTGGCGCGGATATGCGCGAGATCCTTGACGTCAACGCTGTCATGGAGCGCAGCCGTCGCATTTAGATGAGTCGTGGCATTGTGTAGAGTGACTCATGCATTGTATCAACAGGTCCTGCAAGATCGGTAATCTGTGTCTGCTATGATGTGGTGCTGGCTGACAAGCACAAGCTTTTGGAGCCGATGGACGAGGTCCAGGTTGGAAGCGATGCTATGCGATGGAGGTGTATCCATCGCGAGTCGTGCGCGGAGGGGGAGCGCCCCCGCTATCGCCGCCGAGCCGGTAGCCGCCGCCCCCGAACGCTCCAGGAGGAGAGGGGTCGTGGTGAGCAGGCGCACTGTCGCTGCCGAGGGGTTGCCCTGCTCCCCCGCCCATGCCCGCTGGCATCCAGGCTAGCATCAGCCGTGTTCCTCTTATATATATTACCAGCTGGTGCAAAGCCCTGGCTGCCCCACGCAATCTCTCCGCCACGGTTACGCAGGCTCGTCAGGCCGCCCATGTAGATGGGCACCTTGAGGCACATGACGATGAACGCCACGATTGTCCTGATCGTGAAGCCGTTCCCCAACAGGTTGATGAAATCAAACAGCCCCGTGAACACGACCATAGTAAGGAAGAACTGTTGCGGCGCGGTACTCGTGAGTTCGAACGATACCACCCCGAAAAGCTGTTGTCAGAGCTCGTTATCTGTGAACAGCGGAATTAGACATTCAGCGCCGCGTGGCCTCTGCACCCGACATCATCGCCGCTTCTCGAACGCCACACCATACGCTCTGGGGTCCCAGGGTGGTCGGGAACACAGCTGCAAGCTCCTTCTACAAAGTGGACGGCACACCGTCTCCGCGGCATTGAACAAGAACTCACCATCAGGGGGAAGTTGTAGGAGAACGCCGGGTTGCCTGCCAGGATGAGGCTGAGCGCCTGACATCAGCGCCGTCAACCGATCACGCACAGCTCCCATGCGGACGAGCGGAATCGCGTCCATTTGCGCAAAGCGATCGAGTCCGGACATTCTTGGGCGAGATCAGTCGTCGTTGGATGCGCAGATTCAGTGAGATGGGCGACACGTATAATCAAGGTTGCACGTTGCACGCTGTTCTCCGTCTCCACGATCTCCGTGGTGACCTCCACCTTGGGGCCTCGGGCCAGGCACGACCCGAGTCTCAATCCGCCACCCACCCAAGGAAGCACTCCATCTCCGCGCTATCGTTGTCACATCATCATCACTCACCATGATACGCACACCATTTGGGGTGCTCTCTTCTCTTGCAGGGTGTGCCCTGGCCTTTGCTCTTCCTCGGCAGCAGGACGAGTTCCGCGGCGCGCCCGAGCTCCCCGTCCCGACGCGTCCTCTCGATTGGGGCGATGTCAACTTCCTCAGCACCTCTGATACGCATGGTGAGGCGCGGACCGTCAGGAGCTAACATCAGGCTGGCTTCGGGGGCACCAGCACGTAAGGCTATGACTGGGGCGCGCTGACGGCAGAACACATGGCCTGAGCCAGTACGCTGGGTGGCAAATCACGCTAACTCCAGAACTATTCCGGCGACTTTGGCTCATTTGCGAGTTTCGCGAGCCACATGCGTGCCAAAGCGGACGCTGATGGCGTCGATCTTCTTCTCGTCGACGCCGGCGATCATCATGACGGCTCGGGGCTCGTCTCGTCCTCACCCGAGGCTGCCGGCTTGACGGACGATATCTTCGGAATGCTTCCTTATGACGTCCTTGCGCTCGGCAACCACGAGCTGTACAAGTACGAGGCGGCGCGGTGGATTTATGATCGCCGCGAGCGGTGGTGGGTTATACGCGCGGGCGCTTCTGATAGCAGGAACGGTCGGTTCCTCACCTCCAACACTAACATTACCGTCGAAGAGGACGGAAAGGTGCTCGATGTGCCCATCGCAGACCGCTTCGCCAAGTTCAAGACCAAGCAGTATGTCCCGCACTCGGATCATCTGACGACAGGGGGCGCAAGGTGACCGCGTTCGGCGTGATCTTCAAGTGTAAGCTGATGGTGGGGGGGGGGGAGCTGACGCGCAGTCAAGGCCCATGACCGCAACATCACCGTGCAGGCGCCGTCAAAGATGGCCAAGGAAGCATGGTTCCTCGACGCGATCCGTGACGCTCCCGACTACTTTGTGCTTGTCGGTCACATGCCTGCGCGCGGCGAGACGTCCGAGTGGCTGCCACTCTATGACGCCATCCGCGAACAGCACCCTCTCGTGCCCATCTTCATCTTTGGCGGACACACCCACGTGCGCGACTGCGTGCAGTATGACGGAAGGACTATTGCGTACGTCAAGTTGCTAAGGAATGACTAACAGATCAGTGTTGTTCCTGGACGTTATCTCGAGACGATCGCTTTCACCTCGTGAGTGGCCGGGGCCAAGCCATGAAGACTCGTATCCCGAAGAAGACTGATGGCAGGTCCACTCTTCCCCCAGCCGAAGACGATGGCAAGGCTCTTCGTATGAACCGGCGGTACATTGACGCCAACGAGGTGTCGTACAGATGGCACACCGGAACAACGGAGCGCTCCTTCAACACCGCCCTGGGCCTCAACATCAGCGAAGCTCTGTTCACACTTGCCAGCGACCTCAAGCTTTCGCGTGTTTACGGCGACGTGCCGCATGACTACTTCCTCACTCGCCATCCATATGGCCACCCACGCTCCATCATCACCGTTTTCGAGCGTCAAATCCTTCCCGAGGCGCTTGAAGACGAGAAGCGCCGCGACTACCCGCGCATCGTCATCGGAAACGCAGGCAGCCTGCGATTCGACGTTTTCAAGGGCACGTTCGACAAGAACGACGAGCTGACGGTGTCTCCATTGTGAGTGCCGCGCGTCATAGCTTCTGCCGCATTAGGGCCATTCATCTGATGCCAGCACCACTTCGTTCTTCTACACGCGTCTCAAGCTGGGCGTCGGCAAGGCGATCGCGAACGAGATGAATCGTGCCGGCGCGTCCAAACTGCAGCCCATGAGCGCCCAGGAGGAGGACGAGGCGCACGTTCAGCGCGTGTACAACGAGTGGCTCGCTGCACAGTGGAACACTTACCTGGAGAACGGAGGAGATGAGGCCGATGTCTACGAGGAGAGCGATCAAACGCCACTTGGTCGTCCAGTGCCCCGCAAGCCCAAGACCCTGGGTTATGTCACTCACGACGCATGCCCTGGTAGAGGCGACGACATTGAGCACATTCCTGTGCCGTTCTCGCCAAACCAAGTGTAAGTCGGCTTGCTCGTCGACCCCACGTCTCCGGTGCTTTCCTGTTTTGCTGCCACCTTTGTGTGCTAACCACAGCGACTTTATCTGCACGCCCTTGAGCGGTGTCTCTGACAACGAGGAGGTGGACGTCGTCGTCATGGACTTCGCGATGGACGACTTCCTCGTTGCTGCACGCTCGCTCCGCCCCGACCTGCGGCTCAATTGGAACGACTTCAAGCCGTATGCCGAAGGCACACTCATCAACGCTATTTTCAGCAAGTACGCCAAGATCGCGTGGTAGACACGAAGACACGACGAAGAGGATGAGCCGCGGAATGCCTCCATATTCACAGGGGATAGCCACACTAGTCTTCTTTTCCCACTTACGCTAACGATGCATGTGTCACATACGATGGATATCAGGCACGTGACAGTCTCCTGCAGAAGACTGAGAGACTATCCTCACGACAGCCACATATCGGTGTCACTCGGCTCACCATCAGCCTCAATCCGCCCCATAGTTTCGGCGTATGCAATGCAAATGAATATATGTCACTCCCACTCCCTACACTCCCTAAACCCAGTCACTCGTCTCCTGAAGGATGCGGACCACCTCCTCCAACCCCGCGAGGTCGTCGTCGTCGAATGTGCCCAGGGTAGTCGAGTCGAGGTCCAACACACCGACCACGGCGTCGGTGCCATTCAAGCGCAGAGGCAAAACAATTTCCGACTTCGTCTCGCCGTCGCACGCTGCTGTCAGACCTTGTCCGTGGCCAACTCCTACTCACCAATATGACCAGGGTACGCCTCGACATCCTGCACAACCACGCCTTTCTCCCCCACGAAGGCGTCGGCGCAGACCCCTCGCCCCGCCTTAGGCGTGATGGTCACGCATGCAGGCCGGCCGGCGTATGGCCCGAGGACGAGGTTCGCCTCGCCTGCCGGGCGGATGTAGAAGCCGCACCAGTTGACGACGGGCGTCGTGCCCTCCTGCAAGCCGTAGAGGGAGGTGCCGAGGTACGAGTGGTAGAGGAGGGCGGAGACCTGCGCCAGATTGGACACCCAATACCGGTGTCCGTCGAGAAGTGCACGGAGCTGCTCGTGGATGTGAGCGTAGAACTCCTTCTTCCTTCGACGTCAGCGTGCAACGCGGAGATGGAGCTCCCTGAGGAGAAGAGCTGGGCGCTTGGTCACTCACGTCGTGATTTCTTCTGGAACAAGGCTGGAATCTGCGTGAGGCATTTTGAGACGTGTTAAGAGATAGTGTAAAGATGAGATGGATGAATACCAAGTTCCACGAGGTCAGAGATGCCAAAGTCTACCTAGTGACAGTGATTCTGACGCGAATGAGCACACCATCAGATCGGTGGGTATGCAATCCTCAGGCACTTGGACAGGCACCGGAAGAGCCGGATGGAGTCACGTGCAAGATAAGGGTGGAGGTGTGGAGGGCGGAGATAAATTCATTGTCCGTGGTGGTCATTATTTATTTTTGCTTCCATGGATATGTACGGTGGGGTGAGCGAGGCACCTCCGCTCGCCCGCGAGCCGCTCGAGCCTGGTGGGAGGCAATAGGCAACAGAGGGGCACTGCAGGCACTGTCCACTTTGTCCCCCACCCCGCCGCCGTCGTCTCAATCACTCTCCTCATTACTCTCACAACTAGACCCAGTCGTTCCTTCCATTCTGCTTTCGGCACTCCTCTCCATTACTTCTATTCCCCTCTTACCCCTCCGCTTCCTCTCTTCAACGTCCTCACCTCGCCCCTCGCTCGGCCAAGACTTCTCTCTCTCTCATCTTCCCAGGCTGGCCACAGCCGCACCATCACACCCCCTCGTCACAATGCCGACGCCCCGCCGCTCTGACAGAGCGTCCGCTGCATCCACTCCTTCTCGTCTTCGTGACCTCTCAACCCCTCAGCCCCATCACCACCGCACAGCGGACGAGATTGCTCTTGAAGAAGCGGCTGAAATCGTTCACCAGGTGGAAGAAGAGGAGGCCACCCCCGAGGCACTTCTGTCCCCTCGTGCCCGCCGCTACGCTGCCATCTCGCGGAAGCGCGGCGTGAGTATGGACCCGACACCGTTGTCGCTGGCTCTCTCGCCACGGGCTGCGGCAGAAGAGCTCAACGGGAAAGCTGCCGAGCTGGGTGACAATGCGATCGGATCCGAAAGCGGCGAGGAAGATTCTTCCTCCCGCAGCAATGGCGGCTCCCACTCTGACTCGGATTCGTCAGCCCATGATTCCAATTGGGACTCGGACGACTCGGCCTCGGACTCGGACTCTGACGCGGACTCGGATGACTCGAGTAGCATCAGCAGTGATGATGATGACGAGGAAGAAGCGGAGCTCGAGCGTCAACTCGCCGCTGCTAAGGCTGCGGCCGTGAAGAAGGTCACCGCGTCAAGTTCCAAATCTTCCGAGGGGAGTTTCAATGCCCTCGGAGAGAATGACGATGGCGAGCTGCGGTTGGATAGTGACCAACCGAAGGACGCGTGAGTGGCAGTGTTTATTGTGCATCACTAAATTCTGCAGACCCATCCCGGACCTCAGCGTGCCCAAGCTTCCCGCACGCCACCTGTCTCTCGCCGAAGATGGCACAGCATTCGCGGGGGAGGTTGAAGCCGGACCCTCTCAACCTCGTGCGGAGCCGGAGCTCGATCGGGGCAAGTATGAGCGCACCCTGAGCAAGCGCGAGAAGAAGGCGGTATGTTTCATGCCGTGTGTCGCTGTGTGCGCCCACTGACGTGACAAGCAGCCCAAGAAGGCATCGGCATCGGAGTTGTGGACAACAATTCCCGCTCCACGCGACGACGATCTTCCTCAAATGCGCAAGGACTACCAAGCGCTTCACTTGTCTCACACTCTCGACCCCAAGCGGTTTATGAAGGGCGGGAACAAGGCTGGCAGGGCGCCTGAGCGCTTCCAGGTGAGCTGCGACGACCGGCGACCGCTGACAACAGATTGGTACCATTGTCGACGCCCCGCGACAGCTCCAGAGCACCACTCTGCGCAAAGAGCACAAATATCGCCCGGGTCAGATCGTCACGGACGTCGTGGGTGATGCCGATGTCGGGACATACGCCAAGCGCAAGTTTGAGGAGCTGCAGAGCAAGCGCATCTTCAACGGGCGTGGCAAGGGGTGGCAGAAGAGGGCCAAGTGGTAGACGTGGTCCAGCGCGCGCCGAGGCGAGCGTGGATTCGCGCCCGAACGCGGGGGGTTGTGGCGGTAAGTCCGTGCATCGTGACAACGCTGATCACGCCCGCAGTTTGCATACATAGACATTCATCGTACGTGTGAGCAGGCGGAGTCGTCACCAAGCCGAGCTGTAAGTGTGTGAGCTGACGCATCCACAGTGCATTGCATAGGAACCTCCTCGGGGCGTCTTGCACGCCTGTAGTGAGGAGTGCGCGATCATCCATTCAGATCGCTCATGATCTTCGATAGTGCCTGCCCAGTTTTGTTGGGTGGGATAGATCACAAGATCGGAAGGGAGTGCGAGCGGTGGCTGGCCTGGCTGGGTGGTAATTGCCGGCGGCTTGTCGCGTGGCTCGAGGCCTGTGGCCCGTAGCCGTCCAGTGTGTAACGGAAGCAAAGCTGAGGGGGTTGCAGGAGTGCCACTGATTCGGGGTTTCGGAGTTAATCCAACGTGGGCTGAATTGAATTGAGTCAGAGCGAGCCGAGGAATGAGCAGGGTAAGCCGCAAGGGCGAGCATGCAGCCTGGCGGGGGTGGGCTGTATAAACGCTGTGATTGGCCAATGAGGCAAGTGCATGTTGTGCAGATTTTGACGGCCTCTGGTCCCGGTCTGGCTCCCTCAACACTGCCTGGCACAGGCAAATTCCCACCCAAACACCACGACACGCTTGCCGTGCTGGAGCCTGTCGCCACCGACGAGCACCACCACAGCTTACCAGCCACGACCACTTAGTTGAGGTCGTGCGGTCCTCATCATCATGGTCTCCGCCTCCTCTCGCCGCGCCGGCCGCGTTACCAACAAGAGCCGTCTTCTCGTCGTACGAGGCAGCGACAAGATCGACTCGGCGGCAGCGGAAACTGTGCTTCTTCAGCCAGAAGCCGCAACCGCCGAGCCATCGAAAAGCCACGGTGTAGGCGCAAAGGGCGTCGAAACCGGAGAACTCTTGGTACGTCTGCATTCGTCTCCGTCTTGTCTATCCAACGAGCATGCATGGGGGGCAGCATGCATCGCGCCGATGTCGTCAAAATGGTCTTCAAAGTCGGTCGCCCGACCGTGGGAACCGAATCCAAGTGCTGAGGGAAGGTGGGGCGGTGCACCTGAGACGGTGCTGCGTCAGCGTCTTGCGCCCGTCCCCCTCGCCTGATCCACTCACCAACACTCGATCTCCTCCACCCTTTGTCTGCTCCGCCTCTCGGACATGACCTAGGCCATCAACATATGCTTCCCCCTCGTCGCCATATCTCCCGGCTTGGATGCAGACTGCCTCGCCCACTCCAACCCATGCATTTTGTTTTGGGTGGCCACCCCTTCTACCCCCTTAACTCCTCACTTTTCCCACCCGCCCATCCCTTCCCTTTCACAGCGCGCACCTCTGCCCGCTAGCGGGTTAGGGAACGTGGCACTTCGCTTGTGGCACTTGGCCTCATTCTTACTACTTGTGCTAACATCAACAGGAACATCATCTCCAAGCAGCATTATCGTCGGCCTCGCTGCTGCATTCCCGTGATGCAAGCAAGCCCGAATCTCCGGCGTCGCGCGACTCGGTCAAGCCCGAGGCCCCCGCCGTGACTCACGCTGCTCTCAACTACCACATCCCCACTCCCGATGCTACTGGCCTTATTGACAACGTCAACTACGCCAAGCTGTACCAAACCCACAAGTTCAATGAACCAACGAATTACATCCGGTTCAGCGACACAGTCGAGGAGTCGTCATGCGGCGCTGGCGGCTTGTCGTACTGCATGGACGATACAGATATGGCGTGGCTCGCGAGTTTCAATGGCAAGGCCGAGGGCGCGTCTGGTGACTCCGGCGCACCGACCTCCCCCACCAACGGCAGAACCGAAAGACGCACGACCAAAGGCAAGGAGAAGGAGAAGGATGTGCCAGCATCGCTCAACATCTCCGAGGACACGTTTGAATACATCATGGGCGTGCTGGAGAAACATGTCGAAGATGCCGTCCCAACCTTGCACACCAACCTTGCTCTTATGCCGACTTTCCAATCTGTCGAGAACCTCTTCGCTCATCCCCTGGCCGCAACATTCTACCCTTCTAACGAGGTTCCCAAGGACCTCCCCGAACCCAGATTATTGACGCGCATGGCGCGCTCTATCTTCCCCCATTGGAAGTCCCGCCGAGAAAAGCGTGGCGGCAAATGTATTATGCCGCAACTCAACTACGACGAGACAAACGACAATGACCCGTACGTCTGTTTCCGTCGGCGTGACGTCCGTGCCGCCCGCAAGACTCGCCGTACCGACAACCATTCGGTTGAACAGTTCCAGAAACTTCAATTCGAATTGCGCCGTGTTCACGACCTCGCCTCTCTAGTTCTCCGCCGAGAACAGGACAAGAAGGCACTGTACATGGCCGAGAAGGAAGTTTGGGAGGCAAAGTGGAAGCTGTTCGAAACGAAGCGGCGCTGGCCGTCCCTCGGTGTCACCAGAGAAGAGGAGGAGATTATCACTGGTCGCCAGAATGGCGCAGCAGCAGCAGCAGCCGCTGTTGCAGCAATCAACGGCCAGATGGGAATGGCCCATCTCGGTGCCGGCCAGAGCGGCAACTCGTCACGGAGCCACTCGCGCAAGCAGCTCGAGAAGGACCGAGACGAGCGCGACCGTCGCGATCGTGCGATCGAGGCTGCGCGTCAAGCCGAGCGCAGCAACCTGCCCGGCAAGTCCATGGCCCCCGAAGCTGTACGCGAGCGCCTCCTTGCGCAACAGACCAAGCTCGAGGAGGAACTGGCTCGTCGCAAGGCCCTCGACGCGCACTGGGACGATTACACCGATATCTCCTACCAACCACTGCCATCAACACATGCTGCTCATGCCTTCCGCAATCTCGCTGTTCTCGACCCTGATCACCGATCTGACGAGGACACTGATGAGGACGAGCGCATCATCCATCCTATGGCGTTCCGCATGCGTCGTGCCCGCGGAGGCCGTGTGCTTTTGGATCGCCGCCTTCCTGTCCGGGCCTCTCGCCGTGGAACCATGCCCGCTTCGCCTGACCGCTTGCAGGAATGGTACTTCCCCGACTTGGTCAACAGCCACGAGAGCCGCCCCCGCCCAAAGTCTCTCGATCACGACGAAGATGATCAAGGCAACGATCGGACGGAACTTGGGAAGCGTAAACGCTTGAGCGAGATCTTCCGCTACGACTCCTCCAAGGGCGGTGCCGTCGGCGTCGGCATGGGCATCACCGGCGATGACGACCGGCTGGTCCTGGATGACTTCGACGTCAAGTACATGCGTTACCGCGTCGGACTCCTTATGGCCGACGACCTCTGCAAACTGCATCCCGATGCCACATCTCTCAAGGATGCGCTCGCCGACCTCAATGCTCCTATCGAACTGCCTCGGCCTCCGAAGTTCATCAAGCCCGCTCCGGCGGCAACTCCGCAGATTATGGCGTACTCGATGATGCAGCAGCAGCATCAGATGGAGCAGATTCAGCGGATCAACTTGATGGCGCAGGCACAGCAGCAGCAGCAGCTAGAGCAGGCGCGCCTACAGCAGCAGCAACAAGCCGCTCTCGCCGCGCAGGCCCAGGCTCAGGCTCAGGCCCAGGCCCAGGCTCAAGCGCAGGCGCAAGCTGTCCAGGCTGTACAGGCAACTGCCAACGCCGCCGTCAATGGGGTGTCGACGCCCGGATCGGCAGGCCCAAACGGCGTCGCGAACGGCATGCTCAGTGGCAGGCCCCAGCCCAAGCGCTCTCCAACGGAAGTGCAGGGCTCGCCAGCTCCGTCTCTCCCAACCACCGGCGCGACGCCCTCTACCCCCCAACAGTCGCAGACTCCTCAGCAACAGCAGTTAGCTGCGGCTCTTGCGGCCAATGGGGGCCAGGCATCTCCACAGATAATGAACGGCGCCGCAAACGGCAAGCCATTCGTTGTCGGCCCGGGCGGCGTTCCGGGCGTTCCCACACCTGCTGGCGCGGTCGACCCCGTGCTCCAGCACCAGCGCATGTCGGCTGCGAGAGCTGCCATCATGCAGCAGGCGCAACAGCAGCAGGCTGAGATCGAGACGGCCACACCCGAGATGCGGCGTGAGTGGGCGCAACAGGCGCAGGCGAACGGCTTCGGCAACAACGTTCAGGCGTTCCTCGAGGCTCGCAACCGCGCCCGAGCGCTCAGCTTCCAGAAGATGATCCAGGCCCAAGCCTCAATGACTATCCAGGCTCAAGCGCAGAGTCAGGCCATGCAGCAGGCTCAGATGCAGCAAACTCAGATGCCTGTGCCAATGCAGCCGATTAACGCTGGCAATGTGCAGCCCAACGGCTTCCCAAGTCCTGGCGCCATGACAAGCCAGCTCCAGCTCAAGCTTCCGCCCCACGCCCAAGCGCGTCTTGCAGGAACGACCCCACCCACACCCCAGGCCCAGGCGCAGCGCTCGTAAGCGTGTTGAATGGAGCCTCCTTTTCCCTGCCCAACGGACTTTCCCGCTCTCTACCTCCATATCCCACCGCCATAACACCACACCACTCGTTCATTCAACTTTTTGCATTATCACCCACCGATCCCCCGCATTGAATACCCCGAAATATCAAACAAAGAAGCGTCGTAGTCGAGGATTGAGGAGCTGGAAGAGAGGCGGAGGGAGTCCGTTTTGTGAAGGCTCGTACCGTAGACATGTAGTGTTAGAACGATGAACAGCTGAGCAATAGTGCAAATCAGGGCATTGTAGCGCACGCGCGACAATGTATGGCACGTCCAGTGTACTATTCCGTTTTCGCGATCTTCACTCTTCCGCCATTGAGCTTCTCAAGCGCCTTGCGGTGCTCGTCGACGGCGAGCACGAGTGCCATGTCCTGCACGTACTCGTACTCGCCCGTCTCGGTGTCGAGGTACGCATGGATGTACTCTGTGGCTTGGAGGACCCACGATGGACTCGGCGGGGCGAGCGATGGGGGTGAGTAAAATCGTGGCGGGCGGAGGAAGTGGTCGTCGAAGGCGTGCGTGAGGCACAGCCCATCAGCGAACGGCAGCTCGTGCGCATGCTCGTAGTCCGCGAGCTCGTGAACCGCGACGGCAAACCGCACTATGTCGCGGTACTGCGCCTGGAATATATTTGCGACTTTGACGGCGGTTCGCGCGGCGTCCATCCATATGCTGGATCGTCGGAGCTTGGTGGGCGTGGCAGTGAGCAGCGGGCGCAGGGTATCGAGCGCCCACCACGCGTTGTTCGGGCGGCGGACCATGCGTTCCAGCGCCGCCTGGATCTGCGTGCGCGTCACCGTGTGCGTCGTCACGAGGAGGGGCGAGGCTGAGTCACGCGCGCTCTCGCGCCACGTGAAGCTCAGCAGGCGGAAGTCGCGACCGTCGCGGCCATCCCCCGCGTCCCACGACACGGCGGTCGCGTTGAAGTTCTCGTGCACCACGGCGCCGGGGAGGCTTGCGGCCGTGTCCTCGAACGTCGTGCCCCACTTCGCGTCCGGCTTGACAAAATCGATCCGGTATAGCCACGGGTACCATGGCCGCGAAGTGTCGTAGTTGAACGCCATATCGCCATACACGGCGTGCTGGGGTCAGCGCCAGGCAGTGACATTCCACGACGCAACTCACCTCGCTCATACTCGATTCAGCCGGGACTTCGAGGTCGAAGTCAATCTCGAGCCCGCCCATCAGCTCAGTCACATCGGCCATCCACGCGCGGCGGGCATTGTCCTCGGCCTGCTGCGGCGAGATGATGGCGTGCCACAGACTATCCCATGCCAGGCCCATCATCCAGCCCGCCACACTCTGCGCCCTAAGCGTCAGTATTCTGCGGCCCTTCCGAGCTAAGGGGCAGAAACGCACATAGGATGCTCGTACAGCATGGCGACCGCAACACTGCCCGCTGTGATGAGGGCGCAAACGACAATAGACCGCCACATAGGAGCTGCCATCAGCTGCGCCATTGAACAACCCACAGTCCTCCGTTCGCGTGACTGGCCCCACGATCGCAATGAGGTATTCCATGAGGTTGCTGGCCTCGCCGATTTCGGCGTTGCGCACCCGGCTCGCCGTGATCCGTCTCTTGACATCGCGCGAGTACTGCTTCCACTTCGCGACGGTCTTAGCGGCTCGCCGGCTCTGCTTGGCCTGCGAGACCTGTGACGAGGGGACGGGGCGGCGGCGCCATGTGCGATAAACGCGCCGCGGATACGGAGACGTCGGGCGGGTCCGCGCGGCCTCAAGATCGGGCGAGGCGACTCTGTCGATCTTGTCCACCTGCATCAGCGCTGCTGCGGGCGCGCGTACGGGGTGTGGAGTGACCACGGCCGTGGCCTCCGGCGATGGCGTTAGGGGCGGTACGAGGAGGAGGCTGCTTGGTTCAGCGGGGGGCAAGGGCTCATCCTCTAGGCCGGGCGAGGTCGCGGGCACCCCGAGCAGCCCCGGGTCCAGCTCGGGTAGCGCCGCGCTACTGGCCTCTGGCGACACCCCAGCGGGTGGGAGTCTCGTCGGGGCGGGACATGTCGATATGCTCGTATCAAGCAGCACTGCAGTCTCGAGGCCTGGCGCGCCTGATTGCGCCTCCGGCTCAGGTTGCTCGAGGCCTGGGCTCGGGGTGACTGCTACGGAATGTGGTGCCGACGACATGTGCTCAAGGTTGTTGGTGACGTGCGCAAGTTTGGAATGGTGAGAGGACGAAGCGCTTCTTGCACAGGCCTGCTTCTTGTTAGGTCGTTGCGCCGCTCGGGCCGCCTTGCTGGTTGGCATAGCTTCGCGTCTGTTAGTTCAATGCGCCCTGCATGAGTTGTCTCGCACACTCCACTCCTTGCTTAGTTGCACGAACAGCCTTCTTCGCATTTTAGGCAAGACTTTGCAAAAAATACACCCTATTGTGTTGTGCTCTATGCGTGAATATTGTACATTGAGTAGCGCCTACCATGCACACGCAGATGTTGCGACACCTCAACACCTCCTCCTAGTCATTGTTCAAGAGGTCAGAGCCTACTCTTCTTCCTCTTCCTCCTCCTCGATAATCTGTGCCGGGGCTGCCCTAGTTGCCGGTAATCCACGGCGTCCGACATCGCGGCGGCCCGAGCCCGAGCCTGAGCTCGAAGAGGACAACATGGTCCCCGATATGCCAGGGGGCGCGGAAGCGTCCACACCCTTCTTCTTCCCCGACGAAGCCGAGGTGAACCTGGACGCCGTGGGTGTGCCGCTTGTCCCGCCAGTGTCAAATGAGGTCGGGCGCACGCTCGCCGAACTCCACTTCGTTGAGGCGCCGTAAGAAGACGCTCCCTGACCCAGCCCACCGGCAAACTCGTCGTCTTCGGACACCCACTCGTCGTCGTCCTCTCGCTTGCTGAACACATCACGCAGCGGCGGTTTGCCGCGCCCGATCGGGGCAACGCGAGACAGTGGGGAGCGCACACGGCCCAAGTCGTCGGACAGCGATGGGCGACGGGGGCCAGCTCCGTCGTCTTCGCTGTCGTCGTCTCGCCCTATGATAGATGACGCGCGCGACGAAGCGTTAGAGCGCACGCTCGACGCCACGGAGTTTGGTCGGATAGACTTGGCCTCATGCAACACCTTTATGTGTCGCACCCGCGTGGAAGCGGAGCCGGACGCCGAACGTCTGTGGTAATCGTGTAGAGGCGAGGCCGGCGGCCCAGTGCGATATCTGCTGGAGCCGTCACTGTGGAGTGTCGGCGAACGGATCGAGCTACGCCGGCTGCCGCCGCGACGCGAGTGAATTGACCCCGCGCGACTGGGGACTTCACGCTCAGAGTTCGGTGTCTCAGTGCCGGTACTGCGCGCACTGCGGGCGGACCGGCCGCTCGTTCGCCGTCCAAGATTGGCATGGTTGAGCCCATCATGAACGTTGACAAAGAACTCGGGTGGTACGCTGTTAGATGCTATTGACGATCGGCGACTGTTGACACTACTCGAGCGGCGAGAGAACATCGGTCGCGATCCTTCGTAGCTAGTGCGGCGAGAAACCGAGGGCGGAGCCATTCGACCCATAGCCGGTCGAACGCTCCGTGTCGGAATCACAGGTGGTGATTTGTTGGCGGCCATGGCCTCGCGCTTGCGTCGCCTGCGATCTTCGTTGAACAGGTGGCGGAAGGTGTTCCATATCGAGTCCTTCTTGACTGCTGGTGGCCCATATGCAGGCGTCGCTTGCTTCAACGTACTTGCGTCTGCGTTCTCCGTCGACGGCGCGCCAAAGCTTCGAGATCTGGTGGGTGACATATCTGGTGGTGTGCCCTGATTGTGCTGGCCTGAAAGGTTCGCCGTGGCGAGGCTCAATAATGTTGGGTCGCTTTCGCTCTTCGTCATTTTCGGCATAAGCGGCACTCCGAGCTTGCTGGTGTTGCCCGCCTTGGTGGGCGAGTCGCCACGCTTGAGAGCCTCTGCAGCTGATTCCGGAGTGACAGTGCGCAATTGACTCTGCTGCCCGTTCTGCTCTGAGTGCGGAGATTTGTCCTGAACGCCATGCGGAGAGTTCGAGTCCTGGGCACCCGGCTTGTGATCAACGTCTGTCCTTCGGATTCCAGGGAGCAGCATCGAGGTCGCGCGCTGCAGCATATTGATGGACTGAGATCGTGCCTTAATTCGTGGCTCCTTTGACGGCGACTGCTCCGTGTGGGTGGGGGATGGGGCGACAACCGTCGCATTGGACGTTGGTGGCGAAATCGTCCGCTCGAGCTGATTAGACTGGCCCGAAAGAGCAGAATGTGCAGACTGCACAGAGTGCGATGACAGAGGTCGTGGTGGATTAGAAATAGATGGAGGGAGGAGCAACTCCGGCGTCTTCATATTCGACCGCTCTGGAGCAAAAGAGGAGGTGCGTGGGGCCGGGCGGTCGGTTGAGGCAGGCTCCGCCGCAGCGACCGCTACCTTATCGGCACGTTCCTTCTCCTCCGTCTTCCTCTTCGACCTCTCCTTCCGCTTCGCCTCCCTCTCTCGCCTGGCGAGAACAGCGTCGTCGGTCTCGCCGCGCTCAAGCTGCTTGAGGCGTAAGATCCACCACATTGCGCTGCTCGAGTCGCATGCGTCCGTCTTGACCGAGTGCATGAGCTGGCCAACGTCGAAGCCTAGATCGACCAAACGCTCGAGCAGCAGCTTCTCAGATGGCGTGGAGAACAACGGTGGAAGCTCAGCTTTGAGCAGGGCAAGGTAGTCGTCCGCAACGAACGCTTGCCATTGGCTCGATGTGCTGTGGTGCGACAACCGCCTCTCTAATGGAAGCTGAGAGGTGAGGGAGCGACGTTTCGTCCGCACGGGTGTGCGCGAGTGGTCGGCCAAGGGAAGCGCTAATGAGTGTTCGTCAATCATGGGTAAATTTGAAGCACTGAGTCGCTCATCCGCGCGCGAGTAGCCCTCGTTCTCATCCTCCTCCCGTGGGCCCTCTAAGCTCATGCGTGCCAAACGTTCCCGCAATGAGTCGGGCTTGCGTAAAGTGGCCTCTGAGCTGTTCTTATGGGCGAGCTCGAGCGCTCGTTCCGTCAGACTGGTCTCTCCACTGTGTGTCCGCTTGATGTCCGCTTCCTCCTCGTTCTCAGCAGTGGTCGGCGAGGTATCGCCACTGGTTGACTGCTTGCCGCTGAACTCAAAGGATGTCTCAGATGGCTCCGACTCGCCCTCAGGAAACGTTGCCAGCGCTGTTGGCTCCTGGGTGAGAGGCAGCTGCGGTCCTGACGAAGTCCGCGGGGTGAAAGGGAATGAGGATATGGAGGATGTTGATAGACGTTTCCGATTCACAATCGATTCGGTAGAGGCCATGGGGTGGGCTATAGGCGACGTGGGGCCGGATGTGGGTAAGGAGAGTGTAGAAGAGGCATTGTGGATGTTGTCGTATATCGTCTTCTTGAACCAGGGATGCGTTAGGATTCCTTCCATATGCAGGCGCTTCTCCGGGTTGCTCTGGAGCATGCCGCGAATGAGCGAGCGCGCGTCTGTTGTCAGTCGCATCCGCTGCTCCTGCTCACCTTCCGTGAGCCACTCGGGCTCCTCGTATTCTCCCTTGATGATTAAGTCCTTCATTACGCGCTCGTCATCGTCGTCGAAGGGCAGTCCGCCGCACAACAGGGTGTAGAGGATGATGCCGAGTGACCAAATGTCCGTTTCGACGCCAAGGTACTTCTTGCACGCCAGCATCTCTGGTGACGCGTAGCCTGTTGTGCCGCAGAAAGTCTCCATGAATCTCCCCTTCTGGTACTCGCGCGCAAAGCCGAGATCGCCCAGCTTGACGCCCAGTTCGCCGTCGAGAAGCACATTCTCGAGCTTGAGGTCGCGGTGCACGATGCCCTGCCGATGAAGCCACCCTACGGCCGTGCAAAGCTCGCCGAAGATGCGGCGAGCCTCGCCCTCTAGGATGCGCCCGCGCTCAACGAGGTAGTCAAACAGCTCGCCACCAGGGCAGAGCTCTGACACGAGCCAGATGTGGTTCTCTGTAGCGATGATCTCATGGAGGTGGACAATGTGAGGATGGTGCAAGCGACGGTGGTGGTGGATCTCGCGTGTAAGCTGCGGCGTAGACGCCTTGGCGATCTTCTTGATGGCACAACGCATGCCTGTGAGCCTATGGCACGCGATGTGCACAGAGCCAAACGTCCCTGGTGGTGGTAAGCCAGTGCTCGCAACAACCAACGTGGGCGTCCTCCGGGCGGCCACGATTGAGCTCACCTTCTCCTATGACTTTCCCTAGAGTGTACCCGCCAACGACCTTGAGGTTGTCGCTGGCGAGCTCCTGGGCCAGAGACGAGTATGCAGTTGTGAGCTGGTGGTGTAAGCACACGCATAGGATCGCGAGCGCACCTGTGCCTGCTTGGTGTTGGCGACATTATTAGAGTAGCTGTGGCCCTGCCGCCCAGAATAGGCGGCCGCCATGTCTGCTCCAGTGGGCTTGTGGGGCAGATAGAGATGGGCGGGCGCCGGCTAGGGTGCCGACGCGACGAGTGAGTGACTGGCGGTTGGTGTGGAAAGAGGCGAGGTGGGGGTTGTGGATGCGATATGATATGAGAGTGGAGGTTGAGGACGGGTGGAGTTGTCGAGGTGAAGCGGGTGATGAAGGGGGAGCCAGCGCCATGGAACAACGACGTCAGACTGAAGTCGTGCTGAATGACAGAAGGGCGCTGGCCAGGCTCTTGTGGTCCAGGCTTTTGACGAATGGAGAATTGAGGGTGGCGGCGGGCTTGATAATGGTACAGGACAGAGGGAGGTTACACTGAACACGAACGCCGATGTTGATGAGGCATATGCAAGGCGATGATGGACGAGCGAGGACTCCCACCCCGGAAGCAAAGTGCAAGTGGTGATGGGTCGAGGCGCGTGCAGCCCCCCCGCGTTGCTACTTTCGGTAACCAAGCGATCAAGCAACTGGACTGTCGGTGCAGCCGAGGCGCGTCGGTGAGCAAATTGGAGTGGTTAAGAGGCACGACGGGAGAAGTAGGCGGAGTGAATGCTCGATGGAGGTGATGAGAAGGGAGGCGGCGGTGGTGAGGAGAGGGGGAGGGATGTTGGTGGCGTTGGTGGCTGCAGTCAACTTGCAGGGTGGATCAGAGGGCCGAGCGTCACGCTCGTACGCTTGGCCATGACCAAAGTGGCCCACGTGTCATTCTCCATATCCGTATATCCACATCTCGCTTGGTGATACTCCACGTGTGCTTGGATTGGGACACAACTGCCCCACTCTCTAAGTCTTATTGCTCTTGTTCAATGTGCCAAGGGTGCGAAGGTGTTGAGATATGAGACAGAGGACAAGTCATCGCGGTTGTCTCTTCTATGTCTCGCCAGCCTGGAACTTGCTACTGCCCACCCCCGCATCCTATGATCCTACGAACTCTGATTTGCCCTGTTGTCTTAGACAGCAGGACTAGTAGAGTAAATACCCTGCACGACGATGCCCTCCCTGCATTGGGGACTCACGTACGGCCATGATCTTGGACGCAATAGGAATGTTACGCTGGTAGCGATCACACGCACAGAAGTGGCACAGGGATGGTAGAGATTGGCCTCGACAACTGTAGAAGTTAGCCAGCCGCCATTGCCGTCATCGTCAATTGTAGGATTTGCAGGACGTGTGATCATGCTTGTCTAGGGCGGCATGATAGCACAACTTAGACTCATGCATGCCCTGCACCCATTCAATCGCAAGATCATATCACAGGTTCAACATTCCTATTCTCCTATCGCTTTACCCATTACCCAAAGACCAAAATCCGCGTCGGTCTCAACATACCGTCTCTCGACCTCTCCCATGGTCTTGGCACTCTTTCGCTCCTCTTGTTCACAGAACTCCCGCGCGGTGTACTTGGCTCGAGATCGACTCATTTGCCCTGTCCCGGTCCCAGTTCTTGATCTTCGTCCTGAACTGGAACCTTGCGACACATGTGAAGAGGTCTCACGCGACGAGACAAGCTGCTCGCGTGCGGTGTACGTACGAGATGTGTTCTGAGCGATCGCGGGACAGGAAGGCACATGTTAATGACGTTATGTGTGATGGGCGGAACAGCAGGCCTGGCGGCCCGCGGGTAGCAAACGGCATGCGAAGGCAACAGAAGCATGGAAAAGTATGGCACCGCCCGCAGCCATTACGCATCCGTAGCGGTTGCCGTGATGTGCGGGTTGAAGGAGAAATGGTTGCTATGCGCTGAGAAATCTGGTAACTATTGCGTTTCAACGATCAATCGTCCGGTGTCGTGTAATGAAGAAGGCACGACATTGCTTCCCAGAGACAGAAAAAAAAAGCGAGAGGCAATAAGAGAGAGAGCATCAGGAGACGGCCATCCATGAGCGTGGGTCGGACCTGGGCCGGAAAGACGGCGACGCGCAAGCGCGCCTAAGTGCCCAAGGTCCGATGCGCACAGCACTGAAGCTTGAAGCTTGAGGGCGTGTGAAAGCTTCTTGCGATCAAACCTGGTTGAGGCACAACCACGCAAGACTCTCCGAAGTCCGGGATCGGGATGGTCGAAGGGATGGTCAGCATGTCAGCAGAGCGGCTGGCTACTGGGATGATTTCTCGGTCAGTTCGGCCTAGAGCATGGTGTATTCAAGAGTCGAGGCATGAAGTACGACGTCTAGTCAGATCCCCAGCACCCAAGATGTGAAGAGACAAGGGACTACATATGGCCGTGAGGGCTGCAAAGTGGGTGGCAGATACCAACCCGTGGAAGTCGACGAGGGTGGATGTGGCGCATGGCCTGTGCGTGAGAGGTGGCGTGAGCGAAGCCCAGAAGCCCAGGGTAGACAGGACAAGGTTAAGGGAAGGCGCTCGAGCAATCGATTTCCCTACATCCGGAGAGTTGCAAGCGGAAGTCGCACTCCTCTGTCATACTCTCCACGTTTCTCCATCGCACATCCGACCCCCCCCCCCTCTCCTCCTCTCCTCCTCTACCATCGCTCCTCCCGCTTGCTCTCGCTTTCCGTTGCTCTCAGGCTCACGTTCTCCTCACACTCATTTTCCTTCTGCAGTTCTACATTCACTAAACCCTGAACATTGACCCAGCCCGTCCAAACTAAATTGTATCACACTAGCGATACCTCTCGAGTATCCAAGAAAAGATTATGCAAGCTAAACCGGGGGTCAAACATGGGAGGTTTGGCAGATCGTTCAAGCTAAATCCAACGCCACAACGGGTAGCGGGAGCTCTACGAGCACGGTGTGGCTCTACTGTAGTCTCTCAAGTTGGGATCTACCGTGTTCAACATGCTGAACGAGCTGCGCCAGCGCCAAGTACTAGGAATGCAAGTGTTTCATCATCAACCGGCCGAAACGAGGCCGAGTTACGAGCGCCACCTTGCTCCTCTCGTCCTTGAAGGCTCGCACAGACCATCGCATCACCTCACCCTCACATGCCTCGCACCCGCCAACACCCTGCCCAAAGTTTTGCAACCGAGCGCCACATCCAGGCAACGACTAACCCTTGCCGCACGAGCAGTGGTGATAGGGGGTGCAAAGATGGGGTGCAAGCGTACACGGTCAACTTGGCCGCTCCTACGTCTGTTCTTGGCGCATATGCACCTATGCGTCTGTGCGCCAGGTCCTTGGCGGGCAAGCGACGAGTGGCCAGTCGGCCAGGTGGCCGATTTGGTCGGCGTCTCGGCAGATCTGCCGTGACCCAAAGACAAGGGAGACGGCAACGCAGGTGGGGGGGAGACAAACGCTCGGTTGGTCTTGCAATTTCCCTGCCATCCCTCCAAGGACGCAACAAGGGGGCGGAGGGAGCACGAGATGCATTCCGCAAAGGAGCCACATGGACGTTTCTGCGGTCTCGGCGGCTCGGGGGGTTCGGTGCTTGACGCGGTCACTCAGCGGGCAGGGCCGCATCTGGGCATATTGCGAGAGAAACGGTAGCCAGGGGCCGTAGACAGGGTCCATAACCCGGGTAAAAGAGGATTATTCGAGTGCCGGCATCGAGAGCAACTTTAACACACCTCTCATGCCCAGCTGACGCTCCTACACCTAGGACGAGTAGAAGAGGGGAGACAAACGTCGCTCACGCTCGCGCTCGCTCTCGCTCGCGCTCGCTTGTCTGTCGCTGGATCACTGGCCTAGACGACGCTCATCCACAGCCTGACCACCCACAACTTATCATAATCCATTCCAGTGTTCTACTACTTCAGCTGTCTCTTCCTCCTCCATCCCCCCCATCCCATCTCCCATCGCATCTTGTCTCACACACATCATGTCGATCCGCCACTCGCGCTCAGAACACTTCGTGCCAAGTATGCCCAGCTCACCAAGCACCTACTCGGGCAGCTACGAAAAGCACAGCTTCAACCTCGCCCGCACGGACAGTGCCCAGCGGTCGGGCTCGGGACGGAGTAGTCTCTCACTCCCGCCCGTGCCCTTCCAATGTAAGTCTGTGCGTTTCGGCACTCGCTAACAACCTCCAGTGACATCTCATGAGCGTCTACTCCTTGCCCGCCAGAACCTCGGGTCTCCCCATGCTATCGTCCACGCCGTCCGGTATCCGCTCGCCGAGCTGCCGACCCGCGGCTTTCTCGAGGTCCGGGTCAGTGACCTCCAGTTCCGGTTGCCCCGGCTCAACGTCTGCGTAGCCGGACCCACTTCTCCCCAGCCCCGTTTCGAGAACGGCGCACCATGGGCTGCCAAGGAGATCGTCCAGGAGGGAGTGTTCGCGCCCAACCCGCACAACGACCTCGACACCGAGATGGCCACCGTCCTCCAGACCCAAGAGGAGTCGTTTGCCTCTCAGGACTTTGACCACGCGCCAATGTTCCGCGTTACCCTCCTCACCTCCCCTGATTGCGAGTACGGCTACTTTGTCGCCTGCTTCAACCACGTCATGGTCGACGGCCGTGGCGCCCTCCGCCTCGTCCACCTCCTCACCGCGCACGGCGTCAACCTCCCGATCGAGGCATTTGAAAAGCCTGCCCGTCTCGACGATACGCTCGACCTCAAGCCAGATGCACGCTACCTTGCCCCAATCGTTTTCCGTGAGATAATCGTACCCAAGCTCCCCAAGCCGCTCCAGAAGAAGTGGAAGGCCAAGGACCCGTGGCCCGGAGAGCGCATCGGAAGCCATCCCACCGATGCGCCCGCGTCGCTCAGCTTTGTCCGCGTAAGCCTCGAGGTCGTCGAGGGGTGCAAGAGGGCTGCCAAGGCCCGCGGCGTACGTACCTTCCATCCTGTCCTCAAGATGGCGTACATGGCTGCCCTGTGGCGCGTGTTCGGACCCGGCTCGACCAGCACAGGCAACAGCCTCCGCCTCGTCGCCCTTTCCAGCCGCGACGAGCGCCGCACCCGCTCCGGCCACTCGGCGATCACCGGTTGCTACATCACCAACCCCGAGTACTACACCAAGGTGTCGGGCGAGCAGAAGTTCTGGTCCGTCACCCGCACACTCGCAAACTGGATGTGTGACCGCGGCGTTTTCACCGGCCGCTACAACAACGGCCTCCTCTACGAGATTCCCGACGGTCTTACCCCAATGGACCCCAACTACGACCCGGCGCAGCCAACAGGCTGGGAGCAGTACGTTGCTGGGCGTGCTGCTGCTGCTGCCCCCTTCCGTAACTCGATTGGCCTGCACAACCTCGGCATGGCGACGCTGCCACAGGGCGCCGAGGACCATGCTTGGAGCCAGACCGCTTCCCCGTATGCTCCCGTCTGGAACATCAACATTCTCTCGCACGAGGGTGGACTCCGCCTCTCGGCAGTGTACCGAGACGGCAGTGCTGTCACCAAAGCCCAGACGGATGCCCTTTTGCACATCCTCCAGGTTGTCCTTGAGCGCATTGCGTTTGACGAGTCGGACACGACCATCGAGCGGTTGACGGCGTAATCTCAGTAGCTGGCTCGAACACACATACCTCGCATCTCTCGCCCCCTTCACGCCCATATCATCCCCCGAATAATGCCTCGCCGTCCTTTGAGTCTGATCGGCGTCTGTTGTTACTATATTTGGGATATCAATGCATAAATGGTTATCGCCTGGCTGCTCTGCTACTCCGCCTCATCTCGCTTGCCGCCCTTGAGGTTGCGGCGCCACTCCAGGTCACGAGTCTTGCGCAGGCTCGCCTTCTCCTCCTCACGCAGCCGCAGACGGCGACCCTCCTGCCCCGCCAGCGACAGGGTGCCAATCACCAGCTCGGCCGTGCGCACTGAAGCTGCGTTTGCAGGGATGGCGTACGTCACAATGCGTGGATCCATGTTCGAGTCCACGATGCCCATCGTAGGCACCTTGCGCATCGTGCACTCGCGGATGGCGCCAATGTTGTTGGCAGGGGAGGAGAAAATGACCAAGTCGGGCAGGTACGAACCCTTCATGATGGGGTCGATGCCGAAGCTGGGGTAAGCGGATTTCAAAGACTGGTGAGAGCGGGAGGCTCGTGACTTCGCGCCACAGGAAAGACAGCTTCGCTTTGGCAGGTGGGACAAGCAGGGTTGTGAGCGACCCACGCCAAGAGACGCAGAGTAGTCCCAGTGTATAGGGCATAGGACAGATCACACACGCAACGGAGCGTCGGCGTCTCAAGAGCTGTCAAACTCCCTCCCGAGGCCGCAAAGTAGCAGCGGTAGAAGCTCGGTTAGGCTCCTTGTGACCACATCGTGGGCATGCCGCCCCGCCGGATCACATCTAGGGCAATTCCAGCGGGTGTGGGCTCGCTGTTGGGTTCGCAATCCCCTCTTTGGCCTCATTCTCTTCTTCTCGCTCCGTCATCACCCGCCGAGAGCACTCACTAGGTCTCGGCGTTGGTGAGCAGGCCTGGCATCCATGACGCCGCCACGAAGCCGTTGTCACCCATGCGCGCCTTGATCTGAAGCGTGGCGTTCCGCTGCTTGCTCACAAAGAGCACGACGCCATCATCCTTGACGACGTCACGCACGACGCTCGCGCATCGGCGGAGGATACTCAGTGTCTGGTCAAGGTCGATGATGTTGAGTCCGGCGCGGTTGCCGTACACGAAGGGGAGGTATGCAGGGTGCATGATGCTCTTCTTGTGTCCGAGAGCGGCACCAGCAGCGAGAAGAGTGGAGATAGACGCCTCACGCGGCGAGGCCTTGGCGCGCGGTGCTTCAACGCCTGGAGGAAGGTACAGCGAAACCTGGTCCTCGGTGGTAGCTTGACGGCGGCGCCACTCCCGCACCTCGCCCATGTTGCGCGCCCATGCGTCGGCCTTGGATTCTCCGGGCTTCTGCGAGTATGATGGTCCCGAAGCCGCCGTTGCGGTCGTCGAGAATCGTGCCGCTACTGTCAGCACTGCGAGATGCTCATTCGGAACGAAGGGGGAAGAGCGCGCGCGCGCGGAAGCCCCGGTTGCTCCGAAAAAGCGCACATAGACCACCGATACTCACCTTGCCTAGGAGCCGCGGACAGTGCCCGGACCGCGGTGGTCGTCGCGCAGTTGATGGGCTTCATGGTGATGGTTCCAGAGGAGTGAACAGCAGACGACCAACTTTCGAGTTTTCGGCGGAAAACGCCTAAAGCGGAAGCATTTCCCTTCCACTTCTTGCTCACCTCGTCCACACACAGGATCCAGGAACGATGCTTCTGCTGCCCAATGTAGGTTGCGTACTGAGAAGCAGGGGACGATGTGATGCATGAGGTGATCTTCATGTAGATCTCTAGTGGTACAGTGCAAGTGACTATGAGGGTGTATTGGGAAATTGATATGCACATGGCGTACTGTGCAGCGCAGCGGGAGGCCGCAGCTACGCGTTTCTTGATGCGAGAGCGGAGGGCGGTCAAGAAGCATCTAAGACGAGTTTTGGAAGGGAGGCGTGACTCGATTCGGACAGCGTGGCCTTCACCACTCGAACTCGCTGCACGTTAGCTGAGGTTCTAAGAGTTGAGCCAGCCCTCAACGCGGTGGAACCTCTCCACACTGTTCGTCTGTCTTATACTCGCAGAACTCCCCACTTACCCTTGACACTTGGCAAAGAGATAATCCTTGCCATTGATGTGGATCATGCCATCCTTGAACACTGTCTTCCACTTGTTCTTGACTCGCTGAACCTTGTCATACACGCAGTAGACAATGTCGATGTCTCCCTCGCCATTCTCGATTCCATCGTCGATGCCTAGCTCATCGTCACTGTCGTCCAGATCGCTGTCAATAACCTCGTCCCCAGGGAGTAAGCCGGCGGCATTCGGCTCCGGCCGAGGCTGAGGCGCGACATCGGACAGGGCAATGTTAGGCTTGGTGTCCTCCGACTACCATCAGCAGCTGCTCGGAGCGATATTCCTTCGCAGACTCACAGCTCCCCCACGTATGCGCAGGTCTTCAGGCTCAGCCTTGACCTCAACACCGTTAGTTGGTGGCCGCGCAGCGGGGGGCTGGTGCGTCGGCTGACTTGATGCGCCAGCTTCAGTGTCGCGGTCGGCGAAGTCGGCGACCTTGGTCGCGAGCAGCTTGTGCTCCCATTTCTTGCGTGTTAGATTGCCTACTGCTCCGCAGCGTCAGTACTTACAGACTGGAGGAGAGGAAGCAGGTCCTCGTCCATGCCATACTCCTCGAAATCGACCGAGACGTTGGCAATCACGTCATCGATAATCGCACGGTAGACCGTGGGCTGAGTGGGTAAGCAAAGGACAGAGGGGATTGGGACCGCAAGGGGGGCAAAGCCAGCTTCAGGCAACATTGAAGGTTGACTGGGCAAAACATACCACGATCTTGTTCGACCTTGGGTTAGTCATGCGCCCTGTGATACATGTCTGTCTGAGTCTCTGGAGCATACATACATCTTGGACAGAGCCTTGCTCGCGATGTCAAGGGCAGAGGCGTAGGCAGCGGGATGCTTGCCTGCGTCCTTATCGGAAGCGATTGGAAAGCCGCAGAGAGACTTTGGTAGATGAGGAGTGGCGCCAGGGTGGTGCCAGCTTGCCTGGTGGGAGAGGATGAGTGGGCAACGTCAACCAGCTGAATATATACCAGAACAGGGGTTGGCTGGGGCCCACACCCCAGTGATATTATTTGGCTGATTTATTCAGCATTTATCCCAAGGTGGAGGTGGAGGTCAAGTCGAGGATTTCCATCTCGTGCGGGTTTGGGGTTCACTGCTGCTGTTGTTGTTGTTGCTCTCTTCAATAGTACTCTGGCCCGTCATGAGGAAAAAGCTCGACCCACGTATTCAGGCGCTCATCGCCAATGGTGTCCGCACCAACCACCGCTCCTTCTTCGTCATGGTTGGCGACCGCGGACGCGACAACGTGCGTCATAATATACGACCACCGGTGTCTCGAACTGACTTCAGATTGTCAACCTTCACTACCTTCTGTCCCAGGCGCGTGTCAGCTCAAGGCCAAATGTTCTCTGGTGCTACAAGAAGGACCTTGGATTCACTACGTAAGCCCTGATGTCGTCTGTCGCTCCTGCTGACCTCTGTCACCGCAAGAAGCGTGAGGCCAAGATCAAGCGTGACATCAAGCGAGGTATCCGCGAGGCCAACGAGCAGGATCCGTTTGAGCTGTTTGTCGCGGTTACTGACATTCGCTATGCGTAAGTCATGATCACTTGGACATGAGCTGACCGCAGATACTACAAGGATTCAGCCAAGATCCTTGGTCAGACTTTTGGCATGCTTGTCCTCCAAGACTACGAGGCCATCACGCCAAATCTACTTGCCCGGACCATCGAGACGGTTGAGGGAGGTGGAATTGTGGTGCTTCTTCTCAAGACCATGTCCAGTTTGAAGCAGTTGTACGCCATGTCGATGGACGTTCACGCCCGCTACCGCACCGATGCGCACCAGTTTGTCAAGCCGCGCTTTAACGAGCGCTTCATCCTCTCCCTCGGCTCAAACCCCGATTGCCTGGTGCTTGACGACGAGTTGAATGTTCTGCCCATCTCCAAGGGCAAGGACATCGGAATGCTGGGAAACTCGGACGATGACCGTGGGCGGAAGAAGAAGGCGGAGGAACTCAAGGACATGAAGGAGGACCTGGACGGCGTGGAGATCGTTGGCCCACTGGCCAAGCTTACTAAAACTGTGGATCAGGTGAGCTCTTCTGCTGTTGTGCTGAGGCTGACTTCAGGCTAAGGCCCTGCTCACATTCGTGGAGGCGATCTCAGAGAAGACACTGTCATCCACCGTCGCGTTGACCGCCGGGCGAGGTCGCGGAAAGTCTGCTGCTCTTGGCCTTGCCATCGGCGCCGCTTTGGCACATGACTACTCGAATATTTTCGTCACATCGCCCGACCCCGAGAATCTGAAGACATTGTTCGAGTTTGTGTTCAAAGCGCTTGACGCCCTCGGCTACGAGGAGCACATCGACTACGACGTTGTGCAGTCTACGAATCCTGAGTTCAAGAAGGCTATCGTGCGCGTCAATGTCTTCCGCGGCCATCGCCAGACGATCCAGTACATCGCACCCGAGGACGCTCATGTGCTTGGCCAGGCCGAGCTCGTCATCATTGACGAAGCAGCGGCGATTCCTCTGCCACTTGTCCGCAAGCTTATCGGCCCGTATCTCGTGTTCATGGCGTCGACCATCAGCGGTTACGAGGGTACCGGCCGTTCGCTTTCACTGAAGCTCATTGAGCAGTTGCGCACGCAGACGCGGCCAACCATTGATAAGGATGGCGAGAGTAACGGCAAGACGACCTCAAGAGCTGGTGCTGCTGGCCAGGGCGGTGCTGGCCTCGTGCGAAGCTTCCGTGATATCAAGCTCGATGAGCCCATCCGTTACGCGCCTGGTGACGAGGTGGAGAAGTGGCTGAACCATCTTCTGTGCCTCGACGCTTCGGTGGTTCCCAAGGCGGTGCCAGGCTCTGTTCATCCCTCGGAGTGCGAGCTATACTACGTCAATCGCGATACGTTGTTCAGCTACCACCCGGCGTCCGAGGTTTTCCTCCAGCGCATGATGGCGCTCTACGTCGCCTCGCACTACAAGAACTCGCCCAATGATCTGCAGATGCTTTCAGACGCACCTGCGCACCACCTGTTTGTGCTCCTCCCTCCCCTTAAGGAGGATGACACCTCGCTCCCCGAGCCTCTCGTCGTGATCCAGGTTGCTCTTGAGGGTAACATCAGCAGGGAGGTGATCCTCAAGGAGATGGCACACAGCGGCACTCGCTCAAGTGGTGACATGATTCCTTGGGTCATCAGCCAGCAGTTCCAGGACAACGACTTCGCCATGCTCTCGGGCGCACGTGTCGTGCGCATTGCTACGCACCCCAGCTACATCAGAGGAGGATACGGCGCGCGTGCTCTTGAAGCTCTGGACTCCTTCTACTCGGGCAAGCTGACGGACGTGGACGCCGTGGTACCGGATGCCGCCGAGGATGCCTTTGTACGTGACTCCAAGATCAGCGCGGATGCGTCTTTGGCCACAGACACCATCACGATCCGTGACGCAGCCCGCATGCCGCCTCTTCTCCAGCGCCTGAGCGAGCGCGCGCCCGAGGCTCTCGACTACCTGGGCGTGTCGTTCGGTCTTACTCCCGACCTTTTCCGTTTCTGGAAGAGGGCCGGTTACGTGCCCCTTTACGCGAGCCAGAAGGAGAACCCGTTGACGGGCGAGTACACGCTCGTGATGTTGCGAGCGCTTTCCTCGACGATCGCCGAGGCCGAGGGATGGCTGGGCGCATTCGCCACCGACTTCAGGCAGCGATTCTTGAACCTGCTCAGCTATGACAGCTTCAAGAAGCTGAGCTCGAAGACGGCCCTTAGCGTAGTCGATGCGGCAACACGGGAGGGCGAGGAGCGCAAGGTTTTGAGCTCTGACGAGCTGAATGCCCTCATCTCGCCTTTCGATATGAAACGTCTCGAGTCGTACGCCGACAGCATGGTCGACTACCACATGGTTCTCGACCTGGTCCCTACCATTGCGATGCTCATCTACAGCAAGCGCCTGCCCGACCTCGGCCTCAGCTATCTGCAGCAGACGATCCTTGTCGGCATGGGCCTGCAGCGCAAGAGCCTCGAGGTGCTCTCGTCCGAGTTCGACAAGCCCAGCCACCAGATTCTTGCCAACTTTGGGAAGCTCCTCCGCCGCATCACCAAGGTCCTGCAAGACATCCACCGCGCAGCAATGGAGGAGAGCGAGCCCGTCGTGGCGCAGCCGACATTTACGCCCGCGGTGATGACGGTTGAAGAGGACATCAAGGAGGCCGAGCGGGAAGAGCGCGCGCGAGTGGCGGACGGCCCCAAGAGCGCTCAGCGCGAGCTCCTTGATACCCTCGACATGCGGGAATACGCGATCAACACCGAGGCCGACTTCTCAACCGCGGAAAAGCAGGTACGCGCCCTCGCGACTGCAGCACCGCAGGAGCGCGCGCGACTCAATACCACCGTCAGCATCAAGGGCGCAGCGCCTGTTGAGGAGCCCAAGGAGAAGCAGGAGGGCAAGAAGGAGAAGCGGAGAGAGAGCACGGGCGGTGCGGGAGGCAAGCGCAAGAAGGCGAAGCGCGACTAGGCCACTACATTGAACGTCATCAATACCAACTGTATGCATCAGATTCATCTTCACCCGTCTAGAACAGGTAACGTCACCTCCATGCGTCAGTGCAACGTATACCATTGAAGATTATGCGTCCAACACCAAATCAAGCCGAACCGTGTGGGGCCTTCCGTCACAGGGTGCGGCTCGTCTCTGATAATACATATGCTTGGTAACGAAAAGTGACAAGGGACTAGATGCCGATGCGTTGCCGCTCCAGCACGCTCTTCTGGCTCATGTCGCGCGAGACACGCCAGTAGTAATCGAGCACATCCTGAGCAGCGAGGCGCTGCAAGAATCCCTCGTCATGGGTGATCACAATAAGCTGGAAGTTGGTCTGGCGGCGGCGCTCGCGGATGATTTCGGCAAGCGCTTCGGCGAGGGCGTTGATGTTCTCTTGGTCGAGGTTGGTGGTGGGTCTATGCTCAGCGGATGATCACACGAGCAGTTGATACGTACTCGTCAAGGGCGAGCACACCACAACCTTGGCCGAAGCTCTCGGCCAGCGCCAGACGTATAATGATAGACGCGAGCACTTTCTGGCCCGCCGAGCAGCGCCCACGCATGTCGAGTTCGACCTGGTTCTTCACCATCACCACACGGTAGTTGTATGACTTGCGGGCACTTGTGCTCTGCTCGTCGTGATCCGACATGATGCGGAGGGTGTCAATATCCGTGCCTTGGTACGTTTTGCTCCACAGGTGGCTGATCGTGTCGTTGATCTCGTCCATCTTGATTGAGTGATATTTGAGGATGGCACAGCCGTTAGTCTTGAAACACATTGGAAAACTCACTTATCCAGTGCCTTAGCATACTTCTCAAGATCGTTGTTGGCAACCTCGCTCGTCTTGGTTTTAATGAGTTGGTCGCGATACAGTCTGTCGATGTTCCTATAATCTGCAGCAAGTGTCTTCTCCAGACGCTTGCGTTCTTCGGCCATCTGCATGACCTGTCCAGAGCATAGTTGCCACTATTTGTTAGCGGTGTTGTGGAAGAAGACCTCACCCGATTCTGCACGTCGGTCTCCTCGGCCATCTTCTGCTTGTACTCGTGGTTGAAACTCCGGCGATCACGCGCAGCCCCCTCCAGATCGAGCTCCTCCATCTCCTCCTCCACTTTCTGGATCGACCGCTCTTCAGCACGGAAGTCGATATTGCTCTTGAGGTTACGACGCGTGACGTGTGCACGGGAAACATCCTCCTGAAGTACGCTGACAGTCTTGTCGATGGCTGCGCGACGATCCTTCGTTGCTTGAATCTCCTGCCGCATGCCCTCCAAATGCGACTCGTTTTCACGCAGTTTGCGGTCGTTTCCCTCAGTGACGTAGGACTGACACGAGCGGTGTTTGGCCTCCAGCTCGTACAGGCTAGACTGATATGCGCCGACTTGCATGCTAGCACTGTCTTCTTCGTCCTGTCGCTCATTGCGGTACCGATTAAGTGCTTCATTCTTCTCGCGCCATGGAGCAGCAGCTGCCTGCGCCGCCACATCAAGTTCCTTACGTCAGCGCAGCCTATGGCTGGTGTCATTTACCTTGAGCTCGCTTTGGAGCCTAGTCAGCTGGGTCTGATGCTCCTTTAGCTGCTGCTCGTCAAGCTTGCGGCGCTCTTGCTTGGATCGCAGGTCTGTAAGTCGCATTGTCTTGCGATGAAGATCCTCTCCAATACTTCGGATCGTGTTGAGCTTCAGCTCTTTCTCACTCATGGAGAAGTTCATGTCACGCTGGAGAGTTTTGCTTCAGTCAGTCCACTGTCCTGTATGTGTGCTCACATCTCATTGGCGATCACCTCAATCTCACGCTGCACGTCATCCACGGTCTTGAGTGAACCCGTGGATTGTAGGTCTCGCTCCAGACGCTGGACGCTTGCCGTAAGGTCATCGATCTCGCCTACGAGGCGCGTCATGATGGCAGACGCGCTCTTGATGGCATTGAGATCGCGGACAGCAAGCTTAGCTGTCTGCACAGCCCGTCGTGCCTGGCTGTCAATTCATGCTCGACTCAGAAACCTACCTCGTCGACCTCATTCTGCACCGTGGCAAGCTTAGCTGTGTCGGTGGCAATCTGTTGCTCCAGCGCGGGAATTTCGGTGCGTTTCAAAGTCTTGACGCGCTCTACGGAGGGCTGAACGGCGCGCAGCCCTTCCAGTCGAGCCGTCCAGCCCTCCAGGTCAGAGGTGAGCTCAGACTGGTCTGCCGCGTTCAATTTCTGGAGGCGGGCTTGCAGCTATCATCAGCTTCGCACATTACACACAAGAGCTCACATAGGCTTGAACTGAACCCTCCTCGTTGTGTTGGATGGCACGGTCGCAGCCCATACACTTTTTCTTTGTCTTGCTAGTGTCTAGAACCCTCTTGTACCACTTCTTTGCGCTTTCACTATCTGCAAGCTCACTAAATTGATCAGCCTATACTCAGGGATAAGTGGCACTCACTCCTTCAGAATGCCAATCTCTGTTTCACAATCCTTGATGCCCTCCTCCACTGAGGATTGCTCAGCCTCCTGAAGCACGACAGAGATTGCACTTTCGAGCTCTATCTGTCAGTGGAGACAACAGATCGGCGCACTTGTCAACTCCTCCGTCCTCGCTTTGAGGTTTTGCTTCGCAATGTTGGTCGACGTCTGCAGCTGCGACAGAGTGCGCTCACTGGCGGCTGCCGCAGACTCCGCCTCTTGCTGCTCGCGGTCCTTACGGCTTGGCCGTGAGCGACTATTCCGGAACATCTGCACACTCACCCAGCCGCCTGCGTCACCTTTTCCTCCATTGTTTGCGGAGTCAGATCCGAGCCAACCAGCTCTTTGAAGCGGGCCGAATGGGTCTGAACTCTGCACTGTCAGCAATTTCAAATTAGCTGGATAATCACGAGGCTTCAATCTGGGCGTTTTTGGATTCCAGCTCGGAACGCTTGATGGATAGTTGAGCACGTGTGTCTGCCTGGCGATTGAGTGCAGTCAATTCGCCATTGAGCTTCTCCCGCGTTGCTTCCTTCTCATTCACGGCCGCCCGCCTCTCGCGCAGCAGCTCATCATAGCGGGCTTCTTGAACCTCTTGCTCCAGCGTTTCGCGGCGAGTTTCCAGCGATGCGATGTCCGTCTCGAGTACACTAATGTCGGCGTCGACAGAGCTAAACGAATCGAAACTCTGCTCCATGCTACGAATGCGATTTTGAAGCTGGCGCTGCTGGTTAGTCCTAGATGACATCGGCGGCGCTTCGCTCTGATCTCACGATCTGGTCTTCCTTGCTCGATTTGGTGGCCATAGCGGTAGTCCTCTTGTTAGCGAGCTCGTCTAGCTCAGCCTGCAGCTCGCGCTCCTTCCGCAATCCTTCGGTCTAGACATTAGCGCTCGTGACCTGAACTGCTGTCGCACTTGCAAACGCTTGAGATCGCCCTCGGCTTTGCGAACCATTTCTTGAAGCCGGTCGACGAAGTCCATCACTTTTGCGTCCTCCAATGGGCTGTAGTCATAGCCCGGAAGGTTGTAGGTCTTCGACAGCTCGCGCACCATGGTCTCACGTTCACGAAGATTCCGTTCGTACGTCTTCGCTCGTTAGCCACTACCTCTGAGGTTTCTTACCTTGCGAATCGTACGCAACTCGCCTTGCGTACTGAGCAAGTTGCGTTCACGACGGTGAAGCTCATCCAGGGCCTCATCCTCCTTATCACGTGCTTCGATCTGCTGGTCGCGCTTGCCCTCGATGGTTTTGAGATGAGTCTCAAAGTTCTGGAATTTGTGCATGAGCTCTTCGGTGGTATCTGGGCGGTCAGCAGTGAGCTGCAGGGTGTTCTTACCGCTGAGAACAGTCATGCCATCCATCATACGGTTGCGATTGGCAGTGAGCATTTCTTTACGCGCCTTCAGGTTGTCATGACGCTCAAAGATGTGCTGAAAGGCAGTGGCTCGTTTGTACAGGGCCTCATTCTCCTCCTTCAGAACATGGAAGCGCGCCTTGAGCTCTTCTGCCTCGGTCGTCCTCGCGTTCTCCTTGGCGACCATGCCGTCAAGCTCGGAGCGCATCTGGAGTTGTTAATGAGGCTCTACTCCAAAACTTACGCGCTGCGCCCGGTCTTTATCGCTCTTAAGGAACTTTAGACGTTCCAGATCGACCTTGATTTCTGCAGCACGCTCTTTGCGCAGGACCTTGATGTTATCAAGTGCCTTCGTATATTTGGTGGCTTCGAAGATGTCATCGAACTTCTTCTTGAGAGCAGCTGGTTCTGCGAGCGGCCAGTTGGAGTCCTCCTGGTGGCAGAAGATGACGTTTTCCAAAATGGCCTTCGACACTCCAAGTAACAGGGGAACCTCCTCGTCCAGCTCCGAGCATTTGGTGGAAATAGTGTTGCGCTGCTGTAAGCAGTGCAATTCAAGCGCCAGGCCGTTAGACCCTCCTCCCAGAACATACCTTCCCTGACGCTCCGCCATCATCCTTGGCGAGCAATCCCTCTAGCGTCTTCATTGTGAGGGCGCCAGTCTTCTTCGTCGTGACCTGAAGACTGCGCGTGACTGTCATGCGCTCGCGGTTGACGTTCCAAAAGCGCAGGCGGACCTGTGCCTTGACCTCCTTCTCATTTGCCATCTGTTCGTCAGCTCAATGCAGCTGCCGAGCTCACTTTTGGGTCATGGACGAATGCGCCTCCCTTGGTGTTGGGAGGGAGGTCGCCAGTGGTCGCATACTTTAGACACTCGATAATGGTCTGCATGTCAGGATGCGGTCTTGTAGACACTCACAGTCTTTCCGCTGCCATTGTGTCCCACGATGACGGTAAGAGGCGAGTAGAACTCAATGACCTGAACACGCTTGTCGTCGAAGGAGCGGATCCCTCGGATCGCAAGCTTGTTGAGGGAGGCCATGGAGCTTAGATGGCCTCTAGGCGCTCGGCTGTAAGTCGTGCGTTTATCACAAAAACACGACGTGAGAATGAGAATGAGCAATAAAGAAGAAGGAGAGAGCTGACGACGACCACCTCTGGACGAGTCCAGTCAACTGCGATCCGCCGATCCGTCAAGTGGAGGTAAGAACGCGTCGCGGAACCAAATAGAGCTGTTACCCCGCATCCTTCTCCACAACTCCGATCGAGTGTGACGCACTGGCGGAATGAGCGGGTCAAGGCATCTCCATCATCCTCTCCGGCTTCAGCATCTGCACGCTGCTTCCTCTCCCTTTCTGACTACCTACCTCCTCCCATTCACCCCTGTGATGGCCACTTCCCCTCCCCCAGACGCGCATACCGACGCAGACGACACACTCGCGATCGATCCTCCTTCCGCTGCCACCCTCACCTCCCTCACAACTCTTCTCGATCTCCCCGATGAGCTGTGAGCTGTCCAATCTAGCCAGTCGCCAGCTTCACGCACTAATTTCCTCAGGCTTTTGCGAATTGTAGCGCAACTTCCTCCTACGGCCTGGGAGCTGACGACGGTCTCGCGCGTGTGCAAGCGTCTGCACGCCATTGCCCAAGAGCAAGTTCTGTGGGCGCGTTTGTTCTACGCAGCCGGCTTTCGGTTGGCCCCAGGATATGCCGGTCGCGCTGTTGCCACCACCACTCCCCCAGGCTCTTGGGAGGATGGCGAGTTCGTAGCGGCGGCACCGGAGCGGCCCTCGCTTCTCAGCCCTGCCAAGTGGCTCGGATACGTGTACGACCTGCTGTGGCCCACAGACCTCCCACAACCCGGTGCAGTCGAGGGCTTGCAAGAAGCTGTGCCCGTTCACTACCCGACGCTGTTCCGGTCTCGCTGTGCCATCGCCGACGAAATGAGGGCCCGCGGCCCACATCACGTGTACTCCCTTCCGTCTGTCAACCCCGAGGACAACGGCGAAGGCGACGACGACGCGCCCTTCGCCCAGGCAGAGGACACGCTTGTCGCCCCGAACCACCGCTGGATGCTTACTGAGCACTCCGCTAAAGTCTACACGGTGCGCGTGCACGGTCCATGGGTCATCTCGGGCAGTCGCGACCGGACCGTCAAGCTTTGGCGCCTGCCAGCCATTCCTTGGGATGCAGCGGAGACATTGTACGGACCATCCCTTGCTGGCTCGGCGGAGGGACACGAGGGGAGTGTCCTGTCCCTGGATTTTGAGGTTGCCGACGCCACCTCTGACAAGGGATTTATGGTTACGGGCTCGAGCGACATGACAGCCAAGGTGTGGGAGATTGACTGGGGGAGTGGCGACGACGGCGAGGGGACGAGCGCACGCGTCGTGTGCGAGTTGCGGGGGGCGGCTGACCGTGTCGCCGCAGTCGCGTTCACGGACGAGTTTGTCATCACGGGGTGCGTTTGCGAGGCTAATTGTGCGGCTGACGACCAGATCCCACGATCACCAACTGCGAAGTGCGTGTGCTTGCACAGCTACGAAAGACCACTGACCACAGTTTACGACCGGAAAGCAGTGTACGCGAACAGTTACGTGTCTCCACTGCGTACCGTCGAAGTGGGGCCGATTTGCGGAATCTCTCTCAATTCGCGCGGTCTGTCACGAGCAGTCGTCGCCACGACCGAGGGCCGCTGGGTGATCGTCGATCTCGGCACGGGCGAACGTCTTCTGCGGGGCGGCGAGGGTGACGAGGGTTATGGATGTGTCGTGTGGCAGGTGAGTGGCAACCCTCTCTACTTCTCGTACCTGCGCGTGCGGATTGGCAAAGGACAGCATTTCTCCAGGCGCGGAGTCACGAGCGTTCAGTCGCGTGCCGTGACGGAAGGATTCCCTGCACTCCCGTGTCCGTGTCTGTCGGAGCTTTGCTGTGAAAGGACATGAGTTTAGGCGGGTCGATGCCCTTCAGGAAAGTCCTGCTTCTCCTCTGAGGGCTGGGCTTTCCGACTCTGCTTGCATACTGCGCATGAGGTGTGGTCGTCACGTCCACGGTTCCGCTTACCGCTTCGGAGGAGGAGTGGGTGCTGGAGAGCCTCGCATATTTGCCTGACTCTGAAGTGTGGAACTCGATGTTCTGCAAGAGTGAGGGGTGTGCGCGGGAGTGGCATCGACCCACCGACCTGGCGGGCAGTCGCTGGGTGCCAAGACTTGAGACCCACAAGTCGTCCTATGTGCATCTTCAGGAGGGTGGTTGGGCCGAGTCACCTCCATCTCACCCAGTGACTGCCTGCTGACTCCAGGACGACTACATTCTCGTCGGCGCCGAGGGCGGCAAAACAATCCTGTTTTCAGGTCTTTACGCACACCGGATGCGGACATACCGCGGGCCGAAGAAGCGGCTCATGCGCGCAGTTCACCTGGATCTGCCCAACAACGTGCTACTGAGCGCGGGCCACGACGGTCACATCCACTTCACCGATCTCGACAGCTGGGACCACTATCGCAGCTACGAGCTGGGCGGGGCGCCGGTGTTTGGGATGGACGTCGATGGCCTCAATTTGGTGTTTGGAACGGGAGATGGTGCTGTTGGGTTTGTGCGTTACGGATTTGGTCTTCCGTATTCGGGTATGTTTGTATGACATTGGGCCATGGCCCAGCGGCCATCAGGTTCCTGCGACCTCCACTCCCCGACGGAACTTCACTCGCTGGTATGTATCCTTGTGAAGCATAACTGTGACTGCGAGGAGCTGTAAGATGTGAGAAATCGGAATTACTTACATACCAGCTACTCCCTGCCATCCCATGCCATTTAGGTGTTGTTGAGTTGAGGACGATCACTTGAAGGAGATCCGAGAGCACGCTTCAGTGTACGTGCGCACTGGCTGGATGCGTCATCAGTACTGCAACAGTCTGCGGCTTGCCAGCCACAGCCGCGGGCCGCAGGACGACACGGGCGCGCAGTAAGGTCGTAGGCATACGGATCAAGTTGGGATCCAAGGTGTAGGTTACTCTGTCGAAGCAGCAAAGTCTTCAAAAAACGCTAAGCTCGACGATACATGGCTGGTGTGCGCATTATATGTGCATGTTTCCATGAACCAAATACCGAAACAGACTGCTCAATGTCCAATGCTGTGCTGGGTATCTATGAGAATACTTTGTCCTCAACCAAGTCTAGCGACGACGACGCTCCTCGTTGGTGCCAAACTTGCGCACGCATCGCTCGCCCTCAAGAACCCACCCGCGGGCGCACCGCCACTGCTTGCAGACGCCCTTGGAGCAGGAGGCACCTCCGATGGCAGCTCCGACAGTGCAGCTCGATGTCAGCAAGGAAGCAAAGAGAGAAACTCACTCGACACCGGTAGCATTGCGGTGCGGCTGGTCGTAGTAGCCAGAGAGGCACCCTCCTGAGAGATCAGCATGTGGAAACATATGGAGGGCGTGTGTGGGAGGGCGAAAGGATCTGTCAAAGTGCACGACCGGCGGGCTAGGAGTGTACTCACCGCAGTTCTCGAGGTCAGTGCTCGTGTCGGAGCATTCCCAAGCGTGGGCCGAGCCGGGGAGGAGACACGCATCAGAGCCACGGAGACAGGGAGAGTTGTTCTCGGCAAGACGCTTCTGCATGGCGAGCTGGCGCCGCTTGCGGGCGGCTTCACCGGAGGCAGCAATGTTGGGATTGTTGTAAATGTTCTGAACATTACGGTTGCAGGTGGCAGAGGTGCCGGGGGTGAGGAAGCTGGCGCATTGACAGGTAAACTGGGTGCCGACGAGGTTCGGAGTCATGATGAGATACTTGTACGACTGGCAGGCGACGAAGCAAGAGTCGGCGTCAGTGGTCTGGAATGCTGCGGGCGAGCCAAGTCCGGGAACACTGCCGGTGGTGCAGCCCGTGAAGTCGAGAAGGTCGGCGGGTGCGTCGAGATAGTTGATGGTGTAGGTAGCAATGCCGCAGACTCCGTTGGCGTTCGTTCCTGTCAAACGTCAGAGTGGCGGAGAAGAGTTGGCAAAAGCACTTACCAGCGGTAGTGTAAAAAGCGGTGGGCTGCAAGTTGGTGCAGTAGCAGTTTGAGAGGAGACCAACGATGCCCGGCTGCCAAATCGAGTAGGTTGTTCCTGCAGTTCCCTGGCAGTATGTCTGAAGTCAGATGAGGGAGCATCGCGTGTACTTACGGGGCATCCAGTCACCGAGTTGGCGGGAGACAAAGCGGTGGTGACGACGTTGACGAGACCAGTGAGGAGGTTGGTTACGAGGAGGGGGCCGGCACACTGGACAAAGGCGTAGTCGGCGCGGACCTGTATGGCGAGAAGGGCAAAGCCCAGGAGAGCATTGGCGAAGGTGCGCATGATGAGAGATGGAGTAGAAGGAAGGTGAGGAGTTTGTCGAGGAGAGTGAAGTGTATACAACTATACAGGCGGAGGGGGAGGGTGGGAGGGGGGAGGGAGGGAGAAGAGCGGCAGAGAGAGAGAGTGAGAGAGAGGAGTGAGGAGAGAAGAAGAGATGGGGGGAAAGACAGAGTGAGATGCCCACCTCCAGAGTATATAACGGGGATCTGGGTTGACTGGACTCGCTCATCGGCGCCGGGGGAAGGAGAGAACGGGGTGCGAGCTGGGAAAGGGCGCAGGTCGGACGCCGGAAGGCCGGAGGGGCGAAGGAAAGCGCAGCTTAGTGCCAAGGGAAGGAGGGTGTTGATCGTGTCGGGCATGTCGGGGGATCGACTGAGCAATCGAGTGCGAGCATGTGAAGAAGCAAACAACATCCCACAACGCGCAGCGCCAGAGATTCAGTGGCGGTGAGCTCATGAGCTTGAGCTAGTGGTCTGTGATCTGTGAGATCGCGAGGGGAAGCGCGCAAGAGCGCGAGAGCGCGAGGTGGTAAGAGCAACTCCCACGTTCCCTCGATCCCTCGAGGTTTACTCTGTTTGGGGAGAATCGTTGCGGTTGACCTGACCTGGCCTGTGAGGCCTTTGAGCTTGCGGATTGTGTGTTTGTTTGTTGACGCTGCGTGCCTGCGCAGTCTCCGGGCTCCTCTCAATTCACACCGTCCTGCATTGTATGCAGCCTCTCAATACACTGTTCACGACTGAGTACTGAGTTGCAAGTCTGAACCGATGGAACAGCGCGGTCGAGAGTGTGATTCCTGAGGCTGTGGCGTAGAGCGTAAGATACTCATCATGCCAAGATGAATGTGGCGCAAAGTGCCACACATCTCTCATTCCTCCACCCGGATCCGGCTACATCCATGGCATGTTCACTGTCGGCCATCGAGAGCCTAATCCTAATCTTACCCTGTTCGTTTAGATCGCGTGTAGGTCGAGCCGCGCCAACCGAGACTCATGAGATGCATGTGTGCTTGTAATGTGCATGCGAGAGACCCCGGCGGCTGTTCATTGGGCCCAATACAGGTTGTGGGGGAGATGTCAGAGGGGCATAAGAAGATCTAGGATGGTTGGAAGGCTGAGCCTGGAGCTGTAGAGCTGTCGATCTGTCGAGTAGCGAGAGCGCTCAAGCGCTCGTGTCCTCCACGCGATCCACGCCGTACGCCATGTTGGATACTGAATTGACTCAAACATGCCAGTCTGAAAAGGCCAGGGTTGCAGGGCAGATAAGAACAATGCGCCGTGTTCATGGATCATGGAGCATGGAGCGTGGAAGCGAGGTGAGAGGTGAGAGAAGCGGGCAATGCGGCATTCTCGTCGGCCGTGAGCGAAAGCAAACACGTGAAGACACAAGCAACGCATTCCGCCATTTCTGCATTCGCCGTTCCAGCGTTCCGCACCGCTTTGCTGGGCTCCTTGACTCCCTCATGCCCCCACGTTCTCACCCTGTCGTGTGTCAATTGCGGCCTGCTCTCGCTTCCTCGATCCTCGAGTACTCGTGGTCGGTGATATTTTTTCGCGCCAGAAATGTAATCACGCCTTGATGACCGAGGGCCGAGGGGTGACAGCCGCGGCAGTAACATCACACGGCATTTCCGAGATCTGGGGTGCCAGGAGACACATTCAGTAAAATTCCCAGCCCTGGTTTTGAACACGGCCCAGAAGATTGAATTGTAATAAGTCAGGCCCCTCACTGCGGTGTTCTCTCACGATCTATAAAAGCTCTCCTCGCATAGCTCGCATGACGCACGTGAATCAATTGGGATCGACAAGATTAAGGGTGGTGTCCCAGATGGATCGATGGAAGGAGCAGAAGAGTGCCAGTCACGACCCTGCGGCTGGCGGCATGGCGGGGATCTCACAACACCGCCGTTGATTGCAAGATCTCCGTTGATCCGTCATCCGTGTGGGCCGTGTGACCGACCGTGTGATCAACGACGGCGCCTTCGCTCTACGTCATTGTCATTGATCACTCTTCAATCAACAACGCCGAGGAAAAGCAGCAGACGGATACTCGCCGGCTGCAGCTCGGTTCCGTTGCATGATAATTGCATGTATCGCAAGCTAGGCAAGGTATCGTGTCCAACGACGTTTCTGCCTCCTTCAGATCGTCAGACAAATGCGCTCCAGGCTCCCGGGACTAACACCGATCTGGAGGGTCCCGGTGTCTGAATGATCTGTTTTAGGTCGGGCAGAGACATCGGAGGAAGCACCAATTCTGATCCTGCAAAGTGTCCGAAACGCTCTTTGATCCCATACGATCGTAGGATCGTAGGGCCTGCCGCATCGCCGCAACAAAGCCGCGGCGCGCGGCGGCGAGGGTGGAGAGGGTGCGACCGGCATTTCCGCAATCCCAACTGACACACCCGAACAATTCGGCCTAAGGTGCAGCATTCAGTCCGAACCGCGAGCCGCAAGCCGATAGGCGCCCCGGGCCGTTAAGCTATCACATACCGCGCGCGATCATACGTGGGCCTCTGGTGGAATTGGTGCGGCCGGGAATGCTTGGTCAGAGTGGGGTGTGGAATAGGACCGAGTCTGCGAGTCTGCGAGTCTGCAGGCTGCGGTCTCGTGGGGTGTCCACTTCAACACGTGTGCTTGCTCAAGATGTTTGGTGAGTTGTTGTGCTGTCGTACTCTCGTCAGCTCTTGCAGGTGTTGCCCCATACGGCCCATTCTTGATCCCTGATCGGCCCGATGAGCTTGGGGTGCTGGGTGCTGCTGTACATCCCGATCTCCTCGGCCATCCGGGATGGCGTCCGGTTTCACTCACATTCCAATGCCCGTGGGAGCTTGAAGCCGTTTGTGGCAGTCTTGGCGGAGTGGCTGTCCGGATCTCAAACACCACTCTGCTCCACCATACTGGGCTACTCGGACCATGCTCGCTCACTGACATGCCGATCACTGCCAGATCGCCAGAAGAATCGCGGTGCACAGCCGGTGGTACTGTGGTGTGGTGGGTTTGAGACAGCGACGCTCGCTTGGTCGCGTGATAGCCTCGCCGATCGTCAACAGTTTTCTGTCCTGCTTAAACTTGAAGGTGAGGCATGTAGGCCCGCTGTTAAACCTATGCCTCGTGAATTGGTGGACTAAAGCTAATAACACGAGAGCCTGATGATGCCGACTGCCATCATGCCATTGAAAGTCTTTGGGGGGGGGGAGAGGGGAACGTTTGGGGTGTTGTGCTGCCACATGCCACATGGATCCAGGTAAGAACTCGGCGAGACCAACATTGTCACCTGACGGAGGGTCGGCGTTCTCGACGATGCTCGGGGTCGCTTGCCGTTTGCATGTGCGGACAACTCGGGTTCTGGTCTCCCCCACCTCCACAATTCAACAACGCGTTTATGGTTAGAAAATGGCAGCCTCATCCCCTTGATCCCCTCACCCCATCAGACTTTCCCCCCACATGTGCCTCCGACCCCAACGCTCATTGCGAATACCACCGATTGCTCAAGCGCCCCCGGTTGTACTAACAGATACATGGTTCGGTAGGGCTACAGAGTTAACAGGCGAAGCGACGTGGGAGGAGGAGAGGAAGAGACTCTACAGTTGAGCCATCCAAGGGTGCGCAGGGCGGAAGGAATGCCTCGGCTCGGCTGGCAGTGTCCTGAGCAGCGAAGCGAGCGATTATTGAGAATTTGAGCACGGAGCAGACAAAGCACGATTTCTCACCCCGTTAGGATCTGGAGGAAGCACCACGACGCTCCTGTTTTCTCTTCCTTTTCGTCCCCGCTCTCGAAGCAGTTTGAGCCGCGAGTCGACCAAGCGGCGTAGCGTCGCTGCCCGCCACCTCGAGACTCATGATGCGGTCCAGCGACGGCGTGAGACCTGGCATCAGTCTGATTCAGAGAAACGCTCACCTTTCTCGTCGACGAGCCAGTGTGCAATGTCATACGCTTCGCTCTTGAGCGCCAGGTCGACCCACTCTCGAGGGCACTGCAACCTGTCCGACTTGAGCAGAGGGATGTTTCTCGCGCCGCTCCCGCCGTGTTCAGTGGGCTGCTGGTCATCCACCTCAACAAGCAGCTTCATCATCTTGAGATCCTTGTTGTGGATGGCTGCCCGGAACGCAATGTGCTCGCTCATTGTGACCTTGGCACCGCGCTCGAGCAGGAAGCGGACCAGCTCGTAGTTGGCATCCGCTGCGCCCCGCATGAGAGGATATGAGCTATCCGCATCCGGAGGGATATCGAATCGCTCAACCAGATACCGGACAAAAGGGTGAAGTCGTGGCCGTGCGCCTTCCGGCGTGCGAAGGAGGCGGCGGGGAATCTTGTTAGGACGCGGAGTCGGGCGTGGAGGAGAGGGTGGAGGTGGCGTGTCGCCGGGCTCAAGTCCGTCCCACAACTGATGCTCCTTGCTACGCTCCCATTGCCTCAGCTGCTCCTCTCGTTCTGCGCGCTCGTAGTCACGAAGGCGCCGCTCCCAGAGCTCTAGCACGCGCTCGAGAACGTCTTGGTTGCAGAGGCGCAGGGAGAGGATCTGGTCGAGGACTGCGGCTCCCTTCTTGGCGCTACAAATCTGTTCCTTGGCTGTACACCGAGTGTACAGGGCCCAACGAGCCTTGTAGTTGATGTCGTCAAAGGAAATCCGCATTTGCTTGTCGACGACGCCGAAGGCCGCGCTGCCGGAGTACAAGTGGATCTGCCTCAAAATCTGCGGTCAGAAAGCGCACTCGAGGACAGGTATGACTTACCTCATCTGGGAGATCGAAAAGCCTTGCAGATGGTTGCACGCGCGTCACGACCTTGGCTGAAGAGACGAGAGCGCATGAGCGAGGAAGGTTCAGACTGAGTTGGGGTCGGTCCGACCTGGAGAGAGATTCGAACGCCATTGTCGGTGACCTCTGCGGCCAGGTCGTACGCGCAGAGTAAACGAGCTCAACGCGAAAAGGGGAGACGCCAACGTTAAGAGTGGTAGGCCAGATGTATAGCAGCTGTGCGATGGTTTGGTAGGGACGCTTGTGGAAGGGCTTGCCGGAAGGTGCGAGGTCTGCGCCCGCCCGGGCGGTCGCGGGGTCCGTCCCCTTTGCCTCTCTCACACCTGCACGAGGATCCCGAAGCTGATGCCTCGGCTGGAGCCGTCCTCGCCGGTGTCTGTGAAAACCTGGCCGAGGTGTCGCTTTAGTTTGGAGTAAGTTGCAGGCGGAGAGTGACAGTCGAGGAGATGGAGAAGGAGTTGCGCGGCGTGGGACCCGCTCAACACTTCGCCGATCAGCAACCGAAAGTCTGGGTGGCAAATTACATGTCACGTGCGCATTAGGTCATCAACCGTGACCAGCGTCGAGGACTGGCGGCTGTTGTTTCGGTGCGGAAGTCGCTCTAATATGTGTAAGACGTAATGCACCGCCAGCGGAAGAGCTGGTGTGGCGCGCAGAGAATTGGGCGGGGGGGTACATTGCTCTGTGCATGCAGCGAAAGTAATGCGATATCGTGCTGATACTCTACTCTGGCGCTCCAGCACCCTCCAGGACGCGCACCATCTCCGCGTATCCTCGTTCCCGCGCGTGCTTGAGCGCGCTCACTCCGTCTTTATCCCTGATTCCCAGGTCTGCACCCGCCTCGAGCAAAATCTTGACAATCTCGACATGCTTGTGCCCGCCGTCGCCGAGAATGACAGCCTCGAGCAGCGCCGTCCATCCAAGATGGTTGACGTGGTTGACTTTGATGCCCGTCTGGACGACGCGGCGGACATACTCGACATGTCTCCGCTCGCTCGCGGGGATCACACTGATTCCGCCGTACCGGTTGCGCAGGTTCATGTCCGGGTCGTATGGGAGGATGGCCTCGAGCATCGCGACGGAGCCCGTTACGCCCGTCACCAGCCAGGGCGTTTGGCGCAGGTCGTCCATTGCATTGGGTGAGGCACCGGCCTCTAGAAGCACTTTTGCGGCTGGAACGTCATCGGCTAGCGAGGCGAGGAGGAGCGGCGTGCGCTGCGTGGTGTCACGGGCGTCGGGGTTGGCACCGGCCGCCAGCGCGGAGCGGAGGGCACTGACGTCAATCGGAGAGGTCGAAGCCGCCCGTAGGAGTGCAGCGTCAGCGTCGGATGAGGCGGACATGGGTGAGGGGTTTGACGAGACTTGTAAATCTGACTGTGGGGAAGTAGTGACGGCGAAGTCACTGGTGAGAACATGTAGCCTGTTTGTCTGCCTGATGACGCATGCAACATGGTGGGCAGCACGAATGGATCCATTCAGCCGATTGAGTTGTGCTGACAGTTACCAAGTGGGGCAGGACCGGATTGTACACAGCAGTGTCAATCATCTCAGCCTGCAGAAAGCCTCACTGGTCCAATGCAGAGTGGTATGCATGCAAATCTACAATACGTTGCGATGGTGGTTCCCTGTCACGGGTGCTACGCCGATTCCTCTTCGGCGTCAACAACCTCGTACTTCTTGCCGCGGATGCCCCAGATACCCCAGTTGGTCTTGACAGCAACACGCGTGTCCCAGTCCGCAACCTCCCACTTGCGCGATGCGAAGGGGTTGGTGCCGGGAGTGAGGATGAGCTCGAACTCGTCGCTCACACCCTCAATAGGCGGTATCGGCTTGGTCGGAAGCTGCACGTTGGAGGGGTACTCGGACGGCTGACCCGGCGCAGTGGTAGGCGGCTGGGTGCCGAAGATGGCCGAAACATCGCGCGCCAGGTCCGTTGGCGAGAAGGCGGTAAAGAAGAGGCCGCACTTGGTCTCGAGAATGTTCTGGAGCGTCGACTTCCAGCTGGTCTGCGCCTGAACGAGTGGCTGCTCCCCATTCTTGGTGTCGGGGGTCGGGTTGTTAGGATCCAACAGGCTCTGATCGGGGAAGCCAAGTCCTGGCGAGAAGGCAAAGAAGACATCCTGGTACGGGTCAAATGGGCCGAGCTGGTTGTGCACGGCCTCATATGGCGCCTTGAGCGAGATCAGGCGCAGCTGCGGCGTCACGTTGACTGTGCAGCTCGGCACGCCGTACTTGGACCCGTCCTCGGACATTTTCAGGTGCTGGCGGCCTGACTTGTTCACGAGCGGGATGCCAGCCTCGGGGCCGATAAAGTAGACATTGAAAGGCGTGCGAGGGAACAGGTGCGCCAGCTGGAGCCAGATGTCGGCAGGCAGGGTCGACTCTCCACGCGCCCCGAGCAAGAAGATACGGAACGGGGCCATGGGCCGAATGTCAATGTCCTCGGCAGATGTGCCAGGAGGCGGGTGCAGAATCGAGTGGATGGCGGCCATTGATCGCCGGCCCTCGGTGGTGATCCGCCCGTTGCCTGCCGTGAAGGGGCCATTCTGGTGCAGCACCGACAGCACCGAGATAGGGTAGGTGAGGAGCTTGGAGACGTGACGCATGGCGCGCTGCGAGTTGATCGACACAAACCCACGCGTGAAGAAGAAAGTGTCCCACGTCTGCAGGTTGACCGCCTGCTCATACGGCTGGACACCTGGGATCAGCGCGAACTCAGCATGACGCCTCCATCGTCGCCGACATCTAAATCCTCCGCTGATACGCCAAAGCAACCATTGCAGTTACGACGGAGATTGCAATCGCATCATGAACTCGCACACATACTCGGGCGCGGGCCGCAGCGCAAGACTCACCAGGCATGTTCTCATACTCGACTACGCGCCGACCTGAGCGCAGGTCGTGCTCGTCCTCATTAACCTCACGAAGGCGCGGGCAGGACTCGGAGTGCTCCTCGTGTCCCTCCTCCCAGCGTTCACGGGTCGCGTGTGTCGGGAATCCGCAGTCTGGGCACTCGTACTTGACTGCCTTGGTCTCGTGGTACTTTTCGTAGCTCACGGGGCACACGGCGTACGTGCGGATGCGCTCGCCCTTTTCCCGCAGCGCCTCGAACGGCGACTGTGAGAGGGGGTGGAACAGATCATCCTGCTCCAGAATCACGGTCGGCTCGGGGGCGGCCTCAAACGGCCCAGAGCGCCTCTTCTTCTTGCCAAACAGCCCAAAGAAAGTTCGCGTTTGCTGGACGGACAAAAGCGGTGTAGGAGAGGCGGCAGCGAGAGGGACCCGGAGGAGCGGAGCCGTAAGAGGCCGACGCGCAGTGCGCAGGAGAACGCGGCTTGAGGCCTGGCGCATGACTGTGGACGGGTTAAGTGGAGGACGGTGGATGAGATGAGACGCCGACCGAACTATTGAACAGCCGCGGCAGCCTCCGAAACATATCACGTGACATCCACCCACGTGCTCCGCGATTGCTCATGGAGGACGGGATCCGAAGGGGTAGCGGAGTAGTGTAGATGAAAAGAGATGTTGCATGCTATGAATGTCTTACATGTCAGGCCTATGGGCTGCGGACGTCCTCCATCGGCTCGCCTTCACTGTCCGATCCACTTCCCGACTCGCTCCCCTCAGAGCCAGACATGTCCGCGTCCTCGTCACCGCCAATCTGTGGCAGCTCGTGGCGCTCCGTCTCAAATGCAAGCTCCTTGAATCCGGCCTCAACCTCGTCTGCCTTTCCGGCGTTAACGGCAACGGCGCCGATTGAGGTTTCGGAGTCGAACAAGGGTACGTAGTACTTGCCAATAGCGGCGCGGATATCCTGTTTCGTGACCTTAGGGATCTCAGCCAGCATGTGCTGGCTCCAATCCTTGCCAATACCCTTGAGCACCTCGTCAAGATACGCGGTCGTTGCCTGTGGTCAGTGTGGTACAAGAAAACTTTAGCTATCTTCGACTCACCGCAGCTCCCACAGTCTCGGACTTCTGGGCGTACGAGTAGACCATGCTCGCCTTAGCAGCGTCGATGACGTTCTCATCCAGCTCCATCTAAAGTCAGGATGTCACAACTGAGCGGTTCGCTTACCGTCCCATCGGCGATCGAGCGCATGATCTTGCCGGCCTCCATGAACGCTGTCATTGCGTTAGGCGACCGGTAGACCCGGAAACCAACAAAGCCCGACTCCTGGTCGATTGTGACGTGTGCGCCGTAGGCGAGTCCAGCGCCACGGATCGACTTCCACAGATATGACTCCATGGCGTTAAGAACCGACTGGGCGACGCTGAGCGCCGGCACGTCGGGGTGATCCCAACCGCGGGGACCCTTGGCCGCGTGCGACGAGTAAGAGCCCTCGATGGAAGCCATGGGCACAACGACAAGCTGGAGTAAGCATCTGGACCTGTGTCTGTGAGCTCACCTTCTTCGAAGGAGCCTTGCCGAGCTCCGTTAGAGTTGCAGCGGAGGTTGTGAGAGGCTCCAGTGCAATCGCCTCCTTGACCGGGATGAAGGACTTCGCAAGGGTCGACCGCGGTTCCGAGAGGGTGCGAATGTCGCCGTACACATTGACGCGCATCACACTCGGATCCACAAGCTTCTCAACAAGAGTCTCCATGGCCCTGATCACCTTCTGAGGAGACTCTTTGAGCTCATCAGAGATGCGTGGGATGAATTCAAGCTGGTGGAGGAGGGACGCTGCCTCGGACGTCGACTTTTCGATGTCAAAGCAGAGACGGTTGCACCACTCCCGGGCGACCTGGTCGCCGTCACGCTTCTGGGCAGGCAGATTCTGGAGCTCCTTGGCGACGAGAACCTCCAAGCGCTCCTTGGTGAAGACGGAGTTGAGCAGGACGTCGCGGAGCCAAGAGACGGCCTCGGCGTACTGCGACTTCTCAACCTTGATGAACACCGAGAAAGCCTCGGAGAAGCATGAGCGCACGGAAAACTTTGAGCCCGAGCTGACGGTGAGGCTGGTGTGAGCGTGGTCAGTGAAGGAAACTCACTCGTTCAGCTGGTTAATAACTTCCTCGTGAGTGAGCTCAGTGCCGTCCGGGCGCTTGATGCCAAGGCTGAAGAGGCAAACTTGGAGAAGGGCCATGTAGGGCATGAGCTCCTGAGGCAGCTTGGATGTGTCGAAGAGCACGCCCACGCTGACAAAGTTGGACTTGACATCGGCGAAGTGCGCCTCGTACGGAAGAGGGGCGCCGTCGGCGTCGATGTAGCGCTGAACTTCGCCGTTATCGCACCTCGCTTTCCCGTTCTTCGCATTGTTGATCGCAGTCTCCACTGGAATCCAAGTGAGCTCCGACGGCTGGGATCAGCTTGCCTCACGAATTGCCACGGCAAGCTCACTTTGACAGTAGGGAAGACGGTCAGCATCTCCGATGGAATAGGCTTGTCGCTCTCCTTTTGCGCCCATTCAAGCTTCTCCTTGAGCTTCTTGAGGCCATCTTCGCCCAGGTTCTCCTTCTGCTCGGCAATTCGCTTCTTCTCCGATTCCTCAAGCTCGCGAGCAAGCTTCGCGGAAGGCTTGCCGATCATGGCGATGGAAGGCGCAGATGCGTACCACTTGTCGAGAAGCGCCGTCCACTGCTCAGCCGTCCACGACTCAAGGATTGCGAAATCCTTGAGCTCGTCAAACGCCTCAGGAAGGTCCTTACCATCCTTGTCGCCGTACAGGAAGTCTAGAATGAGTTACAAGCGATATGACCAACTCACCCTGGATGACAACGTCCGCGAGAACGCTGGAGATGGAGGTCTCCATACGGTTCAGCATTGCACGCTTCTCGCGGCGCAGGATTGAGGCCATGCGGGTCATGTCAATGCCCTCGTCCTTCACGATGCGCTTGAGCTTGTCGAAGAAAAGCTTGGGAAGGTCATTGAGGTGCTTAGTGGGCACATCGCTGAACATGACCACGTGCTCGCCCGCATTCACTCGGCTCTCACCGTAGAGATAGATGCTGGTCGCGTACGGCTCAACGATCTCGATAAACTCCTTCTGCAATGGCGACGTGGCAGAGTAGGTGAGGTAGCTTCCGAGAATGTCCAGCGCAGTCCCCTCGAGGAAATCAGTGGGCTTGGGGCCGAGGTATGTGATGAAGAGCTCGCCAACTGACTCATCCTCCTCCATAAACTCGACGGTCTTGACCACTGACTCGCGAATGGAGATGGGCTCGGCGGTAGTCGTCTCCATAAAGGGACGCTTCCAACCAGGCGGAGGCTTGAAAGTACCGTTGGCCTGCTCGCCCTTGCTCTCAAGAATCATTGGCTCAATCGTCTCGTTGAGAACCTTGAAAAGGGCCTGGACGTCGACGCCACCGTCAATATGAAGATTGAGGTTGTGGGGGACATAGTACTTTCCATGGTACTCGCGGATCTGCTCGGCAGTCAGCACACGGAGCGCCTTGAGCAAACCGCCCGTCTCAGAGCGATACGCGGAGGTCGGAGGGTAGAGGGTGCGCTGCAACTCCAGAGCCATACGGTCGTACGAAGTGTTCTCGCGCGCCTGCATCTCCGAGTACACGACGCCGGCATCCTCGCCTGCACTGTTGATGTGGTGAATCTCGGTTACAAATCCGGCGTCGGTCATAGTAGCGTGGAGAATGTGGTCCACAAACACAGGGAGGACGTTGAGGAACCCTGTTGAGCCTGCCGTGTTGATGGTGTACGCGGTATGGTCGTTGGCAGTCCACGCGTTTGTGCCATTTGAGCCGGCGCGGTTGGCGAGGTTGTCCAGCACACCTTTGTACGGATAACGCTTGGACCCGAGGAAGATTAGGCTGTGGTTAGCGTGGATCTGCTCATGAGCTCACTGTTCGAGAGTATGAGGTCGGCCGGTGTCGTCAAAGATCTCAGAGGCGATGACAAAGTAGCCGTTGGTGATAGGGGACGAGTGGTTGCCGAGTGTGACAGTCAACCCGGTCTTTTCACTCCTCCACTTGGACACGGTGACTGGAGCATACTTGAGGTCAATACTCTGAAGGAGCTTGAAGTTGCCGTAGTCGCGCGAGTGGGTGGAAGTCGAGGGCATGGTGTTGACTATCAAGCCGTTGGCAGGGGTAATGGGAGATGTGGAAGTATGGGCGTGACGAAGCGTGGTGTTGGAGAGCCGAGATGTGCTCAAGGTGGAGGACAGGCGCAACGACAGCCGAGGAGCCGGTGATTTGCGTGTTACGGGCGAAGTGGAAAGAATGGAGCGAGGAAGATGAAGCTTCCGAGGGCGTAGGGCTGGTAGCATAGACTAGTGGGTTGTACGCAGCAGCGGCGTTGTCGAATGTCCAAGAGGTCGCAAGCTCGCAAGAGGAGGTGAGAGTGAGAGAATGAGTAAGAATGCAAGAGAGATCCCGAACGATATCGAGGGATTGAATGCGCTGAGCAGCAACTTGCATTCGGGTTGCGGAGATCCCTGTATCACTCCGTCGTAATCGACTTACAAAATTCAAAAGCGCAATACGTTCCATGATATTCTGGTCTACAATGCCACTCCAACAGCAATGCCCTCTACCGGTGTTGAAGCCAGGTTAGATCTCAACGCTGCAGAAATCCACCAACTCAGCAGCTGAATGCTGTGAGCCTTGAGTCACACCTAATGCTAATGAAGCCTTGTCATATTGTCATCCGGCACCGTCGTTTTGACGCTGACGGTATCCCCTCGAATCGTCATAGATTGGGTTGGGTGGCAACTTGTTGTGGCGGGAACAAATCGGAGCTTGGACATCGGCCTCCACTTTCGTCAGTCGGTTGACTAACCTCTCTCGACATCATCGCTCTGACCATCGACCGCTACGACCTCGTCTTTACTCCCCTTTTCCTCACGACATGAGTCGCGCCGGCATCTCTTCGGTCAAGCGACGCGCTCGACCACAAAACCCACTCGCGCCCTTCAAAGGCAGGAGTAAAGGTAAGTCAGCTCAAGGTGGAGGTAGGAGGAGTGATCGCTGACATCATAGCTGCCCCGATCGATCTTACCGCCTCGCCCATCTCTGTTCACTCATCTCTTCAAGATGATGACGAAGAGGAGGACGAGTTGGAAGAAGTAGAGATCCCTGCTGCAGCGTCGGCGTCAATGCCAGGCACTCCTGCCACCGGTACGCCGGGCGTCGGGACAAGCGTTGGAGAAGGCGGATATTCAGACAGCGACGATGAGGGCGGCGAGCGCGTCATTCGACTCGAGATCGGCGGCGAGACTGAAGAGGAGAAGGCCAAGCGTATCGCTCTAGCCATGCGCAAGTAAGCTAAGACGTCTCGGCCCCTACTGATGACCAGGAAGCCCATGACCGCCAAAGACCGTGCGATTCGCCTTGAAATTCACAAAATGCACGTTATCGCCCTGCTGGCATCGACGAGGATACGCAACAAATGGGCTTCGGATGAGCTGCTTCAGGTAAGCATGACAGAAACCTACGCTGACTCAAGTGTCGCTTGCTCTCCCTCTGCCCACTCCGTCTCGCCGCCGACCTGGTCGTCTCCCCCAAACGCTTCCCGGATCGGGCACAGCGGAACCGGCTCTTCCTAGAGGCGCTACAGGAGCTCGTGACGTGGTGGTCGCAGGACTTCTTCGACATTTCCGACCCGATGTTAGGTCTCCGCACGAGAACTTGGGACGACATGCAAGAGATCATCGAGCGCATGCCTCGCCTCTCACGCGCCGAACTTCTCGGTGGTGTACTGTCGAGAAGAACCGAGGCGCCCAGAACCGAGACGCCAAAGAGCAAGAAGGGGAAGGGAAAGGACAAGAATAAGATGGAGGATCCAGTTCTCGCCGCGTTAGAGGAGGAATTAGGCGGTGAGCGCCTGCGCTCAGTCAACTCTCTAGCGAAGAAGGCTCTGCAACAAGAGGGATCACGCGATGTTTCGGCCCTGCTCTTCGTTGCGCTTGCCCGTGCATGCGGTTTGGGAGCGCGCTTAGTCGTCAACATTCAGGCTGTGCCTTGGCGAGCTGAGAAGGTTGTCGCAAAGAAGAAAGGTGCTGGAAGCGGGGCGCGAAGCGCAGCTCAACGCCAGGGCATGGGCGATGACTACAGTGGGAGTGAAGAGGACGAACTCGAAGAAGTTCAGATCCCAGGTGCATCTGGCGCTGAACCGTCACGGAAGAACAATTCGAACTTGGGTAGCGCCAGACAGCCAAGCAAGCCTAGAGACTCGGCAGACATGTACCGCCTTCGTCAACCCAAGCCACCACCACAGACCGTGGGATCCAAGCCGAAGCGCAAGAAGCAGGAAGGTGAGTGTCAATTGTGCGCGGTTGATCCGACTGACTAGTTAGACATGATGGCCCAGCCGCCAGTCTTCTGGGCGGAGGTGTACAATCGCTCTGATCAGCGCTGGGTGCCTGTCGACCCCGTGAACGGCATAATACGGAAAAAGGCGCACTACGAGCCGCAATCGGACAGCGGGCCTGTTCGCCTCGCTTACATTGTTGCGTTTGAGGAAGGCAAGCTGAGCATGTTGGGAGAATAGCTGACGACAGATGGTTATGCACGAGACGTAACCTTGCGGTATGCGCGAAACTTCGCAGCCAAGACGTGCAAATTGCGTCCTCCTGTCAAGTCGGGGGAGCCGGACTGGTGGCCTGAGATTGTTACATTCTTACAACGGCCACTGCGCTTGGTGAGCGATATGGATCCGAGCGACGCTCACGACCAGAACCGAGACGATCTCGAAGACGCCGAGCTCGAGAACAGTCAGGCGTCGGAAGGCATGCCGCAGCACATGTCCGGCTTCAAGGATCATCCCATGTGAGATTCATCATACTAGAGAGAGCTAATGTCAGTTACGTTCTCGAGCGTCACCTGAAGCAGCACGAGGTGATACAGCCTAAGCGTGAGGTCGGGAGGTTTAAGGGAGAGCCCGTTTACCGCCGTGCCAACGTTCTGGCTTGCCGCACTGCGGAAAATTGGATGCGTGTAGGACGTCGGGTCAAAGATCGGCAGGAGCCGATGAAGTGGATTAAGCAGCGCGCCGTCACCATCCAGAAGCGCCGAGCACAGGAGCTTGCCTTGCAAGAGACGGGCGAGGCTATTCAGCAAGGCTTGTACGCTGAAAACCAAACTGAGTTGTACATTCCGCCGCCCATTGTCGACGTGAGCTAAGTTACGAGTCGTTCCACTGACGACCAGGGCAAGATCCCGCAAAACGCCTTCGGCAACATTGATCTCTACGTCCCGACAATGCTACCTGCTGGGGCCGTCCACTTGCCTTGTGAGTGGACTCTCTCATAAGAGTGACTGACTCCAGACAAGGGCATTGCGAAGGTGGCCAAGAAGATGGGTGTCAGCTTCGCAGAAGCCGTTGTAAGTCACATATTCCATCATGGACAGAGCTGATAGGCAGACATCCTTCGAGTTCAGGAAGCAGCGAGCCACGCCAGTCCTGACCGGCATCGTTGTGGCCGCAGAAAAGGAGGAAGAGGTCCTCGCCGCGTACTGGGAGTCGAATGCCGCGGCTGAAGAACGCGAGCGTACGAAGCGCGAGGAACGGGCTCTCAAGCGCTGGGTGAAGCTCATTAATGGCATCCGCGTCCGTCTGCGCCTCCGCGCAGAGTACGGCGAGATCGATGATGTGGGTAGTGGTTATCTGTACTCCGAGAACTGACAACAGGAAGAAGAGCAGCAAAATCCTATGGCGAGAGCTGGTCCGCAGCCGACTCGAACTGCTGGATCCGTCATTGCCCTTGCCAATCAACAAGCTACATCAGCCTGGGCTGACCGAGTACGCAATCCATCCCCAGAGGCGAAGCCTCGCGTCGTGACCGACGACGACGTCAAGGATGCCACGCCCGCTTCCAGGCGAAGGGCTTCACAGTCAGCGACCGTGGACAAATCGCGGGACATTGAGTTTGAACAGAACGAGCCTGTGGAGAACGGCCAGATGGAGGTAGACGCGGAGCGTCAGGCTGCGCCTCCCGCTTCAACAACGCCAAGAATCACTCTGAGGATACGATCGCAAGCTGCTACGTCTGTTTCGCCAACCCCAGCTCTTAATCGCTCTGGGCGACCGAAGCGAGTTGCGGCAAATGGCAAAAAGGCTTCCGCAAAGAATTCAAACACGGCCACGCGCTCGGCACGATCGAGGAAGCGAAAGGCGAGTGACGAGGAGGATGAAAGTAAGGCGGAGGAGAGTGGCGGGAGTAGCGGTCTTCCGCTGCAGCGGAATGGCCGTCGCAGTGGTCCTCCTCCTGCCCCCAGCGGACGTGTGCTCAGGAGTCGTGCAGTCAAGCAGAGCCTGCGTGAGCCGTCCAGCGAATTGTCTGAGGAGGAATGAAGGGAAACGGTGAAACTGTATCCAATACCTGTATCATGCTACATTTGTTACAACACTTTGCGCTATGCTGCCACCTTGGCGCTGGAACCCTTGACCTCGACCTTCTTCTGCGCTACCTTGGCGGCATCCTTAACTCCTGCAGCCTTGGAGTCCGGGCTTGGGGCCTTCTTCTTCTTCTTCTTGAGGAGCGCGGCGCTCACGGCGGACCGAACGTTGTCCTTGATCTCACGGCTCTCCTCGAGGAACTTGTTGTCCTCGAACTTGTGCTTCTTGCGCGCAAGTTCCTCGACATCGACCTCGCCTACATCGCCGTTTGAGCTTACACCGAGCTTGCGCTCCAGTGCCTCAAGCTTGGCACGCTCCTCTGCCTTGGCCTTGGCCTGCATCTCGTCCCAGCTCTCGATCAGCTCGGCTTGCCTTCCGTTAGCATTGCCTCTACAATAGCGTTCCAGCAAGACTCACTTTTGGGCCTCCTTGATAGTGCCGAGCCGCCGACCATTCAGGTCCTTGCAGCTGTCGTAGTTGGTGCTCTTGCTCGCACTCATCCGCCCGCCCTGAGAACGAAGGTTGGCACCGAAACCACCCTTGCCGCCGCGAAGACGAGGAACGACCTCGATCTCCACTATGCCGTTCGTGTTCAACTCGGAGAGCGGAGTGTCCGCGTCGACGATGCGAGCGCGTGTGCGGAGATAAGCGTCCCAATCCGGGAGAAGGGATCCGGCGCGCGCCCTGGGCTCAACATTGAGGACAGTGACGCCCAGCGGGGCGGGAAGACGGAGATGAATGCGCATGTCGGGACACGAGCGGAAGAGGCGACGCAAGTTCGAGATGAGATGAAGAGTGTGAGAGTGAGGACGCATCGGAAGGTTGCTCAGCTGATCATCGTTGGGTGGCGACTCTGTGTTTGCTTCCGCCCCGGTCACGTGGTTCAAAAGTTGAGGTCGAGAGAGTGGAGGGACGACAACTCACCGCACTCACCATCAACAACATCACCATCATGGGACGCAAGAGGAGATCGAGCGGAGCCGCTGCGCCCACTAAGGCCAAAGAGGCTCCCGGGGCCAGTATCAAGAAGATCGAGTCCTACGAGGACACGCTGCAGGAGGGCGGCGTCGACGATTGTGAGTGACCTGCCCCCAATCACACATGGTTTGCTGCCCCGCTGACAATAGACATGTTCAAGCGCGATCAAATCAAGTTCGACACCCGCGATGACGAGTCTGACGACGATATCGGCGCTAATGGCGAGGAGGTGCTTGGCCTGAATGTTCACAAGTTCCGCCGGGACGAAGACGCCGATGAGGAAGCAGACGAGGAGGACGAAGAGGAGTGGCCTGAGCCGAAGCAACTCAAGCGACTCTCGAAAGCAAAGCCTGACCTCTCAACCAAGGGACGATTTGGAAAGGAGGAAGAGGACTCGGACGACTACTCTGAAGAAGAGGAGTCGTCGTCGGGGTCGGAGTCTGAGGAGGAGGGTTGGGGGCGGCAGTACTACTCCCGCCCTAGTACACGGCGCGAGAAGGAAGACGAGGGGACGTATGACGAGAAGCGCGAAGAAGAGCGCGAGCTTGAGGAGAAGGAGGTGCGCAAGCTGCAGAAGCGAGCGCGTGAGGCCCTGTCCGGCGCTGAAGACTGGGGTCTGGATGATGTTGAGGTCGAGTACGCTGCGTGAGTCCCCTCCACCCCTTGAACTAGACTGACGATAGTCCTGAACAAGAAGAGCAGGGAGAGGAGGTGCGCTCCGTGGTGGCTGCTCCGGAAACGGATGATGCGTCGACGCTGCTGCGCCACCTCGCCAGCCACGAACCGCTCAAGCTGGCACTCGCCCGTGACTTCCCTCTGGTTCTCCGCAAGCTGCAGAAGACGAGTTTTGGCATCGCCAAGATGGAGGCGGAAGCTGAGGGCGAGGAGACGCTTCACAAGGGCCTCGGATATCTGCACTACCAAACTCTTTTGACGTACGCCACGACACTTGCGTTCTACATCCATCTGTGTGCGCTTCCCGCAGACGAGCGGCCTGACCTCTTGGCCCACCCTGTGATCAATCGCTTGCTGGAGCTCAAGCAGGGGCTTGCAGCTCTTGAAAGCCTCGACTTTGACGCTGGCTCCGTATCGGACAAGGGGCCAGAGCTCTTCGTGCGCCCAGGCGAAGAGGACGACGAGGACATGACCGAGGCGAAGCACGAGCTTATGGCGCGTATGCTCGCCGGTGAGCTCCCGGGAACCGAGGGTATGACGCTCGACGACTTCGATGCGATGGACGACGAGGAAGGTGACGAGTCAGATGGCAACCTCTGGCACCAAGCTGGGCTTGAGGACGACGAGCTCGACGGGCTACTCGCAGACCAGGTTGCGCCGCTCAAGATCAAGTCCAAGAAGGAGAAGAAGGAGAAGAAGAGGGAGCGCGGACGAAAGAAGAAGTCAAAGCCTACGACCGGAGAGGGGGAGGATGCGGTTGCGGCAGTAGCGTTCACTCCGCTGGCCGAGCCCGAGTTTGTCGCTACCAAGAAGAAGAGCAAGAAGGTGCCCAAGCTGTCAGCCGAAGACGAGACATTGGGCGACTTGCTCGAGCTTACGGACGCGGACGCGGGCGACAAGGAGCATCGCAAGCGATCGCTCCAGTTCCACACGCAGCGCATCAACAGCATGTCCAACCGCCGCTCAGCTGCTCGCGAGCGCCGCGCCGGCGGCGACGACGACATTCCGTATCGCTCGCGGCAGGCCGCGCGCGACGCTGCTCTGCGCAAGAATGCGCCCAAGGGCGACGGTGGCGAGGATCTTGGCAGCGAGTGGAGCGAGAGCGACCGCAAGCGCGCGCGCGAGGTGCGCGACGAGCAGGAAGACGGGACCAACGAGGCTCAGGAATACTACGATCTCGTGAAGCGGCGCAAGGTCACCAAGGAGGCCGCGAAGTCAGAGGCGCACGAGGAGTTCCGCGAGGCCAAGTTTGCAGCCTTTGAGGACGAGAGTGCCGAGGGCCCACGTAGTGTCTCGCGCGCCATCGAGAAGAACCGCGGCCTCACGCCAAGGCGTTCCAAGACGGGGCGCAACCCGCGTGTCAAGAAGAAGCTCGCGTACGAAAAGGCCAAGCAGAAGGTTGGGAGCCAGCGGGCTGTGTACAAGGGCGGGCAAGCGGCATTGGGTGGCGCGTACGCCGGCGAGAAGAGTGGTATCTCGACCGTTTCCAAGTCGCGCAAATTCTAGGGTGTATGCACTTGATTATCATAGATCACAGTATAGCTACAGCTCACTTCTTACGCGACGAGGGTGGTGGGCGACGCTTCTTGAACATCGAGCCGCCCGAAGTCGGCGGTGCTGGGATTTGGGTCGAACATTCGACGGCTGCTGGGTTTTCGACGGAAGCATCGAGGTTGGGCTTCCTGTCCTCCCCCGGCTCAGTTTTGATATCCATTACGGCGCCTGCATCGGAGTCGGCGTTGGCGCTAGGCTCAATTTTGACCCCCAGCCCATCGGCATCCGTCTTCACTTCCGCCTTCGTTTCCGCTGTTCCCCACCCCCCCTTACTGAATCCCGCCCCAATATTCGTCCCCTTGGCCTCCTCCTTGGCCCCCTCTCTGTCCTCAGCCGCAATCTCGCCCTTCACATCCCCCTCAGCCATTTTGCGCTCCTTGGTCTTAAGCTTCAGTCCGAGCAGCGCGCCCGTGTCGACGTCCTCGTCGTCGTAAACATCACGATGCGGTCGCTTGTGCTGAATCTTGAAACTTGCGAGCTCCTCCTCTTCGGTTTCCGGCCTTTTATCCTCTGGTGGTGGAGGAGGGGTTGGGGTGGAAACCACTTCCTCCCACTGGCCAACCTTCGTTCCACGACCCCGCACCATCTGCTCGATCTCGTACGCGCTAGGTCCTTCCTCGTCGGCAAGACCCATTTGTGCGGCTGTCGTGTAGTTAGCCCACTTGTCGCCGCTCGGCTTGTCTCTCCGAGGTTTTGAGGCTGATGGCATGGGGCGATCGAGCATCGGCCGCCCGCCGTAGGCGCCGCGCGCGCCGTCAACGGAGGAGTGTGCGCTTCTCGCGGCCTGTCGTTAGTGATCGGGAGAAGGAGGTTAGGCTGAACCTACCGCTTCGATGCGTTCAAATTGTCGCTTCTCGGCCTCCTTTTCCCGCTTGGCGCGCTCGCCTCCCTTGTATAGATTGCGAATGAATCGCTCGAGATTACCCTTGTGCTTCTCGCCGCCTTCATGCAGGCTACGCTGCGCGGCATCATCACGGATGAACATGTTGCAGTACTTGCACCAGTACTGCTTCTTCGAGACCCAATATCTGCTGTTAACTCCAGAAGCAGGGCGGTCAGCTAGACTTACTCTGTCATGTTGATTGCGATAAGTTGTGGAGAAGAGTGAGTGAAGTTGCGTCGAGCTCCGTTGGGCGGCAAATGACTGATCGGAGGGGGGGGGGGACCACATAGATGTGGAGGTTGGCCGCCACCGATACGACAGCCGGTCTGCTCGAGTTCACTCTTCATCTTGGTCTACTCCTTTTCGATGGTGAGCTGCAATGCGACTGAACTCACGCATAGCATGGAATCAAGCGCACCCGAATTTCAAAGGAAGCTGAAGAGGCGCGGCGCCTGAAGGAGGTTTCCAAGATCCAAGCGTACACTGCGCTGCAGGAGGACGTTCTGGCAATGGTATGCCGTCCTCCTCTCCCGCTCAGCTGACCCTAGAAACGGCGCAAAGAATACACTCTCGAGGCACTCGAGAAGACTAATAAGCTTCTCGACCTCAACCCCGAGTTCTACACCGTATGGAACTACCGGCGACACATTCTCATACGTGGCCTCTTTCCGTCCTCGTGCGCTATGAACCAGTGTAGTCTGACAGCAGATCGGATGAAGAGGTGGTCGGGCTTTTAGAGGCGGACCTGCGACTTACAATGGCCTACCTTCGTGTTCATCCTAAGGTTTACTGGATTTGGACGCACCGCAAGTGGTGCCTCGAGAACGTGCCCCGCGGCCCAGGTGACAGCGAAGGGTGGCGCAATGAGTTTTGGAAGAAGGAGATCGGGCTTGTCGAGAAGCTTCTTGACGCAGATGCGCGAAATTGTGAGTTTTGATTGTCCTTGAAGACAAGCGTTGAGCGGCTTGATGCTCCATGCGGGAGTGAGGAACCAAGGGCGTAGCGTCTTAGAGCGAAGCCCGTCTTCCCAGAAATGCCTTGCAGTGTGGCCCCAAGTCTTTGGCAGACAACATATACAGTGCGCTCGGGCTGTCGTGACTGTCTAAGGCTTTCATTGCCACATTTTTGGGCGTGGTTTGCATTGAGCACCATCAGCTTACCCCAGTCCATGCCTGGACTTACCGGCGATACATTAGCGAGTCGCTCCCTGTGTCTTTCAGTCCCAAGCGCACGCCTGCCGATGAGATCAAGTATACGACGAAGAAGATTGAGTCAAACTTTTCCAACTTCTCGGCTTGGCACTCGCGTACCAAGATCCTCCCAAAGATTTGGGAGGGGTTATCGGAACAAGAAGTTGCGACCGAGAAGGACAAGGGTGAGCGATATCGATCCGTGCACAAACCTGACACTAGAGTTTGAGCTCGTCACTCAGGCGCTGTGGACCGATCCAGGAGACCAGTCGGGATGGCTGTATCACCGATGGCTAGTCGGAACCAGTGAGCTGATTTGGCTCCGACAGATGCTTACTGGTAGACCCATCAGCTGAGCTGCTCATGCGCGAGCTCGACTCGATTAAGGAGCTGCATGAGGCTGAGCCTGACTCCAAATGTAAGATACTAGATCTGGGGCGGCCAGCTGACTGAGAGGGTGCATGAACGCTCTCGCGCACTACCATCTTCTCTCGGCTCGTCTGCCGTCCACACAGGCCGATGAGGCCGCACAGCACCGTTCAGCGGCTAAGACCATCCTGGAGCGCCTCGAAGTCATTGATGAGGATAGGAGGGAGCGCTATCGAGAGCTTGGTGAGTTATGTTTTTCATGCCTCCCGCGACTCCAATAGTGCTGACAGAAGCAAGCCAATACTGAAACAAATTCATAATGCCATAATCGTATGCACAAGCTACACACTCCACACTCTAGAGACGTCTAGACGTCCTGGGGCACCTCCTTCTGGAACAGGCCACGGCTGAACGCGCCCGCAACAACCGCAAATGGATCGTCGGCATCGTGCACCTCGCCAAGGAACAGGTCGTGACGGTCTGCCAGGCGTGCTTGGTTATTGCGCAGCTCGCGGACCATGGCATGCTGTTGCGCACAAAGGATACACTCAGGTTCAGAGTCGCTCAGGCATCGCTGGTGGTAGCTGTGCTTGCACATGAAATGCACGGCGGGAAGGTCCAGCTGGCCTCCGCACGCGGCACACTGCGTCACCTGGAACACCTCTGGCTGGCGAGTGTTGGTAAGATCGGCGATCTCCTTCTCCTTGGCCGCTGTCTCCGACCGGTAGCTTTCGACAAGCGCCTTATCCTGCTGTCAGCGCAATCTTGAATTCATGACTCACCGCATCAATCTCCTGCCGTGTCTCCTCAACTTTGGCGCGCAGCCAGTCCTTGACTGTGCCGACCGACGCCACACCGTTGCGCGAGAGCAGCTGCACAACTGCCAATGGTGGAATGATTCGCTCGGAATCAATCGTCTCGAGGATACGTGGTAAGCTCGCCTTGTGTCTGCTGAGCACAGCACCCGAGCTGGTGATGTATCGAAGTACCATGGGGTACAAGCTTGGGTTACCAGGTCCATACATGTCGAGGTAACGCATGACCTCGTCTGCGGCGTTGACACCGTCCTTCTCACTCGCGCGGCCTTCGGCAATGGCCGTATCCCGCTCCATCCAATAACGCAGAACGTCCTCGTACATCCCGAGGCTCTCCCAGAGACCGACGAGACCGTCAGTGAATTCCGCCATTGAGCACAGCACAAGTGCGTGCATCGGGTCATAAGGAATGCTGGGCGCCGCCAGCAATCCCAAAACCTTGCCCCGTGCGGCAGTGACCATGTCGCCTTCGCCTTGCGTAGAATCGAGGTACAGTTCGAGGAGTGTGTTCCAAACGGCGCGCTGGTCCGCCTCACCCACTGGCAGCTCTACCGTGTCCTCGATCCCGCGCTGCTGCGCGACGCGCCCCGGCGTCACGGCGGGCTCTACCCGCTGGCCCCACAGAGCGTACGCGACGTCCTCGAGGAAGTGAACGAAGAGGTCACGATGGTCAACAAAATGCGCAAAGAAGAGTCGCGGAGATGGCGGCGTATATGCGGGCGCATCTTCCTCCTCCTTCGCTGCGGCGTCGGCAGGCGTGGCAGCGCCATTTGTGCCATTTGCTGACACGCCCTGCGCCTCCCCCCAAAGCCTGTTTACTCCAAGTGCGGGGATGGTGGGCAGATACGAGGTCAAACTTGTACCGTTGGCCCGCGCGTCCTCAAGACTCTGATGAATGTCCGCGTGCGCCTTCTTCCGGCCCAACGTTCCCGAGCAAAGGTCAATGAGGAGCTCAGTTGTCGCTTGAGGTTCGTGTTGTAGAAGAGCTCGACCATAGCGGATGAGATTCTCCTCGCATGCTCGAGGCCCAAGCGAGCGCAGATACTTGAGAGCGTCCTTGAACTCCTCGGCGTCTTCAATTTGAATGCGGAGGTACTCCTCGTGTCGCCCATACTTGCGCGCGAGGTACGTCGCGTGCTCAAAGAAGCCCGCCTGCCGGCAGACACGGATAGCCGTTTCGAGGTCGAAGGGAAGTGTGTCAACGTCACGTGCCGCCTCGGCTTTGATGAACTGGTCAAGGCTCGCACGGTTTCCACTCTTGGTGTAGCAGTTGAGCAAGAGCGTCGTGTGGTCTGGATTCGCAAGACCACGCGAGTGTAGTTCCTGAAGATACGTGGTGAGGTTGTTCATGCGCTGGGCATCAAGGAATTTGCGAATGACGTAGGAAGGCTGAATGAAGCCAAGCGTCTTGACAAATTGACTCATCGCGCCGTCAAAGTCACCTTTGCCGTACAAGTAGTCGCCATAGAGACGGTGAATCTCAGCAATACCCGCGTCGTTGACGCCCTGCGTCTGCGCGAGGCTAAGTGCCAGCACGTACAGGTTTCGTCGGTAGAGGACATCCAGCTTGGCGCTCGTGGAGTGCTCCTCCAGGCGCGCAACTTCGCCGTTACCCTCAAGCACGTAGATATTCCCCCACTGTGCAAACAGCGCGCGGATGCCGTTTCGGAACACGCCTGTGTACGCGACAAGTTTGTTTTCGAGATCAAAGATAGTTATTTTGGCCACATCGTCGCCCTTTATCCTCCTACCGGCGTGCATCGGCGGGCTAATGATGATCAAGTTGTGCTTGACGACGGCCATCGACGATTTGGGGCCCTCAAACGCGTAACATGCGCCCCGGCCCTCGGGCGAGTAGCGGTAGATGGCGTCGTCACGGGCAACCACGAGCTCCTGCCGTTCAGCGTCCATTTCCGCGCATCCAAGACCGGCACCCGACTCGTCGAGAACGCGCGCCTCGCCGCCGCGCGTGGACACAGGTGCACACAGCACACGGTTTGTTGTAGTAATGAACAGTGCGGTCGCCGTCACGCCACCCTTCTCGAGCCGGCCCTCACGGAATCCGAGTCCGGTGACGGCTTCCGGTGCGCGCTCGTGGGCCTCCACGACGGTGCGCGCCTTGGGCAGCGTCGTCAATGCTGTCGGTGACGTCGTAAGACTCTGTAGCATGTGGCGGTATAGCAGGACGGTGCCATCGCCAAGGCCGATAGCGAGGTGTGAAAGGTTGGTGGTGAGCGCAACCGCCGATACCTGAGATCAGCACAGACAGGCAACGATGCGGCTTACAGGGTGTGGTCGCCCGGCGACCTGCTGGATCTTGATGTTACGCATCAGGAGCGGGTCACCGCGACGCCGCTTCTCGTCTCGCGTCAGGTCCCACACCTTCAGAACAGGTTGGCGGCTGCCTTCATCTTCTCCCACAGCGAGTAAGAGTCCTCCAGCTTCTACCAGGGCCGTAGCTCGCCCGTTGCCTTCCCACGCCGGAAAGGCGCGCTCGGGCACAAAATGTCGGTCGAAGATGGTGATTGTGTTGCCTGAAGATACGATGAGTGACGGATTTAGAGGCGAGTCCGGCGAAGTCGGCGTCGCAACCACGGGAGGGGAGAGCTCCTGGATCGCTCGAGGAGCCGAGGCGAGATCGCTCGCATCCTTGACGCTGTCAAGATCAAAGAATGTAAACTGTCGCCATTGAGGAGCGGAGGTGTCTGGGGCACGTGATGGCCCGGCCATGCTGAGTATCGACGATGTCGCTGATGATCACAACGCCAGACTCGGGTGTTGTGCATCCCAACGTCACCGTGCATTTTGGAGGGGGGCCAAATACAGTATGCGTGGTGAGTGGAGGTGGAGGTGATCGGACTCGTGCACCGCTGTGAACGCGTTCCTCGCACTCGGCGCTCTCTCTGCCATGTCCCATTTTGCTCTCCAATTCTCTCAAAGCGCACAGGAGAACACGGTTTAGCCTGGCTTGATGGATCAGCCAAACGCCGATGCCCGTCGCTCTCTGGGTGTGCGTCCCGGTGCGCGGCCACGACCCAAGGTGAGTTAAACCTCTCTTCCCCTCGATGTTAACGACAGATCCAAATCACCAATGACTCCCCTCTGCCCGAGGCTGATCGCGATAGCAAGCAATCTTCTCCCCGCTCGCCCCGCTCTCCGCGCTCCCCGATTCTCTCCCTTATAGTTCCATCTGGTCCTAAACGAGACGTGAGCCCCGGGAGCAGCAGTACTCCATCGGGCTCTGGTGAAGGGTTTCGTCGTCTCCGAAGACCGACGATCTCGCGCAAGAACCAAACCGCCGGGGTCACATCCAATCGCGGGCAATATGAGACTCAGAAGCTCCTCTCTCACCTTCTTGACCGCCTCGAGGCACGACCACGACCACCAGACCTTCTTGATCGTGCTGCCCTCGCTGCCTGCAAGGCGAATGGTGTCGCGCGCGCGAAGACGAAGCACCGGGCGTTCGCACTCGGCGAAGCCGTTGCAGCGGCAGCCATAGGTCATAAGTTGACTTCGAGCGCAGATAACCTCCCCCGCGAGGACGAAGAAGAGGACCTCTATCTCCTTGACGAGGGCGAGTGGAATATCGACGCGACCTACGACATGGTTGAGCAAATGCGTAACTTGCTTGTCCTCGCCGAGAAGCAGCACTTTGATGTGTTTGGCGCTTGCCAGGTCTCCGCAGCTGAAGCAGCACGAGCTGCCGCTGCAAAGGATCGGAGACGCGGCTCCCGTTTTGCATCCTCGCCTCTTGCTAAGACAGCGGAAGACCCCTTTGCGTTTGATCCTGCCGTGACTGTCTCCGGGCCGGACTTACTACGTCGCATGGCAGAGGCAGTCCGCACCCTCCTCACGGTCGACTGCCTCTACAAAACCACCAAGTTCAGACTTATGCAACCGCCCTACGCTTTACCGGCGGTCTGCATGGACATCGCTGCCGTGCTTTATCACAAGGGCGATCTTAAGGTGCAGCTCGAAATGGTGGAGGCTGTGGTGGATGGCCTTTACAGCATGGGCGACGTCTTGCGCGAGAAGGTTTTCGAATGGCTGGAGGGGAGGTTGGCCGAAATGCTCCATAAGCTTGCAAGAGAACGCGGTGCCGACGACCAAGAGAGGCGAAACATGGAATGGAATGGTGGGTGGACTCGCGCCTCATCCGACTAAATGTCAGACCCGTTCGCGGATTCCCCGTCCCCAACAGTGCCCACTTTCGCGTTCTCTGTTCATCCCGCCGACGATACGGATCCGCACGACACCGGCACAGTGGAGCACAAACCCGGATGGGTGCGGTTCTCGCCCACAAGCGCGAGCCCACTTCCGAGTGCCGCTAGAGACAAGCTTCACGGGATCCTCTCCACGCATACCGCGAGCGGTAACATCTCCTTGGCTGCAATGCGAATTGCCGCCATTGTACCCCACATTCTCGTGGCCATCACCTCCACTGTCGACCTGAGGTCATTGAACCTCGTGTCCATCTACCGTGTTCACCGCTTGCTGTCCCTTATCCTCTCTGCCAAACCGGACGCAGCGCTTGACCTCATTGAAATCATCGCGCATGGCCCATCTCAAACCCGCTCTCGAGGTCTTGATTTTCTCGCTACCTTCTATCCAGAAAGCGTTGGGCACAACGTGATCGCTCGTCGACCCGCTCTGGCAACGCACCAAGCCCACATGGCTAAGTGGGAGTCTGGGCAGGAACGCGTTCTCGGCGAAGACGATGCGGAAGGTCACGCTTACATCCCATGGCGTGCACGGGAGGACGAGGGGATCAAATGCACTGGCTGCTACCAGTTGTGCATTGGCTTCTGCGTGAGGTGTACTCTGTGCCAAGGCATCAAGCACGCAAGCTGTCTCCAACTGTACCAGGAGGAGACTTACCAATACAATGTCCTCGTTCAAGGCCCAGGGGAAACGCAACCATCGAGGACTGAGGTCGTACATGTCCAGTTCTCTAAATGCATTCCCCGCCTTGACGAGAAGGTGCTCGGCGGCGGTGCCACAAAGGGTACCACCGACTCAACAACACGTCGAGTGGGCCAACATGATCTCCACCTCGTGAACTTGTTCCGTATCACCCTCTGCGCTGAGTGCCACGAGCCGCTATGGGGCGCAACGGCCCAAGGCTATGCCTGCATGGGTGTTTGCCAGCGATTTTTTCACGTCTCCTGTGCCGAAGAGATGGCCAAGGGGCACGCCCGGGTCTGTCGACCAGGGTTTGAGATTTACGCCAACCCCAACAACCCACCTACAGCTCGCGATCCCTTCTCAGCAAGTGCCGTAGATGTGCGGGAGTCGTTTCAGCGAGCAGCCGATCGCCTCTACCGCGACCCCGACAGGCTGGGAGGCGCAAGCTACGACGAGATTTCCTTACTCTACGCGAGCACCTGGACGCAGCTGGAGATTCTCAACAATGGCATTGCCTCGGGCTCCCTCAGAGTTCACCATGAGGGAAACTCGGCCGAGCAGATTACCAGCCTAGCAGCGGTCCTGTCCAAGTACAAGGCAATTCTTGACAAAGGCAATCTTCCAATGTCGTCTGCGGTCGAAGAGTATGGGCGGATCTCAGGCGAAACCTCCCTCAACTGCGACCTGCTTTGGAGACTTGGGTATCTTCGATTCTGCGCAGCTCTTCTGCGCGCTCCTACGGATTCATTGCATGCGCCTTCGTTGCTGAATCCTACTGGTCTTCTGACCGTCGCGGATAGTCACTCCTCCCAAGTCGACCCGCCCAGTGTCGCGTACGAGGCGGTTCAAATGCACTCAATCCGTCAAACGCTCAAGGCTGATCTTAATGTCCACTCGGACTTGGCTGCTTCAATTCTCATTGATCAGCTGCGGCTGCTAGGCCTCTGCAGCATCGCCAACACGCAACGCATTACACCACCCATCATTCATAGCAACTCACTGACGATCAACTTCCCTCTCCCTCAGTTGATGGACGCCTCACCGTCCGTTGAGCTGCTCGTGCTGGTTATTGAGCAGCTACTGGACGACATTGATATCACGGCCAACGAACAGGGATTATCACTCCTCGTCAACCGCGCGTGGCCTAGCAGCATGTGCGCGCTCTATGCCATGGAAAGGCTCGGAGGCGCTGTCATGTCGTGGATCATGGCTGAGGACGACGTGTTGCATCATGTTGTGAAGAATTATGCCTCGAAACGAAGGCGCCCGCCCGGTGTACGCACCTCTACAAAGGGCGAAGCGTCGGTGAATGGGTATAGGGACGATCGTGATGAGATTCGCGCGCGATACGCACGCCCCTGGCTGAAAGCCCTGCACGACCTGGACCCAGGCCTTTACGGCGAGCTTGCATACGACCGCAGCAAGATAATCGATGACCGGTGGGGAGTTATCGATCTGAAGAAAGGCGACGCAGCCGCATCGCAAGTGGCAGGAATGGCTCTTGATCGGATCACAGCCCTCGCAGACGCAAATGCAACATTCGACATCACTCTCGACCTTCTTACGGCCTGGTTAGAAGACATCAGGGGTTTGGCACATGAGGTGAGCCGTTCGCCCTCTCATAATCTGACGTCCAGGATGCTGCGTTCAAGGCCCTGCCTCGGCTTCTCCGCCACAGCCACGATCTCAACGGTAGCTCAACAGATCTGTGGACGTTGGCCAACGAGACCTCCCGTGATGACGTCCAGGGGTTACAGCGCGTCTGCCGCTGGCTCCGTGTACTGGCCTGTTCTGGCGTCGAGGTGCCGTGGGAGTCCCTCACTGCACTGATGGACCTCGACAGCCTCGCCCAGATTGGTGAGGAGTCGCGATCTGACCTGGTCCTAGCAGCAGGAGTCAATTCAGCCCCCATTGCGCACGACGCACACGCGGAGCTCCTCTCTCGCCTTTTCGCCAATGTCGTGGAGTCCCTCCACAAACAACAACGCGATGACATCGGGGATGAAATCCAGGCCCCGAGTGACATTGAGCTCGACATGCTGCGTACAGGAATGGTCGCTATCTTACGCGCGTACGAGGTCAAAGTCTCGGACATTGAGACCAGCGCGTTGCACAACGAAAGCACGGCCAAGCAGCTTATGATCAATAGCAAGAAGAAGAACATACCCCTCAGAACGAGACCGATCCCACTAGACGCCGACGCCGTGCTTGCTGCCGCCAGGCTCCTAGGTCATCGGCAGTACCCCGCTGAGCCAATGTTGGATTTCATATGGCTCCTCATCAAGGCACCAGCTGCAGACAATCCTGTCGGATTCGTAAGGTGCACTATGGACAGTCGCTCATGCCTCAGCTTCATCACATCTGCTCAGAACTATACGAGTTCCTGTGGCCGCTGTATGACCGGCCTGTACACCGCGCAAGCCGCGCTCGGCTCTTAACGAAACTACTGACCATCAACTCTAAGCCCCTTGAGACCCTTGCAGGCGAGCGTGCTGGCGGGCGGGATTTGTACGATACATGCCCTGTCAAGCTAACGTCAGTGACGATATTACAAGGGAGCGGCTGTACACCTTCGTGCTGGAGCTAGCCGATGAGCGAGTCACGCAGGACGTAGATGTGCCGAACTGGAGACGCTCAGCAGTAGGCCTTGTCTTGAAACTGTTTAGCACAGCCATTCCGTCAACGGACTCAAGCCCGCAGAACCTCGTCATGTGGAGAGGCCTCATGCCTGCCCACCTCGAGGCCCTTACTCTCTCATTTGAGAATTACTTGCTGTTTGGCAGTACCGACGAGCAGCGCCTAGCGTTGCTGTCCAAGCTCTTGCATCTGCAAACCCTCAAGCCCTCCTGGCCATGTAAGTCTCAACAGCATCGCTTTCTGACCACGCAGTTCTCGGATGGAAGGCCATCGAGAATATTGTCACTGAACAGGTCCAGACCATTGAGGCTCTTCACGAGGCAGACACAGTCCATGCTCTCACGGCCGTTGCGGACGCGTTGACCATACGCGCAGCCGCGCTGTCGCTGGGTTTGAACATGTTGGCGGCTGGCGTGCCCTGCGAGTGGACGGTGCTACAACGCTTCCAGCAGTTCGCCGCTGCAGCATGTGATCTCCCGTGGCCCTCGCCCTGCGACGCCATAACCCTGATCCTACTTCCAGCGCTCAAGAACATCCTAGACTCCTCACGTCGTATCTCGGCCACACAAGATGCGGATGAGAAGAAGACGGTTCTCGTCGGTTCACTTTTCGTGCCGGTTGTTATCAAGTTCGCCACAGTTCTTCATGATTGGGATTTCGTGGTACAACGCCATATCCTCGACATTCTCCTTGTTGTGTTTTTCAAGGTACGCCTGATACAAGTCGCCATGTTTGACTCCAGCACAATGTTAGATCTGTGCAGCTGCACACAGAAGACGCGTTGAGGGCCACATCTTACTATGCCTCGACAGCCACCAATGCGCAGAACGGTATTCTAGCAATCCAGGTGCTGCGCACAGCGCAGGAGCGCATGGATCGTAACAAATTCTCACACGTCGTGCCGCAACTCTTCATAAATGTCGCGTGGACTGTCATCCGGCCAGGGGGTGATACAGAGCTGGTCGATTCAGGCAAGTCCCTCATTGCTCTGTCGCTGACGGGGCAGGCCTGTCCTTTATGCAAGAGGCAATGTCAGAGTTTGGATCCGCTGGTCTCCTGCTGCATGTCCTCCGGATGCAGTCGGATCAAGGGCGTGATCGTCCAACGTACCTAGGGGAAGCTATCCAAATGGCGGGCCGTGAGTCGGAGGACACAATGCAAGAATGGCTCAACCAGCTCTTCCGCTACCTGTGAGTAATTGGTGTCGGCACGGCTGACAGCAGTCCGGACGTGTTGCGAGAGCCTCGCAAGATCATTACTCAGACGGCACTCCCCCTCGCGAATCTCATAAAGTCCTTGAAATGCAAGCTCTCGGAGGAGAGCATTCTGGGTGAGCGTCTTCCATTGATTGCTGGCTGACTGTCAGAGTTTGGCGCTTTCATATCGCGGCTGGGCAAGCTTGCGGGCGAATGGGACTCGCCTCGGGACTTTGACCCCAATCCCGTGATTCAAACGTGCGCACATGTCCTCAAACTGGCTCCAGGATCCTCAGCAGCCGTAAATGTTTGATGTGTGCGGTAACTGACATGAGACCCTCCTGCATCAAATCGCTACCTTCGTCCAGGTTGCTGTGACACGGTATACAGTATGGCTCTCTACGCTGTTCGAACTCGTGCCCGTCACAGTCGAGGTTGTGAAACAACATCACCCAGAGAACACGGTGGCCGCAGTCATCTTTGACACTGCGCTTGCCGGCGTCCGCGGGCAGACTTTGTCGGCCCCAACCCTAACTTCTTTACTCCAGGTGAGGATCACCCGCCTCTTCGCCCTAACCACAGTTCCTGGCCCACGATGAGAACGACTCCTCCACACTCACTCAAGAGCGCGAGAAGGTCATGGTCGAGGCGTCGTATGGGTGCGGTCTCCTCCTCCTGCGCGAGCACCCTTCATTCGCGGTGATGCGCGACCCCGAGTTAACGATGAAGCTCCTCGACGCCGCAGCCACCGTGATCGTGCGCGCCGAGGTCTTGGCGCCAGGGAACACCGGCTTCGTGCTGAGCAGCGCCCCCAAGAGTTCGGGAATTACGCAGGTGCACGTCTTCGGCCATATCCTCTATGCCTCCCTCGCGGTTAACCTGGGCAGCGCGCGGGCCGACCTCATCTCTCTTTATCCCGTGTTGGCGCGGGCTACTGCACGCACAATGTACGGCTGGTCGGACTTGCTCAGTGTTCTTGACCCTACTGGCGAGGGCTCACAATTCGGCGAGAACGTGTTTATCGTCATGCGCCTCGCAACGCTGGCCATTAATGACCCTAACCCCACGTCTGAGAGCCCCGCGACATCCGAGGCCCTCGCCGCCTTCTGGCGCCGCCTTTGGCCTGAGTGGGACCGCCTGCTCGGCTCCTCGCTTGCACCCTCCTGCGCCAACGACATGCTGCGCGCCTTCACCATTCCCCTCCTGCTGGACATCGTGCTGTTCGTCGCTTCCGCTGCCCCCTTGCTGCTGGTAGATGCGGCGGCGATTGTCGGCCGCGGCCTGAACGCCATTGAGGACTGGGACGCGTCCCAGGACATCAAGAGCTCTAAGCACAAGCTGGCGCGTGCAGTGGCTGCGCTGGAGAGCGTTTTGCGTTCGAGCGACGAGACACCGTTGAACCGTGCGGCCGCCGTCGAGGATGTCCGCAAGGCGATGGTCAATGGCGAGAAGATGCGGACTGCGGTGCTGGGCCGAGAGCCGCGTGAGCGTGAGCGTGAACGCGCGCCCACGCGCATGGGCTTCCGATAGTAGATAGAGTTTGTTGTAACTTGTATCTGCTGCGATGGGTGTTGTGGGGGTGTGAAATGTGAAAGTTACGGCGGGAGCTGGGAAAGTGACCGTTCTACAAAAGACAGCCGCGCGCTTGCCAGGAGTTGCTGTCCATTGCATATACAGTAGCTGTCCCAAGTCAAAGGAAACACGTGTAAACATATGAGACGTAAGACGCCTTGCAGAATTGCAGGAATTTTAATCGCAATGCGCCGCGTTCCCCTGGTCGATCACGAAGCTTGGTGATGTGCGGGGCCGTGCCTTGCACGTGTCTGAAGCATGCAATGAGGGCAGGGCAGCGTGTCACGCCGCGTGCCGCCACGGTGTGTTTGTGACGTCGACGTCGCGCTCCAAGGTTAACGCTGAAGATGCCCGGGGCCCTTGGCAGGGGGTTGCAAAGCAACGGCTCCGGCCAAAAGCTACCTTCAGTGGCACACCGGTGCAACCTTGTTCTGTTCAGTTCACAACGCGTCTACACTTGTTCTATTCAGAACTCATCGGTAAACAAAAACCCAAAGTAGACTACAGTGTGTTGCATCTCTCATCACTCGACTGCCGCTGCAGCCGGTATTATGAACTACGTGTGTGACTGCTGGTCGGTCGTAAAATATCTAGGGGTGGTGTAACGGTCGTGTATAGATGGGTATCAGCAAGCGGAGAAGGTGAGCATTACACGCCACCGTCCCAGTCCTCGTCAGGAGGCGAGCGGTCAACGTCGAGCTTGCCCTTCTCGTCGATGTGTGCAAACTGTGTGGACGCCTCAACGCCAGCAGCGTTGATCCGGTTGGCCTCGTAATTGCCGATGCCGAGCGGGTCATTGGCGATCCAGATGACAGGCTGCTTCTTGTACATGGCGGGGTGGTCAAACTCGTGGCGGACGTCAATGCGGTCCTGGCCAGTGAGACCAGCGGCGTCGTCCATAATGGGAGGAGTCTTCTCGCCCGGCGACTTCTCGCTGACGACGTTCTCGGTGGGGTTGAGGTGCGTCTGGCTCGACGAGTAAAGATGAGTCCAGCCGTACATGATAACGTCCTTCTTGAAGGCGACGTGGTCAAGGTAGGCCTGGTGGACGGCAGTGATGAGACCGCAAACAGCGATGACTGCACCGCCAATGTAGCCAACGGTGTTGTTCATGAGGAAGAACAGAGCCGCCAGGCAGACAATCTGGAAGTACATGGCAACGAAGACCGTGCGGAGCATCTTGCGGTAGTAGAGGCCGCCGGTCTCGAGCTCCTCGGGCTGGTCAGAAGTCCAGAGAAGCTGGTACTTGTAGGCCGAGTAGAAGAGCACCATGCCGATGAAACCGATAATAGTCACAAGAGGTTGGATTGTCGAGTAGATGATCGTGACGGCGACGATGAGACAAATGTTGGGCATGGTAGTCGACCACATGAAGGAGTCCATCTTGAACTTCTGCGCGAATGCCTTACGAGGAGTGCCGCCGGCGAGGAAGCCGCGCAGCTGATACATGACGAAGGGGACCACACGAGCCAGAGTCTTGGCGGCGGCACTCCAAGTCGCGGTAAGAATGAACACGAGGAAGAAGATGTTGGCGCCGGGGAGCTTCTCGGCAAGGAGGGTAGGGATCGAGTCAAGAGTGCCGCTAATGTTCGAAAGAGCGCCAACGAGACCGGAAGCGAGGGTAACAATGAAGAAACCGTGCACGATCCAGAAGAGCCAGTAACGGCTGAAGAGCTTGAGCTCCACCTCCGACTTGCGCGTCTCTCCCTGCAGCTTGATCCAAGCGCGGAGAACCATGGGCAGAAGCATGAACAGGACTGCGAGGGCCACAGTGGGGAGAACAGCCTTGATGATACCGAGCGGAGCCGCGGGAATCTTGAGGATCCACGCGAAGGGCCTCGTGCCGTTCACCTCCCAAGTAGTGAGGGTGTCGATGTTGGAAACAAAACCGACAAAGGCCATGGGGATGGTCCAGAAGATAATGAGGGTGATGGTGAGGCCAAACGAGACGGCGGTCCGAGCCTTGCGCTGGTAGGGGTTAATGCTGAGGTTGCTCCAGATCACGTCTTCAGGAACGACCTCGATGCTAGTCTTGACCATCATGAAGCGCTTGGGGTCCGTCTTCTTGAAAAGGCGGGCAAAGTTGTGGGCCTCATCCTGGGTGGCAAAGCGGGCAAAGGCGACGTTGCCAAGCTCGTAATCCTCCTCGTTGGCGCGGAGCTTGACGAGCTCGGCGTTCTTCTCGCGGATGTAAGCAGGGGAGGTCTCGAGGTCCATCTTCTTGCCGAAGAGACCAAGGAAGCCCTGCTTCCACTTGGGCTGCTTCTTGGGGAGAACATACTGGTCGAGGGGGTTGCCGCTCTCCTGGTTCCAGGTGCCCTTGGCCTCGGGGGTCTTGCCCTTGCGCTGGTTCTTCAGCGCCAGCTTGAGGAGCTTGCCGATACCACCCTCGAGACGGTTGCACTCCTTGTCGCGGTCCTCCCAGACCTTCTCAACATCCTTAACCTTGCGAGCGAGCCAGACGTCGGTGACGCCGCCGGGAGCACGGTGGGTCTCAGCAGAGACGCCGCTGGGACGAGGAAGGCCGGCCGAGGTCTGAGTGGCGACAGTGCTAGCGAGCTCCTTAATTCCACCCTCCGAGAACATGTCGGTGGGAACATTGGTGATCATGACAGTGCGCGACTTGCGGCTAGTCGAGTCTGACTTGAGCCAGCGGGTACGGATGTCAACCAGGTGACGGAACTCGCGCCAGAGAAGGTAGTTGGTCACCACTGTTGTTAGAATAGGCCACATAGTGTAAAACCGTCACTCACGAATGAAGATCGCAGTGACAATCATGTGAGGAATGCGACGGAGCGACTCGGCCACATTTCCAAAGGTAAGCTGGTTGACGCCACCGAGGTTGTTGTTGGGTCCAACAACACTAAGTGTCAGCGAAGGAAGGACAGAGACTAGCAAAGAGTAGAAAAGGCAACTTACGCAGGAGCGACGAGTGCAGCGAGCGACAGGAAGGAGAAGAAAGCAAGGAGACAAACGCCAAAGATCTTGAGGTAACGAACGGTGAAGTAGGCATCTGGGCCGTTGATCTAGATGTTTAGTTGGGACCATCACCTTTTAAGCTCACCTGGAGAATGTGTTCGTCTCTAACTTGGAAAATGGTTCTCCACCACCCTACTGGACTGTCGGGGAGCTTTTGCGGGCGCTTGTCTGGAGCGCCGAGCTCAATGCGCGGCTGGAAGACGCGAATGAGGGTCTTGCGGGCGTGGAAAATGCCCCAAAAGACGAGGCAGACGCCGATGGTGACGGCACCGATGACCAGACCCGAGGTGAACTGCGAGGTGGTCGCCGAGTTTGCCTTGGAGGCGTCGGTCGTCGACATGTTGTCGTGGTTGCCGGTGGGGAGCGTGGCCTACCGGCAAAGGAGAAAGGAGGGGATAAGCACGGAGGTACAGATGTACACAGCGAGAGGAAGGGAGGGCGGGCGATCAAGAAAACTGTCAAAGTGTCAGTGCTTTTAATACAGGGCGGGCGTTATGGGCGTCAGATGATCAGAGGCTCGAGCCAAGACCAACAAGGCAGCTCGGCGCTCGGCAGGATGCAGGAGAGATCGCGGGGTCGAGGGAGAGGGGCGACAAAAGAGAGAGGAGGGCATGGAGGGCATGGAGGGGTAGGAGAGGAGGGGGCGCGAGGTCAAAGTGGTGGTTCAAGATGATTGGGTGTATGGGCGTGACGGTATGATCGACCCCTCTGGAAATCTAAAGGTAGGGAGAGGGAGAGACTCACTGGGTGTTGGTGGTGGATGATGGAAAAGAGACTGCGGCTGCAGAGGGAGACGACGTGAACGAGGCGAGTGATGATGAGGAAGAAAGAGGAGATGGGATGGGAAGCAAGTTGGTGGGATTGATGAGGGATGTGCGGGGCGGCGCAGTGCGGGCTATGAGCTGGCTGGTGAAAGGAAGGCGGATGGGGGGGGGGGGGGGGGGGGAGGGAACGCTCTCGAGACGGAGTCTTGGCTGGGTGGGATTTGTTTTCGTTTAGCAGAGCGGATGATCAGAGGCCAGACGAGCTGCGGTTGCGCTACTTTTGGCTTGATACGATCATCCAACGGGCACTCGTACATGGTACAACTGGGCAATGCTGCGCGCACTACAGTAGAGCTCTGATTGATTGTTGGTCCAAATACAAGATCAAGGTCCAGAGGTTAATCTCAGGGTCATGGGATAAGGTAGTAGGACGCGTGACGACATGCGCTCCTCTTCCGCGTTGTGAGCTCTGCAGGTGATGCAACGAGGCGCCTAGGCGCGAGGAACTGAGTATGACGCTCAGACAGGTACGCAGCCAGGTACTCGTTCCAGGGTCGTTTGGGACCTAATCCGGGAATACAAATCGTCATATCCTCTGGAGCAGAGGCTTTGAGGAGAGTGGCGATATCTGATTTGCTTTAATCCACAAGCTCTGTCCAGGGCACACAGGGCAGATCGGGAGTAGCGGCCGCAACCCTTTCAGTAATTTAAGGACCCCACCTGCTGGATGCTTGGAGACGCTACTGTACGGTGCACGATCGTTCTCTAATCACAACTAATGGTGACTTACAACTCGGCCCCACGTCTGCTAATTCCGTGCGATCGACCTCGGCTTCTGCTCTCAATCCGCGGTCGCAACTCTTTGGCTCTGCTGCCGCGCTCATCTGCCATGTGCCATCCTCAATTGACTCTGATCCACACCGCCAACGCTATGACGTTCCTCATCAACTGATTTACTCGTTATAAAACTCGCACTCCAAACGTCCAAACCATTCATGTGAGCCTGGGAACTGTGAATTGCTCCTGATTGGAGCGCGAATAGGATAATAGCATGTTAATGACCGCCACTGACTTCATATTCCCAGTCTGACATGTTTTAATAGTAGTTGTGTTTGCGAGTAGTCCCAAGGTGGGGCTGGCAAGCCATGGCAGGCCTGGCAGGGAGCGCATGGGAATAACAGAGTGCCATGAGCGAATGAGATGTTCTACTGTAAATCTGCATTGTGCATGCACCGACCACACCTGCACGCAAGTCATGCAGCTCTCCAGAGTCCAGAGTGCATAGAGGCGTCGTCATGATGTCACGCCCGTCTCGGCTCGCCGCTCCATTCTCCCATCTCCGTAGGAGCGCATAGGACATCCACTAGTCGTCGCGAGTACGAAGAGTACGACGGTACGACGGTACGACAGCTATGTAGGCGATAGGTACAGTACGACACCAGTATGCAACACAACCGGCCAACAAGATGAAACCGAGCACCAAGCACCCCAGAAACACTGCAATCCCAATCGATGGGCATCACCGCACGGACTGTCACGGCGTCTGGTGTCCGGCGATCGCTGCCTTCGTCCGCCATTCCAGCGGCGCGTGCTCTCCGATCCCCCGGGCCCTCGATCCTCGAGTACCGCGATCACCGGAGGTAGGGGCCACCGGGCGACACCATGACACTGACGCCCGCTCGGTCCTGCTACGCGCCTGCGTGCTGTCCTGCTGTCCTGCTGTACTGCTGTACTGCTGTCCTGCAACCCAGATCCACTCTCCAGATCTCCGCTGATCCCACTGATCCACTGCAGTCAAATGACCTGCCTGCAGGCCCGTCCGAGCCTGCACATCCGATGGCCGTGGCTCCGTGCACTCGTCGTGGATCGTGGAGCGAAGTCTTGGCGCTGCCGAAACCGGACCACAAGAACGCAGGGGTGCAGGGGGGGAGGGAAGAAGGATGGCGTAGCGTCGGCGGCGCATGGAGCTGGATGAACAGCTGGATCGCTGGATCGCTGGACAATTGGACAACCGAACGCGGACAGCTTGACACTGACAGGCATGACAGGGTGGTTGCCACACCGCGTCGTAGCCTCATACGACGCTCCTCGCAGGTTATGCGCGGCGCCGGGGTCGAAACGCCTCACTTATGCCCCGTCGCGTGACGCGTCCGGCCCTGTAATGTCGGTGGCGAGTGGAGTGGCGTGTGGAGCACGTGCGGGTCGGTGGCGGTGGGGATCGGGGTGGATTATGTGGGTGCTTGGCATACATGATGCGTTCGGCATGACGGAGTACATAGAGCATGCGGGAAGTACTCTGCATGTGTCCATGTGTCTGGTGCATGGTGCATCGTGTATCGTCTATACGTGTATACGTGTAATCTGTACATCGAGGTACGAGATTGTCACTCGGGTGCGGACAAGGACGTCAAGTGCCTCGGTATTCGAGAACAACACCCAAGATGGCAGTCTGCGTGCGCGTCGTGGCAGCTCCGCTGGTGCGCCGCGCGCCGGGCGGAAGCGCGTCTCAAGAATATGCAGGGTAGTTCCCAGTAATTCAGTAATGCTCAGATCCGCAGGCTCGTCCTCAGCCCTCCGGCCTCTGGAGGCCAACGGATCGCTGCATCAGGGAAGTGAACAAGTCACTAATGCCACCGTGCATGGCGCCCACCTGCGTCGATCATGCGCGAATCTTTACGTCGATGGCTCCGTAGATCCGTATAGCTCTGTACGATCTGTACTTCGCTTCCACGATCCTCGACACACGGATCGACAGGTCTGGACATGCAGATCTGCATATCTCAGGTGATCAGGGGCCAAGCTGCAAGCCGGAAGCCTTCGCATGGAGGCAGGATGTCAGGCATGTCAGCTGCCAGGTGTTCCATGTTCAAGCGAGGAGAGGTCCGAGCTCCGACATAGTGCTCGCAGATCGTGGGTCCTGGATCCTGGCTCCTGGATTGTGAAGATCGTTGATTGTTGAGACTGGGTGGCATGCATGGTCGTTGGTGACTGGCGTGACCAGGGGATCGGGACACCGGCCAAACGCGGCCAAACGGCGCAGACCCGGCGATGGCGGGTGACTGGACAGGACAAGGAGAGTGGGTGGCATGGGTGAGGAGGGCTCGTCGCGCAGCTACACTGCTGCGCGATCGCGCGCGACTTGTGTGCAGTTGTCGGACTAGCCTGACCACGTACTCCGCCAAGACACCATCTCGTGTTGCGTCTCGCGTCTCGCGCGTAGCTGTTCTCACCACAACCGTCGTCAAGAGTGCATGCCGTGTGCAATTGTGCAACTGCGCAACCGCAGGAGAGACGTCAAAGTTGGCACACGCTTGTTCCTTGACCTTGACACCATGCCAGCGCCACATTGGGCCTTTCGTTCGGCAAGTGATTCGTGACGCGTCGCGTCCGGCGCGTCCGCGCGCACGCGTTCATGTCGACGCGCTGTGCGTCTCGGTGACTACCCCCCTTTCCTCCTTCACATGCTCCGCCTCGGCCTCGGTCTCGCCGATTACCCAATCCCTCCGCACTTCCGCAGCTGCGCTCGAGCCTCCGCTCCTCCTCGCCCTCCACCTTCCTCTCGCAGCACCAATACTTTCGCGTAGTCCGCAGCAACCAGCTCACGCAGCTCGCCGTGCACCGCATGCATTCATACGCCTCCGTCCTCGTCGTCGCATCCTGCTCGACGCTTATCGCGGGAGAACATGTGGGTGTGCGGCCCTGATGGCGGGCGGAGGTGCCTTACCAGTCAGCCGCGCGACGGCAGTACGGCAGTTCATCAGCTGCCGCTCGCCGCCGCCGAATTTGAATGGCTCGCGGGTACAGATATTCCCTGCATACCTCTTGTGCCAAGAACTGCCCCTCCTTGCACTTGACATTGCGCTCCACTCGACAGCGCTCAACGCCAAGACTTCTCTCGGCGCTCATCTGGCCCAATTCGTACACCCCCAGCTCTCGGCGTGCTGCGGATAAGCAAGCAAGTCGCATTCCGCACCGCGGGCGCCTCGTACCATTCCAACCGCAGCCTCACCGACACCAACAACCAACACACGACCACTCGGTATAGATATCCTCACGCACCCGCCGCTCGGTGGTTCCCATACACACCTGCACCGCTCGCCCCGCGCGCCAAGCCCGCTCACGGCCTTCTGTTGTGCACAAGCCGCCGCGCCGTCTCCAGCCTCCCGGGCATGCCCCATCCGCAACCACTCCTCTCAAACTCGCTCCATCGTCCCGTACCCTAACCTACTCTAAGCAACTCGATGGCTGGCGGTAATGGCGCCGGCGGCTTCAAGCCCTTTGACGTCGACCCCGCGCATCTCGCGTACACGATCCTCGGCGCCTTCACCGTCCTCTTCGGTCTTTTCTCGCTCTTCATTAAGGAAAGGCTCTACCTCGGCGAGGCACCCATTGCCACCATCGTAGGCATCGCCCTCGGCCGTTATGCAGGCAAGATCTTCGACCCCATCAGCTGGGGCGGCAAGGAGAGTGTCATCGACGAGATCACACTCGAAGTTACGCGTGTGGTCATTGCGCTCGGCGTGTTCTCGGTCGGCGTCGAACTGCCCAAAGTAAGATTGGTCAGCGGCCGTCTCGCTGACATTAGGCCTATGTCAAGAAGCATTGGCGCACCCTCTTTTTCCTCCTCGGGCCATGTATGGTCTGGGGATGGCTCGTCTCGGGCCTGTTCATCTGGGGCCTGGTCCCAAAACTGACATACAAGTCGGCTCTTGTTATCAGCGCGTGCTTGTCCCCCACAGACCCCATCCTGGCGCAGGCCGTGGTGGGCGGCACCTTTGCCGAGAAACATGTCCCGGCGCACATCCGCCACATGCTCTCGGCAGAGTCGGGCGCCAACGACGGCGCAGCGTTCCCGTTCCTGTACATTGCGCTCTACCTCACGCTCGATGCGAGCCCAGGGCACGCCGTCGCCGAATGGTTCTACATGACGTGGTGAGTGGAGCCGGAGCTGTGGGGAATCTCTAGGAACTCACTGATTGCAGGCTGTACGAAGTCGCGTTGGGGACCTTGATCGGCGCGTTGCTCGGCTTTAGCGCACGAAAGATCATGCAGTTCTCGGAGCGCAAGAAGCTCATTGACCGTCAGTCGTATGTCGCGCAGTACGTCTCGCTCTCCATGCTGTCGATTGGCATCTGCACGCTGTTAGGCTCGGATGACTTGCTCGCTGCGTTTGCGTGCGGGTGCGCCTTCGCCTGGGATGGTCACTTCAACAAGGCCACAGAAGACGCAGTGTTCTCCAACGTCGTCGACCTGCTTTTCAACTGTGCAGCGTTCATCTACATCGGCGCAATCATCCCCTTCGAGGACTTTAACCACTTTGGCCTCACGCCCTGGCGCCTTGTGGTCATCACTCTCCTTATCCTCCTCTTCCGACGCCTCCCCGTCATCCTCGCGCTGTACAAGTGGATCCCCGATATCAAGACGTTCCGCGAGGCGCTCTTCAGCGGGTGGTTCGGCCCCATGGGCGTCGGCGCCATTTTCATCTCGACGCTGGCTCGTCATCACATCCCTCACCCCGAGCCAGACGGCGACACGTCGCAGATTGACCTGCTGCAGGAGACCATTGTCCCCATCGTGTCGTTCTTGGTCCTCGCGTCGGTAGTCACCCGTGAGTCGACGATAGGATGTACCAGCTTACCCTAGACGGTCTTTCCATTCCGTTCTTTGTCTCCGGCCGTCGCGTGCAAAGCATGACGTACACATGGTCGCGCAACCCGTCGATAGCTGGGGGCGAGGAGCCGGCCTGGACGACTCACACCACTCGCGTACAGCAGGGCGGCGATGTTGTGGTCAACCGCGACGACGAGGAGGGCGATATCGGTTTGCAAGCACGCCACCGGATCGCCCACGAGAAACTGAGCCGTGACAGCTCGGGTGAGAGCTCGGCGACACAGGCCAACTCGCCAGAAAAGGATCTAGAGTCTCCACCCGAGGTACCCGCAGGCGTCCCCCCGCACGCAGCGTATCGCGAAGGGCATGACCTCGTAACTGAGCATGCGCCGCCTGGTGAGCGTGAGGTGCAAGTCAACGTCGAGCACGGCGTGTTCAGGACAGCCGAGGAGAAGAAGGCGTTTGACGCCAAGGGCGAGATCCCCGCTCACGCCTTCGAGCGCGTCTCGGGAACCGGAGCGCCTCTGGAACGCATCACCACTTCGGACAGCCACTCGACCAACGCCATGTCTGATGCGGGGGACAGCGACGGCGACGGCTTCCGCCGGCGTCCGTACCACTGGCACGCATCGACTCCGCCCGCCGTCATCACGCAAACGGCGTCGACGCGCTCGGACCGCGACCCAGCGGACGCGCCCACGAATCCGATCCACTCGTACATCTCCGCTGACCGGGTGAAGAAGAAGCAGCCCGAGGCGGGATGGCGCCGTTTCCTGCGCACGCGCACAGGCGACTCGAGTAACTCGGCGCACTCGTGGGCTGAGGAGGGGCGGGCGGGCGAGCCGGCGTTCCTGCCCGCGCGCTCGCGCACGAAGGAGGCCGAGGGGCGGCGCCCGAGCCTCACGGAGCGCCTGGCGCCGTGGACGCGCGCGCAGACGCTCGAGCCGCAAGGTGGCATACCTTTGACACGCACGATTTCACGTGCGGTATCCTTTGCGCCGAATGCCGCGCCGTCGAGCGAGACGGCGCCCAGCATGGCCAACTATGGCTCGGCGGCACCGGGATTCAAGAAGACCCCGAGCCTCGGCATGTTCCGCTCGTCGAGTTTGCGGCCGGACGACGAGGACGAGGGGCAGGAGACGGACCACGGGGCAGCGTACAAGCGCGAGCCGTCGCTCGAGATGTATCGCACGCGCAGTGCGCGGCACGACGACGATGATGGGCCGAGCGTGACGTTTGAGGAGCCGAAGAAGTAGATGAGAAAGCGGAGTGATGTGTCTGGCCCGTATATGCATTCATTGCTTGGACAATAGGTGCCCACCACTCTGAGAGCTCGTGGCGCTGGCCACTTTCCTCGAACAGGAGAATGCTTCCTTGCCCTCCCCTCGTTCCTTGCCGCTCCACCGTCAAAAGAGGACCTTTCACTGGCCCTCGTCGTTCTCTCTCTGACGGAGAATTGAACTCCGGTCTCCCGCGGTCACAGCAATGACAAGCGAGCATACTAGCCACTATACGATCAGAGATGGTCGACGATGCTAAGAGTTGCTTGTGAATAATAACCTGAAGCCATAACCGATTTTCTGCACATTTCGTTGAATACTTCTGATGCATGCTTCGGTGTTTCTCTTATGAGTCGCCGCCACCTGGCTCCCCTCCTCTACTTCTGACTATCCCTTTCAAATGTCTAGCACCCCTACGCAGTCGGGTATGGATGCTTCTTGAATAGCATGCGCGAGGTGAACGCAACCACGGACATGGTGAACACAAACGCGAGTGTGCACCCCCAACCAGTAAAGTATCGTGGTGCGTCTGCAGCCGGCCAGAGAAACGCGCCGTAGATAGACGCGAGGTTGCCCGCGACGTTCATGGCGGCCTGGACGATGGCGCGTTTCTGGCGTCAGCCGCCTCATCTCTACGCAAACAACATACCTCGCGCGGATGTGACACCTCGTTTGACGCCCATACCAGCAGCGTCGGCACGCTCGAGAAGATGCTTGCAAGGCCAAAGCACAGGAAGACGTACTGCACGACCTTGTTGGTCACGCCCATTATGACGGCGAAGCACGTCGCGCCGATGAGCCCGGCGGCGACGACGTAGAAGCCGCGCTCGCCGAGCCAGTCGGACGTGAAGCACACGATGAGCACGATCACGATGCCCACCGCGTAGATCGGCGCCGTCATGTACTGCGTCTGGCTGCCAGAGTAGCTGGGGTCAGGTTAAGCTTTGGAGGAGACATACCCAAGGCCCTTCACCAGCGTCGGAATGAAGTAGGTGATGGTCATTGCCCCCGTCGCCATCGCGTACAGGAACAGGAAGAGGTAAGTGCGCCAGTCTTGGAACGCGAGGCGTAGGCTTTCCATATGCCCGAGGTGCTCGCCGGTCGTGTTCAGATTTTCGGTACTCAGGCGACGCACGATCAGTTCCTTCTCCTCCTCGGACAACCAACGCGTCGTCGTCGGGTAATCGGGGAGGATGAAGACCGCCGCCACGGCGATCACGCAGGTGGCAATGCCCTCGATCTGGCGTCAGTAGTACTCGAGCTGGAACCGCCACGCCAAGGAGAGCAGTGGGCGTTGGTGGGGTCCGGAACGGTCCTGGCCCTGACGTGCCTGCCCTTGGACTCACAACGAAGAGCCACTGCCAGCCGTGCAGACCCGAGATGCCGTCCATGCGCTCGATGATCGCGCCGGCGAGAATACCCCCGACCATTCCACTGACGGGTGTGCCGAGCCAGAAGAGCGTGTAGCGGCGTGCGAGCTCCTTCTTCTTATACCATGTCGAGAGGAGATAGAGGACGCCAGGTGCGAAGCCGGACTCTGCCAAGCCGAGAATGACACGCACACCAGCGAGAGCCGGCGTATTCTTGCACGCGGCGAGCGCGATTGCTACGCCACCCCACCAGAACATGATTGCCGGCAGGTAGATGGAGGGGCGGAGGTGGACGAGGATCATATTCGAGGGGATCTCGAAGACGACGTAGCCGATGAAGAAGACGAGCAGCGCGACAGAGTAGTCGGTGCTGCTCATGTTGAGAGACTCTTTCATGCCTCCCGCGTACGCGTTGCCAATGTTGGAGCGGTCAAGGTTGGAGAACGTCCACATGACCCAGAGGATGGGCTAGCGTCAGCGTCGCGAGACGCGCAACTCACGACGAGGTGCATGTCCATTTTCCACAGGAGGCGGCGCTCGGCCTGGGGGTCAACCCACGCCTCATCTTCGACGTGGGCGACCTTGGTATCGCTCTTTGTGTCGCTCGTAATCCGCTCGACGTCCATGACAGGCGTGTGTAGATGAGCAATTGGAAGATGGGTCGCTCGCTGAACGCCGAACCCAAAGATGAGTGAACAGCCGACCACTACCCGGTGCCCACTGAGGTACCGCCGTAAGCCGAGCGTCTCGAGCGTATTTTTGCTCTCTCCCCGCTATGCGCCGTTCGTATTCGGCGTCGGGATCGAAACAATGGCGTGCCATCCAGCCGGTGAATCTTGCGGACCAGTATTGCGGGGGAGGTGGGGTATGTGCGGGTTCCCCATCTCATGTGGGCCAGCTGATTCGTCACGCGCCGTCCCTAGCGATGGATATCACCGTGTGATTGCACCGAGATGCCGTGGAGGTGTTCAGGGACTTCTTCTACAGTGTGAATGGAGTCGTTGAAGCCTGACGACTCGAAGTTTCGCCGTCTCCGATGGTTGCAGATGAGCGCTGGACGCTCAACTCGTCTGCAGTGAAGAATGAGGCTGATCAGGAACAACTGCCATGGCGGGGGGACGAGAGTGCGGTGAACACCGGGTGTCCGATTACGAGCTATCTAATCTCACGGCCGCCGATGCCGCCACCGACCAATCCATGTCCCTCCTACACCCGCCGTCTCAGGCATGCAATCTGCTAATAATACCTGAGCGTATTCCTCTGTATTCTGCCGGCCTTGTGGGAGAGGAGGTGAAGATCCTGCATCTCTTAGAATTGAGAAAGGGGGGGATTGATTCAGCGTGGTGCATGACCTTCAGCGGAGCAGATACGATTTGGCGCGCTAGTGGCTCTGGTTTATGTGTGCAGCGCGGTGATAGCTGTAACGGCTGACGGACGCCTCTCTTCATCCTTGCCTGCGATCATCAGTGACTTGTGCTACGTGCGAGTGGCGATGGAGGTACCTGGCGAAGTGGCATAGGAAGTACATGGCGAAGCAAAAAGTGCCACTTCCAAAACCTCTCTGATCTCTCTCATACGTGCCAGACAGGTCTCTCCTCCTCCCCGCACTCTCTACCTCGAGTGGTCAACACCTGCACAACTATATGTCCTACAATGAATCAACGCCACCTCCCAGCCCATGTTACATCTTTCCGAAGTCGCCTAGTACGCGTAAACAAACTCGTCGTTCTGCAGGTCCGTGAGGTCGTCGAACGCTTGCTGTCCAAGGACGCCGTCAGCCGTGCGACGATACTCCTTCTCCATGGAAGCGTTCGCAATCTTGGCGGGCTTGCCGTTGGCGACACGCTGCTTTTCCTTGCGCTTGTTCATGGTGAAAAGGGTGAAAATGAGGCCGGCACATAGGCAGAAGCAGGCGCAGAAAATGCCCATGCACGCGCCAAGGCCAGTGTGGTACAGCGGTGCTCCCTTCTGGAACAGATACGGGCCGACCATGTTGCCGACCGCAGAGGCTGCATTGCAGAGGGAAATGGAGAGCGATTTCTTGGTGTGCCCACCAGTGTTGCCGGCGAGCCAGGCGAAGAGGAGAGGGTTCCCACCAAACAGGAAAGCGATGCAGTAGTACGAGAAGAGGCGGAGACCGTTGAGCCGGTTTCCAATGCCGTAGAGCATCGCACTGCCGAAAACGCAGGGAATCATGAAGATCATGAGGATGGCGCCCTTGTAGCCGAAGCGAGCGGCCAGGAGACACCCGGCGAAGCAAACACAGGTTTGCACAAAGCCGAATGGAATGTTCAGCAGCATGGTCTGCCGCGAGTTGAAACCGAAGCCTTTGATGATCAACGGGCCAAAGGTGTTGGTTACAGCAGCTCCGGTGTTGACACAGAACGTGACGAGTGCGTAGAAGATCATGGGAGGGGCATAGAACGTCTCCCAAACCTGGTTCCACTTGATAACCTTGGTCTCGACACCAGTCTGGTTGTCACGGAGGCGTTCGATGGCCCAGCGCTTCTCCTCGGGAGTAAGGAAACGGGCCTCAGCGGGTGAGTTGTCGAGACGCCAGTAGAGGAGCGGCGCTGTAAGGACAGTCGCGAGACCGACGGTGAGGAACAGAATCTGGTAGACGTAAAGGTGGGGCGATCTGATGAACGAGAGACCGTACGCCAGCAGCGAGCCGAGCATGGACGCAATGCCGTTCGTGCCGTACCAACAAGCGATGCGGAGGGGCTGCTCGCGGCGGCGGTACCATGTGGCGGTGATGACGGTGAAGAGAGGGATAGCGATAGCCTCAAACAGGCCAAGAAGGAAGCGGTTGGCGAGGAGAGCGCCAAAGTTCTTGGAAAACGCAAGACCGAGCATCGCTGTGCCCCAGAAGAGGATGCACGCACCGAGCAGCAGGTTGGTGCGGACCTTGACGATGAGGAAAGCCGTCGGGCCGCAGCACAGGGCCAGCTGGGCCCAGTAGCCTGCCGACGACACCGTGGAGTACTCGTTGCCCTTGAGGCCCGCCTCCTCCTTCATTCCGAACGCGGCGCCATAGCCGACACAACTCTTGTCGAGAATCTGCAGGAAATACACCCTGGCGTTAGTGTGGTGCGCGATCGCGGCGGGCAGTGGGCACTCTGGCGTTCCAGTCTCGGTCGTCACCCCAAAGCAATCGTCCCTCCTTTGCTTCCGTCGTCTGTCGACTTGTGTCCGTCATCAGACCTCAAGCATCCACCCTCGTCTCACTCATCTCTCTCATCGGCGTCGTTCGGCTCCTCGGAGAGAGCACAAGGCCTACGCCGCACTCTGGATAGAGTGCACCGAACCTTCATGTGCGGAACCAAAAGCTTGGCCTGAGTTCCAACAAGGAATGAACATTCGACTCCACCCTCCCGCAGCAGATAGCACGGTGGGCGAGCACCTCGCCGCCTCGCGTCGTCGAGACGACCAACAAACAGAGCGCAACTCACCACATAAGGATCGGCAGAATTGCCTTGTCGATCTTGCGACACACCATACGACTCTGCTCATCTGTCATATGGACGGGCTCGTCGCCCAACGCGTCGAGCGCCTTGTCGTGTGGTCTGCTCAAGTCATGGTGGTGATGCGCAGGGTGCTGCTTCTCGACATCGCGCGAGTCGACGTGGTCGATGCTGTACTTGTTGTCCACTTGGGTGGACTCAAGGTGGTGCTGAGGTCAGCCACTACACACGCGTACCCGCTCAGCACAGTCACTTACAGTCGCCATGGTGGGCCTTGGGAAGTGGGAGATTGGCCGCATCCAAAGTTCCTACGAGTTAATAAGCCTCAGGCAGGTGGCGGGCGATGCCTAGGGGCACACGCGGGGCGGCATCTCACGGGTGCTGTACCCCGGGATTCTAAGGAGCATCCGACATCATGAGCCCGACCCAATCTGCATCTTCTCCACAAGCTCTGTAGGCCCCAGGCCCCAGAGTAGACGGACCAGGGCCGGCCGAGAGCCAAGAGGCAGAATGTGGACGACTCGGGGCGCTCGCCAAGGCGTATCCCGGCAGGTGGTGCCAGAAGGGGAGGAGCAGAAGCGCAAGTGCACGTGAATGACATGACTGCCCCTGGGCCCTGGGTGATACAGCCGCCGCACTCCCGCCGGTCCGACAGAGGATGAGGCGGCTATTGGCGGTTAACTCTCCAACCTGCGTCCCAGCCTCACTCCAGTGGGCCACATTCCACCAAACACCACTCGCATCCTGCTCGTTTCCTGTGGCTTTGGTTCTTGGAGCCCCCCCGGCAAGCACAACACAGGACCTGGTGAAAGCAAATCATTCAAACGCAGGGTAAAGTGGACGTTGTGGCGTTCAGAAGTGGAGCTCCGACGAGACCATACGACGGCAGTGTGGGCTGAGGCAACCGTGGGAGTCACAGTCTCCTGACGGCGGGCCGGACACCCGCCCGGCCCGGCGTCGCCTACACTAGACGAGCGAGCACTTGCCAAGGCTTAGTACTTTGCTTTCAACATCTCAACACGTTCAACTAACCCGAGCTGGGCCGTGCAGTACCGCGATATTCCGTCTTCTGTCAGTGAGAGTGGTGATGGCGAGAGCGCGCCGGCGGCCCGGCGAGCACAGTCAGTGTTGGAGGTCGCGCTGCTTCGGCCCTTGTCTCATGGATGCGAGTCTCGGCCCTTCTCGACACTCCAGACTGTCACGCGACTGCTCTTGCTCAGTACTCGTCATATCGGTGCGCCAACATGACTGACGAAGCTGATTCTTGTTAAGCGCGTGTGCTGAAAATGACCCCTGCATGATGAGGCACTAATACTTTCTGACGACTCCCGCTAATGAGTGGTACACCCAGTGTCATCTGTACGAAACAGCCGACGCATCCTCGGCCACTGACAGAGAGAGCCCAGCACCCGCCTCGTAACACCCGGCGTGAATCCCCCACTTCTCCACACTGGGACCCCATGACCCCGTGGGAGCACATCAAGATTGAGTCCGAGGCATTCCTCAGCGTTCGTTTATCGGCGTCTTGTGACCACAATGATCAGTGCCAGTTGGGGGGTCCGTGTTACCAGGTTCGTTTCGGAGTCAGACCCTCGGTTACTGACGGCTACGCACCGGGCATCCGGCCCGTTGGAACAATCATCACGACTGTGGCACGCCTGGCCGGGCGACACAAACGGTCTTCGTCCTCGTTTCAGGTCGCCACAGCGCACCGACATCGAGGCGCAAAGCCGCTGGGATATGCGCACACATCCGTGCGGACTTGGAATGTGCCCCACATCGTGTTCACGACATCGTACGGCGATCAAGATCTAGGCGCTGATAGGTGATCTAGGCGCTGCAGTGGGCGAGATTGTATCACATACGCACCTCTCGCGTCAGAAGAGAGTGGTTCACCTACCTGATTCGATGTTCCAAGTAAACAAGGCAAAACTGTGCAACGTCCAGGGAATCAGTATGACAAGCCCGACAGAGTAAAAGATGTTCGCAACCCACTGGATGCGCAAGGGCGGCTTCATGCCAATTCCCTCAATATCAGCCCTATGTCATTCGTGGTATTGATCGGTGATCCAGAAGGACAGCCTTGGCGTGAGGGAGTGTCACATGCTATATCTATTCATGAGCAACCAGAACTTACTGGCATGCCGGAGCTCATGCAGGAGACGCCATGCTGGACATGGATTTCTTCCACACACATCCCTGCCGTCTCCTAAAGAGTGTCTGCTGTCTTGTCGCGTTCTTGCACGATGTGGTAGGCAGCTGACAGATGCAACTGCAACCCGTGAAGGTGGAAGTTGGATCAGTGCGGAGTTCAGCGGACTAGTGCCGCGGTCGAGATCTGGTATCTTGGCCTGGCCGGATGAGCTGGGCCGCCATCGCATATCGATCCCACGGTGTGATCCTTGCCGGGCTCAGCGGTTGTGCTCGTCGGTCCGTCCCATCTCACCAACACCCTTAGCCTCACAGCGATGAGTGGTACGGAGGAGATCCTTGCCGTGAGCTAGTCACTCCCTTCACGCTTATCACAGGCGCTCAAGCTCGACGGACTGGCCGATGTCACGCGCGCCGTCCACTTCAATGGCTCTGTATGTAGGCCCTTGCTCCCTACACTCCAGCTCTGACCCTCTCTGTGAAATGGCTACCGTCCTATTGACGGAGACTGATGTTAGGTGCACCACTTAGACGCATCCTTCGTCGTCCTGGTCGGCACACCGAGTGTAGAGGCGATCGCCCACATCGCGGCTGCCAATCCGCAGACGCAGCTCGGTCTCATCGTGCCGCTCAAGGCAGGGCGGGACGAGAAGCATCGCGCTGCAGCATCTGGGGTGTTCTCCGAAGCAGCTCGCGACGTACTTGAGAACAGCAGCGCCGTCTACCTCGGGCCCAAAATAGCGTCGGCCGCCGCATTCAAAGTCATCGAGGAAGCCATGTGGGGGACGAACACCATGATCGCGAGGTAGGTCTGGTCACGTCAACCACTGACCGTGCTCCTCTGACAACAGGGAAACATACATGCTCGCAGCGAAGAATGGCGTCGATCTCAACCTGTTGTACGATGCACTCGCGAATGGTGCCGCGGGATCTCAGTGCGCATGGGGCGCGACAGCGCTGACACAAGGGCGTTCCGCGACCTGTGGCCACATCTATTGGAAGGCAACACGTTCCAAGCGGATGCGCAGCTGGCGCGAGCACACGAGGCGCTCTCCGCCGGCCTGGAGCTTGCCGGAAACGAGGTGTTTTACGCCCCTCTGATGGGGCTGGCGAAGCAGGAGGGCGTCACGCCCATGAGCGGCGTGCGGCCTGCTGTGAAGAGCAGCGTCAATCTGGAGGACATTGCGCCCGAGGAGCCGAACAAGGTCGGCTTCGTAGGACTCGGCGCAATGGGAAGGCCGATGTCTCTGGGTATGCAGCCTAGACAACAGATCATTGACAGCAGTCCTTCATAACGCCGGGCTCAACGTCGTCGGCTATGACGTCTGGCATGGCGCAAGAGAGGCATATGCTCAGGCTCAGGGCAAGGTGGCTGAGGATGTGCTTGACTGCGCCGATGAAAGCGACGTTTTCCTGCTTATCGTCGTCAATGCCGCGCAAGTCGAAGACATCCTCTTCGCGCAAGGCGCCTTGACGGGTAAGTGGCGCAGCAGAGACCAAGTCTCCCGGATCGCGGCACTTCGACGTCACTCGGGCCACACTGACACAAGTCCTCGCACAGGACGCCACTATCCTCGTCATGGCAACCGTGCCGTCGTCCGAGGTGCGCCGGCTGTCTGAGCGCATTGCCAGCATACGCCCAGACGTCTCACTTGTCGATTGCCCTGTGTCTGGGGCGACGCCGCGCGCAGCCACAGGCGACCTAATGGTCTTCTGTGGAGGGCTCGACGAATCACGGTCCAAGCGCAAGGCGTACCGCGTCCTCCGCCTCCTTTCCTCGTCGCAGGGCAACGAGCACTATCTCGTGCGCGTGCCCGGCGGCGTGGGGAGAGGATCGGCCGTCAAGCTCTCCAACCAGCACTTGGCTGGGACGCACATCTCGTGCGTCGCCGAGATCCAAGCGCTCGTGGCCAAGCTGGGCATGCCGGGACGCGCAGCGCACCGCCTGCTCATGAGCGGCCCTGGGTGGTGTTGGGTGCTCGGACACCGCGGAGTAAGCATGCTCAACGGACTCATTCGCCCTCCGACGTCTGCCGTGTCCATCTTCGTGAAGGACATGGGTATCGTCGTAGCTGAGGCTGGTGTGCTCATAGTGCGCTGCCCATTGGCGGCGCTGGTGCAGCAGCAGTACGTGTTCGCGAAGAGTCTGGGGTGGGGAAATGATGACGACTCGGGACTTGTGAGGGTGTGGAAGTTTGCAGAGATAGATGTTGCGACGCGGGAGTAGGGAGTGGACATGGACTTTGATCTTGCATGCAGCCGCGTCCTCAATTCGAGAAAGTGCAAGGTGAGCCTGCTAAACCGGCTGAAAGCAAAAGTGCCACATCTGCAGTCTCAGTGATGAATGGAAACGCCGTTATTCCCGCTGTGGCCAAACTCCATTCAGGCACCACTGTATGCTCCCCCCGGTTAGGGAAGTGTCGAGCGGTCGATGGATTCGAGGTCGTCGTCCAACTCTGGTCTCCTCCTTGTCCAGCAAAAAAACAGTCGAGATGGTGAGCACGGGCGATGCGGTGACATCGATGAGGACTGCATGCTGACCATCAGGTTCGTTACGCCTCCGCCCACCTCGTCAACTCGAACCCCGAGAAGTGTGCGTATCGCGCGTGAGGCCCGAAGATTGGGATGCTGGAGGGGAAGAGTTGGGGAGCGCAGACGACGCAGATGCAGGCGCGGGCGCAGGCGTTGGAGATGGTCTGGGAACAGGCGCTGACAGCAGTCGCCAAGGCTCGGGGCGAGTACGTGCGCGCGCACTTCAAGAACACGCGCGAGGTCGCCGCCGCCATCTCGGGCATGAAGCTCTCGAAGGCGTACGCCTACCTCGGCGACGTTCAGGAGAAGAAGCAGTGCATCCCCTTCCGCCGGTTCGACGGGTCGATGGGCCGCACTGGCCAGGCCAAGGCGTTCAAGACCACCAAGGGTCGCTGGCCCGTCAAGTCGGTTGGCTTCGTTCTCCGCCTTCTTAAGAACGCCGAGTCCAACGCCGACGCCAAGGACCTTGCCTCGGACGAGCTCTTCATCAAGAACATTGTCGTCCAGCAGGCCCCCAAGACCCGCCGCCGCACCTACCGCGCCCACGGTCGCATGTGAGTTGCGCGCGCGCCGCTCGCTCGATTGCGAAGCGCAGATCACGGAAGTTCTGAGAACATGGGCTGACGTTCAGCAACCCCTACCAGGGCCACCCCTGCCACATCGAGATCATCCTCTCGACTCCCCAGTCTGAGGTCGCGCGCTCCAAGGACCTTGACAACGTCAAGACCGGCAAGACCGTCGCCGCCATCGAGGCATGAGCAGGTTTAGCATTGGGGGACCACGCGGGGATACCGCGAGGTCGTGTATGATGGATCATATCCTTAACAGGCGGGGGCGCAGTATCGGCCAGGAGGTGCGGGAGGTGTGCGTATCAGTTTCGGGGAGCAGGCCGCGGAGAGCGAGGAGCGCCGCGGAGCAATGAGGGCGGGATGCAGACGGCCTGCCACCTCGGGTCTCGTAAGCCATCATGCAGAGTGGGGCAGCGTTGCAAGTCTTCATTTCGATTTTGTCAGGTCCGATTTAGTTCCGTCAGATCACGTGGTCGAGGCTCCGCTGTTGTGGCCCTCCACCACCGAACCTCCACTCGCGCGTTCCAATATCCCAGACCTCAGCATCGTGCACTCAGCAGCTCATACGTACCTCCGCACTTGTCATGAGCTCTACCGGACCTCCCGCCGACGCAAAGCAGGCCCAAGCCGCCGCGCTGGCTGAGCTTGAAGCGGCGCAGCGCAAGAAGCGCGCCATCGACACGACGCTGGTGAGTGTTGTGTGGTGTGGCAGTGTGAAGGGATGAGGTAGGGTTGCGCAGTGCGATGATGGGCTCAGCGGGACATCAGTCAGTTGGAGACTAGCAGTACAGCGGACCCAGGTTACGCGCCGAGCCTGCACAACCAAGAACAGCAGAGCAGAGCATCCGGCAGACGGCCGCTCACACCAGGCCAATCTCGAAGCGTCGATTTGGGCGTTCGAGGGCTCGTACCTTGAAGAGACGGCGGCGAGCGGCGGCAACATTATCAAGGTGGGTAGACGCGCCAGAGAGCGAGTGCGCGACGGACGGCGAAGCGGAGTCGCGCGGGGGCCGGTCTCGTGCAAGGGGTTGAGGGCGGCACGTACGATATGAGCTGGCGGCAGCGCGGGTAGAGCTTCCACAATCTGATACCAGGGCTTTGACAATTACCTCAAGCCGCCCGCGGCTGGCACCAAGAAGAAGATGGACGCGAGCGAGGCGGACCGCCTCTTCTCGACTAGCAGTGTTACATTCCAGCAAGTGAATGGACGGTCGCATTCCCAGCTGACAGCAGCCGCTGCCGAAGTAGTGTACAACCTGTTTGCTGGATTACAAGCTGGCTTGCACTCGCCGCCCGGCCCGGTCCACTCCCCGGACACGGTTAGTTCCTTTCCGCATCCCCCGCGCACCCTGCCGCTCCCATCTCGCTCCTGACATCTCCTGCCCGCTCGGGACACCGCCCGCCTCGTTCTCGTTGTAGTTGATTCAATGTACAGTAGTCTAGCGACGACTCTACCGAGTATACTGCTGTGCCGCGTATGGGGGTTCTGGCTGCTAGCTGCGAAGTATTAACTGATATGCAAGGCAAAAGGCAAAGGCGAAAGCGAAGGCCCAAAGTATTGTCGTTACCGGTCCTCCTGGATGTGCGGAATACCGTCCTCTTCGGGAAGCCTGATGCCCTCGGGGCGGAAAAAGATGGGTTCGAGCAGCCCGTTGAACACAAAGGTGCCATACACGAGCATGGCAAAGCCCGCAACCTGAAGCAGCGAGTAGGGCCACACGAGCATCTCCCACCCAATGGCCAGGGAGACAATCCAGATGCCGAGCGTGCGGCATGTGTCGATGGTAGAACGGGTGGTGGCGCTGACTCGAGAAGTTACACTCAGGCCGAAGAAGTTGAACGCGCCGATGCTGAGCGCAATCATCAAACTCGCCCACATTACTGGTGGGTTCTGCGTGATCTGGCGCCACCCGCGGGGAACATCAAAGTACGCGTTTTTCTTGGCGAACAGCTTGTGGAGGATTGGCATGGCGCCGAGGGTTGTGAGGCCGCCCCACATGCCCTCAAGAGAGACTGCGGCCAGAGGGTCGATCGTGTAGTGCGTCATAATCTTCTCCTCCACGACGTACTGCGAAGCAGTGAAAATCTGGGCAAAGAGAATGAGCGAGACGCCGAGCGCGACCTTGGCTGGGTCGTCGTCGGCGCGAGAAGTAGCAACCTCAATGAGGGCGTTGAAGATGTCAGTTGCGCCAGGGTCAGAGGGCATCGTCTCGCGCTTAATGAGAGTGCCCGCGAGGCCGACGAGCATGACACCGAGCGTAACGATGAGGAGCGCGGTCCACTGATACAGGTAGAGGTGACGGCGGAGGAAGATGACGGAGAGCACGCCGACCCAAAGCACGAGCGCGCCGCGCGACATCTGGTAGATGGAGACGGGGGTGAGGATAAGGCCGACGTTCATGAGGGTCGTGCCGCAGACTGGCGTCAGTGTGGTTGTCGGGGCGTAGATATCAGGAGATCAGGGGAACACAAAGTGCACGATATCGATGTCCGTGTGGGCAACGTCGATCCTTCAACTGCACAGACGTCACCCTCCCGAGTCGACTCACTGTCAAAGAAAGCAGGGAACCACATCCAGCAAACAGCCCATCCACGCATTGGGATGTGATCTATCTCCAACTCCTCCTCCTCTTCCTCCTGAGGAATTGTCCCGTAGCCAGGCGAGCGCTTGAACAGGCGGTCAAGGTAGGATGGGCGGCCCTTGCGCGCGGTCGCGAGCCAGTTCCACAGCAAAGGAATGACGCAGAGGAACTCGCCGATGAACATGCTGATGTTAGACGGATCGAGTTCGGGGCGGTGGTATGGAGGGTAGCTGAGGACTGGGGCAGGCAGTTGGGGATGGTGCAGGGTGGGGCGCATCACCGAGGAAATGAATCCGCATGCGAGCATGTCCACATGCACACAGAGTAGCATGCAGCGTTCGCAGCGACATGCAGCATGCGTGGCCGGCTTTGCCTCGTCTAGGGCGATGCAGTTCGCTTCGGTGGCGGTAGCCGGGTGGCAAAACTCCGACAACACGGGCGTTGAGCTTCGCCGCCGACGGCGACAGCGAGCACATGTCCAGACACATGCTCACGGAGAGCGATGGGACGGTGCACGCGCCCGCACGCCTCCGCCCTTCCAAAAACACGCGTCGGGCCAAACTGCGGTGGCCCGAGCGTGCCGCGTGCAAGTCTTCGTCGGCCCAGTGCGCCTTCTTCGCCCCCAGCACGCGCCCAGGATGTCACTCTGCTCCTGCTCTCCGCCCCGACAGCACAGGAGACTCACTTGAGCGTCTGGTACACGGGCTGCTCAAAGTCGACGCGCTTGCCGTGCCCGTCGCAGTTCTCGACGCAGAGCTTGTCCTGGTACTTTGTGCTGGTGTCAGCGCCGTCACGGCCAGACAGTACAGGAGCGAGTTGGCACATCCCGTGAGGAACATGCCCGCTACGAGGGTGCTGACTCCCGTGTCGGACGACATGGTGAAAGTGGTGATGGGGCGAGGGATGGGCGATGATACGAGGGGAGATGGAGGGAGACGCGCGGTGTTGAACGATCGGAGGCGACACGGGGCGCGGCGGTCGGGGGCGGGGAAGGTGACGCCACTGGAGAGGGATGACGGGATCAAATACCGCGTCTGACGCAGAATCACGGCCAAGGCACTTTGCCACCCAGGCACGCCGCTATCAGCGTTATCGCATCTTTGCCCTCGTCCGACTTTCTGCGATATAGAGATACAACGACGCGAGGCACAATAGTAGGGGCCATTCACTCAAGCGCCTCGTAAATGGCACGCTCCATCTCATCCTTGAATGCCTTCGTGGCCGGCGTGGACCCAGGAAGAATCTGCGTCGTAAAGACAGCCTGCCATTAGCCGCCGCCGCTCTTAGGGCATGCAACGATCTCTCTTCTACGTCATCAAACTCACCGCAATCCCAGACGTCTCGTCAATCCAGTACTGCGTCCCGGCTGCTCCGCCCCATCCCACACTTCCGGATAGGCGGCCATAGCCCCCACGCCGTCTCCCGTCCTTTGGTGCGTATACACCCATGCCGGTTGACCAGCTGGCTTCGCCTGGCACGAACTCCTCCCCGCCGAGCTGGAAGTCGAACATTTTGGCAATACCCGAAAGGGCGGCGTCTGGAAGCGTACCAGTGAAGAGAGAGCTGAGCGATGTGTCGGACAGCAACGTCGTCTTGGGGCGTGGTGCCCGTCCAGCCAGAGAGAGACGATGCTGCAGCAGGTGCTGCAACACCCTGATGTAGTCGGCGGAGGTGGAGTAGATCCCGCCCCCAGCAACGGGGTACTCGATGTCCTCGCGCCTAAGATTAGGGCTGGCAGGAGCCAAACTCACTTGCGGGGTAGCGTCAGAAGCGGCATCTGGTCTTTCAGTCTTTCAAACCCGCTCTCTGAGCGGAAACGGAGGGGCACAAGACGATCGGCCCACTCCGGGTTGTCGGGGTAAAACGACGAGTCTGCCATGCCAAGGGGGCGTAGGAGATGGGTTTGGAAGTATTCCTCTGTGCTGGTCCCAACGAGGGTCGGAAGAATGAGGCCGAGCCACTCGGCGCTGTTGCCATAGCTCCAGTCGGTACCTGGGGCGAAGCATAGGGGAGTGTTAACGAGGTTTTCCTTGCGTCAGAAGTGATGCAACCAGGCGTGGAAGAGGAGTGGACACAAAGCGTACTCACAATCTTGCATGAGTTGACGAATCCCGTCCCCTTCTCTGCGACCTTCTTCCAGCGAGGGATCTTGTCGCCGAACTCCATCCCGAACCCGCTCGTCTGGTTGAGCAGCTGGAGGAGCGTGACGGGCGCCTCGTTCTTCTCCAATATCGGTTTGCAATCGTCATCAAAGCCCTTGATAATATGGGATGCTGCAGCGTCTAGTGCTGGGAACTTGACCCGCATGTTGGTGTCGAGGGTCAGCTTCCCCGCGTCCACGAGTTGCAGGTAGCCTGGGGAGGTCAGCACAGATGAGGAGCAACTCGCAGATGGAAGTGAGCAGCTTGGTGGTACTCGCGAACCACATTATGTCGTCTCCCCGTACGCCACGTTCTGGGTGAAGCGGGTCAAACGGGCCCGCCTCGCACTCGAGCAAGACACCGTTGGCGTCGGCGAGGGCCAGGGTGGTAGGCGTGCCCAGCGCCTTGGATGCGGCGGTGAGGGCGGACTGGATCGTCACGAAGCCATCAAGTTTGAGACGGAGTGACTTGGGTGAGTTTGGCATGGTGAGTGGGTCAGAGTGTGAGAGGGGAGAAGCCGGGTGAAGACGATCGTTGTCGTGTTGATAATCGTCGACTGAGTCGTGCGGGATACCTGTGCGGACCGCTAGATGCCGGTCCGGGATCCGAGAATTACCCGGTACCTTTTGAAATTCGCCGGTGCGGCTTTGTGCACTCGTATGCTGCTGCATGTTGACAGCTGTCTTGCGCGCAGCCCGCAGCCGTTCAACTCATGCAGCTCAAGATGGCAAGAGCTTTCTTGCGCCGCTGTCTCTTCAAGCATTCAGCACGCCATCGGCCATCGGATTCCCCAAACGCCCTGGCAATCGGGGTGAATGATGGAGTTGCGCGGCGGTCATACGCACGTCCGTGTTAGGAGGGCGCACGATATGCGATCACCAGTGTCCGCTGTCGCCCTGCGCGCTAACACACTCCGAGCGCATTGATCGGTCGTATGGCCCTCTCAGCATCAACCATAATGCCGGCGATGGCTGCAACTTGATCTCAGACATGCATGAGCGCCATGTGCTGGCTGCCGGCCGCCGGCAACACAACCCACCGACGAGTGCCAGTCCCCATCCACGAACACAGGACGACGACGCGCTGAGCCCCTGCTTCACAACCTCATCTCTACGATCTGCCCAAAGATCCATGGACTCGTCGATCCACTCCTCCTATCGCACCCGGTGACGGAACGGTTCGTCAAGCTCCACCTGGCCATGTCCGCGTTCTCGAGGGCGCACGGAGTACTGACGACACTCATCACTTCAACTTCTCACATCTCCAAGCCCATTCTCCCATTCTTTCTACATGGTCACCATCGACGCCGGAGCGTACCCGCACATCCTGTGCGCCATCGTAGCCGCGGCGCCGCCGGCCGCCCTGCTCACGCTGCGCGCGACCTCCAAATCTCTGCGCGAGGCAGTCGACACGCGCCTGGCCTCGCACGTCCTGCTGTGGGCGGACGGCCGCGTCTCCTCCCGCCTCCTGCCCTCGGGACGCCTTCCCTTCCGCCTCGCCGACCTCGCGGACCACATCCACATCCTCGACATCCAAATGTTCGTCCCGCGGCGCCCCGGCGACTCGGGCCTGAGGGTATTGCAAGACCGCTTCCTCTGGGCGCGTTGCGACGCGAACACGCGCTGCAACTGCGGGTGGTCTAGGCTTGCCCAGCCCCGCTTCCCCCCGATGCCACACCTGCGCGCCGTCCGCCGCTGGGGCCCGCATACGTGCTGGGCGCCGGCTGTGCCGCGGCTCACGCATTTCGAGGCGTCGCACCACGCCGACACTTGGCATGTGCCGGACGACGTGGCGTGGTACATCCTTCCCACGTGGGCGGTCTCGCGCTTCAACCGCGTCGACGTGGATGCGCGCCCGCGATACGTCCTCGCTGGGACTAGGACACGCGGGCTGTTCGGCATGGTCGACGAGTGGAACGTCAAGCGGGCGGTGGATCGCGCGGACAAGGAGGACGAGGAGCGCAGCGGTAGAGAGAGCAAATCGCGAGAGGGAGTGCGGCCACGCGGGAAAATGGGGTCATGCGCAAGCGACTCGGGCGGACTACTTCGCGGCGCTGCTCGCCATGGTTTGGCTCCACGACGAGGACAAGGACGGGAAGTGGACGCTCGTCGACGTCGAGAGCTGGCCGGAGTGGGAGGGGGCGACCGGCGTCGCGGACACGATCCGCCAGCGTATCACCCGCTGCTGTGTCGCGGCACACTTGTACAAGGGGAAGAAGGCGGGGATCGAGGATAAGCTGCGCTTCATCAGCAGTGAGGAGTATGAGGAGGAGATGGGGGAGCTGGCAGCGCTCGAAGAGGATGACCATGAGTGGAAGTTTTAGCGAGGCGAGGCGATTGTACAAGGCCATGTATCGTGTGTAGGTCAGCGATTAGCAAAAGCGACATGCCCAGTCTAGGGTGACCGACGACCAGCACGCGCGTCTACCCACACTCAACAGGTGATGAGTGAACACTCACCACCCCTCTGCTCCCACGCCACTCTATACATTGCCGCTGCTACGCTACATCATGCTCCTGGTCTCAGCCCTCGCGTGGGCTTTTGCGCTCACTTCTGCTTGGCGGCCTCGATCTCGGCGTCGGCCTTCTTGACCCACTCCTTGACCTCGGCGTACGCCTCGTCCTCCTCCTGCTGCGTCAGGGCTCTGGGCGCCGTGGGCACCTGAAGGCCCTTCTGGACGGCCTCGCGCGCCTCGATCGTCGCGAGCCACTTGTGCAGCAGGGGGAAGGGGCGTGTGTCGACGCCCGCCCACCCGTGGGCGCGCGCCCAGCCGTACACGTTGATGTCGGCGATGCTGAACTTGCCGCCGACGAGCCAGCCGTTCTTGCCCTCCTTGAGCCCGTCTTCGATGACGGAGAACAGGCGCGCCGTCTCCTCCGTGTAGCGCTTGATGCCGTACGGAATCTTGAGGGGCGCGTAGCGGAAGAAGTGGTTGGCTTGGCCCTGCATCGGTCCCAGGCCGCCCTGCGCCCAGAAGATCCAGCTGAGGGCAAAGCTGCGCTCGATCGGGTCCTTGAACCACAGCTTGTACTCGGGGTCGTAGTTCTCGACGAGCCAAAGCTGGATAGACGCCGACTCGAAGACGTTGTGGCCGTTAAAGTTGTCGTCGGTGATGGCGGGGATGCGGCCGTTGGGGTTGATCTTGAGGAAGTCGGGGTGCTGGAGTCAGCGGGGATGAGGGCGTGGAATGGAGGGGGCGCCGAGGTGACTCGCCGATCATTCTGACACTTCTCGCATCGTTGGCCTCGGCCTCGGCCTCGGCCGCCGCGTTACTCACCTTCTGCTCGTTCTTCCAGATCGAGATGGCGCTGACGTCGTAGCTGAGCTTGTTCTTGGCCTCGTCCGGGTACGCGGCGCGGAGCTCCTCAAGCGTCACGCTGGCCTTGTAGCCGTTGGGCGTGCCGGCGGTCCAGAGGTGAATCTTGGGTGGGCCCTGGCCGGGGACGTTGCCAGCCTGCGAGGGGCCGAGAGCAGGAGGGTGAGGGACGGACATGTCGAGTTCTGGAAGGAACGGGTTGGAAGAGAAGAGGCGGAGTGCGAAGTTGAGGGGTGTCGAGGAGAGCGATGGGATGGAGAACGAGTAGGCTGCGGCGCGGGGAGCAGCAAGGAGAGGGAGGAGAGTGAGGGGGATGCGCATGAGGATGGAACAAGAGCATGTGGGAGACTTGGGGGGTATTTATGTGGCGACGGTCACGTCATTGGGCATGACCTCGGTGTTCCCAAGACGTGCCCGGCGGCATGAAATGCGGGTTGCCGCGTCGTCTGTCGCCCTCCCTGGAGCTTAGCAACATGACACTGGAGCATGAATCAGCCAAGGCAACCCGCGTTGCTGCGGTATGCATTCCGCTATCCATAGCATGCCCACTCATTTTCTTGTCTGATCTCACATCTCACACACACATGCTTGTTCAGCTTGTGTATGCTGCTCACTCAGCAGCCGCCTCTTTCTTTGCAGTTCTGGCGGGTTTGCCCCTGCAGCTCTCACGGCCTAAGGCATTGCTGACTCTCGGCTGTTTCCACATGGCATGGCGGTCTTTCGGACTTCTGCGCGTCAGCCAAGCGTAAAGGGCCGAGTTCGCTCCGTTGGAACGCTCGCGGCGCGTCTTTGCTTTCAGGCTGGTCACTGTGGTCACTGCGAACATGCGAGACCAACTCTGACACTCCCTAGTTAGTAGAACAACGGCGGTGCAGGCCTGGATGAATCCACTCTGAAGATGCGCTGCAAGCCTACACCACAACCACAGCCACAACCACAACCACAACCACCCCACCCCGCATCCCACGACCACAAGGAAATCAGATACCGATCACATCTCTACTCCAGTACAGATGAGGCGCATGCGACGCATCGCGAGCGCAGCTTGATACGGTGACCGACAGAGACGCTTAGGCAGCGGGCTCAGCCGACCAGTCGGCGGTGCCGGGCTCGGCCGACCAGTCAAGGCCCTCAGCGGCGGCGGGGGCGCTGGCGAACGCAGCGTCGGTCTGGGTGCCGGCAGTCCAGTCCTCAGTGGTGGCAGCGGGGGCGGCGGCAGCCTCGGCCTCGGCCTCGGCGGCGGCGGCCTTCTCAGCCTGCTCACGCTCAATCTCCTCCGGGTCACGGTAGAAGAAGAGGTCCGGGAGGACGTCCCAGCCCGAGGGACCGGTGGGGCCACGGGGAACCGAGCCCTTGAGGCGGAGGACCTCACGGCAGAGGAGGTACCACATGAGGCCGATCGAGTGACGGGCCTTGTTGTTGCAGGGGATGGCAACGTCAACAAACTTGAGGGGGGCGTCGGTGTCGCAGAAGGCGATGACGGGGATGTTGACGTAGGCGGCCTCGCGGATAGCCTGGTGGTCGACGCGGGGGTCGGTCACGACAATGATGCGGGGCTCCTTGAACGAGCGGGTGATGTAGTTGGTGAACGAACCGGGGGTGAAGCGGCCGGCGATCGCCTGGGCGCCGGTGAACGACGCGAACTTGAGGGTGGCACGGTGGCCGTAGGGGCGAGCCGAGATGACACAGATGTCGTTGGGGTTCTCGATGGCGGCGAGGATACGGGCGGCGAAGACGAGCTTCTCCCAGGTCTTGCCGACGTTGAGGACGTGGATGCCGTCGGCACGGCGCTTCCAGACGTACGACTCCATCGACTTCTCGCAGTTCTTGGTGCCGAGGTGGGCCTGGGCAGCAAGGAGGAGCTGGATGTCATCCTCGGTGGCGTTAAGCGCGGCGGGGAGCTTGTCCGACATGTTGGCTAGTTGTTTGGGGGTGGTTGGGGTTGAGTTTTAGGGAAGGCGGAGGGGGCTTGCAAACTTGAAAATGAGACCTCGAGTCGATAGACCTGATGTTAGAAATGTTGCGGAGAGAAGAGATTGAGGGCATCGGCATCACGCGCATCGACTGGTTTGTGGAGAGCAAATTTCGGGATCGGGGATAATGAGAAGACAACACCAGTCTCGGCGTGGGGAGACAGAGCTCAACGAGGCCGCTGCAGGAGCGCCCTTGCTCGCTGCCTGTCTGCTCGACGGGTGCAGCCAGCTCCTTGCTTGACTCCGCTTGCGCAACACTCGGCGCGCGAATCCGCGTGTTCGGTCCGCGGTGCCACTCTCCATCATTATCGCAAAATGCTCTTATGCGTTGTGGACGCGCTCCCTTCCGTTCCCTTCCTCTTCATCATCCCCGCTGCAGCTCTTTCCCTCTTCCCTTGCCGCCTCGTCTCGCCTCATCCTTCTCCCAGCGTCGGTTCGAGATACCGGCGTGCGCGGCGCTCTGGCAGTGTGCGATCGGCGCGGCGTGTCGAGTCCAGTGATGCGCGCGTGCCCATGTCAAGTAGACTCACCAAGGACTAGATCAATATGTCGTGGCGAGCCAGCACGAGTTTTGGATGGATACGAAGACTGTGACTGCTCACGAACTCGAAGACGGAGGGGTGAATTTGCTTCCGCCGTTTGGCATGGATGAGCGGGATCAAAACGGTAAAAGGTCACGTGATTTTGTTGCAATCGTGGGAGACTGAGAGTGAGCGACCGTGGGAAACAGCAATGATCTTGCTTACCGTGGGAAAGTTGAAGGCTGATCCGTTATCAGGAGAGGGCGATGTTGTGACGACCTCGGCTTGTGGGGTTTTTCCAATTTGCATACCGACGATCTGTGATTGGCTTTTGTCCTGGGTCGGGTTTGGATCGTCCAGGAACGAGGGGCGCAAGGAGAGGGAGGCATGATGCATGAGGCTTGGGGCGAGACGCTTCCAATACGGTAGGCCTTGTCCAGGGATACCTTGATGGAGGGTTCCTGAAGCCGGCGCACGTCCGGACTTTGCGCCCTCTGGCACACTTCTGGCTCTGGCCTTCCGCCCACACTGCCCAGCACTGCAGCACTCCGACCCATTCGCCACCCTCGCCGAGACTCCTCCAGTCGCCACCCACACTGTGGCGCCGATACTCACCACGCAACTTGACACCGCGCCGCTATCGCCCGCTGTCGCCCGCGCATCCCCCGCACATCGCTCCCGCCACTATTGTCCAGCACCCGTCATCGAGCGATTGCGACTAACTGGACCTCCCGCATGGTGAGACATGTGATGTGGTGGTTGCATCGCCACTCGGGCGGGGAGCACAGAGTTAATGAAGGGGCATACCTCGGTGGATGGTCGGCATGGTCAGCGCGGTCAGGTGATGCCGGTGGAGGAGATGGTGAGACAAACGGAACGGCGGTACGGCGGCAGAAAAGCAGGAACCTCTCTTGTTCGCTCCCACACTCTGACAAGCCCAAACGTCATGCCGACCCCGATGGATCGTTCTTGCCCGCAACTCGCATGTGCGTAGGTTGAGATCACAGGCCGCTGCTTGTCGCAAGCCGCACATGAACCATGGTTTGATCGACTTTGTTGTTTGCCGCGCCATGCCGTCTGCCTGCCCGTCTGGCCGCCTATGCTTGTTTGGTGCTTGTAGTTGCGCGCGCGCCGTGCCTTTGTTCGGGCCCAGTCCCCAGCGGACCAAAGCAAGACGAACCATTCCTACCAATCCCGCTTACGCTGTCCAACTGGATCATGCCCCGCCCAACCATCAATCTTGCATTCTTCTTGGCTCGCTTGCTCCCCCGCAAAGCGCTCTTCAGCGCTTTCACCTCTTTTGAGCACTTTCGACCTCTCACTCCAAGTGGAAGATGATATTCCCCCACCTTGATCTTGATCATGGGGGCCTCCACCACCCTAGGTGTCAGCCACACGGGTCCGCTGGTCCCTCGCCACCCAAGTTGGATCACTGCCTACAAAGTACAGTTGTATTATTTGGACCACGAGCCACAGTTACAGCATCGCTGGATTCCAGTTGATGATTGAAGAGCACGTCGTTGCAAGCAACAGGCGATAGTTGAAAGGCGCGGTCAGACGAGGAGGATTGCCTGGGAGAGTTTGGGTCATGGACTTTGCCGGTACCTTTTTTTTTTTCCACCGTAGAGCCCATACCAGCCAGCCCACCCGATCACCCTGGGAGCTGGGAGGCCTCAAGCCTCGCCGCCCCCTCCCCTTCTTTGGGTGGTGGGTGGAGGTGGATTAGCCTGGGCTAATTGGGCGAGGTCGCGATTGCTGCACTGCTGCTGCATCATCATCTCATCTCCTCGTCCTGTTCTTCTCCTCCAACATCCTCCCAACGCCACCACCACTCTTCACCACTTCCTCACCACCACTTCACTCGTCCCTCCCATCCCCCCTCCCCTGCCATCACACCTACTCCTCAAGCCCATCATAACTCGTTCAAAACGCAAAAGGCGCAAAAGGAAAACTCGCCCGTCAAGTACGCAATTGCCACCAACTAGGGCGACGGTACCGAGGTTTCGCCACCCCAACCTTAGTCCACCCAACCCAGTGGTTCATCGACGTCCACTGGCAAACCCTTCACTACTCTCACCGCTCAGCATCGTCCACGCACCACTCTTCGCAATGTTCCCATCTCTTGAAGCAGCCCGCACTCTCGGTCAGCAGTAATATTCATTAACGAAATTGCAGCTTTCCTCGACGTCGGGCCTTCACTCTGGTCATATCAACCACCTTCGAGTTTGCTGAACGAACGCTAGGCCTCCTGTTTTCCCGCCATTCTTTCTTTGGCTGCAAAATATTGGACGCACATCGTCGTTCCCCTTTCTCGTCTGGTCCTCGTCGTCTGGTCTCCTGGTCCACCGCTATCTCGCCATCGGTACTGCGTTTCAATAACTGGCCGTGTCTATTCCCCCACTCCTCAATTGCTCCCACCCACCCCACCCTACCACCGCACTCGTCTTTGCCACCCACCACAAGACCTACCCAACAACTCCTATACCACCCCGTCTACGCGGCCCCATTCACGCTGTACACACTTGAACTCGATACCGCCGGTGCTGAACTTGATTCATCGTTGGTCATCGATTCCTCCGTCACCGTCACCTTCCCCACCCACTTTTTGCCACCCCAGTTTGCTCCGAATCTTCTTACACTCCAGAGTGATCAACAGATTCCGCCCTCCACCCCACCTCCCCGCCACCGTCCTCAACTTTCTACCGTACTGGCCCACCAACCTGCGCGCTAGCAAACAGTAGTCGCAGACAGGAGCGAAGTGAACGGTCGTCACTCGAATCATAGCCATACCGACGAGCGCACTCCTTCGCTGTCCTCCCCCCTTCCATCCGACCCCGACCCCAGCTCCGAAACTCCCATCTCATCCCACCATGTCTCGCACCGCCACTCCGCCACCAACCCACTTTCCTCACAAGATTTCGTCCCCTTCTTCGCGCCATGCCAGCAAGGGAGGCAGCGCCCCGCTCCCAGTGGGGTATGGCTTCCCGACCCGGATTAAGAAGGCCAAGGACAAGTCATCCCCTCTCAAGACGTCCGCCGTTGCGCCCATGTCCGCCTCGGACGTCCTGGGTATAGACACGCCCAAAGCTAGTCCCGATCCGATGTCACGGACGCCCTTGTCGTCGGTTGTGGACGACGATGCTTCGTCTATCGCAACCTCGACGCCCTCGCTTGCCACCGATCGCTCGGTAGACTCTTTCGGAGCTACTCTTGCCACACCAGAGTCAACACCTTCCTTGTACGGTGATGCCGTCAATGTCAGTGTAGCGATGCCCCAACCAGTTGCTTCACCCCGGATGTGGGTCTCGGGTTTGAGCAAGGGTGTCGCTCGGGCCGCAAACGGTATTATGTCGACTTGGTCACGCCGCCGTGAAGGGGAGTCACCTCGTCTTACCGCGTCTTCGGCCACCGCTGCGCCTTCTGCCACTTTCTCGCAGCACCCGTCGACTGTTACCTCTACCTCCCCGTACATTGCGCCTTCGCCACACAGCCCCGCCTATGTCGTCCCATCCCCCGCCATGTCGCTCCACACGCCCATGTCACCCGTGGCGTTTGTCCTAACGCCGGCGCCCGAAGTTGCCGAGATGCTCGAGCCTCAGCCACTCCCGCCACACGCTCTTCCACCTGCCTTTGCGCATCCGCATAACATGCCGCCGGCTCTCACTTCCGAGTCTCCGAACATTGATAATCCTGCGGAGGCGCTCCGACGCTACGAATGGGCAGAAGAGCAGCGCAAACAGGTCACCGAGTTTGCTCGCTTGTGCTCGCAGTGGCCGCAGAGCAGTTACAATCTTGCCAAGTGGGGCCCCAACGGCTGCCCGCACATCCAGTACATCCCTCAGTCTTGGGCCAACCCGCGCCACGTCGTGCGCACGATGCAGCGCCAGGCTGAGCTTGAGCGAGTCATGTGCTCAGAGGACATGACCTTCTTTGCCGCCGCTCCTCGCTCGACCCGCAGCTCAACGACCGACGAGGACTCGGAGCCCAGCCTCTACTCGTTCGTGTCTTCACACTCGTCCGTAGCCACGACCGTCTCCCGTGGATCAGTCAGGGAAAGCCGGGAAGTGCAGCTCTGTGCGGCGGTATGGGCGGCGACCACCACCTCGGCCAATAGGCTCTTGTCAACCGAGGAGGCGCTCAAAGCCACGGAAGAGAAGACGGCCGCTGACCTCCACGCTGCCATGTCGTCCCCTATGGTTGATGCGTGGAGAGGCGAAGAGTCGATCGTGTCCGTCTCCTCGGCCGTATCGGTCGCCTCGGTGGTGTCCGAGGAAAGCAAGACTACGTCGGCCTGGGCCTCTATGGCCTGCTCCACTAGGTCGCTCAGCGAACTAGACCGCATGGCAGATCTTGCCACTACGGACAAGATGGACATTGATGAGCCCGAGATTTTGGCCTCGATCCCTCATGTTGGCGGTTCGCACCCCTCGCCGCCTCGGTCGCCTAGTCTGCGTCCCTCATCCTGTCCAGCCAAACGGCCTTTGACCATGATCGCCGATGACGAGGACAAGCGGCGCAAGGTTGACGACATGGTAGATGATGACTCAACAGCAGTCTTCACTGAGGAGCCTGCAGCGCTTCCTCCGTCCATGTCGGCATCCGTGCCCAATCTCCGTATGGTCTCAGCGACGGTCAGTGGACACGTGATCAAAACGTCCGAATCGCATCCCATCATTATCTCACCCTTTATCCCAACCGAAATCCTCGCGACCCTTGGCAAGTACCTGGTCATGATCCCTACCGAGACCACAAAGCCGCTCGTCCTCACGTCGGATATTGACGTGCCTTCGCTTCTTCTTGCATGTGCTCCGCCGAATCAGTGCCCGAGCGAAGCTGGCCTCGTCGGCATAACCTCGTTCAGCAGCGGGCAAAAAACTCTGATTGGCAACCTCTACCGCCCCGCAAACGGCACTAGGCAGCCGACTCGTCTTGGCAACCTCCTGCTTAGCTCGTGCCCTGGCAAACGTCTGCGCATGGACGGTCCTGTCAAGGGCCGTGGACCGGTGTGCCGCGATCTGCGTGCTGACATGCGCCGCATCAAAGGCGAGGGTGTCGGGGCCATTGTCTGGTGAGTGCGGGTCGTAGGTAAATGCTAATAGCTCAGTTGCCTCGATGATGAGGAGCTTGCCCTCCTAGGCGTCCCTTGGGACTACTATCGTGAAGTTGCGTCTGACATTGGGCTCGACATTATCCGGTAATTCCCTCACCAACCACTCTCGCTTACTCGTCCAGCTTGCCGATGCCTGATGGTTTCACGCCTGTCTCGCTTCAGCTCTTTGATGCCCAGGTGTCGCTCATTGCTCAGAGGTACACTCTTCAGGGTATCAACGTCCTTGTCCACTGCCGCGGTTAGTCTCTTCATCGTGTGGCCACCACCCTAGAACCCAGTACTGATCTATTTCCAGGTGGCATTGGCCGTGCAGGTCTGACTGCGTGTGCGTGGGCGATCAAGATGGGCTTTGTTCAGCCTCATCCTTCGCTCGCTTCAACAATCAACAAGTCAGAGGCAATCTCACCGTGTTCCAAGAGAAAGTCGAAATCGCAGTCACGCTCCACACCCGTGGTGCCAACCAACGAAGACGAGCGGCAGATTGTTATGTCGATCGTCGAGCGCGTCATCGCTATGATTCGCTCGAGACGTGGTCTCAAGGCGATTGAGAGCATGGAGCAAGTGCAGTTCCTCTCGACTTACGTCACATGGCTCCGGGAGTGCACCACTGCATAGTGTTGGCCATACCTCGTCGTATCCTCTAGCCCTGTATCTCTTAACAGCCATCCGGCTACCATTTTACCCCGCTGTGTTCAATCACATCGCCCTTATTCCCTTTGGAGCCATCTGCACCGGCATCCATGGCAATTATATCCCGGCCGACGGTCTCGGCCACCAAAAGCCCACCATCAAGTCGAAACCTTGTATATAACGGTTAACCCCGTGCTGTGCGTTGTCCTTGCTCACTGGAGGCTCGCAGCGAAAGTAGAGAAGGGGGAGAAGGGGGGGGGAGGGGAGGTAGGTGGGGTGCATGCAGCGTTGATAGCGTTGGTATGCATGCATGAAAAGTAAAACGATCTGGCTTTAAGAAACAGCGATGCCGGGATGACGGGGATATTACCGGGGAAGAGCGAGGGCCCATGAGGCCGTCGAGGCACAGATGATTAGGCGGGGGCTGTGGTTGACCGGCGGCAGATGACCGGGGGTCCGGGGCTTCCGGGGATCCGGATCGGATGTTGTATGCGGGGTACTGTAAGCACTTGACACCAAATAGTCGAGTAGCCATGGCCCAATCTGCAGTGTGTAAGATTGATTTGGCAGGAGGGGACAAGGATTCAACGTGCAGTTTGCTGACCTTATCAGGGGTGCAGGAGAGTAAGAGGCGGTAGAGCACTAGAGCACCAGAGCACGAGGATGTGTTTGTTGCGGGATTCTACATTCCGGAGATCGCGAGAGAGGGGCGGGTATAGCCCACCATTTCATCCGAGCTTCACCCAGTGTGACCCTCTTGGCTCGCCTTGCTCCCCCCTGTGTACATTCCATTCCATTCATTCATCTTTCTCGCTCTCGCTCTCTCTCTCTCTCTCTCTCTCTCTCATCATCTCTTTCTGCCTCAACCCCTAGGGAGTCTACATTCATCCTCTTTCTCCTCCTACTCCTCTTCTTCCTCTCTTTCTCATCTCATCTCAGCGAATCCTCTCTCCCCTCTCATACCCACCACTTGACTCACAACGCGCGATACCCCCCAAGCCCAAGTGTCACAGCTCAAACACGCCCTCGCCGAGATCGCTGCCCACTACTCTCTCTCTCTCGGTCCCCGGCATTCCTCGTGCTCAGCCCTCTACCTTCTGCCCACCAGATAGCCTGCCAGCTTCTGCCAGCGCATCCCTCCCTCCCTCTCTCAACGATCTCAACACTTAATACTCCATCCTTCCTGTCGTCATTCTCCCTCGCTACCTCGGGCCATGGCATCACCCACCGCGACTTTCGCCCCCGCCACCTCGCCGTCCAATCCCGCCGTCTCACCCCCCGGTGAGTTTCGGCGACGTTCTTCCAAGGCCTGCGAACACTGTCGCACAAAGCGCACACGATGTAGCGGCACTTCGCCGTGCGAGGCGTGCGTCGGACTTGGGCTCGGGGAAAGTTGCTATGTGAGGGACAAGGCCAGGCCTAGACGGTGAGTTTGCTCAACGTGACGTAGCAGGGAAGATGCCCAGCTGCAGCCGGTTTCCCTTGACCGCTCTTGGGAAAGCCGCAAACCCGCAAATGCCCTCGGCTGGGAACTGGCAAGTGGCTCACACCAGCGCCCCGGCTGCATCGAAGCGGCGCAAGAAGAGCTCTTCGCCTAATGGTACTGGACCGCGGCTGGGCGAGGCGCACGCGCACTTTATACGTGACGTCGAGATGGCGATCGACTCGTGGCTCGAGAGCGCTGGTGAGTTGAACCCCCCTTTGATATCGGATCTCCCCTTTCATGGCCCTCTCAAAGGCCTTGCTTGCACTCTTTTGACGTAGGCTCACTCTAGGCCACGCTGCACGCCTCTCGCTCCCGGGTCCAAGTCGCCTGAGCGAGTTTACAGCCACCGCGCTTCCCCGGGATCCGTCCGACCTCGCCGCCATCGAGGATCGCCTCCTCACTTCCTACCGAGCTGTGCAGCACTTTGAGTTTCTCTCTCCGGCTCGCGTGGCCGACCTGTACACGCGCCATCGCGAGCTTCCCGACTCGCTGGTTCCCGATCAGCGAGCTCTGTTAGCGGCAGTCCTCTGCCTGGGCCGGCTTAGCGAGCTCTCCTTTGAGCCTACCAAGGAGGGTGGGAGTCGCATGCGCCCCATCCCGGCTGGCGAGGCGCGAGAGGACGTCACATACTTTCGCATGGCCCTCAGCCATCTGGATGCTTTCGGAGCAGCGTCCTGCACCGCGCTGTGTGAGTTTACCCCTCCTGTGCCCCGTACTACGCTCACGCTGTACTCAACCGACCCCTTGCATCATCTACATACACGCTTGCCGATTATCCACGTTCCGATCCATCTCTTACTCGCATACCCTTACGCACACACCGCCGGCTGAACCATCACCGTGGCTGACTTGGCGACCGACTCCACATGCCGGCTTCGCTTACCCGGTTGCCCACTCGGCATCTCAACGCTAATCGGCGTCCTCCGGTTACAACTCTGTTGTCACTTGCATCAAACACTCGTCTGCGACCACCATGGGCGTATCTTGGCACCGCGGGACTGGGTGCATTCGAAATGCGCCGCTTGGGCCCGGATCGCTGTTACGAAATCAATCTTGTCTCGTTTGCCGCATTTCTATTACATTCCACAATCAATCATGATCGCCGGCCCATGAAAACATGGATGAATTCTGCACCACTCAACTTTAATCACGCCTCATGACGCACTGCAGGCGCCCTCCACTGCCTTCACCTGTTCGCCCAGATTGTCGGTGGGCCAGAGGACACCCGCGAGCTTCTCGGCGCCATGGCGTGGCAGGCTCGCGAGCTGGGCCTGCACCGCCGTGAGACCGCCGCCGCCTACCCCGCCGCTGATCGCGTCGGCCAGCTGTTCTTCAGCACGATGTACAAGGACACGTGAGATCAGACACTGCGAGGTGAAAGCTGACAATAGCTGGTTTGCGACTCTGGTAGATGCACCACCGTTCACGCGCTGGGGCGAGTACGACTACGACGCGAGCGTGAGCACCGACGTGCCACAGACACAGGGTATCCTCTCTCGTCTCGCTGTGCTGGAGAGCGAGCTCTTGACACAAATTCACTCGGGGCGCGTAGACACTACGACGCCCGACTTTGTGCTCTCAACCGAGAGCCGGTGGTGGCCGCTTATGCGCGAGTGCGGTGACGAGCGCAACGACCGCCTTTTAGCCAGCATCCATCCGTACGCCGACATCCGGTTCAACTGGTGCGTCCGCACTAAATTACTTTCTACTGACCGCAGGATCCGACTCCTTCTCCGTGCACCCTGCCTCAGCCATCCGACGCTCGGCGCGTCCTCGACGCCCATCGTCGCGCGCTCCCTCTCCCGTATTCTGCACACGTACGCGAGCTTGGCAGCCACCAACCTCTTCCACCCGTGCTATGCCCAGCTCCGCCGCATCGTGACCTGCGGACAACTCCTCGTGCTGTGCCACACCGCGCGCGAGCTGGGGCGCCACGAAGCCGAGGAGCTCTTCGCCGTGTTTCTGGGACTTGTCAAGGAGCATCTGGGCAAGTTTGACTTTATCCCGCAGCTCATTGCGAGCTTTGAAAGTGTTGGGGAGCTGCTCGGCCTCGCGATCCCCGCCGCGCCGCAGCCCCCAGCTCGCATCAGTATCGACATGCCCATCATGTTCGACTACAACCTCCCGACGTGGTTTGACACGATCTACGAACCTCATCTTGCGCCCGAAGTTGCCTAGCACATGTATCTCTGGCTACACATAGACTAGATGTATCGTTGTATGGGAAGGTTACAGAAGAAGGCTCAGGCTACGGAAAGACAGACTAGGGGGCCGAAGGGCACAGGTCGCGGCAAGAACGACAGGCCAGGAGGACGAAGGCGAAGTCGTGGTCGTCACGCTCGAGGCGCGCATGCTCGCTCCCGATGTCCGCCTCGTACTCGTCCCAGGTAGCCAAGCGTAGCCATTGCTCCGTTGCCGCAATTCCGATGAGGTTTTGCTGCGCCGCATACGGGATTTGCGCCAAGTCGCCTATGAATGGCGTGGTAAGCCAACAGGTGACCAAGTTTGCGGATATGGTAAGAGCACCGCCGGCATATCGTGCCCCCTTGCTGGAGTACTAGCCGCTCTGCGGCCTGCTCCTGGAGCTTAATGCCAGACCTAGACATGGGGTTGGCGGCGAACGCCACTCGCGCGCATGGCTGAAGATTTCGGGCAGGTTTTTCAGCTGAAGGGCGACTTTCCCTTTTGGGCAAATGATCATAACTGTAGCTTCTAGACACAAGCTAGAACTTACGGCTCGATAAACGCAGCGATGCAGTGAGAGAGGGCACAGGCACAGCTTGCTGGCGCATTAGCTGGCCATTTGCCTTGGTGGAGACATGTCCCTAACCAGACGCCTCACGGACCAAAAGATTGCGCGCACGCTGAGTCGAACAGCGGTTGGCTCAGAGCTGCGAAGAAACTCCACAACGAACAGTGATAACCACCTACACTATACACGCCTTGATTTTTGCTGATTGGTTCCCCCCGGGTCTGAATATATGTCATCGGGGGGGATGATCTCAAGCATCTGCGATTCTGTCGGTTGCAACAATAGTTCAATTGCGATGACTCCGAGAGACACGGTGCCTGTGCCACTCTGCATCTCTACAACCAGCGATCCAGTGACACCGGCTTTCCCCCAGAGAGCACAGAGGTGAAGGAGCTGGCACTGGTCCAAAGTTGACCTTGTCAACTCGAAAATATACTCGGAACAGAAGAGTGTCATCCGCCATGAGGAACAGGCAAGCGATAGAACATATCGCCCCGGTCAGCGACATCAGCGACAGAGTCCACAGATGAGACGCGAGTCGCTCGTTAGAATTTGTAATGGCTCGGCCGCCTCTAGGGCCAAGCAAGTGCATGCGATGTTCAGAGGTTTAGAGTTACTTTTGTGCCAGCGGCCTTCAGCTTTAGTGTTGACGTCTGTGATGGCAGGAAATGTCAATGCCTTAGGGAGCCATCGCAGGTTGGATGGCCGCAGCCTGCTGGATGGCGGCCTGTTCTATCTTCTGGCCCGCGGCAGCCTTCTCCTCATCTGTCTGTAGGTAGTCCTCGGGGGAAGACCAACCTTCTTCCGGTGCTCGTCCAGCTCTTCCCGCAGAGCGGAGCCAATCGGGGTCGATAGTCGTGCTGTCCGATAAGTGCATAGTTCTACTGTACAGGATATTCACGGGAGCGGCTCTTGGCTGGAAGACAACTTGTTGAGTGAGATGTACACGTCTGCATGGTCAGTATGGCACGAAATGCGAAACTCACCGGTGCCGTAACCGTCCATCGAAATGAGACGAAGGTCGCCGCCAAAGTAGCGGGCGTACAGGCGCGAGAGCGGGAGACCGTAACTGTGAGTGTAAGCGAGTGCGGGCGAGACCATGATGGAAATGCAGCTCACCCAAAGCCGGCCATCGGAGCCTTGAAGTCCGACTCCTGGATGGTTGTCTCAAGACCCTCGTCGCTCATCGTAGTGTACAGGTAGGTCCAGATCATCGGGAGGGCTGATCGAGGGATGCCACCACCCTCGTCGGAGAGCTTAATAGTGATATCCTCCGAGCCCTCAACAACGATGACCTTTACAGGCGGGAACTGGTCTTCGTTGTCGACACCGTAGCGCTCGACGACCGCGCGCAGCGAGTTCTTGAGAAGCTCGAAGCAGATGTGCGAGCTGGCGAGTTAGTGATGGAGTACACTGCAGACATACAGATGACCAGGGATGTAGGGGAACGTAAGATCACGGGGACAGAGGAGCTGAATGGGCGGCCCCTTGAAGAGACCAAAATGCTCCTCGCAAACAAAGCGCGCGTTCTCAATGGCCTCGTGGCAGATATCATGCACGTTTGCCTTGGTGCAGATGATGCCGACATAGTCGGGGTGGGGCTTAAGCGTATTCAGGGCGACGTCTGCGAGATGAGCATGTCTGTGCGTGCAGCGCTGATGCCAAGACATCGAGGCCATCAGATAAATGACTCACGTTGTCCGATCAGGGCGCGGATACCAATTCGCGAGAGGTAGAAGCGGTCGAGCCATTCTTGGATGTTCTGCCCAATGCGGCCGTGTTTCATTGATCGTTTCCACTCGAGGACGCCCTGCGCGACGCTGGTGACGGTAGGATCATGGCGGTGCTTGATTTTCTGCAGAAGCTGGGTGAACTTTTCGTTGTACTCGTGCACCTCGGGCGGGTAGACCGTGTTGACAGGCGGCGGGGAGAAGTACATGCGGTCGATGGGGATCCTCATCCTCACGCCGCCCTTACCGACGACGTGTGAGTTCTGACGCGGCCGGTCAGAGTACAGTATACGCGAGCCCGTTGGCCCCTCGTTGAGGACGGGGTCGAGCGAGGGGTTTGGAATCGCCCTTGGAAATGCAATCGGACTTGAGTCAGCGCGTCGCACAGCTGAGATCTCACTGTGTAGGGGGCATACGGAGGATCTCCTCAATGTGAGCCGGCAGCTTAGGCTTGGGGAATGTGATGAGTTCCTGGACGTCAGTACGCGATCTTACGTCGGGTGCGCAGGCCGGGGTCTCGACGACCGAGGACGCAGTTGGCGGCACACGCTGGAACACGTACCTCGAAGCTTTCCGCGTACCACTCCTTAACACGGTTGATGCTGGGCATCTTGGACAACCCATCGGGGAGCGACTCGAGCTCGACGACACGATGAGAGAGACGGATAGGAAGCTCCTCGCTGAGGAACTGGGCGGCCTTGATGAGCGTTCCTTGCTGTCGGGCAAAGTGACGTGACAAGGGAGAGGGGAAGGCGAGGATGTCGCGTAACGCAGGCGATAGTGTGTCAGTATAGGCTTCCTACGCAACCAGCTCATGCGCCGATATCACGGTTCGCGACTCACGCTTGGGCGTTCGCCAAAGAGGATCTAGAAAGGTCAGCCGAGTCGCGCGACATGATCTTACCATTTGCTGGAGCGACACTCCAGTGGGAGGGAAGCTTGCAAAATGGTGGATCTTGTCCCACAGCTGGGGAGTGATTTTAAACTTGGACATGGTGAGCCGGTATTCGCTGAGGTTGTGGATGGATGAAAGAGGCGATGCCGGCGGCGCGGAGGGTGGAGCTGTGGGAAGCGGGTGGCCGGTCCGGGGTGGGTGGCTGGGTGGCCGATGAGGGGGAATGACCTAGCTAGGTCGGACTGGACGATGGTGGTGTTTGTGGTCGTGCCAGTGTCAAGTAATCACAGATGGATACAATGAGAGCGAGGGAGGGAAAGACAAGACGGGGAGATGAAGAGCAAGATGGATTGAATGGATGATGGAGGATGGCGGATGGCGGATGGATGATGGAGACGCCGAGTCGAGATGAGAGTGGGGGGGTGAGGGATGCGCCGGTGCGGGGAAAGGAAGGTCACAAGGGCAGCCCAGAGCAGGAGCGGGAGCAAATGCGGCCAATCCACTCCAGGCGCGCGGAAGCATTCGCCTGCCAATCCCGACTAGCCATTACCCGGCTACCCGGCAATTACATTAACTGAATTAGCGGCTACTCATGCGCGTCCACTAATCGGACAATTGATATTAGAGAATCCCCTCCACTGACATCCCTTTGACTCCCACCTGCAGAACAAAAGGCACAGCAGCCTTTTGTCGTGGCGAGAGTCAGAACAGAACACGAGGGGCGCTGCACTGCCTGCCGCAGATTGAGGCTGCGTATTCTCTGCGATCCGTGATGGCCAACCTAATCTCACTTGCGATCCTTCCATCTGAGCATGTCGCATATGAATCTTGGCCCATCTATTCTGAAGTCCCCAAGAGCGGACATGACAGTGGCTGAGGTGGCTGACATCACGTGAGACTCGTAACAGGTGGCTCAAGATACTTCATGCCCTAGCAGTGTCCCAGGCCTCTGTCACACTTGGGCCAAGTATGACTGAAGGTTGTAAGTGCAAACACTGGAATGCGCTCTCGGACATGGGATGGCCGACAAGCGATATCTATGCACAAGCGCCGCATTTCTGACGGATCCCGATCCGGGAAGTTTCAGCGCACCCACCCTGCCATCTAACTTACCTCAACTGTCAGGCGGAAACTGAGCGCGCTCAACCCCGCTGAAACCGCTCTGTTAGCGGCCATCCCACCGCGCAAGCGGAAGCTGTCCTGTTGTGGTCGAAACACTTGTACTGTAGACAATTCTGTGCCCTGAAAATATCATAGGCCAACACACCGCTGTGGCAAATGGCTGCCACGAGTGTCATTGCCTCAGCTGGACCGCCGAGTCCATCCCGAGCCCGTCATCGGTGTCACCGCGCAAGGCTTGTCGCTAGTCTCACCATCACCGACCGTCGGTTGAATCGTATAACGGTCAGTACACAAGATTCTGATGCAGATTAGTTCTTGTAGCCTGGGTTCGACTCCCAGTTCGACCTGATGATGCTGCCGTGCAAGTCGCTGAGCTTTTGCCCTAGGACGCGAGCAGGCTTTTGGCCGCCAGATCGCGGAGGAGTGTGCTTGGTCGGCTATCTCATGTGCGAGGCCTAAGCGGGACTTGGGTCTTCCCCGTCACCATGGTCATACCACTTTGCGCACATGATGGCAGTAGTGATGGCAACAGACGAGGTGAGACGAGATCAGATATCTCTGCCCTCTCTGACGTTGAGTGATGCCAAGCGATCGACAATTTGCAGGCGGTCGATGCAGTTTGCGGGAAGTCTAGTGCATACAGACATCTATCGGTTCGTTATAGTGAGGATATAATGAGTACAAGCCAGAGTCAATGCAGTCTATACGTGTGTTCGTAAGAGCGTCAAGCGATGCTCGATATGGCGAGACCGGCCTAAACCGCAGCGACAGCGGGACGCAGCGCGTACAAACTCGAGAGGTGCTTGTCGAGGCTCCACCGCGCGCCGATGGGGGTGCGCGTGCCCTCTGCCTCCTCGGGGCATCGCCACTCGCGCACGGCCTCGAGGTTGTCAAAGTGCACCAAGCCACGGACAGGCGCGCACGAGCACGGACACCCGTCCTCGCCCTCGCCCGAGCACGGCGCGGGCGGCGACGCGCCCGGTGCAGCCTGCCCAGGGCAGTGGTAGCGGTCGATCTGGCGAGCAGTGCGGAAGATGAATGGCTTGACGGTACGGCGGCGGCGGAACCAGCTCGCGCCGCCCGCGGCGGAGCGGCACCATGCGTCGACGAGGGGCGCGATGTCGATGCCCTCGTACTGCTCCTCAAATGCGGGGGAGGGGCGGCGTGGCACGGCGCGCAGCGAGCCGTCGGGGCCTGCAACGATGTGCGCGAAGCGCGCATCAACGAGAGCCTTCATGCCGCGGCAGGTCTGGCGGAGGACTAAGAGCGTTGAGAGGTCGGCGGACTCGAGCACGGCGTCGATGACGTGCGGGAACGCATCGATTTCCAGCGGGGTGGGCGGGGTCGGCCAGAGCCACGAGGAGAGCGAGAACATGGTCGGTCGTGAGGGGGATGCGGGGTGCGTTGCTAAATCGGAGGAGAGCAGTCTCGACAATATATGGGGGCGTGAAGGTGAAGCCGTAGAAACTCGCGCAACTCAGCTAGTGAGGGATGAAGAGAAAAGTGATGAGGGAAACTCGGGGCAGAGGCCTAGATATCTTGTTGGGCATGCACGCTGGGTAGATGGGCATGCGCATCACTGACCGCGTTCATGCGAGGTCAGCAAAAATCCGCAATGACTGGGTGGCGGTGAGGTTGGGGGTGGGGGGAGTCGTACTCTCTCAGGGCTTCAGCTCCGCAGACCACCGCGTCCTCTGCTGCTGTACATTCGGAGGTAGGGTGGTAACCCCACGTTCCTCGGCGTGCCTCCTCCTCACCCCGCACATTGGTCACAGCGCATGCGGCGCAAGCGTGAGTACGCTCGAGTACGCTCCGAGCAGGGAGCTAAGGTGTGGCGCTCCGGAATGATCCCCGATGGTCCGAGGGCAAGCGAGGATAGTTCTGGAAGAGCTACTCAGTGATGCTAGCGCGCAGCTCCCAACATCGACGCAGTGCCGAATCTGGGAATGTCGAATGTGTCTCGGTTCTGGGTAGCTCCACAACAACCAGTCTACGGCAGCGCCCTACGACTGCGGCATGCACCCCGCTCGCATCAAGTCGAAGACCAGCGAGCCAATCTTGTTCGGCATCAGTTAGCGCTCCCTGCCGCGGGCGAGACCAAGCCCCTCGTCCGGGAACGGGAGCTGCAGGCGGGAGGGGCGCTACACTTCGCCGCCCACTAAGTGTAGTGAGCCTAAATTCACTGCAGCCGCCCAGAACTAAATCGACTACAACGTACTCTCGGGCCCCCCGCATGTCCATGACCTTGAATAGAGCGGATCCACATCGCTGGGTGCCTTGTACGGCAGCGGGTGCTTTAGTATTGGCGAAAGGAAGTGTTTCTGTTGGACATCTGGGTGCGGATACAACGAGGCACTTTGCACTCGTACTCGCTCAACAAGCAATGTGGCAGATGAGGACAGAGTGAGCGGGGTCGGTGCTGACGTGAGAGTGCCTTAATCGGCACGGCGATCTCGGGCGATCGGGCCGACACCAAATTTCTCCGGGCTCCATCCACCAACGAGCTACCTTCGGGTCTGTTCCCCGCTGCCAACAAGCCCTCGCATCCAAAAAGTAATCGTATACCAGGAAGCTAATCCTGCTGGTCCTCGCCGCGATTCGAACGCGGGGCCACTCCCATAGCTAGTCCCTAAGAGAGTATGATAACCACTACACCACGAGGACACGATGTTAATGGAGATTTCCGGTACGCCTTGAGCTGGGCGACGCGCTAACCTCCGACACACACGCTGAGTCGTGTGACCTTGGCGGTAAGTATCAATGCAAGATGCAGAGCGGCTGCGTGGCGGATAACCGACAATGAAGCTAGATTTGTGGATGGAAGACATTGGTCCTCGCACGCGATCAGAATCAACCCCTCCTTCCTGCTTCCGCCGCCATGCTCACTGTCCGCGTCGTGCTCGCTCCCCATAAGTCCAGCAACTACCTCCGCGACAGCGGCGGCGGCATGAGCGGCGTGACATTAGCTCGATGTCGCGAATCTTCGTCGTGCCTCTGGACGTTCCGCACTTCCGCCGTTCCTGTTCTTGACGCCGACTCCGTCACCGTTACCTTTGTCGCGGCTTGCGTGCAGGCCAATGGTGACCGGGGTAGGCCAGAGAGAGAGTACAACACTGTAGAGCGGCGGTGGCGGCGCTCTGCACACGTTGAGCGCCATGCGGCCCGTGAGGCGGTGCCACATTTTCTAGCCATCTCCAGCTGCCGCGAGGATTGCACGAGAGTATTGCCTCTTCAGCTGTCTTTTCACCTCTGGAAAAACAGTCGCGGGGATCGGTGGTGGGGCCTGTAGGGTCCGACACGTGTTGAAAGCCGTTGCACACTACTACAGCCATCTGATCAATGCCCGACCTGGCACTCGATTGCGTCGTCGATCCGAGAAAGAGAGAAGTCAGTGTTTAATATGATCTCCCAGCTTTGGTGACAGTAGAGACTAGCGGTCCATAAATATTCGCGATGAAGCCAAGACAAGCCTCAAGCTGCGCTGTGCTTCTGCGATGTTCCTCCGCCATCCTGCCTACAGAATCCTACCCCCCTCGGCCAACTGATACATCCCAAGCCGCTTCGCCCATGACGTAGTGGTGTACATACAAATGTTCTGGCGTAAGATATCCATCAGTGGGTATGTCGGTCTGCCTGGCCCCCGGCCTCTGCGGTAGTCTCGCGGCGCGGCTGTCTCCTATTGCGCATCAACTTGACAAGCCATTAGGCCCACAAACGTGAGATACTGTCGTCAGCTTAGACATTCGACAAGACGTACGCGGCCTCATCGTCTCTGCCCAACCCCTGCGCGGCGCCGAGAACGAACACCTGCTGCGCGGCACCGGCAACAGGCGTGGCCAAAGGCAGGCTGTTCGCGACGTCGAGCACGCTCGACAGCTCCTCGAGAGCCGCGGCCACCGTGGTCCGATCGCGCCGTGTGCGGCTGACGGCACGCTCGAGTCCGCGGTCGGAGCTCCTCACATCGACGTCCGCCAGGCGCTCGCCGGCGTGCAGTCGCCGCATGGCTTCGCCCATAGCGTCGAGCACCCAACTCCCGCCCGGCCCCTCAGCAAGACAGTGCAGCACGTCGCGCACCTGCATGCCGAGGCTGGACGCGAGGCCGAACGTCTCGGCGAGCACGGCGACATGCGCGTGCCGCAGCAGCCGCCGCGCGATCTCCAGCCGTCGTGGCGCGTCCGCGTTGTGGCCCGGTCCCGCCATGTGCTCCGCTATCCGCCCAGGTGACGGGTATGAGTGCACGACGGTCGCGCTGGGATCCGTGCCCGAGGCGTATGGGTCGCGGTGCCACGACGCCGTGGACGTGTAGGCTTGCCAGGCGGCGCAGCGCATCGGCGTCGGGATGGGCGGGGAGAGCGTCGCGGCCAAGGTGAGTGTTATGAGGAGGGCAGAGCGGGCGCGCGCGAGCGTTAACCCTGGTGGGCTCCCGTCTAGCTCGAGCATGCTAGGCGCCTGGTTCTCGAGCGACCACGAACGCCCCTGGCCGGCCTTCATGCCGTCGTATGCGATGCGCGCGTCCACGCCGAGCGCTCGGAGGTACGCGCACGCCTCGCTGGGGTTAGCAAGTGGGCATATGCATGAAAGCAAGGTGCATGTGCTGGCACCAGCTAGCGTAATCACTCACGCAGCCACGGCCGTTTGGACGGCAACCAGCCCCTCTTCCAGCAGCCTGTACTCTGCTGCGAGGGCGACGCGCTCGCCAAGCCATGTGATGCCGTTGTCAACGAGAGCTGTGCGGGCATCCGCCGCGAGCCGACCGGAGCACACGGCACGGCGTGCGTGCGTGTGCACGTGCTGCGGAGCCGGGTCTTTGTGCGCGAGCGGTACGACGAGAAGCGTGCTCGACGGGAGGAGGGGGAGGAGCGCTGCGATGGAGCGGTAGTCGCCATCACCGATGACGAGGGGGCGCGTGTCGTCCGACAGCGCGGGAAGCGAAGCTGGGTCGAGGTCCGACGAGCGCAGAATAAGATGCGTCGACTGCAGGCTGCGGATGTGCTGCATCGCGCTGCGACGGGGTATCGTGGTCAGAAATGCTGGAGTGGGCGAGTGAGGTTGGCGGATGCGGAAAGTGTTGACTTGAAGATGTCTTTGATTGGCTGACGTCATGAGTCGCTCTCACCATGGTCGCCCACGCCTGATTTCACTTGTTGTTTCACAGATCACTGAAATGCATTATCATGCAGGAGAGTAGGCGGCAACACGATTATTACGACCATAAGAACCTCTGCTGTTATTCTGAGGCCGTGGTCCAAAGCTGGATTCGCCCCGAGGTGTTTCCGCCCACCACACAGTCGACTCGCCCAGGGTGAGAGGCAGTTACCGCCGGCACGGCTGTCACCCCCTCCGACCAGAGTTGAACGATTCTCTCTCCCGTTCCAGAATACACGTTGAGGTAGCGCTTCATGTTGCCCACCGTGAAGTGCGGCATGTATTCCGTGTTCAGTGACCACGTCGCGCGCAAGATTGTCAGCCATCGCCCAGTTTGACAGTCGTGTTTGATAGCAGAGGTCGGCTTGAAGTGGGTTGCTGGCAGTGGCTGATCAAGCATGAGCGACTGCGGGTTCAGCGTCCAAACTGATGTCAGCCGACAGGCGTCTCAGATCTGCTTACTCCTTAGTTTGTCATCGTAGCTCGTAGTAAGTATGCGCCGCCCAGTAGGGTCCCAATAAGCCGCCGAGCAGCTTTTGCCGTGCTCATAAGACGCGCGCAACAGCCCTTTGCCCTTTGTGCCCTGCATGTAGCTTTCCACTCTCTCGACAGGGATCGAGCTCGTGGGGAATGTGTCAAGCGCGTCTTCAGGCCGGTCGGCTGGCGGCTCGAGAGACTCTGCAGCCTTGGGCGTGATGCGGCCGAGATGCCGCACATCCCATATTCGGACGTGCTTGTCGTTGCTGGCCGTACAGATGAGATGTGGCTGGAGCGCTGATGTCAACCAAGTCGAGGCAGGACCTACGGTTCACGCTGATGCCGCCGAGCTTTCCTGCTCGCCCCTCGCCCTGCACCACCCACCGACGACGCTCGCTGCGCTCGCGAAAGTCGCAATGTGAGATGCCACCGTTTTTGTCAACGAGCCATGCCTCTTTACCGCTCGGGGTGAGATCAAAGTGGGTAATGAGCATGTCCTCATCTTCAAAAGCGAACTGCTCTGTCGACACGCAGGTAGCAAAGTCGAGCTTACGCAGCGAGCAGTCGTAAGAGGTGGAGTAAAGCTGAGATCAGTCATGGCAACACTCTACTACCTACACTCGAACCAGCAACAGGGTCGACCTTCATGCACGAGATCGAGTTTTTGGCATGCGCTTGAATGCGCCACACGCGACCAGTGGTGTCATCATCCTCGTCCCCCTCAGCAAACGACGGGCCAAGTGCGTCCCAAATGCCTAGTTGCCCATACTTGTCGCCGACGAGCACGAGATTCTTGGTAGGTTCCGGGTGAACAACCATGGAAAAGACACGCTCGCTGGTGACTTTGGTGTTGGCACGCAATGCCACGCCCTTGAAGGCGTCCTTAAGCCGGGCGACCTCAGCAGGCAGCGCGTCGGCATCGGCGTAAGCGTCTCGTGCGCTGCCCTTTGACCCGGGGAAGACCCGGGCCGCTTTCTTCTCCGCGATCTCCGGCAACAGCGCCTCGAGTTCCTTAACGCGAGCCTCTTGCCGCAGCCGCTCGGCTTCCGCTTCCGCATCTTCGTCCTCAGTCTTGACTGCCGATGCGTCCACTTCGGGCATCTCTGAGATCGGCATCATCTGGCGCCTGGGCCGGCGTTCGCGCTCGCGTGCCACTTCGACGGCCTTCTCCTCAGCCGCTTGCTTCAGAGCAGCTTCATAGCCGTCCGCTTCCAGACCAGCAATACGTCCGCTACGGCGGCGCGGCTCACGCTCAATCTTTACTGGCGGCGCCTTGCGTTTCCGAGGCGCAGAGGGCTTTGATGGGGGCGGGGTCATGTTGAGCTTGGCATCGCCGCCAGAGTCCAAACCGAGCGAGTCAAGCAACGCCCGGTTCTCAGCAATTGTCTTCTGGCGCTCGAGCTCGCTGCATGTCAGTTTAGATGCGGCGCTGGCTCCTCACTATTCATTCTCCTTCACTGTCGACATGATGGGAGAGAATGACTTGGATTCAAGGGTGAGTGGGATTGATTATCTCGCGTCGCAATGTAGAACGCGTCCAGAGCTCCAGTCGCGTCACCTTTACCCCACTTGCGCGCGTGCCTACCCAATCTCAGCTGTATTTGGTTCCGCAAGCCTATCCACGTTGACGGAGACCCCGCCTCCACCTCAACTCGTCGGTTGTCCCCGATCCCGGTATCGAGATCTCTCTCCTCCACATCCACGAACCGACCATGCCTGACGCCCAGTCTGCCCCAGCCGACACCAGACATGCCCAGGTAGACCTCAAGGACACCACGCTTGTCCTTTCAAACGACGCCCAGTGGCATACCGCCCAGGTCAACCAATACCCAACATGGTTCGAGGCCCGTGGCTATTGCGGCCTGGACGACTTTATTGAGCGGCGTCGCCCGTTCTTCGACCCTGCCGCGCCGTGGAATGCGGCAAACGGAAAGCGAACACAGTTGACATGGGCACTGGTACCCCGCAGTGATCCGGACACAGAAAACATACTCTGTGGATGCGAGACGTGAGCTCCGTCTGCTCTCAGCTGCACACACGTGCTTGGTGATGGCAGCTGACCCCAGCTATGTCCGCCCAGCGATCTATCTCCCCCCTGGCGCATCTGAGCCCGTCGACTGTATCAGCTACGGCGTAGCGTGCGTCTACACTAACGCCGCCCATCGTGGTTATGGCTATGCGCGCCACATGATGCGACTCCTTCACTACATACTCGCGCCGCCAGCTACGCTCCCGCCTTTCCCCTCCGCATGGGGTGCACCTCCCGCTATTCCTCAAGGCATGCAAAATGCGGCCTTTAGCGTGCTCTACAGCGGCGTTGGAGAGGAGTTCTACGCAAAGTGCACTAAAGGCGAACATGAGCCAGGGTACATTAGAGAGAACCTCGTCATACGGCAGTGGAACATCAAGCCTTCCTGCGGTTTACATGATCAGGAAGGCTGGACTTGGCTGCGCCGCGCAGATCTTCCGGCGTGGGAGAAGGAGGCATCGCGGCGCATTCGCCGCGACCTTTGCAAGGAGGGGGATGAACGCAAGATCCGCCTGGCGATTTTGCCTGATCCGTGAGTCTTATTATGAAGGATGTACTGACCTCAGGGGTTGCTTTGAAGTCCACGCCGTGCGATATGAGGTCATCCCGGGCGCGCGGCCGGAGGCAACGAACGGACTCGTACTTGCAGAGGTGGACGGAGAGCGTCCGTTCTTCACGTACAGTATCAAGCCGGGGCCGCGCAAGAAATGGAGCGCTAAAGAGGAGTCTTCGCCTGAGGTTGAGACCACCGCCGCGCCAGACGTAGAGACCTCAACGAGGCCGTACGACCCACACGCCTGCGATCGCATCGTCATCATGCACGCGACACCCGGCGTGCCGTGGCACGCGGTTGTGGCTGCCGCAACCCGTGAGGGCGTTACCCGCATCGAAGCATGGCAGGGTTACGGATGGGATGAGGAGGCAGGTGGCGCCGTCAGGCTTCCTGAAGAAAACTTGCCATGTCTGGCCGTCTACGGGTGGCGCGACGACGAGGTCGAGTGGGAGTTCGATGAGAAGTAAGTGGGACCTCCGCCAAGCTGACAGCAGATACACGTGGTTGTAAGCGTGGCAAAAGGCTGCGCATACGGGATGAACCAGAGAATGGGGTGGATCCGACGCCGCAGCAAGCTCTCGGTCGGGAAAGGTTGAGAGCCGTGCTCGCTGAAGTTACTAATCTTGGTTATGGAATCAAGCCCACATTGAGATGAGCACACTTTGCACATCGGGCAATGTGGGCCATTGCAACTGCAACAGCTACAAGAGCTCAAGGGAAGACGGGCTGCAGGACGAGTGCCTGCTTCCACCGCTTGTTGACCGCGCTTCGGCCCAAAACACAGACAGTTGACGTCACGCTGCGCGCCAGGTTCACTTGCGGGATTGACTTGCGGCTCCCAGTCGCACGCTGACACGGACCCGGCTCCAAGGAACGCCGACAAGGTGTGCACGCCTCGGCTGCCGGAATCTTGTGCTTCCTAAACAGATATATCTTCCGAACTCTGGCCCACAACTTCTGACTTTGTTACATCTACATGGTCCGTCCTTGAACGCTGTGCGCTTACGAGCACTTGCCGTCGCGGCAGTTCTTACCGGGCTCACACTGACGTCAGCCTAACCCAGCATAGCGCACTCACCGGGTTGTAGCACTTGCCGCAATGGCGGTTGTCGTTCTGCTTGTTGACGCAACCCACGCCGCCACAGTAGTCCTGAGGGCAGGTTGTTGCCGGCGTACACGTGCCTTCGACGCAGTTCTGACCCTCGTCGCACTATCGTCAGCGCTGACGCTGAGAAAGCCCACCAAGTTGCGGCACCTGCCGCAGTTCATGTTGTCGTTCTGGACATTACGGCAGCTGCCATCACACCACGAGAAATCATTCTCGCAGGTATAGTCCACCAGGGGCGGAATCGGAGGTGCGTTGGCGTCGTCGACACACTCGCCGCCCTTGCACGTCTGACCGTCGCGGCAGCGGACGAAGCAGGTGCCGCAGTTCGTCACGTCATTCTGCAGGTTGGTGCACGTGAATGGGAAGGCGGAGGTAGGTCCACCTTCGCAGCCTGTCCAGCCGGGCTCGCAGGCATTGGGATCGTTGTGTGGGCAGTAGCCGTTGATGCAGCGGCCGAAGCCGAAGAAACACCGCGCGCCGCACGCCCCGCAGTTGTTCGGGTCCGTTTTGAGGTCGACGCACGTGCCGTTGTCCGTGGCGCTCGGGGGGTCGCAAAGTGTGTCGCCGGGACGGCAGAGGCCGTCCTGGGCGGCATAGCTCCGGGTGCCCAGATGCCAGGAGGCGAGGCGAGCGGGAGGGACGGCCGCGGTGACAAGGGAGGCGAGCGTGAGGGCGACGAACAACATGGTTGGTGAAGGGATTCTTGAATCTGGAGGCGACAAGTTCCCTGGTTAAACTGACTTCAACGCTTATATCACCGCAAAGGCGAGAAACTCCATATAGTCAGATGATGACCCGACTTACTACCATCAGCCCATTCGATGCGATAGTGTTACGAGAAAGCCCCCGTTGCATGGCCACTTCTGCACTTCTGGTTCCCATGTTGACCAAATTCCCAATTGATTCCCAAAATGATCGGGGCGGGCGGACTAGCCCTGTGAGCTATACTGGCCAGGCTGTGCTCGCTTTGCTGGCCATCATGTACTGAAACCGTTTCACCCCACTCAGATGGCGAGTGGTGCCTTCCGAGCAATGCGTATCAAACAGCCCATGTACACGAGGTACCCGGCCTCCCGGGTGAGGCACAGCTCGTCTGATTACCTCGGGTCAGAAATGGGGTTGTCGGGTGAGTGGAAGAGTGCGAGCAAGAGCTTGCCTGTAGGCTGGCAGCGGCGGGGTCGGCTGGCTGAACTAGGTGACGCCTGGCAGCTGGCGGCGATCGCGACGGTGCACGGTTTCCCAGCCCACCGTGTCTGACCGCGGCAGCTGGTAGCTCCCGCCAAGGTTGGTGGTGGTCCGGCGCACCATTGCCGTCCGCCATCGGTGTTGCGAGGCGCGTTGCTGCCGACATGTCGGGCCAGCCACGGTGCCTGCGCTTGAGTCCGACAGATGGTGTGTCGAGCCAGTGTTTTGGCGTATCGGCTCCCCGCTTACGGCTGTCGCCGCGCCAGCCAAACTCTTAATCTCGGGTATCAAGGCGCGTCGCCAAGGCCGCCTCCAGTACGGCGTGAGAAGCGTGCCTGTGCGCTCACGGAATGGCTGGCAGCCAACTGGCTGTGGCATGCTGGTACGGGCCTGTGCCACGTTGGTATCGCGGGAACCCAGGCACACATTGCTGATAACGGCAAGGTAATGTCGGCGTGCCTAGACACTTCGCGCTTGACGGTTTCGCGTATCAGCTACGTTGCAGATGGGCTCTGCAATATGGGTCCATGACGATGAGCTGGCTGCCGCCAGCCTGCAAGCGCCAAAATAGCGCAGTGATGTCTTCCTTCACCACGGCGGAAACCCTCGTCGTGAGCGTCGTCGCTGCCTCCCCACAAGTTACATGAGGGTGAGAAGGGATCGCCGCGACCTCGCGACGCGAGCATGTGTCGTGCCGATCTCGGGACGAAGATGGTGGGGGCTGGGTCACTAGACGAGCGGGAGTCAGAAAATAAAAGCCACTGGCGCGATATATAAGCTAGACAGAAAGACGAGAGCGCTTCATCCTTCAACTTCATCACTTCGAACTCAGCAAACTCCACATCACCCTTTCACCATGGTCTCCAAGACCCTACTCTTCTTCTCAGTCCTCGGTAAGACCTCCCCTACTCTGGGCTGACATCAGCTTCGGCGCACGCCGCCGTCCTCCCTCGCCAAGACACGGGCACTGGCGCCATCTGTCAGCCTGGGTGGGAAGACTGCTTCCTTGTGGGTTGCACAGACATCCAGAACAGCGAGATGCACTGCGGCGCCTGCGGCAACTGGTGCCCAAACGGGCCGTGCGTGAACGGCAAGTGCGAGCGTGACCCCGAAGCACCTCCGCTTGACGAGACGACCGCGGCACCCTCGCCGTCCGCCGGCTCCGCGAAGAGCCCCGCGCCGCCCGTGACTTCGGCGCCGGCACAGAATGCTCCGCAATCCGGGCCGTGCGGCCCCGGCGGCCAGCACGAGTACTGCACCGTGGGCGGCGTCTCGCAGTGCATCGACTTGAAGAAGGACCCGAAGAACTGTGGCTACTGCGAGAACAAGGTGAGGCCTCATGATGCTCGGCTGACGGCAGTGCCCCGACGGCCAGCTGTGCTACAACGGCGCATGCAGCGAGCAGTGCAAGCCCGGATGGGAACACTGCTTCCTCATCGGCTGCACGGACGTACAGACGAGCTCCCAGAACTGCGGCGCTTGCGGTAACTGGTGCTCGCCGTCGCAGGTCTGCCGCGGCGGCAAGTGCGTGGACGATGCCGTCTCCAACATCGGCAAGCCGTGCGACCTCGGCGCTCACTCTGGCGGCATCGAGTGCCCCGGTGCAGGCGGTGCCTCGACCTGTGTCGATCCCTCGTTCGACCCCAACAACTGCGGGGGCTGCGGCGCCCAGGACCCCAAGTACAAGTGTGCCGCCGGCTCGTCATGCCAGGCCGGCAAGTGTGTCGCGCAGGAGCAGTCGCCCAGCGCCGCAGAGTCGGCTGCGCCAGCACCCACTACGCCCGCCCCCTCGCCCTCGCCTTCTCCCGCACCGACTGAGACTCCTCAGCCTCAGGAGCCAGAGGTTGGCCTCGGTAAGCCATGCAACTATGGCGCCAAGGGCTTCCTCTACTGCTCTGCCGCGCAGGGCCCTGGCTTCGAGTGCTTCAACACCCTCAACGATAACCGGCACTGCGGCGCGTGCGGCAACGACTGCCGCCCCGGCGAGAACTGCGTCGATGGCAAATGTGCGCCGCCCGGCGGTTGCGGGGCCCAGACATACTGCCCCGGCAGCGCCAATGGGCCGTGCGTCAACCTCGACAACGACAACACCAACTGCGGCGCATGCGGCCGCTTCTGCAAGCCCGGCCAGAACTGCTGGGGTGGCAAGTGCTCTTAGACTTTGTGTAGTAGGAACGGACAATATCTGGCATGAGCCAGTGTAAACATAGGACTCGGTGCATGCAAACGCTGCACAGAAAGAGAGGCGTGCCAGAGAGTTGGGTGTGTCGACTGGTGAGGGCCCTGACGTTAGCTTATTTATTGCCTCTGCCACCATGTCTTGCTCACTTTACTTCATATTCGTCCACTCCGGGGCGGCGCACCATTGCGGAACCTGTCCGGAGTACTCGGCGAATTTGACGTGATCCTTGACCAGCCAGGGGTTCCAGCGCATGACATCGACCAGGCTGCTTTGGATCACCTGCTGTGCACTACACTGCGCGTTCACAAAAATATCGAGAGAATCGTACTCCACCCAATCGTCGCAGCCTATGAGGGTGAGGTCCACACCTCGCCGGAGGAGGGGAGCTGCGAGAGAGCCAACGAGCGTCTCCCGCGTAGGCCAGATCCTAGGCGAGGACATGGCGCAATGGATCGTTGCGTGTGTGACCTTCCCTTCCACCTCCCAAGGTGGGACGCCGGGGATGTCGTCGCCGTTGTTCGAAATGGTTGCGACAAGAGTCAGCAGAGGCGGGAAGGGCGCCACCATGCCGTCGAAGTTGTGGAACACGATCTGCTCAGCGCGAACGGGCATCGCGCACATGTGCATTCCCCAGCTGCGCAGCGTGCGCACCCGCAGGCGGGCTCCCAGCTCCATCAGGAGTTCCGTTGTATGGCCGCGGCGCACGCCGCACCAGCATTTGGAGTGCCCCCACGAAGCCACATGATCATCCCCGTTCCAGGCCGGCATGCCGCTGAGAGCTTGAAGGCGGTCGAAGGCTTCACCGTGCACCATCCGGTCGAGGAGCCAGGCCCCGGACTCTCGAGGCCTGGACGTGGGCGTGAAGGAGATGGCCATGCCGCGAAAGTAGTCCGACGAGAGATGCTGGATTGGGGGCACGAGGGAGAGAGTGTGGACTACGTTGGTGTGGGCGCGCCAGTCGGCGGGCAAGCCGTGCAACTCGCCGTCGACGATGCAGCGGACTTCGTCCTGGGGCCCGGGGGCGAGAAGGACCGCAAGATGGCCGCAGAGTTGGGCGTCGACAACATCACGCACGGCGCGGCAGGTCGCGCGCAGGCGCAGGAGCGCTGAGTAGGGCGCGACGGCGAGAATGGCGGACCAGAGATGCGGGAAGGAGTCGGCGAAGCTCATGAGGAGATGAGATGGGAATGAGAGAACATGACGAATCTGGGATGTTGGGTGAGGGGGGCAAGGGGAGGGAAGGTGCACAGATCGTCGAGGAGGTTGGTCAACCCCGGTCATCCAAGCGGCTGAGCGGTGAGCACGCGTTCCCAAGCTGTGGACGCTTCTCGTGCGATCGTGCAGTCTCCTCTTCTCGAACCAGTGTCGTGTAGACTGGTCGCGCAAGCAAGCCAAGGTGGGGATGGCGTGGGAAGCGAAACAGAAAAGGTCACCCTCCACGATGTCCGGAGTAAAGGCTTACACTCATGACGCGGCAGATCTTGGCAGACACCTACGGACTCTGCAGCACAGCCTCCGCCAACAGGGAGAGTCTGGCGCGACGCGGACGTCCGTCAAATCTGCTCACGCGATGTGTGTGAGGCCTGGACCAGCGCGGCGGCGTGGAAACCAGGGCGGATGAGGACAAACCGCCCGGGCCGCGTACTGCCTATGCTTCGACGTCGGGGCTGTCGCGGGCACCTCAGCAAGCACAAGGGGAGGGTCTGGACGCGTGTCTTGACGCCCGCACGGGGAGGCGCGGCGTCGTCGAGTGGTGTGGATGGTATGGGAGCGGCGCGTCTGGACTGCATGGATGGGCCACACATTGTCGTCAGCCGTCGTCAGCCGTCGCACGCCGCCACGCCCACGCGGAATGTACTGCTGCACCTGCACGATGCACCGCACGAGCGGCTTCTGTCCGCGAAGCCAGGAGCCATTAGCCCAGCCTGTGGGCCGATGCATAAGAACCAAACGATATACAACTGAACTGCTCGCCACTGAGCCATCTTCGCCATAACCAGCACTATCTTCACTCCTTTGCTTTCCCATTTACCTCCCTCCCAGGAAGTCACGCCAACACGCTACGCCTCCGTGATCTCGATCTGGCGCAGCGTGTCAGCCGCAATCGCGGCGCGGAGGACCTCAATCAGCTCGTCGCTGAGCGGGCTGTCGACGGTGAGCACACTGAGCGCGCGGCCGCCGGCGGCAACACGCGAAATCTGCATGCCGTTGATGTTGATGTCCATCTCGCCGAGCTTGGCGCCGTACACGGCGACGATACCGGGCCGGTCGCGGTAGATCATGACCAAGTGGTGGCGCTCGAAGGGGATCTCGAGCGTGAAGCCGTTGATGCCGACGAGCTTCTCCGTCTGCTTGGGGCCCGTGCACGTGCCGCTGACACTGATTGTGCTCCCGTCCGCTAGCGTGCCAGACAGCGTGATAACGTTACGATACTCGTCGGTGTGGTCGTCGACGACGAGGCGGACATCGATGCCGCGGCTCTGCGCAAGCAGCGGTGCATTGACGTACGACACCGACTCGCTGACGATGTTTGTGAACACGCCCTTGAGCGCGGCCAGCTTGAGGATCTCGACGGGGTACGCGCTCAGCTCGCCGTGCACCTCCACGTCGAGAGCAGTGACGGGGGAGCGAGCAAGGGCCGAGAAGAACTGGCCCAGCTTCTCGACCAGCGGAATGCCGGGGCGGACGTAGGGGTCGATCGTGCCGCCCGCAACGTTGACTGCGTCCGGCACGATTTCACCGCTCAGCGCGAGGCGCACGCTTTTGGCGACCGAGATGCCCGCCTTCTCCTGCGCCTCGTGCGTCGACGCGCCGAGGTGAGGTGTGACTACAACGTTGGGCAGGGCGAGGAGGCGCGCGGCAGTACCAGTTGGCGGCTCTGTGGAGAACACGTCGAGGCCGGCGCCGGAAATTTCTCCGCTTTCAAGGGCCTCGTAAAGCGCGCTCTCGTCGATGAGGCCGCCACGCGCGACGTTGATGACACACGCGCTGTTCTTCATGCGCTTGAACTGGGCGGAAGAGATCATGCCGGTCGTCTCGGGCGTCTTGGGCATGTGGATCGTGACAAAGTCTGCCTCGGTGAGCAGGTCATCGAGCGTCTTGCTCTCGACGCCGAGCTGCTGGCTGCGTGCCGCGGTGATGTACGGGTCGTACGCGATGACACGCATGCCAAACGCCTGCATGCGCGTCGCGATCAGCGTGCCGATCCGCCCAAGACCGATGATGCCGAGCGTCTTCTCGTACAGCTCGGTGCCCGAGTACGCGGAGCGTTTCCACGCGCCGGCTGCGAGGGAGGCGTGCGCGGCGGGGATGCGGCGCGCGAGCGAAAGGATGTGCCCGATTGTGAGCTCAGCGGCGGAAATGATATTCGACGTGGGTGCGTTCACGACCATGACACCGGCCTGCGTCGCGGCCTTGATGTCGACGTTGTCGAGGCCGACGCCGGCGCGCGCCACGACCTTGAGGTGCGGGGCGGCGGCGAGTGCTTCGGCATCAATCTGTGTCGCACTGCGTACGAGGACGGCGTGCGCGTCAGCCAGCGCCGCAAGAAGGGCAGCGCGGTCAGTTCCGTCCACATTGCGGACCTCGAAGTCGGGGCCGAGCGCGTCGAGCGTCGCCGGACTCAGCTCCTCGGCGATCACGACGACCGGGGCCGCCAGCGAGAGGTCCTTGATTATAGGTTTAACGCCCATGGGGGTGGAAGCGCCATTCGTCGCGGAGGGCTTGGAGTTGAAGAGGGGGCTCCAGGTGGTCATCTTGGATAGGAGCGGAAGAGTTTAGAGAGAGGGGGACGTGGAATGAGGAAGCGCAGATAACTGGCCGAGCCTTGAGGCCCCAGAGTGGGGGATGTGGGGGATCTGCAGGTGGCACGTGACCTCGCTTTTTATTGGCTGACCCCTCAACCAACCCTTTCGAGTCTGTGCTTATCAGGCCAAACCGCCGGCTGGCAATGCCGCGGCGCCGCGGTGATGCGGGGTCGGCGCATGCTCGTGAGCGGCGATGGTCCATTGCGGCGCCCGGTAAGTGAGCACGATGCGGATGAGTATGGAAATCCGTAGAGCCACAAGGCAATATATGCAGTGACCGGCTTGGTGGTCGACCTAGTTACATCAAGCAAAGCGGCAGAACTAGGCCAAACAGGTTTCATCGGCGTTACTTCCGAGGGCTGCAAGCAAGGGCGCCCATAGCGTCTAGACAGCAGTTTACGCCAGGCCCCTCGCGTTCGCTAGAGCCCGCTCTGCTCGCAGTACGCCTCGAGGTCGTACATCCAGCCCATCTCCAACTTGTACTCACTTTCGGTCATGATCATGACCTGGTTCATCGATATGAGCATCGCATCCTTTCGGCTGACACGCAGAGCTCCGACCAGGTGGCGGTAGATCCAGTGCACTGCCTGCAACCCGAAGCACTTGGGTTCGAGCGCGAGCCAAGACCAGAGCTCGGATCCCACCAACGTGATCTTGACGGTGTCCACGGCGACGCGGCACGCGACCGCCTCCGCGAAATCGGAGAGCGGGTACAGGGTCGCCCTGTGGCAGTCATGCACGCTGAGGAAGGGCGCGGCGCTGCGGGCGGGATCGCTGGACGGCGGCGCAATACGCACGACAACGTGCGCCACATCCTGCGGGAAGGTGTGATGCTCAATTGTGAGTTGGGAGGAGTGGCCTAGATGCACGACGTGTACCTCAGACGTCTCCGCGTCGCCCTGGAGGAAGACGTGCGCGGGGTTCACGAGGTTCGGCGGAATGAACGTGATCGTGCGCGGGGCCTTGATGAGCTGGCGACAACGATGGCCGCGCCAGCGGCGGATGAGCTTGACGTTCTTGAGGCGCAGCGACAGGTAGTGGTTGTAGCCGGAAACCTCCACCGTGTCCTGATTGCACCAGCATCGAGGGGCGCCGAGGGCGGGACGTCGTCCACCCCAGGTCCCGTTTTGCAGCTTGCGTTGGATCTCCTTTAGCGCCTCGCGGTGCTCGGCATTGTGTTTGCGTGCGGCTTCCTCGTCCTCCTCCGTCACGACGATGTCGACAACGCGCACAGCATCCGTAAGATTGGACACGTTAAGCCAATCCGCTCGTGGGATGCGCCGGTAGCCCTCAGGCAACTTCGCTAGCACTATACTGGCAGAGTGGCGGATGCCTACATGCTTGACGAGGTGCCGATCGATCACGTCGCGCATCGTGCGCGAGGTGGCACGAAGCGCAACGAGTGAGGCGTGGGGGGCATTTTGAATGATAGCGTCGCAGATGCTGGTGTGCGACTCTAAAAAGCTGGAAGGCATTGCTACTAGGGTGCACAGCTGGCTGACTATCGTCGGGTTGACAGGGATGACCGCTGAAAGAGCACGGGGAGGCGTAGGCAAAGATAGATGAGACGGGTGCGATGGATGCGATGAAACTTTTTGTGAAAGATGAAGTGTGATGTGGAGATGAGATGCGCAGCCGTGTTTGCTGTTTTGTTGCTCGATGCCCTCAACAGCCGCGGCTGGATATCGAGGTGGATGTCCTGCCATCTATCTGCCTCCGATGCCTCCAGATTTCGCGATCGCAAATCGCGGGTCTCTCTTAATGCCTACGTACGCCTAGAAGTTTCGTTTTCCCGAACTAACATGACACCTTTCGTAAGGGCACGGTGAGCAAGTCGATGTGTCGCAGCGGGTGCTGGTTCTGGCGATGCGTTAGGGAAGACGCTGGGCGCGTCATCCGCGCTGCTGAGCGTGAAAGCAAGAGCGAACGAAAGGACTGTCGATGTGACCAAGACGAGTGTGTGCACGAGATATGCGACGGTGTAGTACCAAGATGCCATATCGAGCGTTGCGGTCGAGCTTCAGGAGTTGCATTGGGGTGACGGGGGCCTTTCCTTACAATCCTCTCGTCCCTCTCGCCTCGCAAGCAGCTGCGCCAGTCGGTTAAACACAGTACGACTCAAATGCGTAGAGTTCTTCACCGATCTCAGCGCGATACTCCTCGTGGGTGATAATGCGCAGGTTCTCATCCACAATGGCCGGAGCGTCGTCCTCGTCAACGTAGTGTTCGAGGATGAGCTCGGCCGCGACATTGCGGGCAATCTGAGCGCGGACATCTCCTTTCGTTGCCCACTTACGCAGGAACGGCAAGTCGGCCCACCCCACGAGTGTACATCCGGTGTCGGCGAGCGCGAGGACGCGTGCGAGGTCCAGGCACAGGATAGTGGGATCGACCTCGTTCTCGTCGCTCGGCTGGGCGCGAATGACGACGTGACCCAGTCCCGCGACATCGCAGCGCAGTGCGCCGGGCGAACATAGAAAGACGGCCACAGGTGCCAGCTCGGGACAAGGACGCCCAAAGTACTGAGGCTTGCCGGGCGGAAGGAGGGTGACGACCCGCGGGGCCGTTACGTCCACGCAACGATGTTCGCGTGTCCATTGACGCACAACCTTCACCTGGGTAAGACTGACGCGCGAGTCCCGAAGCTGCACCTCGCACCAGCAGCGCTCGGCTCTCGACGGCAGGTTTGGGCGTACAGCGACCGCGCCGAAAAAGTCAACGGCGCGGACAGCCTCTGTCAGTGCGGTGACGTCCCACCACTCGGTGCGTGGGATGCGGACGCGCCGATTATCCCACACGGCAAGGAGATCGATGCCAAGGAAGGCGATGTGCTGCACGAGAAGAGCGTCGACTCGCCCGCGGAGGGAGCGACAGGCGGCACGCAGTGCAAGGAGCGACTCGTACGGAGCATGTGCGAGGATTGCGTCCAGAATGTGCGGGTGGGTGTCGATTGGGATCGCGACCATGGCGAAGAACAATGAGGTGCGATGCTGTTAGGGGCGCAAGTCGAGGAGAAGATGGGAAGTGGGAAGGAGAGCGAGGGATGAAGGCGAGGGTGGAGATGCAGAATCACCAAGCATCGCTGAGTGTGGGGTCGACGCAGTTGATGTGCTTGTCCCGCCAAGTGTGCGAGAGCCCTCGCGATTGGGCGCACTGTCCTCGTTGTTGTTTGGAGCGTGCACGATGATGGTGGCCCCCCCGCGAACTGACGAGGGTGATGTGGGCGTCAGCAGAATGACGAGAGTGGGGACATTCCAGTCATGGAGCATTTGTCCACCCAATTCCTGTCCCGCCAGCAAGGGGTGCCTGATCGCAGCACGTCGCACCTAGCCTCATCTTGCCTCTCACCACATCTTCTTGCCATCACGCTTCCATCCATCCATCTGCATTTAACATCATTTCTCTGACTACTGACGCTCACCACTGCTTACTACTCATCATCAGCTCCACACTCCAATATCCAATGAGCATCGATCACAAGTTCTACCCTCACATCTTCGAAGCCATTCTCGCCAGCGCGTCCTTCTCGGCTCTTGTGCGCCTGCGCGCGACGTGCCGCGAGGTGCGCGACCGCGTCGACCGCCAGCTCGTCACGCACATTGCCCTCGAACGCGCCTCCATGTCGGGCCCTGACCGGCACCTCGCGCTCGAGTCCTGCGTCCTCGGCAACCGCCTCTACCCCATCCCGCGCGCGGGATGGCTGCAAGACATGGCGGACGCCGTGCGTATTGTCGACCTTCTCGATGGCGAGCTCCCCGAAGGGGACCGCAACAGCAGCTTTTGCCGCACGCGTGGCGAGCTGTGCGACAGCTCTCCCTCGCACCTGGCCCGGTACATTGACATTTACGCGGAGATTGTGTGCTACTGGCACCAGCACTCCTGCACGCCGGGCATCCGCGCGGCGCGCTCGATACATTTTTGGACGCCCGAGGGCCCGGAAAACACGGATATGGCACTTCGCCACCTCGCGCATTGCTCCAACTCGGCCGTTCATGTCACACGTCGCTGTCCAGACGAATTCTACGATTCATTGGACCCCGTCCACATCCCTGATGTCATAGGAAGCCTGCACATCGTTCGTCTCGGCACGATTCGTTTGCGAGCCATGGATCCGTGCGAAATGGGCCGCGCGTTGTGGAAGCACATCTTCCATCTGCCAGGGACGGTGGTCGTCGGCACTGAGACATGGCGCCTGCCCGTCTTGTCGAATAAACTGGAGGAGCGGGAGGCCGAGCTGCACACCGAAATCGCCGAATACGGGGCCTGGTCTCCCCATGTTGGAATCATGCCCAGGGAGTGGCTATACTGGTCCGACAGCAGCACAGACGGAGAGACCGGCTTGGAGGCCGTCGGGGACGCAGGGGATTCTGGTGAGGACGGCGGAAATTCTGCACAGCATAACGGGGACGGTTACGTTGACCCGGAGGAGGCGGAGATGCTCGCGCGTGCAACAGCTGCGGCCGAAATATATCTCCGCGATCACTTGCACCGCATAAGCTTCGTCTCCGAGGAGGCTTACCGATTGCGAGTAGGCGAGCGTGTGTACAGCCTCGAGGCGTGGCGTGAAGAGCCCACCCTCGCCGACGATTGAGGCGCTGAAGGGCGGGTGTCGATGTAGTAGCACAGTAGTATGTACATATATCCAGAAGCCCAAGTCTAGTCTCCTCTCGCTCGTCACAAGTTTGCTGTTCTCTTTTGTTGGAAAATGGGCACGACTCGTGACTCCGCCCATTCTCCACTTCCACTTCCGCTCGAAGCGGAACCAATTCCAAAGTCAGTCGCGTCCATATTCCCCAGCCCGTTCCTCTCTCTCTCCTCGCTGATCACCATGACCGCACCAACACACCTCCGCATCCGCGTCTCTCCGCACAACGAGCTCAGCGTCCTTACGCCCTACGGCGCGATCCCGTACGCCTCGTACACGGCCACGACGCCGCTCTCCTCCGTTCACACTCTCGACTTGGACCTGCAGCTCGCCGCGGCCCCTAGCTCGAGCCCGGACGCGTGCGCATGCGGCCGCGCCGCGCTCCCCGCCTCCATGGCGCCGCTGAGTGAGCTGGACCTCGATATGGTCCGGCGTTGGACGCCGCACGCGTGCGCTGCGCCCCGTGCGCGCCGGGTCGTCAATCTCGACTGTACGATGGCGGAGGAAGGCGGGGACGAGTTCCATCTCGCGCCGTGTCCGGGGGCCGGAGACGCGGAGGTGGTGTATGTTGGGATGTGGGAGTACGATGAGTTTCCGCGCTTCGTCGTCGATGGGGACTTGCCGGCGCGCGTCGTTGTCCGTGTCATGGCGCCCGGAGATGAGGAGGAGGTGATGGCTGAGGGGGAGGGGGAGAACGAGGAGAGCGAAAGCGAGGGGGAGGAGGAAGGTGATGGGGAGGAGGAGGATGGGGAGGACGAGTGGGAAGACGAGGACGACGAGGACGACGACGGCGACACGCCCGATTCACAAGAAGCCAAGATTCGCGCGCTCATGGCGCGGACAAAATACCTGCCCCTCACGGCGTTTATCGCGCAGGCCAAGAACACGCACTTTACGCTCGTGGACGTCGAGAGCTGGGACGAGGACGAGGACGACGTCGAGGATAAAATTCGCGCTGAGCTCGCCAAGGTGCTCGTTGGCCGCGAGATGGACGACGCCGTGCGCTTTGTTTCGCTTGACTCGTACCGCGCTGAGGTGGGAGCCGAGGTGTTCCGCCTCGAGAGCCAGAATACGCCGCTGGGGTAGTCATGTGCTGGGGTAGCCGACGTGTGTGTCGGTAGATGCGCCGAGAGCCATAGCGGATGTACATGTATGTTGTGCACTAACTTATCCCATCAGAAGCTTGCCTGCTGACAACCCCGGCCGGCCCGTCTAGCCATCGAGTTCGCGTTCCTCTCCACCAACTTCCAGCTTGAGTAAGGCATTACATGCCAGCAGTGCTGGTCTATTACAACGACTGCTATGCTTTCTAAGACATACGTGTATACTTCTGACTATGCCGGCTCGGCGCCGCGCACATCTTTTATTCTTCCTACATCGGGAGCAGCAGGTGCATGAGCACGTCGCGGTTTTCGTCCATGGCAGCGGCGCCCAGCGTGCCACACAAGACTGCCGCGTACGCGATGAGCCCCGCACAGCGGTTCTTGCCCGGCGTCGCAGGCAAGTCGGCGGGCCGCACGTGCCCCACTCGCGCGAGGTACTCGAGCGCATCGCGGCGCGCGAGCGTCGACTCGATCTTGACCTCCCCCGTCTGCAGCGGCACCATGAACACCTCGGCGCCTTGGTGCGGGCCTTCGTGCACCGCCGCATACGCCCAGACGACGAGTGCGGCAATGTATGCGCAGAACGGGGTGATGCTTGCGACGGGCGGGTTGCCGCGCTCGTGCGCCCACGTGAAGACGCCCTCGAGGAGCCGCGCGGCGGCATGGAAGGCGTGCGCGCCGTCCATGCTGCGCGCCCAGGAGTGGGTGTACGACGAGGCGGTGGCCCACTCGGCTGGCACGACGTGGCACCCAGCGAGCGCACGCTCGCCGGCAAAAACCCGCAGCGCTTCCGTGTCCGTCGCCACGAGGATCTTGCCGAGCTGCGCTAGCGGCATGCCCGTCCAGTAAACGTGGAGGTCGAGAGGGGGCTCGTGGGCCGCGCGCCGCCGATCCAGGTGGCTCGAAAGGCGGTGGCTGACCGCGCTAAAAGAGGCGCGGAGCCGGTCTTTCCAGTGGGCGACGCGCGCCTCGGGGAACATCGAGAGGTCGCCCAGGTCGCGAGACAGTACGGTCGACGAGATGCTGAGGAGGCCGTGCAGGAGGATCCAGAGGGAGAACTCGGACAGGGGCGGCATAGCGCTACGCGTGATCACATCCTTGAGCGCGTTGCGGAAGGGTGGGAGGCGCGGGGCGGCACGCTGATGCCGGTTCCACTCGTAGGGTTCACAGGCGTTCCATACCGCGTCGCAGGCGGGCCAGTCGAGCTGCACACTCAAGCAGTTCACGATGTGGTGATGCCGGAAGAGAGTGGCGTTCGACGTATCCAACATGAACGCGAACCAGCCGACACGCTTGCGCTCCTCGAAGGCAACCCACTCTAGCCAGTGATCGAGCGGGTTATGCGCGCGGTGGTGTGGCGGCTGAGCGGGTTGGAAGACGCCGGCGAGGCGCGCCATGATGATACTCGGAGAGTGGAAGACCTGCGCAACGTGGTGCTCCTTGATCCCGCAGTATGCGCGGCTAAAATAGTTGACGAGGAGGATGGTCTGGAGAGCGTGAAGCGGGACCTGAGGCTGATCCTCAACTTGCTGTTTCGTTAGTCTCCGGGCATGTAGGCAGTTGTCATACAAAAACTCACCTCGAAAATGCGATTGCGCAACCGCTTGTGGATTCGCATCGCAATGCGGAAGCCCTCCTTGTCCTCGTTGAATGCTGTCCCGATGCACAGCATGGCAAGAAGAAGTTCGGGAGGGAGACGCCTGTACGGCAGGCTGGGCCGGTGGATGATAGGGTACAATGGTGCGAAGTGACTATAATAACGGCGGACATGGTGTGGTGCGGGTCGAGTCGGGGGCAGGAGCAGCGTGTCTCAGCACGGCCGCCCGGCTAAAGACTCGCGGCCGCACCTGGCGAAGGAGCGTACCATGCCCACTCACACATCATAGAGTTGGAGGTGACGGCGCATCTCGTTCACGGTGAATGCTTGAGAAAGCATGTCGTCGCGCATGGCCCCGTCGTACAAGTTGAGAACCTCGTCGCGGGCGCGGCTGTCGATTACGTCGGATTGCGGAGGCAACGGCCACTGCCAGCCCTGGCGCCACTCGTCAGAGAGCGGCGGGAATGGCATGCTGGTGAACGGCAAAGCTCGAAGATGAGAGAAGCGCTCGTCCAGGCCATGTCGGCTGGAGAGGGAGTGCTCAGGCGGTGTTGGGAGCGACGAGCTCATGTCATGGTCGGAGAAGATGGCGACGTTGTCTTTTGAGGGCTCATCAACGGGGGTGAGGGGCCAAACCGCACCCGAAGACGGGTTTGGGGCGTTGAAGAACCATGTGAAGATGTCGACTGACTCGGGGGAGTCAGTGTCAGACCCTGGACCAGACGCCCAGGTGAGCTCTGGAGCGACCTCCGGAGGGACGACACTGGGAAACTCGATCCCGGTGCTGGTCTGCTGTTCACTGGCGACAGACGCGAGGTTGGGCATGCCGTCCCCGCCGAGGGGGATGTTAAAGCGCTCGGTACGGCCTGGAAAATCGGTCTCGGACTTTGGCGTGAATGAGAGAGGCCCTAGAGTCTCTGGAGTGGCGGCGAAAGCGGGAGCGAGGGGAAGATCGAGAGAGGCACCGGCGCGTGCAGGTCCGTCGGCGGCAGCCTCGCGCGCCTCATTGAGAACAAGACGAGGGGAGAGGGACGACAGAGGCGCATTTGTGTCCAAGCGGGGTGATGTCGAATCTTCGCGGTCACTCAAGGCCGAGTCACCTTCGAGGTTGCGGAGGAGCTCGCTGCGGGACGCGAGGAGTCCCTCGTGGCGCCCGTCCAGGCGGCCATTGAGGCGAGAGTCGAGGCGGCCAAGACGGTCGAGTCGGTGACGCTCGACGCTGTCGAGCCCGAAGCTAGAGTGCTGGGAGATATGGTTGGATGAGGATGGAAAAGAATATCCTCTGGAGAAGATGGGCTGCTTGAAGGGGCGAGAACTTTCGTCGTCCGAAGCGGGCGAGTCGGCAGATACATTTGTATTGCGTCGCTGGGGGCGACGGCGCTTGCGAGGGACGAGCGCATCCTCCTCAGCGGTCGTGAGGGGAGCAGGTGCGTCACCATCGCTGCCGCGACGGCTTTTGCATGATGTGGAAAGATGCTTGCGAAGGACATCGGGGCGAGCGAATCCCTTGCCACAAGCTGGACACACCGATCGGGGGCGAGTGTCTAGAGGTTAGCTATTGTGAACGACAGAATATGTGGTCAAAACACAGGACGAGTCGACACGGGCGCAGACGGAAACAAGCAGAAGCCGGTACGCCAATAGGTACTCTGGTGCATGTGCATGTAGTCGAGTCAATTCTCCAGCCGAGGCTGTGAAAAGAGGGGGGTGGGGGAGAATGATGGTGATGATGAGAGAGTGGGAGAGAGAGAGAGTGACACAGAGATCTCGAGTGACATCTCGCTTATCTCGCCTATACTGTACGTCCGGGGTGGAAATGGACTTTCCGCGGATTTCCGCCTCACCCCAGTCTCCCACATGCCTCACCCCCACGCCACTTGCCAGCCTGCCGCTGGACCCCCTCGGTCGTAACCGACACACTCTCTTCTGGTGAGTACTCACGGTTCAGTTCGTGACGCTCCAAATAATCCTTGCGAGCATAGCGTTTGGGGCAGTGCTGGCAGGCATAGATGCGGTCGGTGTCGCTGGTAGGAGATGCTGGGTGCGCCATTTTATGTGGCGGTGACGGATGCGGGTTGTCGCGGTTACTTCGGTTGTGTGGGGGAGTCGCTAGGGAGGTAGAGGCGAAAGGGGTTTTGGATGTGGACGGCGGTCTAGGTGTCGACGAGGGAGTTAGGAGGCAGTGACAGGTAACAGAAGAATGAAGAAGAAGAGATGAGAAGAAGGAGGAGGTGAGGAATGGGAAGAGGTAGAAGAGGCGGTAGACGAAGCTGGCCTGGCTTATCACATCTCTCTCTCAAGCGCACCGTCAACTCGAACCTCTTTCAGGTCTCGTCGTCGTATCCCAAATGATCAGGGCGGCTGCCGAGTCTCCCCCGGGGGGCGCCACCTGCTGCCTCCACCGGCTCAACACTGGGATGTCGCCTGGTACACTCGTGCTGCCTTTGCCGCTGGCGGCTGGGCGGCTGGGCGGTTGGGGAATGCTCGAGAGAGTGGAGGAGGTGGAGGAGGGGCGGGGCTGGGCGTCCGGCATCCGGCCAGCACGGGCGACGGTAACAAGCGCGGCAGGGCTATGAGCCAGGGCGGGTTGGCAGGGTACGGCAGGTGGGGTGGGGGCCGCCGGGGTGCAAGTGGCACGGCTGCAGGCTGTGTGAGGTGAGAGTGGAACACGGAACACGGCATCTGGCCAGAGGGCCAAGCGTGTATCTCAACCGTCGGCACTCACGGGCGGGTCAGCTGACATTGTCAAGCGCTGCGTTGGGCGGGCGCCATCAAGTTCAGCCTCTTTACCCTTAACCCCAGTTCCAAGGCTCAAGGTGGCGCACACCATTTTCCTGTGTTAATTCTCGATACTGCGCGTCGCGTTGAGTGGCCACAATTGCTGGTCGCGATACGCTTTCTCAAACCAGCGTACGAGAACATGCAGGCTTATCTCCAGAACCTGCCAGTAGAAGCTGCAACAGCGCCCAAAATCCGGGGGGTAAGCTGTAGACGGAGCGCCTCGCTACTGACTCTGACGACTGACCCCTGCCGGCGCCCGTGCGCGGAGAGTCTGAGAATCCCGGGTCGCATGAATGTTCTTCCAGGCAGCAAGACAGGTGTAAGTTGGACTCACTCGGGCCTGGGAGTGACATAACATTTCGGTAGCAGCCGAGGCTCGAGAGCAGAGGCCATGCGCGCTTCGCGGTGAGCGCAGGCGTATTTCGACAGTTCGTGTTCCTCGCTGTCCTATTCTGTGGGGTACCCCCTGGGGAATGCTTGCGGGCACCTTGCGCTCTCCCTGCTCTCATGCTCGCTGCTGCATGCGCTCGCCTGGATCGGTCCGGTTGTCGTATGAGCACGGTCCAAAGTCATTCCATGGTTTTCCCGGCGTATTCCGCTTCCTCTGCCATGCCGCCCGTCCCGCTCGTCTCGCGTCTCCACGCACCGACCAGACCGGCCCTTCTCATTCACGACATCGCCCCCCCCCTTCTCATGCTTTCACTCCCTCACCCTACACTAATCTCCCTGGTCCCATACATTCTCCTCAGGGAGCGCAACTCTCGTTGAATACTGAGAGCACGAGAGAACGTGAGAATGCCCAGGGCCGCGCAAGCTATCGATAATTTCGAACTTGGAGAGCTCGCGTATCGCTTCTCGTCGCATACGGCCGCAGTTCCGCGGACATCCAAGACTACTGCTGCCGCCGGCACCCGCCGTACACCAAACCTTGCCTCCATGGACCAACTAAGTAACAAGTATGCTGCATTGCGCTATCAGCTCGAACCGTGGCAGCGCCACCGATTGTTACTCTGTGCGCGCCATCAGTATTCGTCGACCGTTCTTGCTACACGGAAGGAGAGCGCATCGATGACTCATGACTCAGTCCCCTCTGCGTGCCAGGAACAACTCCGCTGGCACCGGGCTAACACTGGACCGAGGCCGAGGTTGCTTGCCGCCGGATCTTGCGCATCCCTGGAAATACGACAAAGGGAGCGGGCATGAGCAGGAACGTGGAGTTGGCATCCCCAACCTCCGCTCGACGTCATCCACATGCCATCACCCACGATAGACACCGATGTACCACACTCCGTTCCGTTTTCCGTCTCCGTCTCCCCACCGCCGACACAGCGCTCACTTATTGTTCTCCGTGCTCGCCGGGCCTCACCGAGCACAGGTGTATTTTTGCCTCACAACAGGAGGCTGGGCGCCGCATAATGGAAAATGCGGGCGCCGTCCTCGGCTCGGCAACTCCCGGACATCGCCGTTCCGGCCCGGAGTAACGGTAAACTCGGAAGTAGGGGCGTATTCCTTATATCCGCCGCTCGGGGATGTGTGGAGTCCGGACTCGGCCCGCGTGGTTTGGACTGCGCTTTGCTCCACGACCACCTCGCTTACGCAGCTCGTTTCACTCTCACATGCGACGCTCGTAACACTCGCTCGAATGTCAAGCACCGCGTCGATCCCACAGGTACGCACAGATCACCGGTCGCTCGGCAGGAACACGTCGCGGGGTCAGGTGCCCCGCAGCATGCAAGAAGGGCCGCTGCATGCGAGGCGGCATACTGCCGCCAATCGGGCAGCCCGCAACAAAGTGTCCATTCTCGGTCCTTGGCCGTGGTGGTCGTGTGAGGTCGATCAGACATTGGTAGCCTCCGCCCGCCGCCGCCAAGAAACGTGGGGCGTTTATTCTGCGGAAGTTGGCCGGGCGCTTGCGAGCGCATGCGAAGCGCTATCGGCGAGGGCCGCTCGCTTAGCTTCCGGTTAGCGCTTCAGTGGGTCGTGTCGTCGACGGTGAGCGATAGCATCGCGATAGCGATGAAACGTCGAGGGCGAGCGAACATGTAGATACGTAGATGTTCTTATGCTATCATGCCCACCGACGGTGACATCCATGGCGTCTCGACTCGCTTACTGCCCACCACCACCACTCCACAAACTCCACGATCCGCAACGTGATCGACATTCCACTCGTTGCCGTTGACGATTTCGCGATGCTTTCGCATTTACATTTTGCTCAGCGTGCACATCTAGCCCCCAATTGCCGCCTGCTCGTTCCCACCCCATCTTTGCACCTCCACGCGGAACAAAAAATGCGCAGCTCTGCCCGACGGTCACAGTCCAGCGTCACAGTCAGCAAGCACAGAGTAATGAGCAGGCGCAACGCTAGCGGCCAGCCGCGGCAATAGGCCCTGCTCCTCACGTGCCCGATGCCTTCAGTCCCGCTCACAGCGGGTGACTTCCTCCCCCACATGCCCCACCCCCGCCCCCTCATGCCACGGCAACGGGGGGCGGTAGCTGTGGAAGTCAGTCATGCGGGTGCGCGGAAATTCAACATCCATCCCATTCTCCATTCATGGATCGCCGCGAGCAGCTGTCTCATTGCGGCTATGCCTGATCGTACGGCTCATTCTCAGATGTCTCAAGCGTTCAATTTACCGGTGGGGGTATCGCCGGGGCTGTCACCAGATCCCTGATCTCCGATTTCGGAGACTTCATTCAACGATGTGAGACAATGAATCGCTGGTGGCTTTATTAGTTCATCATCGCGGATTAACGACCATGTGAGGTTCTGCCATGTTCTTTCGTGAGTCAGTTCTATTACTATTCATCTGGTCCCTGCCATCGGTGTAATAATCCCACGGCGGTACCGAGGCAATCTCTCAAAAGTCAGAGCAAAATTCGTGGCACGCAAGGTCAGAGCGCCGGTGACACAAGTGAATGACTTGGCTGCATTAATACTCTTGGTGGTGAGACGGCGACTGCTTGCAGCATCCGTGTGGATCTAGCGCTGGTCTTACCGCGCTGCCCGCTTGGCCAGCCGCCGATGCGGTGCTAGATCTGATGCAACGTACGCTCATGGCGACTTGAAATCCCTCTAGCCATTTCCGAGTCTTGAATGCAGGCGAGCAGTTCAGTGAGAGCAATAAATGCGCCCCAGGTGTGCACTGCCTGCTGAGCATGGAAACCAATTCGGGCACAGCAAACGGCGTTTGGGTCAGCTTGCCATCCATGTCAGCACGCGGGCCTCGCCCTGTCTTACCCACGCCTTCAGCATTCAGCACCGCCCTCGCCTGTCAGAAATGCAGTGAAGAGATCAATGCGCGGTCGGTCGAGACCAGCGAGGATTGTATCGATGGACCAAAAGGAATGGGCAGAAGGGGAGTGCTCGTGCGCGGCCCACGTAGGCGGTCGTGAAAGTCAGCTCGATGTCACGATGAGTAGTCAGCCAGAAAATTGAGACATCTGACAAGTCTCCGCCAAAGCGTCGTCCCACACTATCGTGTTGCCGCTGGAACGAGTTAGTGGAAGGAGGATGTGATCCGGGAGATTGAAGAGTTTTTGTTACTGGAGATTCCGGTGATGGCCGACACGGAGGGCGTGCCTGATTCCGCCCACCCAGGCGAGCAATGACGCGTCACCGCTTGTCCCCGCCTGCACGCGACTCTCCTTCACTCTCTCACTCTCATCTTCTTTCAACTCAATACCTCGAGCTCATCGCCATCGCCACCCCTCACCTTCTCAGGCATCGGGCTGCTATCGCTTCAGTGCCGCGTTACTGGGTCCTCGCTCTCTTGTGTATGCTGCTGGCCACCCTCATTCCACGCGTCGCCAGACTCTCTCCTCTGGCACAACCCCGCTACTCACACATCCGCCTTCTCTCCCTCTTCTCCAACATGCCCGCTACCTGTAGGTTTGCCATAACGGACTCATGCTGACGCCAGATCCCAAGCCCCCAACAGCGCCCCCGCGCTGGGAGTACACTCCGCAGAAGATCGAGACCAATGTCGATGGCTACATCACCGAGACGGACAAGCTCCTCGATGAGATCGCCGCGCTGCCTAAGGAGCAGCGGACCTTCGACAACACCGTCCGCCGTATGGCGTTCCATGACTCGGCTGCGGATAGGGGCATCGAGCCCGGCCTCTTCTTGCAGTACGTCAGCGAGGATGAGGGCGTGCGCAACGCTTCTGTTGAGGCCGACAAGACGCTCCAGGTGAGTAATGCCTGTGCGGTTCCTACCTTCCTTCCTTGGACTTGTCCTTAGTGGCACGTTCTCGCTGGCCCTGTCACGGGCCACAGCGGAGCGCAACGAAGAGGCTCTTTGGTCTTCGGCGGTAGAGAGCATAGGCCCTCGATTTCCGCCTGCAACGGCTGATATCAGGAATATGGCCTCAAGACCATCGCCCGCGAGGACATCTACAAGGCCCTCCTCGATGCCGAGGCCCACGTCAAGGCTGAGGGAAAGCTCAACTCTGAGGAGCAGCGCCTCATGGATCGCATGATTCGCGACCGCAAACGCAATGGTCTGGGTCTGGAGCAGAGCAAGCGGGACGAGCTGCTCAAGCTCCAGACGAAGATCATGGGCCTCGAGGTCGACTTCCAGCGCGCGTGTAACGAGGAGAAGGGCTTCCTCCTCTTCACTGAGGAGGAGCTGGTAGGCGTGCCCGCGGCTGCCGTCGAGGGTTACCCTAAGGAGGGCGACAAGTACAAGGTCACCTTCAAAACGCCTGATATCGTGCCCATTTTGTGAGTCATCGAGCTGCGAAGCGCAACTGACCTCCAGCCAGTACGCCGATAACCCGGAGACGCGCCGCCGCGCCCAGCTCGGCTACGAGGGCAAGACTATCCAGAACGTCCCCGTACTGGAGGAGATTGTCCAGCTACGCAAGCAGGTCGCCGACATCCTTGGCTTCAAGAACTTTGCTGACTATATCCTTGATGTTGGTTTTCTGTAGATAATCGCTGACCTCCAGATCAAAATGGCCAAGGATTCGAAGACGGTCATGGACTTCCTGAACGACTTGCGCACCAAGCTTACCCCCCTCGGCGAGGCCGAGAAGAAGAATTTCCTCGATCTCAAGAGGGAGGTGCACCAGGAGAAGGGGTATGAGCCCGATGACGAGCTCAACCTTTGGGACTACCGCTACTACGACCGCCTTTGGACTGAGCGCAAGCTTGCTCTGGACGATGAGAAGATAAAGGAGTACTTCCCTGTTAACAAGGTCGTCCCGACCATTCTAGACATCTACAAACAGCTCCTCAGCGTGCAATTCTACCCAGTCCCACGAGATGAAGAGCACGGTGGCAACACGTGGCACAAGGGTAAGCTGAAGATGCTTCTTTGTTTGGAAGCTAACTCCAGACGCTGAGGCTTACGCCGTCTGGGACCATCAGAATGGCAAGGACGGCGAGTTCCTTGGGTATATGTACCTCGACCTGTTCCCTCGCGAGAACAAGTATGGACACGCCGCCGTCTGGGGTCTCATCCCCGGCTGGACCAAAGAGGACGGCGGGCGCTCGTACCCGACCGTCTGCATGGTCGCCAATCTGGCCAAGCCTACACCCAAGCGCCCTGCGCTGATGAAGCACTCGGATGTGGTCACCTTCTTCCACGAGATGGGTCACGCTTTCCACGGTCTTTGCTCGCGGACACAGTTCAGCCGTTTCCACGGCACGCATGTCGCTAGAGATTTTGTCGAGGCACCTTCGCAGATGCTCGAGAACTGGTGGGTACTCTCGCGCAGGGCAATGCTGACATCACTAGGTGCTGGCTGCCGGAGCAGCTTAAGACTATGTCATCACACTACGAGACTGGCGAGAACCTACCGGACAACCTGATTCAGAGCATTGTCAAGAGCAAGAACGTCAACCAGGGCCTGTTCAATCTCCGCCAGCTGTTCTTCGGGCTCTACGACATGACTCTCCACACGTCTAAGGATGACATTGATCAGACCAAGCTCTGGTGCGACCTGCGCAAGGACGTCTCGCTCGTGTCCACCAAGGGCGAGTACGTGGGCGGCCAGAGCGGCTTCGCTCACATCGTCGGTGGCTACGCCGCGGGGTAAGTCTTAGCTCCGTCACCTGCAACCAAGGCTGACTTCAGCTACTACGGCTACCTCTACTCGCTCGTGTTCGCGGCGGACATGTTCGAGACCGTGTTCAGCAAGGCGCCCATGTCGCCGGAGAACGGCATGAAGTACCGCAATGAGATTCTCAAGGTCGGCGGAAGTCGTGACGAGATGGACTCGCTGGTGGCACTGCTCGGCCGCAAGCCGACCAACGACGCGTTCCTGCGGGATCTCCTGAGCGGCGCGGAGGGCGAGGCTGCGCGTCTGTAGGCGGAAGAGCATTATAGCATAAGAGGGGTAAGTAGCATTACTTGAGAAGTAGCAAACAGATGAAGAACACAGGGTGGAAGTGATTAGAAGCCGCTTAATTTGGGCATATTAAGAGGTTTGTAGTAGATCAAATGCCTGCAGCGCTGTATGGCCAGGCGGCCGGCCGTCTGCATCTACGTTTACCTCCGATCCGCATTTCTCCACAGTTCCTCAGCAGCTGCCACCACTGCGAACGATGCGGAGTCAATATGAGAGCGGAAGTCTCGACACCGAGATGCGTGTCCGCGGCCGATGGAATCGTTCTGTGTTCCGGGTTTCGGCGTCGGGGATCGCCGAGCCCACCTCCGCCCCACCACACCGGTTAATACCACACCCAACATCCACAAATATCAGACTGACCTCGCAACATCTTCGTTGCTCCATCGCGTTTGTGTTGGATTCACGTTCATCTCTCTCTTTCACGGTCACTCGATTCCCTCACATCCATCACCGCCATCATGTCCATTCCCAAAATCCCATCGCGCCGTCTCGGTAACCAGGACCCGGCGCACGTTATGGACTTCCCCTCGCTCAACCTCGGGCACAAGCCGTGCTCCAAGACGCCCTTTACACTGGTCGACCTCGACATTACCGTGTATGGCCTTGACGAGATCAAGGGTGGCGACAAGCCCGTTGCGGCAGTCGTGAGTTGACCCGTCTCATTGTGGCTGACGGCAGATCGTTGCACACGGATGGGCGAATAACGCCGCGCAGATGGAGAACATGTGCTACGGCCTCATTGGGGAGATGACCAAGCTGGGCGGCCGGCGGACACGCGATGTCATCGTCGTGACTGTCGACCAGCGCAACCACGGCACGCGCAAGCTGAAGAAGGACACGCTGTCGTACAACAAGAACCCATTGCGCCTGTGAGCTACCCCGTCTTGCTTTCCAGGCTCTAAGCTGATGACAGCGTTGCGATGGCGACGACGATCACGGGTGGCGTTGAAGACCACCAGCTGATTATGGACATGCTGGAGGACTACGTGTTCCCGCTTGGCCAGCGCAAGATCGTCGAGTTCATGTGCACGGGCGTCTCGCTTGGCGGCCACCTGATCTGGCGCCTGATGAAGATTGGTGCGTGCCCTCACGTTTATATCTGACGCCAGACCCTCGCGTCCGCGTCGCCGTGCCGATCATCTCGGTCCCCCCCGACGCGCTCACGAAGGTGCACACGGCGCGCTTCCGCGCCGACGGCACGCTCGGCACAGAGAAGATGTACTTCCCCAAGGCGACACGCGAGTTCTACGAGGGCAAGACGGCGCCCGGGACGTTCAAGGACAAGTGCATCCTCGCGCTGTGCGGCGGTGTCGACGAGGTCGTGCCGCCCGCGTTTGGGCAGGAGGAGTGGGAGAAGGTGCGCGCCGAGGCGCGCGCGACAGACCAGTGGATCCAGCCGGGCCGCGGGCATATTTGCACCCCCGAGATGGTTGCGCGCGCCGCTGAGTGGTTCGCGCGCTGGGGGCTTGGTGCGGCGGACGCCAAGCTGTAGATCGTGTACTGAAGTCTAGAGATGTCTCTTTTGAGTCCTGGCCTGTCGTTCCTCATGTTACCGTGTGCTTGCTGCTACTTGGCCGTGTTGTCGTCAGGAACAGAGGCGTGCACACTCTCCTCCCTTGAGTCATGGAGGCTGCTGTCATGGACAAATAGCAGACCTCGCCAGCGTTATCGACTCACAGCGCGTTCGACGGTTTTCCACGACGGGTTGGCGTAAGCTATGCATCTACTTGGCTCTTTATAGACGTCTCTTCGCAGCGCAAGATAAGATAGTGCTCGTCGAAGTGATCGTCGTACAACTTTCCCACGGTCGACGATTCGCGTGGCTTTACCTCCGCCCTTCCCAACTGGCCCACTCTCGTTGGCCGAAGTCGCATCTCACTCGACATCATCAACAACAGCCATGTCCGCATTCTACCGCGCCCTCGTACGTCTGGGGCCATGGAGGCGGGCTGCTATCACCGGCGGTCACCTTCCAATCGGGCCGTGTCCACGAAGTCGCCGCTAATCGCAGCAACGCCACGCGCACGAGTCTCCAGTCATCTTCTACTCGCTCGTGATCGGCTTTGCGGGTGAGTTTAAGAGGCGTGACGAAGCAGACGGAGATGTGCAGGGTGTTAGAAAAGCTAACAGCAGGCCCGGCGCTCGTGTTCACTGTGCCTCCGATCCGCAAGTCGATGGGCTGGAAGCCCGCGGAGCGCGTGCCGGAGACGTACCCCAGTGAGTTGGGCAGGCAGGAAGGGTGTTGGGAGAGACAGTGACGGACCCTGCCGAGAATAGGAGGGCGGAGGGGGGTGAATGAGTGCAGTCGGGCGTCATGAACCAGAGGGGCGGGTGAGGATGAAGCCTGGGGCGGCTCTGGCGGTCCGCCGAGTGCTTGTGCCACCGACCAGGGGACTCCTTCCTCCACTCCTCCCTCTAAATCACGGGCAAGCAGCTGACACCAGTTCCCAACCGCCCAAGGCGTGCTGTGGAAGGGTTCGAGGACCCATAGATGCCGAACCTATAGACGATGTAGCACTGTCTCGGACTTTGCCGCGCGCAGGACCAGATTGACACACATCAATCGTCTGAGGACTGCGCGCTGCATCGTTGGTCTTGGTCCTGCTCTGATCACCGGACGAGATGGTTACCAGCAGGTCCGGCAACAGGCGGAAGCTGGTCGCTGCCATTGGGGTATGTGATCCCATCACATCATCCCGCCAGGGCCGGTACGTACGCACGGCGCTCTCCACTCCACCACTTCCACAATTCCTTCCGAGAGCGAGAATCGCACGCTGCAGAGTCACAGCCGCGCGTCACCTGACCGCACGCACGTCTCTGACGTGCAAGGGCGTGTAGCTCAGTTGGTAGAGCGTGTCATTAGCATCTGCGAGCATTTGTCAGAATATCTTGACAAGGTCTTTGGTTCGATTCCTAACTCGTCCACACATCGTATCTTTTGGCCATCGGCGCTGTGTGGAACAGAAGGGAGAGCTGGGGGTGAGTGCGGGCTGCTGCTGGGAATGTCTAGAGAGCGTGGCCTGCTTCAACCTCGAGGAAAGGGCACGCCCCGGCTAGCTGGCAGTTGGCCGACAGCTGCAGGCATCCTTGGCTTGCGCAAATGCGCGCCTGCCTGCGTAAGATTACATGTGGTGGTACAGCGGGTATATCGGCCTACCTATCCCCACGCCTGCGTATTACTGTAGTTAACGATGAGTCGGTCGCCGGTCTGGTAGCAGTCGAAGAGGTTGCCAACGATATCGTCTGGCGTAGGGGCGAATGCACCATTGATGTACGTGAACTGCCGTCAGCTTGGACAGGGAGGATGGGAGGCATATCTGCAAGGGAGACATAGGCGGGACGTATCCCCCTGGCCTTCCATGTATACGACTGCCACATCAAGGTAAGCGGCCGGCACGCACTAGGGGGTCTGTGTTCTTGAACCCCAACTGTTTCCGCAAGAACGTAGTCACTGTCTGGAACTTGTTCGCCGAGCTAATCTTAAAGATGTTGCTCTTCATAATTGGGGCTGACCCGATTGACTTGAAGAGCACGACGACTGGTGTGAGCGCGCGACCCCGGTGCCGCAAGAAGGTCAAGGGGCGGGAGAGGAGTAGGTGAACGGCAGCGCGCCCAGTCGGAGACATAAAGGAGAAATACTTCATAGAGGACCCCTACACCTCCGCTCCGACAAGATGTGCTTCGAGTAGCGTCCGCGACTCCCCTCCGCCGACTCACTCTTCACATCCTTCCGAATCTTCGACTTGTCGAGCACGGCTAGCGTGGCTGCTGGAATCGTTGGTGGTGATGCTAGCATCAGCATCCTCTTCTTCAACCTCCAATACTAACCGTCCACCGCTGTCGACATGGCTGGGTTGGATGGTGCTCAAGACGAATTCGCTGTCGACGTCAACAATGTCAATGCACGCGTCAAGCTCGAGCGGTGGAGGTTGGTGGCGGCGGGATCAGATACCACGCGACGGTCGGCGGTTGTACCTTTGGTCGCCACCGGGAAAGGTGTTGCCGAGGCACTCCATCTCGGTCTTCCATCTTCCACTCTTCTCCACAAACTCATCAACGATGCCAGACGACCCGCCATCGCCGCCGCCCGCACCAGAGGCTGCGCCAGTGCCAGCTGCGACGGAGCCCGTCGTTCCCAGTCCGCCACCGAACGTGATCGCCGAGGTGCCGGCCGTGCCCACCCCCCCACCAGTCGTCACACCAACCGAGTCTCCACCCGCCCCGATGTCCGCACCCACTGAGACAGCCCCCACCTCTTTTCCAGCATCCGTAACATCCTCCGCTTTGCCTCCCGCCCCAGTGGCCGCCCCCGCCTCCATCCCCCCCGCTTACCCCGTTATCCCCGCGGCATTCGTCCCACCCGCCGTTACGCATCTGAAGCACGCCCCGCGGCCCCTCTCAACGCTGCCGCAGCAGCTGAAGCGGCTGGCATATGTCGTCTCCATCCTGATCGGCGGCTCCGCCATCCTTGCGGGCGCATGGAGCGCCTTCCTCCTTCCGCTGCTGCACGCGACGTACTCTGCGCGCAACGCCGTCGCAAGTGCGCAGAAGGATAGGTGGCGCGCCGTTCTCGATAAGCTGCAAGGCATCCGCGCCCTGGGCATTTTCCCGCTTGCCTTGACGCCCGAGGAGAACGCCGAGCGCGACGAGGCGATCGCCAAGATTGAGGCGGAGAAGGCGGAGAAGGCCGCCGCTAAAGAGCAGGAGAAGGACAAGCAGGTTGCCCTGCACGGCCAGGTGCCCGAGAGCCCCAAGTCCTCCACGTCCAACATCCCCGACGACCTGCCGCCTGCCACCAAGCCGCCGCCCATCCCACTCCGTGCCGATGTCGGCGACCTCAGCGCCGCACTCAAAGACCTCGCTGCCAACCTCGATGCCACTGCCACCACGCGCACCAGCCTGGTGTCCACCCTCGAAGGGTACACCTCCGGCCTCCACCGCGAGCTCTTCCTCGCCCGCTCCGGCGGACCGAGCACGCCGTGGGGTCCTGTTCCGGGCGCCAGCAACACGGGCCGCGTGGGCCTGGGCACACTTAGCGCCAACCTCGCAAGCGCAGGCGGCAAGGTAGCTGGCCAGCCTGAGGCGTCGCCCCTCGGCATCCCACCCGCTCGTAGCGAAGAGTGGGACAGTGTGCGCCGCGAGGTTCGTGCGATCAAGGGTCTGCTGCTCAACCGCCGCAACTTTAGTGTGCCGACGACGCGTGCCTCGTAGATGTGGAGGCAGGTAGCTGACGATGATGGAGGAGCGTTGAGTAGGGCGAGAAGAGGATGCGCACATGCTTGAGTGCCACAGCTAGACTAGTTTATGCATGCATACAGACACCTACGCGTCTGAGATCGCCAAGCGCGCCATCGCGGCAAGACTACTGCTAGTCAGCGAGTTCGTCCTCGAGCATCTTGGCGAACTCGTCATCATCGAACTCGCTGGCGGGCTCTGAGCCTGCGCGAGCTGGGGCGGTCGACGACTCGGCGTCGCCATTCGACCAGTCCATCTTGCCAGAGAACTCGAGTTTGTTGGCGTCGGGCACGTCGTCGTCGCCAGTTGGCGCCGTGAGCATCAGAATCTTGCGCTTCTTCCGCGGCGGGTACGACATGAGCTCGCCAGGTTGGGGCTCCCGTATCCGCTCTAGTGGCTGGTTCTCCTCGTCCGCCCACACGACGCCTTTCGGCGTCTCGCGGCCAGGGGAGGGCGCGCGGGATAATATTGACGGGCCGGGAGTCGATGCGCGCGACCACGTATGCCGTCTGCCGTCAGCCTCTGCATGGTAGACATATCGGCTCTGCTCCGCTCAAACTCACTCGTCGTTGTCAATGACAGAGACGGGCGACTTGGAGCCCTCAGGCCCTGGGCGATCCTCTTCGCCCGCGGTGAGTGATCCATCGTCGTCACTCTCGTTCAAGAACGCCTCGAACTCAGCGTCGGCCGCTTCATCCCACGCCTGCGCGCCGCGGAGGAACTCCTCATCCGAGTCACGTTCTTCTTCCTGATCGTTTGGCGGGGTTGGTTCCCGCTCCTCTCGAGATCGCTCCCAGGCAGGATGTGATGCACGGAATGGCTCCTCTGGCTCGTGCTTCCAAAGCGCGATACAGCTCTGCAGCCAGGCGAGCCACACGATCTTCAAGTTGGGCATCCGCCCCGCGTCGTGCATCTTCTTCGTCTGGAGGTTGGCTGTGACGAGGTGTGTCATATCGGGCCGGAGGTCTCTGACGCAATGCGCGCCGAATGTCTCCGCGAGCTTCCAGATCTCGGCCTCTTCGGGCGGCGCATGGATGGGGATCACGCCCGTGAATCCAATCACACAACCCTGCAGGACCTGATCCTTGAGTTCTTGTATGATGAGCGGCACGTCGCACTGCATGGGCAGCGAGTCGGACGAGGGGTTGCGGCGATCGTACGCATCGTAATACTGCGCGTGGATGGTACGCAGAATGCCACCAACACGGTCGAGCTCGTAGTCGTTCGGATTTAGAAGTGCTTTGCGATGATGGGGATGCCGAAGATGCAAGACATGCGGTCCCTGTTGGCCCTTGTCTTGCTCGTTATCCGGGGACTGCGTGGCGTTTTTCCCTTCCTCCTCGGATGGCAGCACCTCATTGTTCTGCGCAGTTTCGTCACCCGCCTTGACCTCGTCGGTGCACTCGTCATCCTTTTCTTCGTTCTCACGCTCCAGCTTGGCAAGCGGGCGTGCTTCGGTCATCTCGTCCAGGAGTTTGGATTGGAGCATCAAACCGTCCTCGGTGCTGGGAATGTCGCTCGGCGTAGTGGGTGGTGGTGTTGAAGCAATAGATGATGCTCCGTCAGAGCCAGGAGTTGGAGCTTGACCGGGAGGCATTGTGATAACAGGCTGCGTAGGTGGTAGGAACGAGCCATTGATGTCACCGATGCCGATGAAGAAGTCATCTGTTGTCAACTCGTCGCTCCAGTGGCTACTCACAGGGCACAACTTTCACGAGGTTCGGACTGTCTCCCCAGACGTCCGAACGGTCGTCGATAATAACAACCATGCTCTGGTCAGTCGGGAACAGACGCATCAAGTTCTTAGAGCTCATGCCTTTGGTCAGCACGCGGCAAGCGAGCGCAACTCACTGCCACTTTCGTCACGGCTGAGGATTCGTCCGCCGAATATCTTGCCATCCGGGTCTATGATTTTGCAGATTGCGTCGGCGTACGTTCGTGTGCCCATCGTGTAGACGTGCATCTCGTACAGCTTGGAGAGGTCGGCGAGGAACTCTGTCAAGCCAGGCCTAATGTTAGCTATGCTTGACTCCATCAAGCTCACCGAGGCTTGGTGTAGTACCAACGAGATGGAGCCTGTCCTCGTCCTCGCATCTTGCCAGGGGGCAAGTCCTCCGCTAGTTGGAAGCGCGCGACATCTTTGAGAGCCTCAGCATTCGGGTTAGGCTCCCGCTTAGGTCTGGGTGACCCCGGCGGAGTCGTTGATTTGGGTTCGGCCTCATCGCCGGCCACACCGTCGCCCTCACCCTTCATCACATCGTCGCCGTCTCCATCCTTGCCCGCAGCTGATTCTTGTTCCTTCATCTCGCCTCCTTCCTCGCCTCCTTCCTCGCCCTGCTCGCCCCGAGTATCGCTGTTGTACTTGCCCTGGCGCTGTGCTTCATTGGCCGCCTTCGAGGCTTCTGCTTTGGCGTCCTCAGCGCACTCGTCCAACCACTCGCCAACAGTAGGGTCGACCGTGGTGTGAATGATTGTCTGGTCGAGGTCAACGATAAGCGAGAGCTTCTTCGACCTAAGAAGCTCATCGCGCGATTGCGTCTCGAGCCGCTTGGCTTCCTGGTGTCAGCTACTTCTCGACCTAGAAGCTCACGGTAGCTGAAACCGTCACGCCGGATGCGTCGTGAGCCATCTCAAAGCTGCCAGGGTAGCGTGATGGTCCAGCCTCATTCTCTGGTCTTGACAGGTAGTCATCGCTGCCATCAGCACCGTCCCCACCAGTCTCACTTGTCGAGGTTGGCTCCACACAGCCCGCACATGCCATTGAACTGAACCGGGTGGGTGCAAGGCTGCTCTATCTTTACAATGGGCTTGCTGCCGTCAGTGTTATCGGTGATGGAACCCACCTCGCTTGACGCCGTTCAAACAATGCCCCAGGCTTGACGGATGGCTCCCACCGTTTGACCTCGCCGTCGATGGGCGACTCCCAAGTCCCGACCATGTCGTTCCCACGCAGACTCTCGGGAATCTCCTGGCCCGCGCGTTGCTTCAGCTCCAGGTCCCTTCGGCGAGTGGCCGACATGAAGGAGTACTCGAGCAGCCTGTCGCCGCGGCGGACCTGTGACCCCTTGTCCACTGAGATGCGAGTGAACGTAATGGGGTAAGGTAAATCCCATGGGAGCTTTAGGGGGGTTACGTCGCTCATGGTAGAGTGGGAAGAGGACAGAAAGGATGAGTGATGTTGAAAGAGGACAATTGATCAGATATAGGTCGGGTGACTTCACTGCGACTCCGGAGCCTCACCTCCACCACATGCAATTTACGTAAGTTGATCTTTCGATTATGACGAACGCGCGCCGCGCGCTCCCCTCCTTCACCCTTCCTCGACAGCAACGACTCCCCAACTGCCTACACACTTGTTGCCCCTCCACGCCGACTTTCACTTCAAACGCTGTTCTCTCACTCAATATGGGAGACACAACAGCGCCCAATGGCGCCTCTGCCGACGCTGAGCGCTTTCTAGAGCTGCTCCAGGCTTCCGCGCATCCCGCAAGCTCCAACATTTCCTCCGAAGAGCTTGCCCAGTCGCTCGGAATCCAGGGGCTGCCTACTCCGTCCGAGGCTGTCAAGCAGCTTGAGAAAGATGTTCTAGCTCCGCCGAAGGACCTCTCCGAGGACCTGTGGCGCTGGCAAGTCCCTCTCCCCACGCAGGTGCCCCTCCCGCCGCTCACCCTCACCCCCTTGCCGGCCACGCACACTGTCGCACCCACATTCCGGGGCATCGATGGCGCGTTCACTCACTGGCGCGATGCGCTCGCCCCCAAGCAGCCATTGCATCCCAACCTCTCATCGTCAATGCAGCGCGAGCCAGGCGCGCTCAAGAACTTTGTGCGCGGTAAGAGCACGAATGCGCCGTTCCTCCCGGGAGGGTTGGAGTCAGTGGCTGCGGTTGAGGAGCCCGAGGAGGATTTGCCCGAGGAGGAGGGCTGGAAAACGCGCGCACCTGGTCTAAAACGCGGCCTTCAGCTGGATGGAGGTGGGTTCCTTGTCGATCCTGCTGACCTTCTGCGGACGAGTTCCTTGCCGAAATGCTGGGTCAACAATCAATGACAACCAAAGCACGGAGGAGAAAGCGCGGTGGTGACGAGTCACCAACCCTCGAGGTCAGATACCAGCCCGGCTACGATATGTTAACAGACAGGTTTCGCGCCTTGGTGACGACGACATCCCCACGCCCGACGGCGAGGAGCGGCCGGGCGCTTCCTCATCGCGGAAGAACGTCGATGATCTCCTGCCAGTTGGCGTAAGCTTAATGCCATGCTCTAAACTTACAAAGCAGCGCCTACCTGCACCTCCACCACCACGCCGCAACCTCGTCAAGGCCGCCGAGAAGAAGGAGTGGGCTCATGTAGTCGATGTCAACCAGGAGCTCGTCAACGTGAGCTAAGCGTGTGGAACACAGCTAACAACAGTTCCGGGAATTGGTTCCTGAGATGGCTCGAGAGGTGCGCTACCATTATGTTCCGAGTTAACATCAGTATCCGTTCGAACTCGACAACTTCCAGAAGGAGGCGGTGTATCGCCTCGAGATGGGCGACTCTGTTTTCGTTGCCGCGCATACATCTGCCGGTAAAACCGTAGTGGCCGAGTACGCCATTGCTTTGGCTGCTAAGCATATGACTCGGTGAGCTCACTATGCCACCATAAGTTGACTTCCAGCGCGATTTACACTTCTCCCATCAAGGCGCTGTCGAACCAGAAGTTCCGAGACTTCAAAACAACATTCGATCCGTCGACCGTCGGCATTCTGACGGGAGACGTGCAGATAAACTCGGAGGGAAGCTGTTTGATTGTGAGCTTTTGACGCTGAGTTGCAGCTAACCAAAGATGACTACTGAGATTCTGCGCAGCATGCTGTACAAGGGTGCTGATCTGATCCGTGACGTCGAGTTTGTCATCTTCGACGAGGTTCATTACGTTAATGACGCCGAGGTGAGCATCGATCAGGTACTGGGTCTGACAACAGCGCGGTGTAGTATGGGAGGAGGTCATCATTATGCTGCCCGAGCACGTCAACATCATTCTGCTTTCTGCCACCGTCCCGAACACAAAGGAGTTCGCGGATTGGGTTGGGTGGGTTTCAGATCTCTGGTGTTTTGCTCACGGAACAGCCGGACTAAGAAGAAGAACATCTACGTCATCTCAACTCCCATGCGGCCTGTACCGCTCGAGCACTTCCTCTGGGCAGGCAAAGAGCTGCACAAGATTGTCGACTCAAAGAGCCAGTTCCTTGGCACAGGGTTGGTTTGATTTCTGTCTTGACTAATTCCAGATACAAGAATGCCGGAGATGCTCTGCGACGAAAGCAGGACAAGGAGCGAGAGGCTGCCGGACTTCCTCCGCTCACCCGCACTGGTGGACGAGGAGGTGCTCCGACCAAGGCGCGCGATCTCCCCACTGGCAAGTCCGCCCCTTTCACACGAATCGGTGGAGGGCGCACACATACAAACCGCGGTGGCGGCCAGGGCACCCCTGCTCCCGCCCAGCGTGGGGGCGGAGCTGGCGGTGGAGGTGGTCGTCGCCCGGGCCGTGGGCAACTGGACCAAAACGTCTGGACGCATCTCATCGCCCACCTTCGCAAGAATCATCTTCTGCCTGTAGTAAACTTCGTGTTCAGCAAGAAGCGCTGCGAGGAGTATGCGCAGACCTTGTCGAGCACCGACTTGTGCGATGCCAAGGAGAAGAGCGAGGTGCACATCGTATGGGAGCGCGCGCTCCAGCGTTTGAAGGGTGAGAGCCGGCGATTGTGTCTCGACTGACATCGCAGGATCAGACCGGACCCTGCCGCAAATTCTTCGTATGCGCGAGCTTCTCAGCCGCGGCATCGGCGTGCATCACAGTGGCCTACTTCCTCTCGTCAAAGGCAAGCTCATCCTCCCTACGATGGTTGCTGACTCTCAGAGGTAGTAGAAATTCTCTTTGCTCGCGGCCTCGTCAAGGTGCTCTTCGCGACCGAGACCTTCGCCATGGGTGTCAACATGCCCGCCAAAAGTGTCGTCTTTTCTGGCATCCGGAAGCACGACGGCACCGGCTTCCGCAACCTCCTTCCCGGAGAATACACACAGATGGCTGGACGTGCGGGGCGTCGTGGGCTCGACACCACTGGTACCGTCATCATCCTTAGTGGCGGAGACGAATTGCCCGGCGTGAGTGTCATGCTGCAGACAATCAGAATGCGACTGACTAACCCCCAGCTCAAGGAACTACAGGAGATGATGCTGGGTGTGCCCAACCGCCTCACGTCACAGTTCCGTTTGACGTACAACATGATTCTCAACTTGTTGCGCGTCGAGGCACTGAAGGTCGAAGAGATGATCAAGCGATCGTTCTCCGAGAACGCCGCCCAGAAGCTTGCGCCCGAACAGCAGAAACAGGTTGAGCAGGTGAGCCTTCTGGGTTTCGTATTAGCTGACGACAGACCGAGAAACTACTCGCGAAGCTGCCAAATGTGGAATGTGAAGTGTGCAGCACCGATATCAGCGCGTTCTACGACCTCTCGGCCGAAGTGGTGCGTCTCAACGCGCAAATCATGAACCAAGCGGCATGGGCACCAGGCAAGCAGCTTATTCCCGGCCGCATTGTGCTCCTCCGCGATGGGCATTACTCCGGAAATGTCGCGGTTATCCTACGCAACGCGCCCTCCATTGTGCAGGAGGGCGTCAAGCGCGATAGTCGCGCGTTCTGGGTACTCGCACTCGTCACCAAGGGCCAACGGACGAGGCGGGATGACATCAAAGACTCGGAGGTCCCGCCACGTTGGCCACCGATCCTGCCAGCGAGCATCAACAATCCTCAGTGGGAGCTGGCAACCATCGACTCAGCATCGCTGGCCTTTGTGACTAACCGGTTGCTCAAGACCGACATCATCTCCATCTTGGACAAACGCTCAAAGGACGCATCATACAAGACTATGGACGAACTTGTCACGATTCAGGCGCAGCTCGCGTCTGGTGACGCCTTCGAGGAGTTTGACTGGTCGCGCCTGTCCAAGCTCGAGTTCCAAGAGCTGCTGAGACAGCGCATTGCGCTCACGGACCGTATTTCGAAGCTCGGTTGCCAGCTGTGTAAGGACTTCGAGGATCACGTAAGTCCCCGGCGACCAATTTGCCACTGACCTTAGTACGAGATCATTCATGAACGCAAGCAAGTCGAGAACAGCCTCAAGGCGCTGCAACTTGCGTTGTCGGATCAAAACCTCGAGCTTCTGCCGGACTACAACTCCCGCATCGAAGTCCTCAAGGAGCTGCAGTTCATCGACGAGAACGCAACTGTGCTGCTTAAGGGACGCGTAGCGTGCGAAATCAACTCGGCACATGAGCTGATTCTCACCGAGCTTATCCTTGACAACGTGCTGGCCGATTTCACTCCGGAGGAGGCCGTGGCCCTGTTGTCCGTGTTTGTGTTCGTGGAGAAGACCGAGTCGCAGCCCCAGATCCCCGCCAAGATTGCGCAGGGTCTTGACATCATCTACGCGATCGCCGATAAGGTTGAGAACACGCAGCTGCGGCAGCACGTGGCCTTTGAAGATTTCCGCGAGAAGTTCAAACCCGGCCTGGTGGAGGTGGTGTTCGAGTGGGCACGAGGCATGGTGAGACTCCCATCATTTTTAGCTGACCACAGCCATTCTCCGAGATCACCAACCTCACGGACGTTCCCGAGGGCAGTATCGTGCGCATTATCACGCGATTGGACGAAACTTGCCGCGAAGTGCGCGACGCAGCACGCGTCATCGGAGACGCGGATCTTTACCAGAAGATGGAGGCAGCGCAGGCGCTCATCAAGCGCGATAGTGAGTGGGCCGTTTGGGGGTCAGCTAACGCCTCGCAGTTGTCTTTGCGGCAAGCCTGTATCTTTAGACAACTAGACAGGGTGAGATGCATAGGCATGAGTGTATTGCGCCCATCTATGTGATGGTACCTGGTGTCGCGCCACACCAACTGCACTCTCCGAAAGTCTCCCTACTCTCCCAGACCTCCGACGACCTACGCAACTGCGGGACCTATGAAGGCTGCTTGCTGCATGTCTCGATGCTGCGCTCGGCACGGCCAGGTCATACTCAGACATGCCGGTGAGCAGGCCAAGCGTGCACCTAATATGACACGTTACGCAAGAGAGCGAGCAGTGTGGTGAAGTTCGAGTCAAAAGACTAGCCTCGTGTGGGGCTCGAACCCACGACCGAATGATCAACCGGACAAAGTCCACATTAAGAGTCATTTAATCTACCGACTGATATAACGAGGCAACTGCGGATCGCTGCTCCCCAGATCTTCAACTCGATCTCCTATCGAAGCATTGAGACTTCCCACTTGCGGCCACGGGTCGCCGGCAACGTTAGAACGCGCAAACAACTCATGGACTACTGGTGATGCCTGCCTGACAGCCGGGCGCCGCGTACGTGAGCTGTCTATCGGTACCGACCGTGTCAGCCGACAGGCGCAGTGAAATGTGCGCCCGCTGCCAGGGCTCGAAGCAAGCTTCGCGTATCATTGATGTTACCCAGCAGTCCGGCGAGGCTAAAGTCTTCCAGGCTTGCTCAAGGCCGGATAAGGAGGGCTGCCAGTGTGGTACATGGCGCTGATGCGCTGAACGTGACCACAACACTGTGCAACATCTCCAAAGTCACAGAGGCACCGGAAAATGGGGCGAGGCGTTCCACTGTTGTATGCGTCTCACTGCGATCCGTCACTCATGAACAGGATGCACCGCTGCCCATTTGTTCACCAGCCTCAGTTAATAATGTTCTCCGCTATCACATCTCGGGCAGATGTCACGAGCTCGGGCATTTCCGATAGTGACCGACTAACGGCACTTACCGGTTCGGTCCTCACTCTCATACCCGAGATTGTCTCACAGACACGGCGTCAGCAACCCATTTCTATCAACAATCCACTCTCTCTTCTCCTTCACACTCACTACCATCCTCTTGCGGATTACCATGGAGGTACCGAAGGACTACGGTGGCGCGGGCCGCGCCATCCAAGGACAGATCTACACCCTCGGCGCTGTGGGGTATAAGCCGAAGGTGCCCACCGACCCGCTGGCGCTCGCTTTCGCCGCGTCCACCAAGATGACTCCCGAGGCGTACTGGTACGTCGCGGGCAGCGCGGGCATGCAGCGCACCGCCGAAGCGAACGTGACGGCGTTTGAGCGCTACCAGATCGTGCCGCACATGCTGCGCGACGTGCGTGAGCGGTCCATGGCCACCAATGTGCTCGGCACACAGATGCCCGCCCCAGTCATGTTCGCCCCGATCGGCGTGCTGGAAATGGCACACGTTCAAGCCGAAGTAGCCGTGGCCAAGGCGGCCTCGTCCCTCGGCGTCCCAATGGTCATCTCAACGCAGGGCTCCCGACCAATGGAGGAGACGGCCGCCAGCCTCGGCCCCGCACCGATGTGGTACCAGCTGTACTGGAGCAACAATAACGAGCTCATGCGCTCGCTCGTTACGCGTGCCGAGAAGGCCGGTGCCCAGGCCATTGTTGTCACACTTGACACGCACACCGTCGGCTGGCGCACGCGCGACCTCGATCTCGGTTTTCTCCCCTTCGCCAAGGGCATGGGTCTGGCTCAGTACTTCTCCGACCCCGTGTTCCTAGAGATTGTCAAGAAGCGCGTCGAGAACCCCCCGCCCAGGGACCCCTCCCTCCCCGCCCCGCGGCCGACGCTCGCGGGCATCAGCACCCTATGGTCGCAGGCCTCGCACTTCCCGGGTAACACTCTAGCCAACTTGCTCTCCGGCTACCCCCGCGCTGCCGTCGACGCGTTCCTCGACGTCTTCCCGTGCTCCGGCATCAAGTGGACGGACCTCGACCTCATCAAGAGCGTCACCAAGCTCCCGATCATTCTCAAGGGCATCCAAACCGCCAGCGACGCCGAGCTCGCCCTCCAGTACGGCGTGAGCGGCATCGTCGTCTCCAACCACGGCGGCCGGCAAGTCGACGGCGCCATCGCGTCAATTGACGCGCTCGAGGTAGTTGCGCGCGAGCTCGAGGGGCGCATTCCAATCATATTCGACAGCGGCATCCGCTCCGGTGCTGACGTATTCAAAGCACTCGCGCTCGGCGCAAACGCTGTGTTTGTCGGCCGCCCCTGGCTGTACGGCTTGGCCATTGACGGCGCGGACGGAGCCAAGGCGGTAATGGAGCGGATCATCGCCGAGCTCGACCTTACCATGGCGCTCGCGGGTGTGAAGACCCTTGCCGACATCAATCGCCAATGCATTCGGCGCACCGAGCCGGCGGGCGGCGCCAAGCTTTGAGGAACGGGTCGTGCAGGGACATACGGGCGAAGATATGGGATTCAGCAGATGAATGGATGATGAACAACGGGCGAGACACTCTCTTCTTTCGAGCTAGAACTAATGTACGCTGGCTTATAGCGACGCGCCGCGTGAGGTTTGACTGGTGATGATGGACGGTAGAGTGCGTGCCGATGGATGCTGTGCGCTCCCAGCTGCCCCGTCCTCACCCCCTGCCCGCTCCTCATAGTCCATCTGCCCCAGACCTCACGCCACTGCTACGACCTCGCTGAGAAGCACACGCTCTCGTCTATGAGGGGCACATGCTCTCGTTTGTCGCTGCCACTGGCCAGCGTTGTCCCTGCCGTGCGAGCACCGATAATCAATGAGGATCTCGCAGAGTCCCGGCAACCTTAAAATGCTTACTGGTCAACCAGGGACAAGTGGGGCAGCCGATCAGGGTTCAGAGTGGGTCACCGGCGGGAGTATCAACATCGCTCTGAGGATGTGGCCCACAGGATTTAGGGGAAGCAAGGCCAGCGACAGGACAGTCGTCAGCGCTCGGATTGCAAAATGACATGCAGGTCATGCAAGCCTAAACTCAGGCTCTTCTTCTGAATGTTGAGGCTCATTCTCAAAATACGCTTGTGTAGTCTCTGAAGAGACTTCATACATCGGCGTCGACACGGGCAGCGGCGATGTGGGGGCTAGGTAACGTCAGTGACACAAACAATTGGGATAGGATGTCACAGGAGCGCAGGTGTTTCAATCCCTTCTGAAATCCATGCATATCCACTGCTATACCTTCGGCCACTCAGCCGGGTCACTGCCGTTTTGCACTGGCCCACGGCCGACGCCAATAGTGACGCCCTCGAGCTTGACGACCGGGCGAACCGTGCGCACAACAGCACCCTCGCCATAGCTCGGGGCCGGCAGTTCGTGCCAAAACTTGGGATTTGAAAACACGTCGGGCCGGCGCGCATGCAGCTCGGGGATAATGGCAGGGAGCAGTGTCGTCATCTCCCAGTTGTGACGAAGCTTGGACGCAGGACGGATCTTGTCCCACACGGCGTCGGGGTAGAAGCCAAGCCGCATGAGCCAGACGTCGTAGTACGCGAGCGCAGCGTCGACGTTCCAGACCCCACCCTCGGTGGCACGACGGTAGAGTGCATTGAGAGTTCCGAGGAGGGCGCTCGCTCCCGCACCGTAGTCTGAGTTAGGGAAGATGGGTACGACACTCTCGCCGTCGGGCAGGCCGAGCTTCTCGCCGAAGGCATGCGAGAGGCCCACGAGGCAGTCGGCAATCTGCTGCCACCCACTGCGGTGCGACCAGGGGCCGTGGAAGCCATAGCAGCTCTCGCGAACGTAGATGATGGAGGGGTTGATCTTGCGCACGGCGTCGCGGCCGAAACCGAGGCGCTCCACTGCTCCAGGCCGGTAACTGCCATCAGCGCTGTAGCACAGTAACTCGCCCGTCGATGATCACGTCGGCGTCCTTGATCAGCTCGCGCAGCTTGGCCTTGCCGGCCTCGCTCTTCAGGTCCAGGTCGGCAACGTACTTGCCCTGGTTGAGGTCGGGGTGGAGGACGTGCATGTCGGGAAGGGTAGAGCTAACGATGCGGAGCACGGTCGCGCCATGCTCGGCGAGGCCCTTGCCGATGGCGGGCGAGGCAATGATGCGCGTAAGCTCGAGCACCTTGATTCCGCTGAGGGGCTTGTTTTCCGTCGCCTCGGGCCAGGGGACGACGGGGCCGTCCGCGGCCTTGTCAAGCTCGTACACCGGCACGTCGATGATTGCCTTGCCGGCCGGAAGCTCTTTGAACTCGTCGTACGTGTAGCAAATGCTGCCCGCTTGTTTGTACTCGTCGTTGGCGACGCGGTCGATCTCCTTCGCATCCCACTTCTCCACCTCGGCCTGGTAGAGAGGCACGATGTCCTCGCGGTCCGTGAGCTGTAGGCGCGCGGGGTCGTCCCAGTCAAGCCCAACCATGGTCATGCTGGCGCGCGCATTCAGCGAACCGTGGAGGTGGAAGAAGCGCCCGTCACGCGTACGGTAGATGTTGGTCGCGAGACCTCGATACCGGTATTTGTGGCTGTCGGCTTTGTCCCAGTCGTCAAACTTGCCCTTGAGGCGCGGGTCAAGCGCTACCATGCCGTTGATTGTGGTCGAGAACGCGCTGAAGACGAAGAGGGCTGCATGGTCCGTGTTAATGATCGCTTGGGATGGGGTGGTGCCGAAGCGCGAGGCGGCGATGGCGGAGGCGAACGCCGCCTCGAGGCCCTTGATCGCGCTGATCGCCTCTGTGAACTTGAAGGGCACGCCTGGAATCAGTGAAATAGGGCGACGGAGGGCGCACAGAGGTAAGGGAGCGCGGCGCCTTCGAACTCGACGTTGGCAGCGTCAACTACGGCCTTGGGAAGGCGCAGACGCTCGTCCGCGAGCAGGTCGGCGAAGATGCCGGCCGTGGCGGTGGGAACATCGTATTCGGGTTCAGTGACCATGTTTGATGGAGATGGGGGGGGTCACCTCGCCGTCGAACCCAGTTATGAGGCGTGGGATGCTCGGCAGTCCGCGGTAAGCAACGCTCTCACATGGTCACATGCCTGTGTCCCTCGGACTAACCTTCAACCTTGGCGGGGGACCACAAGCAGATGTCGATGTCTTGTTAGGTTGAGAGATCGGATGAGACCGACCGGCGAATTGATAACCGAGAACACCGAACACCGCCACACAAGTAATCAGATTGACGAGATGGTAGTTGACCAGCTGGGACTGCTTACAAACGTGGTGGAGCTTATTAGGAACAGCGAGGTAAGGAGCGAGCGTTATCATGCATCACGTATTCTGATCGTTGATTTTATCGACCCCTCCCACTCATCACTTGTCGCCCCATCAGTGTGGCACCGTCGGCTCAATGCGCATCTCCAACCCACTTCACTTGCCTACTCACGCTTTTGCACCGCTGCTGACTGGGGTCTGCATTCCACCGCGACCCGTCTTGTCATCGCGCCTTTCCATTGGGTGTCAATGTTGTCAGCGCGGGCGAAATCCGTCAGACAACTTGCCCAGAGGGAACAGTTTTGAGGGCAGTTGAGAAACTTTGGTGAGTATGTGCGGACGGAGCAACATGTACACGTACCGATGTGAGGAGGCAATGCACTGCAACATGAGGCTGGGCAAACCCGTAGCGAGCACTCGAAAGCATCACATGGGTCAAAGCCGGCCACGACCTGACCAATGGACTACCATGCAGAGCAAACTGGGAGGCTCCGCAAAGAAGCACCGAGCAGCGACGCGGTGTCCATTTGCTCCACACTGGTGGTGCTGCCAAGCGACCCGTTGCTAAAGATGGAGCGGTTAGTGTTCAGTGTCTCCGACCAAATGAGGCTTGGAATAATTGAGTTTCAATAGACTTGCCACGTTGGGTAAGGAATGTCTCAAGCGACCTTTGTAGATAAGGAACGTTGGGCTAAATGCGCCTCTGTCCGGACATGCATCGACTCATCTTCCCACCGACCCCAACAACCTACTTACATCGAAGGCCGGCGAGCAGCCGGTCTATGCTAGCTCCGATGCTGCAAAGCACATGATCTGCCCACCCAGACGCGCGGGAGAGTTATAAGGGGTGCCGGGCGCCGCGGTCTCACAATCGATCACCGTGCGCCGTTACTTGCCATCCCGTGAATCTCAATCTCATCTCCTTCCATCACTCCATCATCATGCTCGTCCTCTCCTGGTTAACCCACATCCTCGCAGTCACAGCGGCTCCGGTGGGCAGCACAACCGCGGACGTTTTCCCCCCACCCAATACCGAGGTCGACACGGGGTTATTTCCGCACCGCACCGTCGTCGGCTTTCCGCATGTCACCCGCACCGGCGCCCAACCCGGCGCGTTCTTTACCGCGCCGGCAGACCAGTTCCCACGCGCACAGCAACCATTTGGGCCTGTCGTCTTGCCTCGTCCTAAGGGCTGGAAGCCGCCCAAGGTGCGTGTCGTTGTGACTGTGCTAACGCGCAGAAGCCCAAGAAGGGCAAGTTCGATCCAATCACCTCCTGGGGATATCTCACGCCGCGCCACTCGCTCGACCCCTGCACGTGGGGGGCGTGCGATGCGTCGCCTATCGTGCCCGAGCAGTGCACGCTGAGCGCAGTTCACATTGTGAGTTAGCAGAAGGTCGGCAACTGATCCAGCTTATGCGTCACGGCGCGCGCTACCCGACTGCAGGGGACGCGGCGGAGCACTTTGCCACCCGACTTCTGAACGCGTCCAAGACCGGTGACCTCAAGGCGACTGGCGATCTTGCATTCCTCAATGAGTGGACGTACAAACTCGGCAGTGACATCCTTGTCCCCTTCGGCCGGCTGCAGTGCATGGAGCTGGGCGTCAGAAGCCGTCTCGCGTACGGGCAGCTGCTTAACGACTTCACCGAGAAGGGCACCCTTCCCGTGGTGAGTCACCCCTCTTACGACGCTGATATGGTTCCGCACAGGCAGCATCGATCGCATGGTTGAGACGAGGCGTTTGGACAGGGCTTCTTTGGGCGCGACTCGGATAAGCAGTTTGGCATGACAATCGCGATCGAAAACAAGGGAACCAACGCGACTGTCTGTGAGTTACGAGACAGACGGAGCTGAGCCAGATCCCGGCGGTGGAACGTGTCCAAACTCGGAAAGGGACGTCGTCGCGTCCAAGCTCGGCATGGCCGAGTTTGTCAACCGTACGATGGCTGGAACGGCCGAGCGCCTCCAGGCGCATCTGAAAGGATACACAATCACGCCCGCGGATGTGCAAATTATGCTGAGCTTGTGCGCGTACGAGACGCTGTCACTGGGCTACAGCGCGTTCTGTCCGCTTTTCACCGAGGAGGACTGTGAGCTATCCAGATTTTCCCAAGCTCACAACAGTCCGGAACATGGCGTATGCGTACGACATCATGTTCTACGTGAGCTTACATCCGCTGATATTCATCTCACTCAGTACGGCAACGGGTTTGGAGGGCAGACAACCGCTGCGCAAGGGAAGGGCTGGGTGCAAGAGTTCCTTGCGCGACTCACTCACACCCCCATTGAGGTGTACGACAGCAGCACCAACTCGACGCTCGACGGCAACCCCGAGACGTTCCCGCTTAACCAGAGCATCTACGCAGACGCGTCTCACGACTCGTACATCATGAGCACCATGGTCGCGCTGAACCTCACGGCGCTCAACACCTTCGGACGCCTGCCTACCGACATCGGCGGTAGTCTTGAAGAGCGCGTATATTACTCTTCGAAAATTGTGCCATTCAACACCAACTTCGTCGCACAGGTGATGCGGTGCGATGGGCGAGAAGGGGAGCAGATCCGGTTTATCCTGTAAGCCGACCGATTGTCGGAGGCTAATCTCAGCAACGATGCTGTCATTCCTCTGCAGGACTCGTATACCGGATGCGAGGAGGACAAGGACGGGCTGTGCGGGCTCAAGCATGTTGTTGCCGCGCTGCAGACGCGCGTGGCGGAGATTGACTATTTCAAGGCATGCAGTGAGCGGGTCGAGGCGATCAGAACTAACGACAGATGGTCCCATCTTCAACATCACCGAGACGAGCCAGCTGAGGGACAGCAACGGGATGCCGTATGTGTAGAAAGACGGGGTGACAGTATTGTATGTATGTAATGGTTTATCTGTCGACGTTCACGCGGGTCCAGCTAGCCTCGAGAAATGTGAGCACAGAGCACATGACTACGTTTCCAACGGCTATCATCGGCTATCTCCCGGTTCTGCCCACCTTATCTACCAACCCCTACGCTCGTCTTGTCTCGATCGCACAAACATACCAACAAAGATGGCCGGGTTCTTCGCGACCCCTCCAACGCTAACGGGCACGCTCCTTTCAACCGTCCCCTCAAGCCTCTACGACCAGGGCACATCCGACTGGTCACCCGGTACGACGTCACCTACGCCCCTCTAACGCAGGCAATGGCCCCCCGCCCCCCATCTTCCTTGAGGGCATCACCTCCGACACACAAGGCAACCTCTGGCTGGTAGACATTGGGCCGGGCCGAATCCTGCGTCTCGACTCCTCGGGGACATGGCACGTCGCGACGCAGTTCAAAGGCAACCCCAACGGGCTCGCAATGGCGCAGGACGGCCGTCTCATGATCGCGGACTATGCGGAGGGGATCCTGGCATATGACCCGGCCGCGGGAAAAGTGACGCCGCATCTCGCGCGCAGAAACCTTGAGAGGTTCAAGGGGCCCAACGACCTCGTTGTGGCGTCCAACGGCGATTTGTGTGAGACGCAATGGGTGAGGAGGGCTGATTCTAGATTTCACGGACCAGGGACAGACAGATATGGCGGACCCCACGGGGCGCGTGTACCGCCTCTCGGAGGGGGGCAAGCTCGACATGCTCATCGGCAACGGGCCGAGTCCGAATGGCCTCGTCCTGAGCCCGGACGAGAGCGTGAGTGCTCGGATTGCTTGACGTGCACCACTCCTCTTCACTGTTGACAGCCCACGCACCAGGCGAGAATGTCACTTTCTCACACCAGATTCTCTACGTCGCGATGACCCGCGACAACTCGGTCTGGCGCTGCCCGCTGCACAAAGACGGCACGACGACGAAAGTCGCGCGTTTTTGTGAGAGCTCCCCCGCGGCGTGTCTGACCCAGTCTCAACAAATGGCAGCACGGGCCCCGACGGGCTCACGATCGACATAGAGGGCAATGTCTTTATCTGCATGCCGCCGCTCGGGGCGATCTTTGTCGTCTCGCCGCTCGGCGAGCCCGTCGCGCGCATCAATGCGCCGAAGACCGACAAGCCGGCCATGCTCACAAACTGCATATTTGGGAGCCGCGCCGAGGACCGCAGGCGGCTGTACTTTTGCGACTCGTTGGCAGGCGCGGTCGGATATGTCGACTGGCATTGCGAGGGCGCCACACCACTGCGCGCGACGAAACAGTAGACCGGGGTGAAAATCACACTAATGCCATCGTTTTGGATGACCGAGCTGTCGTCTACGGGACCTGGATAGCCCTGGCACCAACCCATCGTGTGCTGCATCGCCAGAGCTTCTTCTGTGATCAATCCCGTGGGTTGTGCACAAGATAAGAAGCTCGCGGACACAATTGACGTCGCGGAAAGGTTTCAGGAGTACGACGCGTCCATCCGTCGAAACATCTACCGAATACAATGAAACGTGAAGTCATATTCGTGATGAACAAACCGCTGCCGCAGGTGAACATGTGCTCGCTTTCCTCATTATGCTCTATCACCAGACGACTTCCGGCGAGGCTCACTGCCTTGCCCGCTTGAGAAAACCCTTCACAGTATATCCGTGCCTGACATGACAACGTCTTGGAGACCAGTGGAAACGGCGACGACCGCAGATAAGCTCAGCTTCAAGCGGCTGTTGCCTTCCGGACCCGGCACGTCTCCCGGCACATTGAATCCAGCCTCGTGTGGTCGCTCGCTGGCTGCAAATCTTGGCCGCTGACCTGCCGAGAGAGGTATTCCTGAAGATGATTTAATGATCTCATGTGCTGCCTCGGTCAAGCGGGACGATCTAGGTGTTAAAAGCGTATCATCCAGCTCGTCTCATTTTGCCCCGCCCATCCACTATGCTCCTCGCCGTCTTCCTTTTCATCGCTGCCGCTCAAGCCGTGCGCATCCACCCCCGCGGTGCAACCCAGTGGTGTCTCACGTCCTGGTCCCCCAACACCAACATCACACTGTACGACCCCCTCGCTCCCCGCTAACCCCAGCGAACTGTGCGACCAGCCGGTCGGCGCGCAAGACTGGACTTATGCGTCGGGCCGGTGGTCGGCGTCGTGGCTCAGTGGCGAGCAGGTGTGTATGGCGCCTGACAACGACGTGAACACACCGCCTGCGCCTCACCCGCCCTCCATTACCAACGGGGCCGTCATCATCGGTCGCGAGTGCGGGTCGCGCCCACGTGAGGCTTGGACGCGGTATCGGCCCAACACGTACCAGTTCCACGGGATCCGCATGCTCACCGGCCACATGTGCCTTGACCTGCCGCGAGGAGAGCTGCGGAGTGGCGCCACGATTCAGGTGTGGAAGTGCTCCGACTTCTACAACCCGAACCAGGTGGGTGCGAGTTTGATCGAACTGACCGCAGATATGGGTCCAGGGAGACTAGCCAGAAACGCAAGGGTGTGGGGGTGAGACGCGAACTGCTGCTATTCGATGTTGCTCACTTGTAATGAGCGCACCGGTTCATGGACTCGATAGCCACCGTGACGCTTTCGGCATGGAGACCGTATTCAATTGCATTCCCTCATTCTGCTGCTGCTGTTTGAAGCTACCAAAAACTCAGGCAAGCCTCTCGGTCATGCTCTGAAGCCTCAGCCATCCACTCATCCATGCCTAGCAAGCGCACACAGCTTCGCACGATATCAGCAACATCGACCGAGGAACGTTGTAGTCTACCGGCTTGGCTGGTCTCGAGCATGCGCATGAATGCCGAATGATATTTATCGGGGACATCCTCATCAGATGGGACGATCCCAAGTGCCCGATGTGTTTCTTCCGATACGTTGACAAACGTGACTCGCCCACCATCGCCCATGCCTACGAGTCCATGTCTCCAGCTCAGGACACTGCAGACTTCCCCAGGGTCGTATGGCGTCTGATCCGCACGTATGGCTCGAAATACGACGGTGGTGTCTTGCCCACGGCGAAAGTGGATGGAATTAACGGCAGGCTCGGGACAGTGGTAGTAGCGGCCTGCGTGCACATTGACGAATATCGTTGCCGTGTGGATAGAGTTAGTCACGTGGACGGGTAGGTGCTTTTGAGAGTCCCAGGTATCAACAGACAGGATGAGGTGCTGTGAGTCCGGCACTGACAGGCCGGTGAGGTGAAAGCCGACGCTGCGTGCGACTCGCACGACCTTGAGGTTGGGCATGTGTTTCTGCATATCGACCAGCCACAGGGCGTTTTCGATCCTGAATCCGACCAGGTCGAGCGTGTGGGTGTGCACGAGAGCCGCATGGCACCACTCGACTGCCCCAGCTGCGTGTGCACTCCGGCCCGCTTCTTCCGCGGCGCCCTCGGCTGCACAGAGAAGCCGCGCCGCAAGTGAGCGCGGGCCTCGGCGCGTCCGCAGGTGCCGGCTTTCACGCTCCTCCACAGCGGCAGAGTAGGTATGCCGTACGTTACCGGGGTAGAACGCGAAGCCGGGGAGCGCAATGTCGGTGCCGACAGGCGCATGCGGACGAGAGGGCTGGCCGCGCGTGTGGATATACACTCCGTCGTAGCGGTGCGACTTCGGCGAGCGGAGGACGAGGTGCTCCGCCAGTTGGGCGTCGACGCGCTCGCGGAGGGCGCGGCTCACGCCTCGCAGTGCGAGGAGAGAGGCATGCGGGGCTAGGCAGATTATCCGATCAAGGATGTGCGGAAACATGGCCGCATCGATGGGTGCGGGCAAGTTGGTGCGGCCCAACAACATCCGCCGGTCACGCCGCTTCTGAGCATGATACGGTGCGGGATTGGGGTACGCTGGCTTACTCTGCGGGGGTCTTGCGGCGGGCATCGACTTGATGGGGAAAGCGTTGCTCGAAGGGATTGGGAGAGACGCTGAATTCAGAGCGCGTGAGGTAAAGGATTTGGGACAAAGGGAGGGATACATAAGCCGCAAGTTCAATGTTTGGCATCGGCATGATAACCGGTGACATCGGATAGTGGTTATTCCGCGGCCTTGCTATAGTTCACACAACTGAGGCCGTGCCTTCGGGCTCGAGAGTTCGAATCTCTCTGTCATCGAATCTGGAATTCGTTTTTGTCGGATTATCAACCGAACGACCTCCTGCACCGGATCGTTGGAGTCATGCGTCCCCGATACAATGCAACTTCAGCGAGTAGCGCGTACTGATACATGCACAAACAGTTGCGAATAGCACGATAGCCCAAGTTTATGGGCCTCGTCTTGCCTGTCATCCAAGTATTCTATCTTAGCTTCTGCCTTCTTTGACTGCGTCCCCCGCCTCGGCCCCCACCACCACCCTTCGCCTTGGCGTCTGCGCCGGCAGGCTCTCCCGCTTCTCCCTCATACTTCGCTTCGCGGCGGTCGCCTCGGCGGCTCTTCTCGCGCGGGTCTCGCTCCTCCCAGTCCTCCTCCCCCTTGCGACGCGGTTTGCGGCGCACCATGCCGACATCCTTGCCAATATCACTGCGCCATCCAAGCGCCTTTTCGAACCCATTCCGTCCATTCTGGTAGTCGCGCAGCGCCTGCGCCGCGCCGTCACGGCTTGTCGAGACGAAAGGACCCTGGAGGACCATGGGCTGGTCCAGCGGTTCCCCGGCGACAAGGACGAAGCGAGACCCCTTCTTGGAGCGCGAACGCAAGCACACACCCTCCTCCCCCGCCGATGCGGAGAGGACGCAAACGTGCTGCGAGCCGACCTCCTTCGATCCCGTCTCATCTCCACCGGCCGTGCCACCGACGGCGACGACGCCGTCAAGGACATACACGAACGCCGTCCACCCCGCAGGAATGGGCTGCCATGCTTGCCCGCCCGCGTCGAGCCTGTAGTCGAGGAACCAGCATCCCGCGATCGGACGGATAGGCCCGACCGCGCCGTGACTCTCGCCGCTCACAACGACGACGCTGCCACCCTCGAAGGTCGCACGCGCGAGCGACTCCGCCTTTTTCTCCTTATACGACGGTTTGACCATCTTCTTGGCCGCGGGCAAGTCGAGCCACAGCTGCAGCGCAACGGCATCCATCGGATGCTCGGGGTCCACAAGCGGCATCTCGGCGTGCACGACCCCGCGCCCCGCCGTCATCCACTGCACGTCGCCCTGCGACAGGCGGCCGTAGTTGCCCATGAAATCTTCGTGCTGCATCATGCTAGGCGTCAGCAAAGACATGTGTAGGAAACTCACCCTTCGAGCACGTAGGTCACGGTCGCCATGCCGCGGTGAGGGTGGTCGGGGAAGCCGGCGCCTTGGCCCACACGCGCGTGGTCGAGGATGAGGAACGGGGAGAGATTCCACAGCGCCGGAGTGCCAATCGAGCGCAGGACCTTCGCTCCAACTCCCTCGGCTGTGTCAAAGGCCGCGACGACCTTGCCGGCCGAACGCGCTTTGGATGTTGAGGATTGTGGTGGTGTTGAACTGATGGGACTGCTCATTTCGGCTGGGGGGTCCAGGACCGCGCCAGCCATGGCCGCGCCGAGACTGTCCAAGTCATCGCTGCTGTTGTGATCACTGCTGTTGCGAGGTTGGCTCATACTGGGCGAAGTAATGGGCAGAACAAGCGAGCTGGTATCATCGTGAAATGAATGGTGCAGAGTTGAGCGTCAGAAATCTAGACGGGAACGATGACTAACTCAGGCACTGTGAAATTCCTAATAGTCATCGATTAGCATTGTTAATGCAAGATATTTGGCGAATCCTGCTGCCCCACTTCATTCTCTCCACCTCCACAGCGTCGCAGGCAATCGCATTCCTCAGAAGCTCCGTAGACTCTTTAACCATATCACCTCCTGATCTTCGCCCACGCTCACATAGCGCCCGAGATTCCTTGCCTGCGCTCTCTCGGCGGTATCCAAGAGCGTTGCCAAGACAAGGATGACCTTCGGCCTCCGCTTGTCCCTCCAAGCGTCATGCGAGTCCAACCACACAGTCTCGGAGGTTTGCGAAGGAGGAGCAATAGCCAAGTCAGCTGCTTAACTCTCTCCAATCCCACTAGTTGTGGGGCCGGCTCAAGGCGATGCCAGAGCACGGAGTGAGCAGCGGCACACATGCAACGCCACTGACGGTGCTGACATGACGGTGACCCCTCGCACTTCCTTCACACACACACATCGCTTCGCACGGCCGCTGACCACTGAACGCCGCCACCACAGCCTGTGACTGAGAACACACAGCGACTGAGAGATGCGGTGCTGGAGATTTATGTACAACTTCGCATGGACAAGATCTGGGAGAGCACAGGGGAGGGGTCCATGACAGAGGGGTCCTGCCCGCTCGGAGCCACTACGCGTTGTATGGCTGGTGAGGCGAAACCCTGCTTACCAAATCCTGATTAGGGACGGCTTTCCCGACTGAAGCGTGAGCTGGAAACTACACTGACTGAGCTGGTGTGTGCCGAGGCGGTATCTGTCTCCTGGCGTTGTTCACAGCGAGCGCTTCACCCTCTCCCTCCCATCGCGCACACCAGTCCCACGCAGCGGACTGCATGTGAACAGCTAGGTAAGCTTGGCACAAGCTGGGCACAGTCTGAAATGCAGACCGACCAACTATCTGGGACGCAGACTGACCAACCAGACTGACCTAAGGCCAGCTGACACTGTCTAGTGTGTGAGTTCTGACACTGCCAAGGCTCAGCGGAGGTCCGCTGCACCGCTCTGTCGGTGGGGGGCACGAGAAAGTGTGGGGAGTGAGCCGAGTGGGTGCGAAGAGTGTTCGTAGGTGGGTGTTGGTGGCGTTGTGGCAGTTCGCATGACATGGTTGTCCGCTAACAAGACGTGTGGTTCGCATGACATGACGGCGCTTGGCAGGCAACCCGATGCTGGCTCCCCCCCTCAGAAATGCTATAAAGCCCGCCGCTCCCGGCTCCCAACCAGCTCCTCACCACTCTTCACTCCTCTACTCCTCTCTCCACCTCTCCTCTCACAGCCTCTACTTCACCAACCACCTACTCGCAACAGCTACCATGCTCTCTATCCTCTACACCGTGCTCCTCGCCCTTGCGGCTGCCAACCCCCTCCCCTGCGACAGCAAGGGCGGCTACTGCCCCGACAAGGACCACGACAAGGGCTACTACGACAAGCACAAGGACTGGTACCACGGCCAGAAGCCCGAGAACAAGCCCATCCCCCTCCCCACGCCTGATTGGCCCTGCAAGGACGGCGGCAAGGGCTGCAAGGGCGACGACGGCTACTACGACAAGCACAAGGACTGGTACGCCGGCCAGAAGCCCGACTACAAGCCCATCCCTCTTCCGAAGCCCAAGCCCGACTGGCCTTGCAAGGACGGCGGCAAGGGCTGCAAGGGCCACGACCACGACCATGACCACGATGGCCACAAGCCTTGCAAGGACGGCAAGTGCAAGGACGATGATGACCACAAGCACTGCAAGGATGGCGGCAAGGGCTGCAAGGACTACGACCACCACACGTGCAAGGATGGCGGCAAGGGCTGCAAGGACCACGACAAGGACCACGACCACGACCACGACCACGACCACGACCACGACCACGACCACTGCAAGGATGGCGGCAAGGGCGGCAAGGGTTGCGGTGGCAAGTGGCCTAGCCCCTACTACGGTCCGGTCTTCATCCACCCCAACGGCAATCGCGCCAAGTGCATCGATGTGGTCAAGGGCAAGCTCGCGCCCGGCACCCCCGTTCAGATGTGAGCTCTCACTTTCAACACCGCTAACCTCAGTTGGGACTGCGACCCGAAGCGCGAGCAGCGCTTCCTTCTCGCTCGCGGCAACGGTCAGATCAAGGTTCCCGGCACTGATCTCTGCCTTGAGGCTCTTGAGCGTGAGAGTCCCCTCCACGGTCCCGCTGACGCCAGGCCGCAACGGCTGTGGCGTGACCCTTGAGCGCTGCAACCGCAGCCTCCGCCAGCTCTGGTACTACACCAACGACAACCGCATCGCCGTCACCGTGAGTGCCTGGTGCTCATCGCTGACCTCAGGATAGCGGCTTCTGCCTCGACCTCCCCAACGGGAAGACGCACAACGGTAACCTCCTCCAGGTGTGGCAGTGCATCAACGGCAACACCAACCAGGTCTGGACCACCACTCCTGTGGGCGTCCCCTTCTAAGCCGCTTTCGCCCCGCCCTAGCGGCCCCATTATAATCTGTGCCAGCACGACATTGTAGACAGAGTAAAGTAGCAGTCGTGGCGAATAATTGTGAAGAATGCACAGAATGCTGGAACGACTGAACGACTGCGTGGAGGATGAGTACCGAGCGGGGCGAATCGAATTCACATTGATAACATCACACGCGCAAGAGGCACCCAATACCACCACCCGTACATGAAGTGTGCGTCCTCACAGAGGTCTCTGTTCTCGTCAGGGGTCGCATCCCGAGACATTTCATATTGCTCATTTCCTCGCCACCTCGTCCATTCAGTGGCAAATTTCAGTGTCGTTGGTGAATTGTGGATGCAAAAATGGAAAGGATGGACGAGTTAGGAATCGAACCAAAGACCTTGTCAAGAGATGTAATTTCGTCATGCTAATGACACGCTCTACCAACTGAGCTACACGCCCTTCTCCATGGACGACGGGGCTACAATGTAGAGTGCCACGGATCCTTGACTAGGCTGATGTCTGCGTCATTTCCTCGCCCCTGCCCAGCACTTCAGGAGGACCGATATAGATGAGTCTGGATTACAAGTCACCTCGACAACTGACAACGGGCAACCTCATCATCACGCACTCCCGTCTCTTCTCCTTGACCTCCTCATTCATGACCTCCGTCCTCTTCGTTGACGACTTCGACCCGCTCGTCGTCTACTCAAACTACGATGACTGGCAAACGCCCAACCCCCAGGACAACCCCATGTGGTGGAACGCGTCCGCCGACGTGACCAATAGCCCGTGGCATCAAGGTGTGTCTCAATTTGCAAGAGCATGTGAAGGAAGGCACTGACAACAGCGACATATCACTACACTGAGGTGCAGGGAGCACGCGCGGCGTTCAACTTCACTGGTAAGTCGGCAGGGGAGTAGCTGGTGGGAGGCGGTTCCTTTGAGACTCCCACCGCGCTCGGTCTCCCGGCCAATCCACTCACCCCAGGCTCCTCGATCTCGGTGTACGGTGCAACTGGGCCTACGACGAGCAGCTACACTGTCACAATTGACGGTAACGTCAACGCCCTGCAGGTCTCCAACAGCACAGGACGCACGGTGCTGTATGAGGCCCACAATCTGACAAGCGACACGCATCAGCTCGAGATTGTGAATTCCGGCAGTGGGCTGCTGTTGGACGCGTTTGCCGTTAGGCTCAAGCTCGGCGGGGAAGAGTGAGCGGCATGATGCCCCCTGTGTGCTTGCGTCTGGGTGGCATCAATCCCACGTTCCAGGAAGAAAGCTTACGCCAGCGCCACGTTGTCCAACACGACGCTCGACGACCGCGCCCCCGAAATCAAGTACGAGGGTCAGTGGACGCAGCAGCAGGGTCCAAACTTTCACGCCGGGACGAGCACGTACACGTCTGGCCCGGGAAACGCCATGATGCTCAACTTCACTGGTAAGGTCCCCACTTTCTGTCCCTCTCATCTGCGCCATGGTACTGCTGCTCACAGCAGGCTCTGCAATCTACGTCTATGGCGATCAGGTCAACGACCACGGTGATTATACTGTTTCACTGAATGGCTCAACAGTTGGCCGGTACTCGGGCCGCTCAGGCTGCAGGGGCGGGTTTGCTAAAGCATGCGAGAAGCTTCACGGCCTCGTCTTCTTTGCGGGCGACCTACCTGCTGGCAGCCACGCGCTGCGCATCGAGAACGGCGGCCCCGCTGAGGGGAACAAGACCTTCTTCGGTGAGTCGCGGCGCAGCAGCACTGCTGAGGTTGCGTAAAATCTTGCCGGCCGCCGGAAGATGATCTGTGTGGAAAGGAAGGGAGGCTAATCTCAGACTTCGACTACCTAGATTACACCGTTCCAAGCGTGTATGCTACCCGTAATCAAAGCTCCGACGGGGTCAACACAGCCAGTAGTTCGAACCCAGCGGCACCAAGAGGCACAACGCAATCGTCGGACGCGGCTTCCGCAGTATATGCCCTGCTGTGGGGCGTTCTCGCTGCGTGGGCGGTCAAGGCCTTCCTGTGAAAGACCATGTAGTCTTTCCAACCTCGTGGTAACACTGCACTGTCATCGCTGAGCTGGACCAACTGCGGCGGACACAGCTCATACTGGTTTGATGTGCTTTGGACAGATCTAGGCTCGCGGATGCATGCTTCCGTCCCCGTGCGGTGGCGCCCAAACACGAGGCGGTGCTTTTCTGCCTTCTGCTGTTACACAGCCACCACCGTGAAGGGCGAAACAAAACGCGCGCTTCTATCTCTATCATTCTCAACACCCACTCACCATGCTAGCCGGTTGGTTTAGCGAGCGTCACCGTATATTCATGAACGCGTACTATGGGCTGGGTGAGGCCACCACGCCATGCTCACGGTAGTTAACAACAGCACAGAATACGTCGCGACCTGTCAACCCTCTTCGTACTCCACAATCTCCCGACGAGGGCTCGTCGCCAAGTCTTATTCCAGAGATGATAGCACCCGCCGCCCCGCCTCAACGACCCCACCACTGCCCATCACCCTCAGCCGACTGTCCAACATTCCAGATACACCCGCGCCACCCCCTCTCTCCCTTCTACCCGCACCTCGCGGAGTCGATTGTTGCTTCCCTCCCGCATGATGCTCGCCTTGCGCTCCGAGCAACCTGCAAGGCGCTCCGCCACACAGTTGACGCCGTCTTCGTCCGCTCCCTTATCGTGACGCCAGTGGGCCTCCTCTCACCAATCGGCCGAATCCCCATCAGAGACCTCAATGCACGCCCCGAGCTTCACTCACGTGTCAAGGCGATCGACATGGTGTTACTCACCGCGCTCTCGTCGGTCAACGAGGCAGCCATCACCTCGCTCCCGATCCTGCAAGACATGTCGGGGCTCAAAATTGTGCGCACATCCGCTGAGAAGGCCCTCACGCGCTTTGAAACCACACGAAGCGTCATCCGCGTCTTCGAACCAACATACTCGAACCCCGGCAGACGTTGGACGCCGTGGCGGCTGCATGCGCGCCCCCTTCCGAACTGCGAGCGGCTCGTCCTCCTCGTCTTATACCACGAGCCCAGGGATCTGACGAGTGCGCAGCTCACCCCTCGCTTTTGGAACTTTCCGCCCTCTATGAAGGAGGTGGTGCTGCATGTGCGGCCGCACCCCTGCCCCAAGGAGGATATAACTAAATCGCGCTGCCGGCCTGACAATGGGTTCGAGGGGTGGTCGCGCCTCCTCGGGCTCCTTCGAGCGTTGTTTTACAGCGGGAAGCGCATAACCCTCGTGGGCAAGGGGTGGGATCCGGCGTGGATTCTGGAAGACGACCCGAGTCACGGGTTCGAGGAGGCGTGGAGGGCGCAGTGTACCCTCGAGTTGATCTCCTCGGGCATGGAAAAGGAGGCCGCGGCAGCCAAGGTGGAGGAGCACTTCGTGTTCGTCAGCGAGGAGGACTATCGCGCGCAGGTTGGGGAAACGGCGTGGCGCGTGGAAACGGCTGCGAGTCTGGCTGATCTAGAGGAGGGAGAGATTTAGACAGAGGTTGGTGACATCGGGGAGAGAAGGGAGTGTGCCTACGGACGGGCAGGTTTGTGGATCTGTGTTGCTATCTTCGGATGGAGTCGTCCTCATTATCATGCTCTTGGCTGGACCTCCGCACCTGCTTACTCCTCCATGCGCAGCCTCCTTCCCCCTCAACGACATATCCTTGTGTTTGGCATGTCATGTCATGCTTGTCCACCTCTATGCACTCTTGCACACACATTCATCTACAAATGCCCCTCGGACGCAGCATTGTCCATTGCCCAAATATCCAGTCGTGACCGGCCCAGCGTGACCTCAGCGCTTTGGATGCCTGTGAAGCCAAATTTCTCATACATGGGAATCTGAGCGTCAGCTTTTCAAGATCGACAAGCGAACTGCATTCCAAGGGAGGGGCGATGAACACGCCAACTTACATTCCCCTCTGTCGTCGTGGTGACCGTCACCAGCCGGCCGTCCGCGCGTGCTCGATCAACAACATGCTTGAGCAACGCGCCAGCGAGGCCCTTGCCACGCGCCCACGGTGCCACCCCGAGGAAGGAGAGGTAGTATGTGTCGTCACCGAACGCCTCGCTCTCGAGCTCGTCGACGACCTCGTGAAACTGGAGTCAGCCTCGCTGCGTGCCCAGAATTCAGTTCTCAGGGATGTCTACACACAATCTTCTGCTTCTCCGTGACATCCGGCGGTGTCTCGCGTTTCAACTCGTCCGAGTACGGCGTCGCCTCCCTCTGTCTGCCATCAGCACCGCCGAATACACACGCACCGCCTAGGACCCGGGGGCACGACAATCGCGGCCGCAACTATAAGACCGGCAGCCTCAACAACGTATACTTCGTCGTCGCGCACGCTCTCGTAGCCGCGCGAGCGGAAGTATAGCGTGATGAGGGGAAGCGGGTCTGGCGCGTCGCCGAAGAGCGCCGCGTAGAGCTCGTCGTCGAGGTCGAAGCAGGAGGCGAGGAGCTTCGCCAACCCATCGATGGCGGCTGGGTCGAGGGAGGTCAGCCGCTTGACTACTTGCATGTTCGGATTATGAGGGTTGAGAAGGGAGTGGAAAGAGGAAGAATGGTGCGGAGATGCCGGAAGATGGTGAGAGCGACTCGGCTATCTTGTCAGGATGACGTCGTTTGTCTCCGTTTGGCGGAGCCAGAACGCCGAGGTTGCGCTGTAATCTCGACGACCAGACCTCAGCTGCTCCGACGTCCCTCTTAAGCTCCCCAGTCATCCCAATCATCCTCTGAAACACCATCAGCTCCATGACGAATGATGATGTCTGGCGCCCGCATCTTTCGGGGAGGTCCTGCTGTTCACCGCTTCTACTTCAACGGCCGGCGATCTCGGTGGTCACAGCCATGCAGCCGGAGCCAAGTCTACCGCCATCACTGCTGGTGTTACGGAGGTGTAGCGGCTACCGGGAGACAGTAATCAGACGTTCTCTCTTGGACTTTAGATGGTGTCATTGAGAGAAGCATTGCCCCAAAATGAGGCCGCCGAGAGTGTGCAGGAGGCAATGATGAGCGTTCGACTCGACGCCGGAGTTATGGCGCTTCCTTAGTAGCCGCCTTCGGCCGACACTGTCCCCGACATTCCGCATCGCGCTTCGCCATCGCCCACGACCTCACTCGCGCTCTCTCGCTCACGAAACCTCCTCCTCTGAACCATGCTTCTGGACAGCGACATCTTCCCGGACCTCGTGGACGCGATCGTGCGCTCCGCCGACCTCGAAGGTCTGTGCGCCTGGCGCGCCGTGTCGCGCTACCACCGGAGCGTCGCCGACGGCGTCATCTTTCCCCATGTGCATCTGTACGAACGCGCGGCCTACACGGTAGAGGGCGTCGCGTCCGGCGGATGGGCGATGTGCGCGCAGGGCGTTCGCTGGCCCTTCTGGGCCTGGGAGCGCGGGGGCGCGCCCACTACGAAACCCCTCCTCCCTCCACCCTTCAAACACACCCGCGTCCTCGACATATCATGGCAGGGCCCGCGCTCCGAGCGCGAGTCTGAACCTGTGCCCGCCTCCATCCTGGACCTCTTCGAGCCGCGGGTAGTGCGTCTCGTCGCGTTCCGCGGCGCATATCCCGCTTTGCGGTGGCGGTGGCCACAAGCGCGCCTCATCTCTTTCGTGGACGTCAGCACGACCAAGCAGCGCGGCGGGCGGGACGCGCGCGCGCCCGGCCCCGAGACGAGCACGGTCCTGCATCTGCGGTACGATGCGCGGCGGAACGAGTTCTTCCGCCTCCTCGCACTCAGCTACGTTTTTCCGACGTTCGCGGCCACGCATGATGTGACGCTTATCATTTCGCCCGATCGGCCCGGCCCCGAGTCGCTACGCGACCGCCGCAAAACGACCGCGCAGGTTCTTAAGCGTGTTGGATACTGGATCCGGTACGGGAAAGAGGAGGAGGAGTGGGAGGGCGCCGAAGAGGACGAGTACCGCATCACCGTCGTGGTGGATGGTCTCACTGATCTCGACGAGCTGGCCGACGAGCCGCGCGCGAGTGCCGTGCGCGCCGCAGGGGAAGACGCAAAGGTGCCCCTCATGCCGGTTACGTTTGTCACGCACGACGAGTACCGCGCCCGGCTGGGGAGTGAGGACACGCTCCACTACGACTGGCCACGGCAGCCTGGCGAGCGCGTTTCACGTCGTGGGTCCGAGACGCTGTGGGTGTTGTGAGGTGGCTTGTTGCTCGCGGGCATCGTATCTTTGTGCAGCCCACGACCGGCGCAAGCCTTCGGCGCTGGCGCTGAGAAGAATGCCTCCTGCGAGATACATATCGAGCGCGCCTGCGACGCAGTTATGAGATGGGTGACTGGCTGGCTGTCTACGAAAGAGAGTCACTTCTTCCGAGGGAGCCACCCGGAAGATCGGCGCTCGCACCCCTTTGCTACGCGGTATGTCATGTGAAGGGGCTTCACTGACCTCAGATACAACCTGCCACTGACAATGGCGCCCTGAGCGACAAGTCACCGGGCGCTCGCCTTGCCGCACATCTGACCAGATAACGATTACATCTCTATACATCTATGGTTGAACGTGGGGGCCGTATGGGGTGTTGAGACATGAGATGGCGGCATGGGAGCACCGAGGCCTACGCGACAAGCTTGAGCTCGGACTTGCGGTCCTTGGCATACTCGTCCTTGTGCTTGTCCCAGAGCGCCTGCAGCGCTTCGATGTACTGGTTGTGCACGGCCTGCACCTCCTCGTCTGTGGGCTTTTCGATCTGCTTGACGGGGATCGGCGCTCCCACGACGACAGTAACGGGCCGGCGGTGAGGCATAAGGCCGTAGTTGTAGGTAAATACGCCGCGGCCGTGGAAGAATGGGACAGTGAAGCCGAACGTGCCCTGGAACCACTTCTGGAACTTGTACGTCATCGTGCCCTTTTCGTTGGGCAGCAGCTCGTAGATGTCGTTCTCGCCAAAGCCGTACACGGGCACGAGGTTTGCGCCCTCGCGGATCGCGATTTTGATGAAGCCCAGGCGCTTCTTGAGCGTGAGATTGTTCGTGCCGGGGTACGCGTAAAGTGACTCGGAGGCGCCGCCGATGACGATGCAGATGCTGCGCCCCATCTTGAGAATCGAGCGGCAGCTGCGCTTGCTGACGGACGCGAGGCCCATGCCCATCAAGATGTCGCGGTAGAGGGGGATCCAGAAGTTGGCGTCTGGCGTGAGCAGCGGCCATGATGATTCTCCGAAGCCCACGTCGCCCGCGAGCCACGGTATCATGCGACTTACCAAGCGTTAGCAGATGGCAGGTGACGCCGGGGAAGAGGGACGAGAAGCCCGTTGCCTCGGTCGCGAACGTGCACGCGGCGCCCATGCTGATGATTCCGTGCGGGTGATAAGCGAACACGTACTTGCGGTCCGCAGGCAGGTCGGCCTCCTTGACCGTCGTGATGGGGTAGTAGTCTGCGTGAGCGGGGACCACGCGGTCACTCACCAGCAAAATAACGCCAGAAGGCGGAGCGGCGGACCCAGTCCTTCCTGCGCCCGCCCTTGTGCCGCCATGCGCGGTCGACGACGATAAACCACACGGCGTAGATGACGGCGAGCGGCCGCAGCCACTTGGAAAAGAACAGGCTGCCATAGAACACGGTGAGGCAGATGGGGATCATGACGGACCATGTCGCAACGACCGCAGTCTGCAGCCGCCTGTGGCGGGGTACGACGAGGGGGGCGAATCTGGCGTCAGCGCGAGGGGGGAGAGGGGAGGGGGAGGGGGAGGCATACTTGACAGGAGGGGGAGTGGGGATGTGCACGTCCTTGAGGTGCAGCAGCTCGAGAAGGCTCGAGGATCTACTGAGCGGCTTGTCATGTTTGAGGGCAACGAGCGGAGAGCGCGGGCTGCTGCTTTCGGGGGAGGGGGTGGGTGCGGGGGCGTGGTCAACGGGCGACTTTGCGCCGTCCTCGGCTGGCGAGAGGGGCACGACGGGGACAAGCGGGGTGGACATGGTGAGTTGGGGAGTGGGAGATGTCCAGTTGTCCTTGTCTGATAAAGAGCGATGCGGCCGATGGAGGCGGGGAGATGAGAGACGGCCGTGCATGCCGTGCTCTCGGAGCTGCAGAGGGATCGGCAAAACGGCCTTGCTATGCCGATCCTCATCGAGATCTCAGGCACGTTTCGCATGGGCGCACGGCCGGCCGTGGGTGATGCGTGTTCAATATCCATCAACGGCGCCCGACGCGCGCGGCAAAGCATGGCCTGTGCGTGGGTGGTATTACATGCCCCGGCCTGTGGATGCGTACGGACGCGGCTCTTCAGCTTGGGTTCTGACGATACTGGACACGAGTGGAGCGCGAAAAGGAACGACGAGGGCTGCGGAATGGAAGCATCTCTTGACGAGAAAAATTTGTACCCACAATGGGACGCGGGACAGAAGTCTTCGAGGCACGATGCACAGATTGAAGATGGCCATGGAGCGGAGTACTGGCGTCGACATGTCATGGCGGATGATTTTTATGTCTCATGTCTCAGATTCCATTTGGCACAGAGCCATGACGCAAGCATTCTACCTCGACTTTAGCGATTTCAGCTGGCGTAAGCGGCTCCCTGGTGTTATCCTCGAAGTTGCCGTTGAGCCCCAAGCATACGTCCCAGCGGGCTGACGCCGACATGCTTGAGTAGATTGCGGAGGCATGGCACAGATCTGCCAAGCACGCAGACCAGTATTGTGACCGAACACGAGGGCCGTCGTCCACGTTCGCTCCAGGATCATCTTCTCACCAGAAGAGTAGGAAGTAGTATACGGATGCAGCAACAATACACAGCAGGATATGTTGCCCTTATGTGCCGAGCAGCGCAGGAAGCCACCATAATAAGCCGCCCAGGCAGGCTCTTGTGACCCTGTTGCACCTCCCCAAGCGAGGTGGCGATGCGCTGCGCCCGGAACAGGAGGGCTTCCAGCCCCTGCTGTCGGCACAAGAATATCCTCTAGTGGGCTCAACAACGCGGCCGTCCGTGGCCACATGTCGTGCATACAAGCCTCCGTAGATGTAGCCACGGGCCAGTGTCCCATGTCTTCGCTTGCAGTGTCTCTTCGACACCACGCTTGCAGCGCAACTTGCAGGCGCCAGTCTCGCTCGAAGCTGAAGCCTGGAAGCAGAGAAAGGGAGGTAAACGAGATGGTAGAGAAAGAGCGGTAGACATCCTAACACGTCCCCATGTAATCGTGAGATGCACGCTCAGGATGGACTCGACGCGAAGCAGGACACGCAGCGCATGGTGAGGAGTGTCTCGACGTAGGCCGTGCAGTTGATGATGCAGGTGTGGGAGCTGGCGTGGAGCCAAGCGTGGTGGGTAGATCAGGAGCGATATGGGAACTGTTCGTGTGCAAGTGTGAGGAGAGACCATGTGAGAGGAGATGATGCACTACGAGAAGATGCCGGCGAACGGTGGGGTAGTTTGTGATGTTCATAACGCAGTTCAATTCAGTCCCAAGAAAGAAATGTCGTTTGTCTGGCTTCACTTTGTGCCACACGCACACGAGGATCGTGGTGCTGGAGCACGTGCATTCACTGCTACACCACCTCGTACTGCGCGATTCCGACGTAGCTGTACGACGTCCATCCCTTGCGGCGCAAGAACTCGTTCTTGGTAACGCCCCGTGCGTCCTTGCCACTCAGCTTGTCGAGAGCGACGATGGACGTGTTGCCGCGAATCTTGTTGGCTTGTATATCTACATACCACCACTCGCCATTATACTCCATGGGGAACACATCATCGTTCGTATTCACCATGAGGAGGAGCGGGCCGCCTTTGTTTGCGACGACAGTCTCGGCCCAGTGGTCGCACACCCAGGGAATTTGGAAGCGGACGAGGCCGGCCTGCGATAGCGCCGCGGGGTCAAGGAAGCGCATGGCCGGCTCTAGTCCCGTGGGGTCTAGCCCCTCCTCGTATGCGTTGCCATAGATGGTCGGCGTGTCGCCGCCATTGTCGTCAATGTACTCCTCCCACGACATGACGCGGCCGTCGCCACGGAACTGATGCGCCTCGTCTTCAGGGAAGTGGCTCTCGCCAAACGCGTCGTTGCTCTTAGTGAATTGCTCAGGCTTGAACTTCTGGTCCCAGGCCCCGTTCGTGAGGTTGCCAGCACCCCAGCACGAATCGAGAAGTTTCCACTGCCCGTCGTCCAGACGTACCGCGTTCCAGGCGTGGTTGCTGTTGAAGGGCGGGATGCTGCCCGCTGCAGGCGCCTTGTATCCAAAGCCCTTGCCATGCCCACTGACTTTCAAACATTCCAGGCCTGCGGCCTGCGCGATCGCCAAGAACACGTTGCCAAAGCCATCGCATACTCCCTTGCCGGTGTGAATCGTGTCCTCGGCCGTATGGCCGCGCGGAATTGTCCCAGCGAGAAAGTTCTTCACGTCGTACTCGACGTTGTGATGCAGCCAGGTGAAAATGGCGCGCGCCTTATCGGTCAAGTACTCGAATGGGGAGCAGAGAACGTCAGCGAGGTAGGGTATTGGGTCGCGGGGGAGGCTGTGTCGTGGGTACTGGGCTGCCACGGCATCAGGATGTGTGTAGTCGCGACACACGAGGCAGATGATGGGTGGCATGTCGATCGACTCTGGAGCAGCAAGGGGTGCTGGAGCCGCGGGGTTTGATGTCGGCCTGGAAGCGAGTGGCACAGGTGGAGGGCGAGACTGCAGAGGAATGGGCGGCGGGCCGTCCCCAGGCCGAAAGGCGGGGGCGGGAGGGGGGGACGGACCGCGAGGTACGCTTGGGGGGAGGGTGCGACGGGGAGCGGCTAACGGCTTGGAGGGGATGGGAGGGGATGTGGTGGACGCCGCATGATCATCGTGGTTGTTCTGTCCGCGTGACGGGAGTCGGGGTGGCAATTGGGGCTTGCCGCCTGGCAGTGGGGGGCGCAACTTGGGCTCAGCCGCAGCCCTGCTCCCGCCATGACCGTTGGAGTCGTCAGGTCGACCGCCGGGAATGACGGGGGAAGAGCGACTCTCCACGCTAGCTGGCTCCCCTGACGGCCGACGGCCCCGAAGCGGTGGCTCAGCGGACTCTCCGCGCGCATAGAGAGAAGGAAGCGGGCGCTGTGTGGGGAGCGGCGGCGATCGCGCAGAAGCGTGACTCGCACTTTTGTCAGCACAGCAAAGCATTGCGATCGGCGTCCTCACTTGTGTCCGGGTGCAGGCTGCGATGGCACAAGGCTGGTCGCTTTGCTTGGCAATGGGGGTTTTACTGGAGGCGGCGCCGGCCGAGCGGGTGTGGGAGGCTTGTACGATGTCGAGGCTGTCGAGGCGGTCGACACGGCCGAGGCTGGGGAGGGGTCGCGCACCGGCGGCCTGGGCGCAAGCTTGGGTTTGGGCGGGGGAGCCTTCGGAGCGCGCATGGGGGCTGGCGCCCCGGCCTGTTGAAGGTTGAGGGCGGCGATGCGATCCTTGAGCGAGGTGAAGACGGGCTCGTCGTCGGCCATGGTGAAGTAATGGAAGTGAGGCTGTGAGATGTGCGGATCGCAGGTGCGGACGTGATGTGTGTCAGTGGCGTCACGTGATGATGACCTTGCATGGCACCTGGTGGCGGGTTGAGAGGCCGCGCCGCGAGTGGCGAGTGGCACTGGGGCGAGAATCCGTCACTGCGCATGCGGCACAGCAGATGATCACTCTGGATCTCTGGAAGCGCCCCGTACATACGATTGGAAATTGCAGTTTCCTCCACAAGCATGCTGCCGTCGCCATCTCTCATCCATCCTTCCCCCTCCTCACTTTCCATCGCACTTTCACCCACTACGCCTCTTCTCATCCCTCTCTGTATGTTACTCTGAGCAGAATAGTGTGCTACACATCGTGCTGACGTCCCAGCCTCCTCAAACTGCCAAAGCCTCCATCACTTTGCGTCTCTGCAGCGCGCTCGGTATGTCTCTCTCAGCCTATACAGAGCACTGACACCCCAGTTTCCTCATACTGCCAAAGAGTCATCGCTTCCCGTCTCTTTCTCTTCACCGCGTTCGGTATGTCTTCCTGTGTCTACACCGAGTACTGACCACCCAGCCCCCTCCAATTGCAATTTCGAAGAAGTCTCGCCCAACCTATCTCATCCGCTCGTTCGGTATGTCCTTCTGCGAGTGCACAAAGTACTGACATCTCAGTCTGACCAAATTACACCATGGCCCAGTTCGATACCCTCATGGCAAAGGCCAAGGTTTACCTCGCAAAGGATCCTCGATTCTTCAATGAGTGTAACTCGCATGCGGACAGGTTGGATTTATGGTACGCGCAGTGCTGGCAGCCGAAGCACCCAGAGTTACCCATCATCCAATGGGATATTCCTTCCTCCCGCGCACTTGCTACCGTCCTTGGCGCATATCTGCTGTTTCTTTGCGAGATCGCCCAGCCGTCCAACCCTTCGGGCACAATTCGCAGCACCACTTTGAGGCATTGGACCATGCTTGTCCTCTTTCTTGCCGGCTACAACATTGTGGGCGTGAAGGGAGGCGGGAGGAACCCCGCTGTTGTCCACGGGGTGCTTCCCGACAAATCCGACTCGCTGTGGTCCCTGCTCGTCCAGACGTGGACGCCCCTGCTCGTCCGAGACCTCCAACTCGAGCAACGCGCGTCCCCGCTGCAGTTCTGGGGACCCGACGAACTCACACTGGTGTGCCGAGCCATCGATGCGCGGATTCTTTCTGGCCCCCCTCGGATACGCGCGTCCCTCCTCCAGTTCAAGGCGGCAAACCAGTTTCTACTGGCCACGGGCAACCGCACAGGCATCGCGGCCTTCACCTCTTTCCGCCATCAGGGAAATGAGAAAAGGTTTACCGAAGAGGGAAAGATCACCATTTTCCAGACGGCACGGGGCCACTACGACGTGGAGGTAGACCTCGAGTACCTCAAGAGGTTCAGTTGGGAGGACAACCTTAACGACGACTTCTGTCCACGCATCCACTCCGTCACCAAGGCCAGCAACGTGCAGCTTGAGTTCGCCACCACCATTATCCCTATCCTTGTCCAGCGGAAGGTCGTCTACGTGAAACGCAACCGACAACGGGTCTTCTTCAACGACATTGAAGAGTTTATCTCGGCAGAAGACGCCGTCATGTACGTAGCGAACACTCGACTTCCTCTTTTCCGTGCGTTTGATAAGAAGGGCAACCTTACAGATCGCGTTCTGGCCAACCGCACGTTCGTCTCCAACCTTGACGCCATTGCTCTTGACGCGAATCTCCCGGGGGCAATGGCAGTTAGCTATCGTCATGTCGCGAGCGATCTCGCACAGATTGCACGCCCCAATCAATCCGAGCAAGCCGCTGTTCTCAACCACGACGGCCGTTATTCCGGGGGTGGCACCGACATGGCGGGTCAGCGGCGTAGCGCCACTGCTGCAACTCACGCCCTTATCAAGATGATGCGTGAAGGCGCGTCCGGACGGGCGAATGCTATCCCAACGGAGGAGGAGCGTGCGGAATTTTTGGCCCAGGACAGCCAGTACATGACGCGTCTCGAAGAGCTTCAGAAGTGCTCAAACGAGATAGAGTCGGCGACTTCCGAAGGGCGCGAATATGACGAGGAGACGGTCTTCCGCCTACGCGACGAGCTTAGTGTATATCGTCGCAGTCTCTTGGCTAAACTTGTTCGCCAAAAGGAGAAGGCCGCCATCGAGGTTCTGCGGACGGAAAGGCCCGAGACGAGTCTGGCCGACGTCGCGCTGGCGCGGTCTGCCCTTGATGTTTTACGTGACGCTCCGGCGCTCCTCGTTGACACGACGATGAGCGGGGTGACCACCCTCTTCGAAGACCTGCGGCGCTCATGGGAGACCGTCCCGTTTGACCGCAACCCGGCTGGTCCTTTCGACCACCCTCTGTGGTCCAACCTTGTGGAACCAATGGTCGAATCCCGGATCAGTGGCACTGGGGTCACATTCGTCGAGGACGTTCTTGAATCCGCAGAAGCTGTTTTCCGCTCCAACTCTGGGCGATCGAGGCCGTTTTCCCAGGAGGATGAAGATCGTAACCAGCCGCGCAACGACGAGGGTTTTGAACTCGAACTGTGGCACGATTTTGACGAGATCGGCGAAACTGACTTATCCTCGACAGTCGAAGCACGACTCGCCCTTCTGCGTGCCAATGCCGCCATTCTAGAAGCTACATCCTAGTGAGCAGCGCATTCACGACCGCAGCATATTGTAGTGAGCAGTGCATATTATTTTCTCCGCCGCAAATCCAGCTCTATCATTGATCATTCGAGTGAGCAGCGCATGTGCGACCATGGCCACAGGAAGGCAGGACGCGCCGACTTGTTATTCATGCATGCCTGTGTGTGCGCAATTTTGTCGTGTGTGCGCGCATATGCGCGTGTGAGCTTGTATGGCCGGTGCCTCTCTGTTTGCTGTCTTTCATGCCTGGTCGAGCTGGTGGCGCTGGTGGCGCAGGTCGCGCTGACCGTCTGCACCCCCTGCCATGATCTGCTCTGCTCTGCCATGTCTCCCCCGATCTGCGATCTGCTCGCTGCCAACAGCCAGTCATGTCACATCCCAGGACCATGCCGGGGGTGAACGCCCAAGTACGTGGGGTACGTGGGGACGTGGTGAAGCGTGACAGGGAAGGCTCGCGCCTGCTTTCAAGTGACAACAGAGTTACAAGTGGAGCCTCGTCAAGTCGTCCTCCCTCAACTACCTCTATCTCTCCTCACCCTCCTCATTTTTCTTCGCATTTTCCTACTACATCTCCACGCGCATCTCTTCTTTGCGTCGCTCCCCGCTCTATTCCCCCGTCCCTGTAGGTACCTAGCCCCCTCGTGTCTCCTTGCCTCAATGACCTGCCTGTCCCCTCCTTGCCTTCCAACTCCTCGCCATCCCTAACCCCAGGCCCTCCAAGCATGACCGCCATGCAGGCATGTGCAGGCGCTCGACCGTCGGTGGATCAAGGCTCAACCCTCGACTGCGACATTCACCCCCCTCTGGAGAGGGCGCTTGACCTTGCCAGGAAGTACATTATCACGGCCGCCCCTTTATTCCGTTGCGCTCGCGGCGGCGCCGAAGGGATGTTTCCAGAGCAAGTTGGTCTCCCAGAATGCCAAGACGGAGTGCTTTGCTCACCTGTGGGCTTGTGTCAGGCCCTGCGCTGTGGAAAGACAGCGGCTGGGGAGTTGTCAAGCACAAAGGTGTCATGGCCTGGCCTACTGACCCATGATCTTTCGCGGAGATCCCTGTATGTCCGTTACCACACACACGGGGATCACCCACACCTCCGCCACCTCCACTCTCTCGCTCAACTGATACTTGTCCGACCACCCCACTCGTGGGGTGGGCCGACCTACGTCGAGCCTCTGTGTGAGGAACAGACTTGAACGCTTTAGACCGTATCACTAAAAGGTACAATATTAGGGCTGATAGTCCTAATAGCAGTTCTACTTAAGCTAGGTCTCGGGTCCGGGCCGTGACAGGCGCCCCTCTCAGATCGGCGAACGTCCCGAGAGCCTATCCCCCCACTTAACCGACACTAGTGGTAGGACCGCTTAAGTTAACCCCCAGGCACGGTACCCTGTCTGGACCCTGAATTCAGGGTACCCCGCCCCGGCTCAGGGTAGTCGCGTTTCCACCACGTGGTCCGTCAAGTCACGTGGCTTCGCCTGTCAGCCACATTTTCAAGGCCTATCTCTCGCTGAGAATCGAACCCGTGACCGTTAGCCCTAATATCATGTGAGGAACAGACTTGAACGCTTTAGACCGTATCACTAAAAGGTACAATATTAGGGCTGATAGTCCTAATAGCAGTTCTACTTAAGCTAGGTCTCGGGTCCGGGCCGTGACACTCTGCGGACATACAGTCCACCTCGCTCAGTCGACCAGCCGGCCCACTGCCCTGATCGCCCCCTTGACCTTGCGGCAGCTGTCAGTCAACCTGCTCACCCAACAGTTGGCTGACCGATTGGGCCCCCATCTATAGTTGCCTATATAAGACTTGTAGCCTGACTGGTCACCCATGTCAATTCTGTTGTCCTTGTGATTCTACTGTTCTGCCAAGGGTTGCCTGAACACCAGTTCTGGTTAACCCCCGTACTCCCTCTCACTCCGCCTCCACTTCCTGTTCGGACTCCATGCTTTGCCTGGTCCCGTCAACCCGCATGACGGGCCCTTACACCGGCATCCTTTGCGCAGTGTCACGGGAGCCAGTCCGTGACAGGTTGTTGTCTTTTGGACCATCACAACTTGCCTGCACAGTGAAATCGGCGACAAGTTCACCCAGCATTGGGAAAGTCACCCCATCTCCCTCCAATGCCCATGGAAGGGCTGTGGAAAACACTTTTCTAATGCAGGTGACGCAACGACTCACCTGGGCAACCACTACCACTGCCGGGTGAGGAAGGCACCAACGGCGCCGGTGTGTCTGGTGGCTCGAGGCGGAACTGCTTGCGGCCACTGGTAGACATATGTGGAACTGCTTGCGGCCACTGGTAGACATATGTGTATTCGGGGCTGGCTGCATAGTATTCATGCCATCGAAGACAGCGCTCGCCATGCCGAGGTCTACCATGGGATCCTCGGCCGTGTCAAGTCCGCTCCAGGTATTGACATTGAGTGGTGTCCAGAGCGCGCTTGCGCGTGAGTATTTCCTCCTGTGCGCCGCTATATCACGGAATGTTACCCCCGACTCGCTCACGCGCTAACTGGACAGAGTGCTCGGCTTCGCCGAACGCCGTAGCCCACGCCGAGTGGCACATGGCTGCCACTGTCGCCAATGACGTTGGCCCTCTCGCTTTCCAGACGGTCGGCCACGTCATCGACACGGCCACAAAGGCGGCAACAACGTTCAGGTGTGCATGGTGTTTCTTCAACACTGAAGAGGTACCGGAGTTGAGGCGACAATCATTGTGGGTCTGGCGATTGTTACTGCTGGCTGACCGAAGCCACTCCATCAGCGCCTGCCAAAACCACAACATGGGGCACTTGAGTCAGCTCAAGCCCACTGACTCGTGCCCCTTTGTGAAATGCCAGTACGCCGCAACTCGCGAGAACCTTGTCGCGCATCTGTGGGAGATAGAAGGCGAAGTGTGACGATCCGAATGACAACGACTACCAAGCAATGACTACATGTGCCGACCACGTGGCAGCCACCACGCGATAACCATGCATCCCGATCGCAAGGCGCTCCACAATTCATAACGGCGCCAGTACCGATCGGTACCCACATCGGCACCGCTCACCTTGTATCATCACATATACGGCAACGTCTAGGATCTCTTCCCCCCAAACTCTTGATACTCGTCGTATTCTCATCCTGTCATAGATCATAGTCTTATTGCATGTCTATCACAGCCTATCGACTTCAAGTCTCTACTCACATATGAATTTTCAGATGCGACAGCCTATCGACTTCGAGTCTCTACTCACATATGAATTTTCAGATGCGAGGTTTGATTGACTTCCAGAGCTGCCCCAATGGAGGCATGTCTCGGAAATGCGCACTCACATCTAGGTTTAGCGGCCAGCGGACCGCCCGTTGCGGGTCTGCTTCTGACTCTCATCTCCCGTCCCCTCCTTTGCTCGGTAGCCGGGTGCCCTCTTCTCAGGCAATCACTCTAACGATCTAACGACGCCGATGACACGTCGCAGATCGAAGATTGTGACTGATCGTCTGAGAAGAGGGCACCAATAACCCAGGGTGAGCGGTAAGCGGATAGCGGCCCAGCGAGCTCTCTCTCCTTCTTTTCCACCATTTAAGAACTTTCTCGACCGTTCACCCACCTCACTCCCTTCATTCACTCGTCTCTCTGTCCTTCGCCTTCGACCTTGCCTTCGACCTTGCCTTCTTACACCGACCATGTCTTCGAAGCGACGTGTGATTCTCGACGACGGCTCCGAGCACGACCACAACGAGTATACCGAGGACGAGGACTCGTCCGCCACGTTGGCGTCTCCGACCGAGATCCCCGCCGCCGGTCGTAACACGCTCTTTGGAGACGACGTCGTTCGTGACTACCATGTGATTACAATTTCCTTCCAGTGCTGACTTGCAGGGGGAGGACTTTGTGGATGCCGGCCCCGTGAGCACCCCCGCCCAGCACTTTGGTGCTGCCGGGCTCTTGGACCCAAGTGCGACGCCATGGCCTCAGCTACCACCTGCGGTCTTCCTCCAGCATCTTCATATGCAGGTCGCAAACGTCCAAGGCCACCGCACTGAACAGCTCCTGCGGGAGATCGGTCTTGTCCTCCTGGGCCACCGGGAGGAGGATAAGCTCCCTTACATTCTCAACCCTCCCCCCTTCCCCGAGTGGGAGGAGCTGCAGGCCATCCACGTCCGCGCCGCAGCCATCTCCAATAACAAGAAGTCAACGGGCACCGCTAGCAGCGGAACCGCAGGCAGCCGTCCGCCGACGTCGACAACGGGTGCTCGCGACCTTCCTCCTCCGGTGGCCCATTACTCGAGCCGGGTAGACCCCTCCACCTTCGACTACCCCGCGGCTGAGCCCGTCGGAGCCGCCGCGCATGGCATGCCGACCTACGTGCCCCAAGCCCCCCCTGCCGTGCCCCAAGGCCGCCCCGCCCCCCCGGGCGCTCCATTCGCCACCCCCGCTAGCGGTGAGCGCAGTGGCGCCACCAGCAACAGCGCCTGATCCCATCAATCAATGGCCACCGCATCAAGACCGGTAAAGCCCCGCTGGGTACAAGAAGCCTCATTCTCTTTTCATTAGGGCGCCACCACCGCCTCCATTATACGTTCCCAATGCCCCGAACTTCAACAACGCCTCGGCTCCGCCCGCGAACGACCACGGGCGCAAAAGTATATAGATTAGTTGATTCAACATGTGTATGTATGACATACGGGGCAGTACAATAATTGCGACGGCATGCTGCTCAAGCCTAAATCCCACTCCCTCTTCCCAACAAATCCCAACTAACACTGCTCTTCGCTAACGCCACCCCCTGCAGGCCGCACTTAGGCTTGGTACCGGAAGCCGGGGTGGTCCTCGAGGATGATCTCTCCACGGTCCGCGCGACGGTTCTGGTACATGAACCAGAGCTTGAAGCCGCCAGCACAGATGATGACCAGGATGTTGAGAGCGACGGTGGACCAGATACCAGTGGGGTAGCCGCGTTTAGCCTCCTTCTCAATAAAGAGAACACCAGCGAGGATGCCGCCGATACCGCCCCATGCAACGAGAAGGGCCGCAGTGAAGGCGCGCTTGGACTGGGAGCGGATTGAGGTCTGCGTCCAGGCGATAATCAGGGGCACGTTCATCGTAGCGCCGCCGAAAGCGAGGAATACGCCAGCGTAGCGAGCCTCCTTTTTCGAATTTTCAAGTTGCGAAAACATAATTGTGCCGATCACGAGGAGGAGAGCGTTGAACATGACGCCAACGGCGCGCTGCCGCGTCTTGTCGCACCAGTATGCAAGGAACATACCTGGGACCACAGCCCAGATCTTGGGTGGCGCGTAAAGCACCTGGCTCAACATGTTGCTGAATCCCATGCCTTGGAGGATGGTGGGGAGGAAGTAGGCCATCGAGTACGCGGAGAGGGTGGTGGCGGTGAACATGATTCCGAAGATCCACGGCTTCACTTCGATCGCGTACTTGCCGATCTTCTTCAGGGTAAGGGGATCGTGCGTTGCGTCGCCGCGGTCGCGGTCGATGCGAATGCGCACTATTTCCTTCTCCTCCGGGGTGAGGAACTTTGCGCGGTCGGGGAACTCGTGCATGAAGATGAAGCCGAGAACGCCGATGAAAACGGTCATGATACCCTCGAGAATGAAGATCCACCGCCATCCAGACTTGCCAGCGGTGCCGTGCATCTGCGAGATGCCCCACGCAAGGATGGACGAGAGGCCGCCAACAGCGGTCGAGCCGAAGTAGAAGGCCGTGTTACGGGTAGCCATCTGCTTGCGTGGGTACCAGCATGCAATCAGGTACGCGGCGCCGGGGAAGAGGGTCGATTCGAACGCGCCGAGCAGGGCGCGCAGACCAACGAGGCCCTGCCAGTTCTGGAGGAAACCGAAGCACATCTATGCGTCAGCAAGAGTGGCGGTGGGGAAGCTTACCATGACGACGCCCCAAAGCAGGCACGAGAGCGAGAGCCAGATCTTGGGGCCAAAAGCGCGCAAGCCAATCTGGGACTGATGGTCAGCCTTGCAAACATCCGTGCCGGTAGTGGCGAGTGGTGCCTTGTGAGAGCCGTCTCGGTTGAGTGACCGAGGGCTCCACTCCCTCGCTTCACAAACCGGTCATGCCAAGCCCTTCATGCGGGACACTTACGGGGATCTCGAGAATGATGTAGGGAATGAAGAAGATCATAGTGGCGAGCGAGTAGCGGTTGCCAACATCGAGGCCGAGCTCCTTGTTCATCGCCTTGTTGTTGGCTGCGCGTGCCATCGACAGGTTGGTTCGGTCAATGAGGGAGATGCCTGCTGGTCAGCGATACCCATGCGGCGCGCCTTACAGTACATGAGGGCGAGAATGGGAATGACGTGGAGGTCGATCTTGCGCACGAGACGCTTCATGACCTTGGGGTCGAAGCCATCGTCGACGTCAACGTGCGATGGGCGAACGGCATTGTCCTTGAGCTCCGAGTCGGTGTCACGTGCGTCCTCGAGAGAATCAATGTGTTTGATATCGGCAGGATACTTCTCCTCGACAACGTCGTTGCGGATCGGCTGCTGGGTGGTCATGGTGGGCCGGGCTGACGCTCTCAAAGCCAACACTCTGGTTTTATAACTGGCGCCTCGGCCAGGCTTGCGCCTCAATTTGACCTCTCTGACGGCTATTCACCTCGGTGATAGCCTCATTCCACCAACACGATGAGATAGGTAGGCTGCCAGCTTTCGCCAGCAGGTGCATCCCCGTGTCACCGCTCGTGGCCCCGTGGGTCGACGCAGAGCCCCGCGGCTGGAACAGCGGCGCTCCCCGCACCGTCCTTGTCTCACATTGATGGAGAAGGGCCGATCTAGAAGGATGGGGATCTGTGTAGAGAGTGTGGGAGCGGCCAAGGGGCCAAGAGAGAGTCCGGTCGGACATGTCCCAGGCCAGGCGGGAGCCCAATGAGGTCTGTAGACACCGAACACCACACGAAGCCGAAGTCCGATGGGCGCGGCCAGCCGCGTGCGGATCGCTATTTGTTCGGTCGGCGCGTTGGTGGCATGGACTGGACAGCGAGATTGTGGATGTGTGCCTGCCAAGAGCAGCGAGCGAGACATGTGCCTGCCGTGCCGCGCACACAGCCAACCGCATCGTGTAGAGGAGGCCATTTTGAGCTCGGCAGGACCACGGCACAGGGCACAAGGGTAAAGCATAAGTGGGGCGGATGCAGTCATCAGGGCCCAGGAGGGCCATGTGAGTGGCTCCGCGATCACGAGGCAGCGCTCAAGACGCACTTCGGAGAGTGGCCCGGCATTTCACGGAGAGTGGGCTGTAGTAAATGAACGTGCGCCTGATCGCGTCAGCCTCATCGAACGGCGTGGGTGTGAACTCGCTCGTCTACTCGATAAGCCGAGCGGAGTCGAGTCTGTGATTCGTGTATTGAGCCTTCTGAAGTGCCGTTTGCAAGCATGGATTCCCTGGACCAACGACTCTGCGAGCTGCAAGGTTGTGCTTCGTCAGGCCCTCTGTGTTCTGGCTGGGTTGTACATTGCACTGGCCGGTGTGTGCGGAAAGAGTGTCTCGGCTAAAGCCCTCATCGAGGCGCTGGGGTAATGTCGGAGAATAACTGTGTTGCACCCACGTGCACCGAACCTCAAGCCTGAGCTAGGCCTGGCGGTGACCACCGCCGTTATCAGTCGAGTAGGTCGCGGTTGTGGGGAGGGCTCGGGGAGCTCACCGAGCAAGTACGTACGAGGCATGTGCGTTTACACCCATGGACTGAGAGCCGCGGCACTAGCAGGGTTGATGCAGGGAACCCTCACTGATGCGGAAAGCGTACCAAGTACTTATACCACAAGATCGAGCGTCGCAAAGCCAGACTGGCATCGGCGATCCCGATCGGCGTGGGGGCGGAGTGTCGTCGGACGCGGCGTTAAACTGCCTCTGCAAGTCCGACGCCGTCACGTCCGATTCGCTGCGGTGCGGATATCGCTGGCGGTATCCGGGGCCCGGATTCCGCACCTCGAGGGATGCCCAATCGCTCGTGTGGTCAAAGTCTATCCTGGTGCCTTCATCAGCACCGATCAGACCCAGGCTTTCGGAATGATATGTCTCACCGAGGGAAAATAAGGCAGAGCGATCGCCAACAACACGGCCATCGTAGTCACGCGCATAGCATACTTCGCTTCGGTGTCCGAAGATCTGTGGAGTAGATCTGGCAGGAGCCGAGGCTGATACCCAAGCAGTGGGACCCCGATCGTCTGCTTTCTCGCGAAGACGCGAAGATGATCCAAGGTCCATGGAGCCTTCGAGCGAGGGGCATCAGCTGTGGATGTGCGCGAGCGGAATGCGTTCAAAAAGATCATCCGAATATTATCCTGCAGTCCGACAGCCTTCGCTTCATAACCTCTCGCAACGGTGAGTGAGACAAAAGCGTTGGTATTTGCACGATCCTTCCAGATGGAAAGGCATCAAGCGGTCCGGCATGCCACCCTGACTTGGAGGTGCTCTCACCGGAAATCCGATATGGCGTCCTTCTACTCACTCACATGTCTCACCAAACGCGCATTGTGGGCGTGCGCGCACATCGCTAACGGAGAGCGGCAGGAAGGTGTCGAACCACAATCTGCCCGTGGATATGAGGCACAGCAGCTCTGCTCGATCGATAAGAGCAAAGCGGGCATCTAGCTCGTAAGAGTACATCACTGAAGTCAATAAGGCGCTCCTGGGACGAGGGAAAGCCGGATCACGCGCTGTGTGGGCAGCGCTGCTCTGCGTGACTCCCGGCGACTTGGCACACAGATCCCTCACGTACTAAAACGGCCTCCCTCCAGGCTCCACGCCTCACCAGCCTCGCAAGAGTCACAGCTAAGCGATGCGTCCTCTTCCGCGCCATCGACTTGGACTACGCTGTTCCGCGGCGATGCCAGGACGTTCATCGCCAGCGCTCGCGATTGAGAGGCGAGATTACTCACTGATGAGCCGCCGAGGATGCTGGTAGCTTACTATCTGACGCTTCCCAACCCAGGGTGCCCCATGCTGTGTTGGGAGCGCGCGAGAATGAGTGGAAGAGAAGATGTGTATGTTGTGAGGAAGCTGTGGCAAATGCGCGGTCGACCTCCACACTCATTAAGCAACCACGTGGAGCCACTTCACAACAGCATGGATCAGCACTACGCCTCTCCTCCACCCTTCTACAACATAGCCTACATGGCCAAAAGCCACAGGGTAGGCGTAAGATGAGCGCGTCCGGCTATCCGCAATGGATACGCGTGTAGTGCTACTCACTTCGTGTCAGCTATCAGCAGCTCACATGCTGAATAGTCTGGTGGCAATCCACCCCTCCCCGGCCCCGGCCCCGCCGCACGCGCACGCATGCATTCGTGATCTATATGAAACCCATCACGCCTCCTAAGGCCTCGCACGGCCCATGTAGCGAGGGTACAGGCAGCACTCGCGGACAGTGTAGCGGTCGAGGAACCAGGCGAGCAGGCGCTCGACGCCGAGACCGTAGCCACCATGCTCGCAGGTGCCGTACTTGCGCTGGTCGGTGAACCAGTAGTAGGGCTCGTGCGGGATACCCTCGCGCTTGTACCCGGCCATAAGCTCGTCGTAGTCCGAAATACGCATGGAGCCGCCAACGACCTCGCCGACGTTGGGCATGAGCACGTCGACCGACTCGGTGTAGTCCTCGTCGCCGGCGATCTGCTTCATGTAGAACGACTTGAGGTGCTTGGGGAAGTTGATGAGCATGATGGGGCGGTTGATCTGGTCGGTCATCTTGCGCTCGGCCGCCTCGGCGATGTCGTCGCCGACCTCGTGGTCGCTCCCGTCCTCCTTCTTGATGCCGTGCTCGTTGAGGTACTTGATGGCGTCGCGGTAGTCGAGGCGCATGAAGGGCTTCTGGGGCGGCACAAAGCCGGGGTTGAGCTGCTTGAGGATCTCGGACGCTACGGGGTCCTGCAGCAGCTTGTCGACCACGGAGGTGATCACGTGCTCAAGGTGGTCCAGCAGGTCCTTGAAGTCGATGAAGGCGAGCTCGGCCTCAAAGTGTGTGTACTCGGAGAGGTGGCGGCGCGTCAACGACTTCTCGGCGCGGAACGACTCCTGAATGCAGTAGACGTTGCCGAGCGATGGCAGTACAGTTTCGAGGTACAGCTGCGACGACTGCGTAAGGTACGCGGGTGCGCCATAGTAGTCGAAAGAGAAGAGGGTCGAACCGCCCTCGACGGATGTCTGCACCATACAGGGCGGCGTGACCTCGGTGAACTCGATCTCGTCGAGCGCCTCGCGGAATGCGCGCAGGAGGCGGGCGCGGAAGCGCATGACGGCAGTCGCCGTCTCGCCACGAAGCTCAAGATGACGCAGATCGGCACGGGTAGATGGATCAGCGTCGGCCTGGATGCGGCCCTCGAATGCGTCGTCGCCGGCCGGTGCGCGCCCGACAATCTTCCACCAGTCGACAACGACCTCGATGCCCTGCGGTGCGTTCTGGCCCTCCTTGACCTTCTGGACGGTGCCGGTCACCTCAATTGTCGACTCGACAGTCAGGTCGAGCGCGTCAACCGTCTTGATGCAGTCGCCCGTCAGAACAAGCTGCACGAGCGGCCCAGAGGCATCACGCAGCACGACAAAGAAGTTGGTCTTCTGCTTACGCAGACGGTGGACCCAGCCCTGGAGGCGGACACGCTTGCCGGCGAAATCCGGGAGGCCCTTGGCCCGCGCCTGTGAGTTAGCGAGCTGCTTCTGGTAGATTGAGTCGAGCCGAGTCGTTCTTAGAGAAGCATGTGGGCTTATCGCGATAGAACGTCACATGAATGATTCGACTCAATTGCACCAAATGTCGGGCAAGACCGTCGCCACATGACACATTTCGCACGCTTCAAGATGCGTCGGACTTGTCTACCCCAACGCCTTGGAGCGGCGTCAATGCCTTTCACCCTCCTCGGAGCATGGGCCAGCAGCGCTTGAGCCCCATGGCTGAGGACTCCCTTGCCCGTGCACTTGAGTGTGATGCGAACAATATCCCAATCTCAATCAACTCGCTCGACTCACCTTGATGGCCGCAGGCTTGCTGGAGTCTTCCACAAGCTTGACCTTGGCGGCCTCGGCGCGGAGCGCGCTCTGGCGCGCCTCGTTCTCGGCAGCCTCCTTAGCGAGGCGCTCGCCATCGGCAGCGGCCTTGGCGGCCTTCTTCCGCTGGGCGTCGATACCCTTGACGAGCTTTTTCTTGCCGGCGCCTGAGAGCTCGACCCACTCGGTCTTGCCGTCCTCGGTGACCTTGGCGGTAAGGATCTGGCACACGGAGAGGGGGTCCTTGTCGGCAGCGGTCGAGTTGAGGGAAAGGTAGGCGGCGACGGGTGTGGCGAAGGGGCTGTCCTGGGTGCCCTTTGCACCAGTGTCAGAGCCCTTCTTTTCGTCCACGTAGAGCGTGGGGAGCTGGGACGCCATGATGATGGTTGTTGTGGTTGGAGATTTCGAGATCCGCAATGCCTGGAACGTATTTTAGAAGCGGAGCACACCGATGTGAGTCGATCTGTCAGTGTTATCAATTTCGAGCTGACCCCACGGGGTAGTGTTGGCCTCTATGGGAAGATAAACCCACGTCATTAAATTAGTGACGGTGAGAGTGCTTTGATTTGTTGTGCTCCTAATCTTGTAATCGGCGCTCTAAATACAGCCACCCCGCCTTCCTCCACTCCTTGGGCATCTCTCCGTCCGCATCACTCTTCTCTCTCTCACATCTCAACTCTTCTCGCTCTCTCACTCTCTTCAAGATGCCTGCGTATGGCACAACATCTGTTGCCTTTGCCGCAGGCCCCACCATCGTCTCCACTTTCCTGTCCCACTGCGTGACATGGCCAACAAGGCATGGCCGACCCAGAAACGCTGAATCCTCTTCTGCCGCAGCCACAAGTCTCGAGACACTCCCAGGTAATCAGCTTCGCTATGAGGAGGGCCTCAACGTCGTCCGCAGCTTCCTCGACTTTTCGAGCCATCACGGCGTGGAGGAGGTCCAGGGATTCACTGCACAGCCCGTGCCCGTGCCGCGTGAGTGAGCATGACCAGGCGGCCCCGGCACCCGGCCGACGCATTGTTTTCGTGGATGTCTGACCTGACACAACAGGATGGGTGCACCGCCAGGTAGTCACCATTCCTGAATCACAGATCAACGAGGCTGCCGATATCCTTACGCGCCACCTCCAGTCTTACGGACCCGACGGAGGCGGCCTCAACCTCGTGGGTGGTGGGAAATGGTGGCAGGTTCGCGGGCGAGAGCTCGAAGGTGAATGGCTGGAGGTGCGTTGGCAGTGCGTGCGCGCACTCATCATAGATGCGCAAGGACTACGAGAAGCGTAAGGAGGCCAAGCTTCTAAAGCGCAAGAGTTGGATGGGCGCCCTTCGAGGGCGTTATGGAGCTGTCAAAGATGGCAGTGGAGCTGACGTCGTCGGCGACCGTGTTATTCTTTACATTCATGGTGCGTACTTTTGCAATTACGTCCCACGACAGGGAGCGGTGGCGTCGAGAGTATCTGTTTGGTGAACTAACAGCTAGGCGGCGCATTCTTCTTCTCATCCTTGGACATGCACAGATATCAGATCCAGCGTCATGCACGCAAGGCGGGCGCACGCGCGTTCGTACCAAACTATCGTCTCAGCCCACAGTACCCTTTTGTAAGCTTAGCTGTCTGGAATCGAAGCTCATGCGCCCAGCCATGTGGCCTCCAGGACTCGATTGCCGCTTACTTGTACCTCATCGACCCGCCAGCCGGCCACCACGCGCCGATCGCACCCGAGAACATCATTCTCATGGGCGACTCAGCAGGCGGAGGCATGTGCTTGTCGTTGCTGGTCGTGATTCGTGAGATGGGTCTGCCAATGCCCGCTGCGGCAAGCCTTATGTCGCCATGGGTCGATCTCACTCACTCGATGCCAAGCATCATGCAGTGGGACGGAGGCGACTACATTCCCAGCGTTGGGTGAGCTGCCAGCTTCGGCTTCGCTCACGTCAGTTTCCATTATCGTCCCAGCGAAGTGTGGCCGCCGATTCCCGGTGATGGAATCAAGGTCGACTTGGACGGCAAGGAAGTCGCCGTCGACGACCAAATTCAACTTTATTGGTAACCTAGAGAATTGACGACAACTGACATCTCAGCCCCAACACTCTTTTGACCCATCCACTTGTGTCCCCCATCAACAACGGTTCTCTGGGAGGGCTGTGCCCCCTGTATATCTCAGCTGGCGGAGCCGAGCTTCTGCGGGACGAGATCATCTATATCGCCCACAAGGCAGCTCACCCGACCCAGTACCCACCGTCAGAGTTGACCCTCGCCGAGTACCCTAACGAGGCGGCTCTCGTGGATAAGTACCCTCCAACCCACGTAGAGTTGCAGGTATTCGAAGGCGCATGTCATGTTGCGACGACGCTCGCTTGGACACGCAGCGCCAAGCACATCTTTAGGGGAACAGCCAAGTAAGCAAATACCGTTTGGCCCAAGCTAAAACTCAGCTTCAACATCTGGGCATTCAAAGACGCTGCGCAGAGTCGTACCTCATCGGCCATGCCTTCTCGAACAAACAGTGCGCCCAGCGCTCAGGAGCTGGGACTGATGACCATGTCGCCGAGCACGACTTCGTCCCTGCCAGAGCCGGCCAAGCGAGGGAGCACGGCCTCAGAGCCCGCTGAAGTGCCTTCTCATCTGAGGACTTTACCGGACTCTCCCATCCTCAATGGGTCAGATATAGCTCAGTCACCTGTAGCCACGGGCGCTGCTACGCCTGCACCGTCTGCTGGCGACCTCACCGCTCTTCCAATGTCTCGGCGTACCTCGGGATCTGGAACCGACGGCGAAGAAGCTCCTCCCACGTCGAGCGACGAGGAAGTTGCGACTCCGATGACACCGTCAGGGGGGCATTTCAAGTACTTCAGGCACCCGCTTGGAGAGCACATTTTAGTTCGCGGATTCCGGCCAGCATGGGCGGACGGTTTCATGGTGGCGGAGCGCGTGAGCACACATGGACGAATCTCACCGATGGAAAAGGATGGCATCCCTGCGCTTGACCCGGCCCTGCGGCCACAGATTGGGCGAGTGACGGGTGCTGGCCCCATCCGGACATGGCTTAACAAGCGCGCGGATTGGGACAAGAGGTACGCTAAGGAATTGAAGCAGTACCGCGAGCTGCGAATGGCAGATCGCGCGAGGGCGGAAGAGCAAGGCTTCCTCACTCGTGATCTGGCGGGCGAGCACCCTCCGCTTGCCTCCCTGGCTGGCCTCTCGAATGCTAATCTGGCGAGGCGGGTGGGCAAGAGCGTCGATGCGCCGACGCACCGCGAGTCCAAGGCCGTCGCATTGTGGGCTCACCTCGCCGAGGGTCCCGACATCGAGGCGGTCAAGCGCGAGCGGAAGAGCGGGGAGGAAGACCGTGCCGCGAAGGAGAAGCGCAACGAGGGCGGCCGCAGCGCAGAGCAACGCGCGAATGTCGCGCAGGCGCGCAAAAGTGTGGACCTAGGCCGCCGCAAGAGTGTGGAGCGCGCGAGCGGCGAGGGTCGCCGGCCGCTGTCCGCTGAACTGAGCAAGGAGACACGCAAGTCGCTGGACGGAGGTAAGGGGGAGGTGGATGTGCCGGAGACGTTGGCTGAAGAGAAGGGGGAGAGCACGAGGGAGCAGCCCACAGACAACACACTCGAAGCAAAGCTCAAGCGTCTCGGCGTCTAGGTAGGAAGTGGGAGGGGCGTTTTCGCTCGGACATTTTCCTGCTCGGCCTTGTCATGGCTTTCTGTCTGACCTGATGTTGTACGTACATGTATCTATGCAAATGCACCGCATGCTGGGGTTGGAGGGGGGGGGGGGGGGGGGGGGGGGGGGGGGGGGGGGGGGGCGTTCGCGTGCGTCGAGCACGGAGATATGTCCGACCAGTACGCTTTAAGCGCAGGGTGAGTCTGAGACATTGCAGAGCGGATGGGGCAAGGCAGTGGCCATTGCCGATTCTCCCCCGCTGTCTGTGGCAGCTCAACCTCGGTGAGTGGCGGAATGTCTTCGTGGAATATGTCGACCGGCCTCCGTGCAGTGTCTCACTTACTCGCCGTAACGGTGGAATGTTCTGCGAAGACACAATCTCCCGTCAACGAGACAGCCGCTCGACTGTTTGCCTCGGCAACACGCCCAACAGTGAGTCACCGACAGTCACCGGGGAGTCACCGGGCGAGAAATCGCCCACACGATCGGCACAACGGTGGCAACGGTGCGGGGGCGGGGCACCAGCGGCGAGATGTCCAACCAGGACTCAGCCTGCCGACCAACTCCTTGGCAGTGAGGGGCCGAGGAAAGCGGGCATTCTAGCGCCAAGCTCCAGGCTACCACTTGGTGATCCTGAGCCGGACGGCCGAGTTCAGGATGGCGGCGCCAAGGAGCGAGGGGAGTGTGTACGCTAGCGCGATGAATTGGTGGCGATCAGGAGGTTCCCGCAGGCATGTGGGGCGCCCAAGTCACCGGCGTTGCAGCATGCAGCGTACAGAGCATGCAGGAGAGGTGGGGTGGAGCGCGCCCTGCATCTGCATCTGCATGCCAGCCATCGCTAGCCCACGACGCTCGCCACCGTGGCGTTCGGTCAGACACCCTTGAGCGGAGCCAAGACGTCAAAGAGAAGTGCACGTTCCATCCGTGAGCCGAGGACGAGAGGAAGCGGAGCGTTTCGCGTTCTCCCGTGAGACACAATCCTGGACGAGGATTGGAATTATGGAAGGTTGGAGGCTGCAGGTGGAGGGTTCGCGCCCTGCGTGGCCGAATGTATTGCTGACCTATCACATAGCGGTGCGAGGCCGCAGAGATGCGCCGCGACTCGCCCCACCCTGCATGCTGTCACCTGCACCTCCCACCTGTGCAGGGGACGCTGCGGTCGTGCGATGCCGAGAACCAACGGCAGGACTGCAGCGCGGTGTAGATCTACAGAGAGGGTATACTGCAGTACCGCGTGCAATACTGCTATACCAAGAGCAATACCGCAGCACCGCGTGTCATACTGTGGCATTTATGATGTGCGTGACGAGGCGTTGTGGGTAGCTGAGTATAACTCTGTAAAATCGTTGTTGGTATCACCACACGTCAGCAAAGCGTAAGGTTCTCGCTCTGGGATGGGACCTGGCAGCATGCATACGCGGCCCAGCAACCTTGCGTGGCTGGAACCCTGTGGGAGCGACAATCCCTGCGTTCGCGGAATGGCGGGGTGCTGACGAGAGACATCTCGCCAGCAACGTGACCCATGACCGATGTAACGCTCCAGCCCTTGGTCATGGGTCAAGCAGGGGTTGTCGCTGGTCGTCAAGGCCCTCGTGCACAAGGTCTCACGTCGCTCGATGCCAGACCGCTTTCTTCCCGCATGCCATTTTGCTGTGCGCTGAAGTGAAAGGAGCCTTCCGGCTCGAGCGGCAGCAAGAGTGCGGAGCACTGTCGTCAAGGGTGTATCGGAACAGCGCTCAATGAATTGTCTCGCCCAGTGTTCTGGCGCCAATTCAGTTCTGGCAAAGTCGCCGCGAACAAATTGCGGATCACACCGGCACACTCGGCACATTGTCTCAGTAGCATACACAGTGTAATTTTCTCCGACCGGAGATGCTAGGTTAGTATTAGTAGCCACATCGCCACTCGCCACAAGACGATCAGCGACTGCTCTGCAAACGATCCGGTGACGCCCCCGGCCTCGCTTACCCCCACAGTGATCAGCAGGGCGCTCGTGATCAGCGAGATCAGCGGTGGCTGTGGCACTTGGGTAGGTGTGGGGGAGGGTGTTACGACGCACGACGCATACAGGAGTCGCTTGTAGAGGGGCCAATGGACAGGGCCAATCTCCCAAGCTACAAGCTTAGGACGTCGTCGTTGGTAACGCAGAACAATGGGAATACCAGTCCCGGGCAAGGCACAGAGGGAACCAGAACACTGGCTTGGGTGGAGCTTGGGCGGAGTAGAGTTTTTCGAGGGAACACGACGAGGGCCAACAGCCCAATCAGCTGTTGGAGCGACCAGGGTGCGCTGATTCTGCCGGCATCAGGGGCTGTCGCAGGGAGGAGCATGCATGCTTGCGTGTTTTGCGGAGCGGGCGGAGGGGAGTAGAGGGTGAGACAGCAGAGGGAGAGCGCAGAAGGCAAGGAGCAGCACGGGAGTATGAGGCAGGCCTAAGGCGCGAGGCGAGCAAGAAGCAATCCAGAGCGAGATTCTTCTCTCCGAATAGCCGTGCTTCTGGTGCGCTTCGGCCGGCCTTTCTCATCGTTTTCCCCCCGCTCTCCCCCGTCTTAGTGCATTCCCGCGACACCCGCCCAGCGGGTGTTTACGTGGTGGCCCCGCTGGAACCCGATTGCGTTGTCGATCACGTAGCGCAGTACGTACATGCAAACTGGGATCCAATCCAGACGCATGGAGAGTGGGAGTACGCAATTGCTTTTGTGTTGCAGGGAGAGAGGGGGGGAGAGGCGTGCGTAGTGCACTTTTTTTTTTGCGCTGTCGGGGTTGAGACGTCGTCGAGCGACAAGGGTTAGGGAAAGAATTCCCTGTTCTTCTCTGGCTCCCTGCTCCAAGCCCGGACCAACGCAGGGCTGCCTCCTCTGAGCCACGGAACGGTCGGTGGCGTAAATCCATTCAATACTTACAGACCTCTCTTGGTGCTCTGTCTCTCTGTTCTCTCTCTGCTCTCGCCTACTTCAAACATCCATCTCTTCTTTGCACTGCACTCGTCATCTCAACTTGCTCTTCCATCAGCTGTATACAAGAACTCCCTCGCCCCTCGCCCCCACAACTTCATCTCACGTTACCACCACCACTCTCCCCTACGCCCACCCGCCGCGCCCCATGGCCACACAACAACAACAACCCGCCCCCGCCCAGCAGGCGACCACTCCACCACCCACCCAAATGCGCTTCTTCACGCCGCCCAGCCCCGCCCCCTCCGATGCTTCGCAGGGGTCACAAGGCCCATCCTCCCCCATCCCCGCCTTCGTTCGCATGGTGAGTGGAGACCGTGACGGCGAGCGCAGAACAGAGCAAGCGCTGACCCCAGGCCGACGAAGAAGCACTCGACGGCGTGACAGACGACGACATCGTCAAGTGGTGCTGCTATCGCGACGACGAGTTCATGGATGTGGATGATGACGACGACGACTGAGCGCCCACACACACACCGCCTCACACCCTCCCGCGCGAGCAGGCTCAACGCCGCCGCACCCCGCCCACGCTACGCCCAGGGCCTGAGTTCGCACCAGCGATCGTTGCCGCTTCAACACGGCCAAGCCCCCCGGCGAGAACTGGCGCCCCGACACTGTAGGGTTCGGGATACAGACTAGACAGACTAGAGTTGTACGACCACAATGTGCATGTATGATAAGGGGTAGTTGTTCCATGGCCGGGGTGAGGTGACGTCTCTCTCCGACAAGACCGGCGAAGGCACGCAGGCCATCACCATCAGCACAGACGAAGGCACATTATTTCAGTGCGGAGCGGCTCACGTCTGCCCTCGTGATGCAATAATGCAGAGCTTGTCCATCTTCAGAGCGCATCGCGTTTCTCACACCTGCTCTGCATTCTGCTGCCACCCCAAATATGTCGGCCCCACTGCGTGCAACAACACAATGCTTCCACTGCACAATGGCTTCGGAAGTCGGTGAGCGCGATTACATGCTGTGTGCGCACGAGCCAGCCCCGTGTTGGTTTATCCGTCCGATCCGGAGAGTGTTATCGAGAGTTCGGTGCGCTATGCACTGCGGGGATATGAGCAGAAGCATGGTGGTGCGAGCGCTCGGTCCGCCATGGCACGAGCTCGAGCGCTGTCGTCGCGCCGCCGCGCCGCCGCCACAGGGGAGTTCATTCGGCGGCACCCGTCATACGCACGTCAACGAGGAGCAGAAGCACGGCTGAATCAACGCCGCGCGCCTTGCTTGTACTTGGGATGGGGTTCACACAAGGTCGTGCTCGGACTCGTTTTTCGGTCGAAGTCACCGCAAATTCAGGCGTACTATGCTCAGTCTGTGCAGCGGGCCCCCACTCCTCGCGCACTAGTACACATGCATGCTACAGTCATAGAAGGAGAACGTCTAGGCTCGGGTCGTCGGCCACCGCATCCTTAATGTGGTAATATGGCCGTCCGCTGTCGTGTGCGGCGTGGACGAGCGCCACAATCGCGTACGCAGCGTTGAGATCGCGCTCGCCGATCGGTGTACGCGCATGCCCGAGCAACGCGACGACCGTGGACCGCGCCGTGCCGGTCGCTGCACACGCCGTGATGAGAATAGGCCACAGCCACCCATCGAGTGCGCCGAGGTCGGCAAATGCGTCGCAACTCAGATCGACAAATTCACGCACACGTGCCACGACATCGACGTCGGTCGGCGCAAACCGCTGCGCTTGGTGCATGAGGAGGACGAGTGTGGCGAGGCGCCACGCACGCGCGCCGTACTGCACGCTCCGGATATCGGGGCGCGCGGCGAGGCGCGCCGGCCACACGTACTCTAGCTCGGCGCGCAGCGCCGCAGCGTCGTGCTCGAGCTGCTCGGCCAGGAGGTCGCTCTGTCCCGCGATGTGACTGCGGCGCGCGGCGAGACCTACCGCTCGCCCAAACGTCGGGATGAGGATGCGCGGCGCAAAGAGCACCGCCTCAAAGAGATCCGGCAGCGCCGGCGCCAGTTGGACTTGTAGTGCACGGCTGGCGAGGAGCCATGCCGGATCCAGCGTCACGTAGGTGGGGAGCGTGCCGTCGGTCAGGGAGGCTGGCGTCAGCAATTGAACTCTAACGTCTCGTTAAAGGCCTGGAGCGCCGTTTCACTGTCACGCACCCAACACGGCCAGCAGCGCCGTAAAGTCCGAATAGACGGCCATGCCGAGGGGTTCAAGAATGCGCAGCTCCGGACCTCGGTAGCCTGGGTTTGGTGGCGTTACTCCAATCACCCATCCTGGTCCGCCGCGTGCCAGCGCCCAGTCGACGCCGGCCTTGAGTTGTTCTCGCCATCGGCCGGGGATCGGCGTCGTGACCTGCGACAAAAATAGCGTGAATCCCGTCGCGCCAAGTTTGCCGTTGACAGGCGGGATTGTTGTGCTCGCCGTCTTGCGCTGCACAAGCCCGAGATAATGCCCGAGGAGGCCGTTGCGTCGCCCCGCCCCGTCACGGGCACGGTACGATGCGCTGCTCGCGTTCGCAGCAAGAACGGCGGTCGAGCTGCACAGCAGCCGGTTCTCAGCGTCGTCGAGGTCAGCAAAGGAGCGCCGTACAAGCAAGGCGTGGTGGTCTAAAATCGCGCGCAGTGGCGAAGCGGGCGCCACTGGAAGCTGGACGTTAACATTGCCATACCCCAGGCACGGGAACGTTTCCGTCGGTCCAGCGCCGGATCTGCCAAGCGAGCCTCAGCCTCCGCCGGAGCTCGACTCACCTTAGCAATGAGGCTGTCGGCCAGAGCGGTGCGTGAACATGGTCTGAGTCAGCGAGGACGTGGACGTGGAGGGCCGTACTGGAGGAGGTCGGCGTCGATGCGCTGCGCCTCCATGAGGGCGGCGGCTGCATGCGAGAGCAGCATTTCGATCTGCGCGACGCTGATGTATGGCTCATCGCCGACGGTCGGCGTGTGACTGCGCACGACGAGCGCGTCGTCCGTCTCCTGCCCCTCCGTGTCGAACGGATACTCGCATACGCGGTGGGGGTGTCGCGCGCAATTCGAGCACCGCGGCTGATGTCAGCTCTGCATACCGGAAGAAGAGCAGATCCGTTCCTCGGCGAGGCCTGATCCCTCGCTCACGGCCTCACGCACTCTTCGCTCGTCGCACTTGACGCGCCGCTGCCGGCACAGCAAGCATCCCGTGACGGTGCGCACGCGCTTTTTGCGCGGGCGCCCGCGCGTCGTGAGATTGGGGTCGCTGGGCCCGGCGTCCATATTGTGCGGGTATGGGCAGTCAAAACAATTGCGATGGCAGGGTCGGGCCTAAAACGTCGTCTGTCTCCAGGCTCCAGGATAGTTCCGGGCCGGCTCACGCCGTGCCCGAGGGGTGGGCGGTGGTGGGTGCACGGTCGTTTCGGTGGTGGAGAGTGAGAGTGCGCATCACCGACCCAAAGATGACGCCGAGGATATGATGAGTGAGAGCGCGTGAGAAGTCGGTGGCGACCGGGCTTGCGGTACTAAACTTGAGCGCTGCAGCGTATAGGCTTTGCGCTTCGGCCGAGTCGCGCGCTCCGAGGGTCCGAAGCTCCCGAGCGGAGCTCCAACATCTACCTGAAAGCCTCGCCGAGTCCATGACGCCGCGCGTGGTTCCGTTGTGCGCACGAGCACGAGTCTGATAGGAGCATGTCGCAAAGCCAAGATGCCATTGCGGAAGGCATGCCTTGATCTGCTCGCCAGAGGCGGAATGTTCGGCAACGAGACTAACGAGGCGTCTCATCAGCAGATCTTATCTGATATCTCGTCTGCAATGCTCCCCGCGTCGCGCGCGTTCTCTTGGCCGCAGTCTTCAGCGACTCGATGTCCCATCAAGTACAGGACAACGGGTAGGTGGACGCCTACATATCGCAACCTCCCGTCCTGGGCCTGAGCCCGACGCCAAGCTATCACCATGGTCAGACGAGTACATACAACCTCGTGCCAACTTGCGCCACAGGCTCCCCGTCGAAGGTATACATAATGACTCGGTAAAGGGCTCGATGCCACCTCTAGAACCGCGGCTGACCCATACCCTCGATGTCACCGCAAGCCCAAGGGACGGTGTTGGCCAGGGTTAAGAAGGTGAGGTAGCGAAGAGGAACGAAGCGTTTGAATGTGGGGACGAGGATGGCGTCCTGTAACGGAAGAAGTGTCTCATTGATTATAATCCGACAACCGTCACAAGACAGCCAAGGTGCGGCATGGTGGCGGGCGGGGAACTCTGGGATCAGCAGAGGGGAACTTGATGCTTATAGATCCCGGCCCACGCCGCTCCAGCACTCCTTGAGGGAAGCCCTAATACTTCCTCCATGGCGTTTTGCTGCTGGGACGCACATGTGGCAGTCGCGCACACCCCAGGCAGGACGAGTAAAACAAGGTTGTCACACAGGATGTGTCGCTAGACCGTTTAAGTGGCACTCTTCTTCAACCACGAATCGGTAGGACCATTGGCTCTATCCTTTCGCCTTTCCAGGGGTTCGTTCACTTGGCTTCTTGTCTTCTGGGCTTCTTAGCCCCACGTTTGAGCGTTCTGTCTCCCAAGGGCACCGGGAACAAGTCTGTAATTGCACCTCTGCTTCGCTTCCGCGGTTCTGCCGACACTAGGAACCATCTGTGATCAATCTGAGGCAATCTGAGGGTTGGAGGGGGGGGGGGGGGGGGGGGGGGGGGGGGGGGGGGGGGGGGGGGGGGGGTTGAGGCCAAAGATGCATTGAAGGATGAATTCCATCACCTTCTTGGAGTGTAGGGGGGATGTGAGCTAAGACCACTGGGAATGTCGAGTGGCAGTGGCATGCGGAGTGAGAACAGACGCCCTTACCAATGCATCTCTGGGCTGATGTAGAGATCCACTAGGGATTGGGAAGTCATCTTTCCGGGCGGAGCATGTCGTGGAGGCAATGCACTGCAGACACTGCAGAAGGGTACGATGGCTCTGCCTTCTCCTAAAGTTGATGTCTTTTGAAAAGTGACTCTCGCAGCCCACAAGGCGCGCGTTCGCAAGCCACGAAGGTGCGATGTTCTGGGTCTCAATCCGCGGATATACGCTGGCCTTGCCGTCTCATCAACCAATATCGCCATATCGCCAGGCGGCGAAGAGACCAGATGAGGACATGATTTGGTTGCTGGCGACAACAACGTACATCACGTCCACATTTGCGTCCTGAAGCTCCTGCAGCAACTCGGTGTTGGGTACTGTTCCGCACGTCCTCGAACACTTGCCATTCCGAGCACGGTCAGAGAGCAAGCGCCGAGAATCGCCCAAGGATGGCGGCGGGAGCGCGGTTCAGTGGGGAACAGATAACGCAGTGATGGTGTGGATGATAGCGTGGGTTTGAGGTAAGTCGCTGTTGTGGGATGAATAACAGTTGTTACTACTTGCGAGGATTGCATGAATGCCTCATGGGTCTTGGCAAATACCGAAACTTCTACATACCGAGAGTACCGAGACCCATGAGCTCCGCTCACGGCCGAAAGATGGCGAGCAGAAGTCTCATAAGACATGAGTTTGTCACACTTCGTCCTTCATCCATACACCTCGCCATGACCGTCTCGCAATCGCCACTGCGCATCGGCGTCGATGTCGGCGGAACGAATACGTGAGTGCATGTTGGCCAGACTGCTATCTCGGCATACCTCGGCCAATTGGACAACATCGCTGACCCAGTGACGCAGTCGTGCTGGACCTCACGCCTGGTTGCGCCGCACCCGTCCTAGCCGCACACAAGGCGCCCACGACTCCAGACGTAGCCGAGGGGATCCAAGCTGCGATCGCCGCGACGCTGGCCGTAGCTGGTGTCGACAAGCGGCGCATCCAGGCCGTCGCAATCGGGACGACTTCATTTGTCAACTCGCTTATTGAGCGTGACGCGACCAAGCTTGAGCGCGTCGCCGTCGTGCGTCTCTGCGGACCCTTTTCGCGCCGTTGTCCCCCCTTCGCCTCCTTCCCGTACGAGCTGCGCGCCGTGCTTGAAGGGCCTGTGTTCTTTGCGAATGGCGGTCTGGAGGTAGACGGGCGCGAAATTGACCCCATCGACCCCGCCGAGATCCGTGCCATTTGCGCGGCAATGCGCGAGCGCGACGTGCGTGCCGTCGTGGTTTCCGGGTGCTACTCCCCCATCGACGATGAGTTTCGGCAGGAGGAGCGGGTGGGCGCAATCATCCGCGCCGAGCTCCCCGGTGCGCGCGTCACGCTGTCCAAAGACGTGGCGCACATCGGCCTGCTGCAGCGCGAAAACGCGACGATCCTCAACGCCGCGCTACTGCGCTACGCAGAGAGCACCGTCGCGGGATTCCGCGCCTCCACCGCCGCGCTCGACCTCGCCTGCCCCATCTTCCTGACCTCAAACGACGGCACGCTCATGACGTGCGATCAGGCCGCGCGGTTGCCGATCAGGACGTTCTCGAGCGGCCCGACAAACTCGATGCGCGGCGCACACTTCCTTGCCTCCCTTACCGGCGCAAAGCGCGAGACGGCGCTCGTCATCGACGTCGGCGGCACGACTACCGAGATCGGCGTGCTTCTTCCCACCGGCTTTCCGCGCCAAGCGGGCGCGTTCCACGAACTCGTCGGCGTGCCCCTCAACTTCTCTATGCCGCACGTACACTCTATGGGGCTGGGCGGTGGGTCGCGCGTACGCGTGGGCGAGAAGACGACCGTGGGGCCCGACTCGGTCGGCTACCGGATCACAGAGGAGGCGCTGTGTTTCGGCGGGCGCACGCTGGTGGCGACTGACATCGCCGTGGCGGCAGGAAAAGGCGGCAGGATCGGTGATGCATCTCTCGTAGCGGGCGTCGACGAGGCTACTGTCAAGAGTGCACAGGCGCGGATCAAGGCCATGATCGAGCTCGCCATCGACAGCATGAAGACCAGCGCCGCCGATGTCCCCGTCTACCTCGTGGGCGGGGGTGCGATCCTCGTGCCGGACGACCTCGCCGGTGTGAGCCACGTCCATCGCTTCCCATACTATGACGCCGCCAACGCTGTCGGCGCGGCATGCGCCCAGGTCTCGGCGGTTATCGACACTTTCGAGGACACAAGTACGAAGTCTATCGCGGTGGTGCAGCGAGAGGTGGAAGCGCGGGCCGTCGCACGTGCCGTGGCGAACGGCGCGGATCCGCAGCGCACGAACGTCGTCGAGTCCGAGGCGATTCCGATTGCGTATACTACAGGCAAGTGTCGGTTCTACGTCAAAGCCGCCGGCGAGTGGACCGGCACGGCGGCGGCGCAGGATGAGGCGGCCTCCGCCGGCGCTGAGTTCAAGTGGGACGCCAGCTCTCCAGTCACGCTGGCGGTGCCGGCGAACGGCAAGCGCGAGCTACCAAACTTGGACGTGCAGGTCACAGCGGCGGATATACTGGCGTACAGGCCCACGATTGAGGGTCCGCACTGGGTGCTTTCTGAGCTCGACCTCGAGTGGATCGCGGCGGGCTGCTACATCCTCGGGACGGGTGGCGGTGGGAATCCCGCCACAACAATGCTCTCAATCCGAGAGCTCGTGCGCGCCGGCGGCAAGGTGCGGGTGATGGACCTTGAGAGCCTGCCGGAAGACGCGAAGGTCGTGTGGGGCGGCGGCATCGGGTCGCCTGAAGTCGTGCTGGAGCGCCTGGACGGGGGTGACCCGAGCGAGGCAACGCGCGCCCTCCTCGACCTCGTAGGGGTTTCGGCCAGCGCGGTCGCAGCTATCGAAATCGGCGGCGGGAACGGCATGCACCCCATGGCCACTGGGTGCTCGGCCTACCTCGACCTCCCGGTTATCGACGGCGACTTCATGGGGCGCGCGTACCCCACCGGTTGGCAGACGACAGTAAATGTCTTCGACGCAGGCGACCGCGGCGAGATGTCCCTCCCGAACGCCATGTGCTCCGGAAACGGAAATAACACGTTCATGACAAGTGCAAAACACTACTTGGATATCGACCGGATCATGCGCGCCGGCTGTGTGGAGATGGGCACTCACGCCGACGTGGCGTGCCGCCCTCTTGAGAAGAGCTTCCTCCGTAAGGCACTCGTACGGAACACGGTGTCACAGGCATGGCGCCTCGGCCGCGCCGTGGCGCTCGCTACAAAGCAGGCGAACATTGGGAACGTGGGGCGAGTATTGGTAGACGCTGTGGGCGGGGATAAGGCCGCCAAGGTCCTGTTTGCCGGCAAGATCACCGATGTGGGGCGGCATACCCATAAGGGGCACACATATGGCGAGATCTCGATCCAGGCGATGGCGACGGAGGAGGACGACTCCAGGACTCCCAAACAGCGATTCGAGGGCGTCATGAAGAGTACGCTGTCGCAGATTGAGCTAGCTGACACCAGTCCCCTTCAAGAACGAGAACTTGATGTGCAAACACGTAGTGGGCGACAAGGAGACGATCGTGGCGGGCGTGCCCGACCTTATCTCTGTGCTGGACGCGCAGAATGGTCTCGCCCTCGGCACGCCTGAGTACAAGTACGGACAGCGTGTGCTTGTCCTGGGCATCACGGCCGCGCCGCAATGGACGTCAACGAAGCGTGGGCTGGAACTGGGCGCTCTCCCGGCATTTGGGTACAATGTGCCATACACGCCGCTCGGAGAGTATGTGCAGCCCACGAGCGTGATTCAGGAGTACGCTGTGGTGGCGTAGACACCATCGTAGAGTACACATTTCGTTATCATGCCATAGCTGCAGAAAGATCAGTGGCACAGCGAGGGGATCCGATGATATGCCGTGCAAGCCGCGAGATGCCGGCGACGCGAAGAGAGCCGTGCCGCACAGCGAACGCTCGGACGCGCCGCCGGAATACTCGGGCGGGGGTCGGTTGCGTGGCAACTGCAGAATAATAGAGCAGACACCATGGCGCTGCTTATCAGGGAGAGCCAAGCGGAATGTCTCCATGCTCATGACGCACCCTTATGCCGTCCAGCTGCTCAGAGATTGCCACCTCCCTACAGCATGCTTGCCTCAAGGTGTTTGTCATAATCGAGGCACGGACCAGGAACGAAGATGGTTGTTGAAACGCTGAATCCTATCGATACTCGAGACTTGCGCATCGCTTTTTCCAACTTTGCAGGGTTTCCACTTGTTCTCCACGACGCGTCGCGCACCGGCTGCATCGCCACAGCGCAACTCATCTCCTTGATGATCTCACTCACCCTGTCAACCCCACGCGCACTGCTACGATCGTCAGCACGCCAACGCCAAGCGCCCCGGCTTGGCCGGCATGCGAACCGGGACTGACACATCCGGGTACATATATGGCCATCTTACGCCTCCCCATTGCCACTTTCCCATCACTCATCATCGCTCACTACCCCTCCCTCCCATCTCTCTTGCACCTCATCACCATGGGCCTCTTCACCGCTCCCGCCCCGACGCAGCTCGTGCCCGCCAACCCCCCCATCGCTGTGTTTCGCGACTTCATCGCCCAGGCGCCCACCACCCTCGTCCTCAAGGAGAAGGTGTGGAGTCTGAGCGGCGACTCGTTCAGCATCAAGGACGCCGCGACCGGCCGCCCCGTCGTCAAAGTGGCCGGCAAGGCACTGTCGCTGCGCGACCGCAAGCGTAAGTCCGGCGCAAACCGACACCTAACGCCCAGAGGTCATGGACCCCAGCGGGCGACCGCTGTACTCGCTGCGCTCCAAGCTCATGACGATCTTCAACGTGCAGATTGGAGAGGACGCGAACGAGAAGGAGCTATTCCGTGTGCGCTCCCACAGCCTGTCGCGTGAGTCGCTCTTCACGCTGGCAACCACTGATGCCAGTCGGATCCAAGCTCACCGTCACCTTCACCAACGCCATCACGGGCCAGCCGGTCGAGCTCAACATCAAGGGCGACATGTTCGGCATGGGCTCTGTCATCCGCTGTAACGGCCAGCCCATCGCCCAGATCTCGCGCGAGTACTTCAATGCCGCCCAGATCTTTGGCGACCAGCAGACTGTCAGTACGATGCCAGGGCGGAGAGCTGATAACAGTACTTCGTCACGGTTGCCCCAGGTGTTGACCTGGCGCTGATTGCGGGCATCTGCATGGCCTTCGATGAGGCTGAGAATGAGGCGAAGTAATAATCACTCGAGGTTTCACGAAAGATGCGTTCTTGAGTACTCATACACGATCTCGCTCCGGCTCTCGACCTCTTAGGGGCTTTGTATTCTTCTACACCCTGTATACACCGATACCCGCCTGTCGTATGCATTAGACACCTGCTGGCTGAGCGCTGAGCCGAATAACCCAGGTCGCCGGAGTGAATCAAGGTTGACAACTCTACGCATGGTCTGACGTCACTGGGCCACACTCGATCATGGATATTCCCTCCAACTCGACGTGGGATGGACAGTGAGACAGCTTCCTCGCAGGCTGGACCATTCTTGCCTCACTCCGCCTTCTGCGCGACCACCACCTCGAGCACCGGCGAGATGCTGAAGTCAAACTCGCCCTCCATGCCCGTCAATCGCAGCCGCTCAATGCGGTGAACGCCGTCGCGTAGCGCGAGGAACTTGATCCGTGCAGCCAACGACGCTCCAGGAAGAAGCGGGCCGCACCGCACGTCCGTCTCGAGAGGGACAAGGGCCGGTGCTGCTGCCTCGTACTGCGCCAACAGGGCGCCGAGGACTGCATCGTCGACGCCGTACGCCGCCTCATCAGCTGCGCGTCTGCGGCGCCGAGACCACAGGTCGCGGATGCGCGTGTCCGCCTCGCGCGCTGGTACAGCGAGGCGGAAGCGGCGCACCGTGTCGGTGCGGTTATGCACAAACACCTCAATGGAAAAGGTGTCCAGTGGGTAGATTGTGCCTTGTGTGTCGGTGGCGAGCGGAGCTGGCGCGATGCTCCCTTCCCCGCCGGGCAGGACGCGGACCGATACGAGCAGGCCGTGTCCGTCGCCCGCGTAACGCCCACTCACTGCACGGCCTGAGAGGGCCTGCAAAGGGAGGTGCACGTTCGGCCGCGCAGGATTGGTCACCACCTGCCGGTCGTCCGCAATTAAGTTGGCGAGGGCGTACCGCCTGTCACCTGCAATGGCATTGGGAGCTGGTGCAACCACTTTGGCCGCAGGACGCTGCTTTTGCCGAGGTGCAGGCGGGGGTGGTGGGGCAGGTGGAAGTGTAGAGTAGAACGGGGTGAGATCAAGATTGCAGTTCCATCTGCTCTGGAAAGGAGCCGTTGGAAATGCCTTCGAGCCCTGCTGGAGTCGGTAGGGGCGCCCTATGAGAACAATCGAGACGACCCGGTTCTCCTCGCCCTTGTGCCGTGGTACCTCCACCGACCCGGGTGACGACGCGATCGTCACCGCGTAGAGCAGGTTGTACTGCTCGAGCGCGGAGAGCTCAAGCGGGAACACAGTATCGAACCCAGGTGTCTCTGGAGGCGAGGGACGGGCCCCCGGCGTACGCGGCTCCATGCCGGGCTGGCAGACCAGTTCAGCAGTAGCCTTGGGGCCTTTCCCACCGACCTCGACCGTGACCTGCTCAACCTCAAAGGCGTAATCGCCTGAGTCTGCGCCGTTCTCGACCTCAACGCAGACAACAATTTTGCGCTCCGCATTGTCCTCCGACTCTTCAGCTGCCGCCCCGGGCGGCAGGAACTGCGGCAAAAAGATGGTGCGCATACGTACACGCAAGCCCGGGGAGAGGCCGAGGACACGGCGAAATGACTTGCGCATTGTTGTACTTGCGCTGAGAGACAGCTGCACGGGCGCAGTGGGAATTGAATGCGAGCGGGGAGTGCTGCTGCGCGGCGTTGGTGGGGTGATGTCGCCTCGGATAGCTGGGCTCAATCGCGAGAACGGTACAGGCGCTAGCGTCAGCTGTGCCATCGACAGGAGATCCCAGCAAACTCACTGGCTGCCAGACCCCCCAGCAGGTCGATATCCTCCATGTGGGCCAGGTCGATATCCTCCTCTTCTTCCTCGACGTCCACATCTTCCGTCTGTGTGCTGGCGACCGTGCCTACTGACCTGATGCTGGCCGTGTCGGACGCTGCGCCAGCTGGCTTGCGCGGCTTGGCACGCAATGTTGCCGACGCCGTAATACCCAGTACCGGGTTGGCGATCTGTGTGCGGACATATACTGGGGTCAGCGGTTGACAGCTACTGCCTCTTCGCACTCACCGACGCTCATTTCGCCACACCAGACGGCAATCCACCCATCGGCCGTACGCACGAGCGTTGGCCTTGTCTCCCCGTCTACCGCAACCTCGCCTTCCCACACAGTAACTCCTTCCAGATCCGCGTACTCCTCAGCACCGGGCGACGTAGCAGGTACAGGCCTGGGTGTAAGGGGCGGTCCGCCCTCGCCAGCCTCCGGAATGGGCGGACGGCCCGGCTGGTGCGCCGCGGAAGTCGCGGAGGCGGGGGTGGGTGGAACGGTGGCACCGGGTGTCTGGGGCAAAGGAAGGTTAAGACTAGCAGTGGGCGGACCGTTGGGCGTCGGAGTGCCAGCAGCGACTGCTGCTAAAGTTGCTATCCTGGGGGGTGAAATGGGGGATGGTCTATGTTTGGTCGGGGAGGCCGTCTTCGTCGGTGTCCTATCCTTAGCCACGGGTGGGGGAGGAGCAAGGCTACTCCGTCTCTCTGCAAAGCCGACGGGCGCGGGCGCAAGAGGGGGGAGGAAGGACACTGTCGCCGTCATTTGAAGGTGCTTAGCCAGAGCTGCGAGCTCGGGCGGCGCAATGCCTGGCCCGGCAGCGTGCGGACTCGATGGAGACGGCGAGGCTGAGGGTAGCACATCGGAGGGGACACGGAGTGAGACGGCGTATGCGACCTTCTCGTCTGGCGTTAGAAGAGCAGGAGTGATGGGGGCGTACCGAGGAAGACGGTGTCGCGTGATGGCAGGGCGCGCAGCGCATCCCACCACGCGGAGCGTTCCCGAGAATCCTGCGGGGCCGGAGGGAAGCTCCCCGTCGCCGGGACGAGAATGTCGAGCTCGGCGGCGTGGAAGATGGGCTCGAGTGACGGCATGGACGGTGTCGAGATCAAGCTCCGGGTGGACGCGACATGGACGCGTGAGGTGGAGGGCGGAGGCAGATCGGTAGCCACAGGTGAACCGAGTCCGATGGAAAGTGGGGCAGTCAGGCAGACTGCCAAGGGCAACGGCATAACCACCTTGACCCCGCCGTGCTGAGAACCATGCATGCAATCCGAATCTATATGCTACTCGTCGTCGCTCTCATCGTCGCTCTCACCCTCACTCCCCTCACTTCCCTCGCTCTCGCTCTCGCTCTCGCCTTCGGACTCGACCTTTGCGTTCTCCGCAACCCATTCCCGTGCGCGCGCCTTGGCCTTCTCCATCCCGGCCTTGTCTCCCGCACGCGACTCGAGCGCAAGCCACTTCTTGAACACGAACTTTGCCCGCTTAGCGTTCATCTTGGTGGACAGCGCGCGGTCAACGAGGCCGCGGACGGTGGGCATGTCGCCCGCACGCCCTGCGGCGTCGACGTAGACATTCCAGACATCAAGCCGCTTGGGGTGCCGCTCAAGGATGCCCTCGAAGAGCGTCTTGCCGCGCTCAGCCGAGCCAAGCTTGTACTCGAGCAGCGCAAAGCGCTTCGTAACTTCCACATGCTCCTTCTTGTCGAGCGACTGGAGGGCGCGCGGGAGGAGGGCACGCGCCTTCTCGGCGGACGGGGAGGTGGATGAGAAGTGGAACTCGGCGAAGCGCGCCCATGTCTCGGGGAACGCAGAGTACTTCTTGAGCATCTTGTTGAACGTCGCCTCGATGAGAGACGCGTCCTTGCCCGCAGCGATCAAGGCGTCGATGTAGCGCGTGTACACGGCACGGCCGTCGTTAAACTGGACCGCCTCCTTGAACACCTTGTCGGCCGACTCGGCCGTGCCGAACCCGAGCTCGAGGTTGACGAGCGCCATCCACACGTTGAGCTTCTCCTCCTCCTCGCGGAAAGCGATACGGTCGAGCGCGCGCCGGCCGAGCGAGCGAGCACGGTCAACCTCGTGCAGCGACAGCAAGAACGACATGTACTGGATCCAGAGATAGGACGAGTTGGGCGACGCAAGGAGGGCACGCTCGAACTCAGACTCGGACTGGGGCCGGGCCGACGCCGCGTCGGCAGTCAAGTCTACCTTGCCCTTGCCCTTCTTCTTGGGCGCGACGGTCTCCTCCGCATCTGAAGACGACTCGTCCTCGGAGTCAGAGTCGGACTCGGCCGCGTTGCCAGCCCAGTCGAAGCCACCGACGGCGATGGGGCCAGCCGTCGAGACCTTCTTCTGAGCCTTGGAGGAGCCAGCAGGTGCTGTGTCAATCTGCCGTCAGCTGGGCTCACGCAATGCTCAAAGCGGATAACTCACCTCCTCCTCGTCTTCCTCGTCATCGTCAGACTCGTCCTCGAGCCGCACGACGTCCTCGTCATCGCTGCCCATGAGGCCGAGGTCCGCATCGGAGTCAGCCTCCTCGTCGTCGAAGCCCTCCTCCTCCTCGTCTTCTTCTGAGCCCTCTTCAGCGTCCTCGTCCATCCCCTCGTCCTCCTCATCCTCGTCCTCGCCTTCCTCCTCGTCCTCATCCATGTCATCGTCGGCGGCCTTCGCACCCTCGAACTCGTCGGCGAAGTGGCTCGCCTTGATGGAGAAGTTAACGCGTCCCTTCTCCTTGTCCAGCGCAATAATGACGGCGCGCACGGCATCGCCCACACGGAAGCCCTTGAGCGCGGCCGCGACATCAGTCTTCTTGTTGTCGGCGATCTCAGAGCGGTGGCACAGCCCGGAGACGTCCGAGCCATCGATGCGCAGGAACAAGCCGTAGGTCTCAACGGTCGTGACTGCGGCGGTGACCTTCTGGCCCTCGGCGAAGTCGCCGATGCGGAGCTTGCCCTTGCCGGCCTGCGCCTTCTCGCGGGGCTTCGTGCGCAGCGTCATCTCAGCGCGGTCGTCGGACACGGACAAGATCTTGCCCGCCACCAACTGGTTGACCGCGAAGCGAGGCTTCCAGTCCTTGACGAAGTCGTCGAAGAGCTCCTTGATCATGACGCGGGCGGTGATGTTGCGGCCGAGCGAGACGAAGAGGCCCGCCGGCGTGATGGAGCGCACGAGGCCGCGCACAGCCTGCCCCTCCTTGAGCTGGGAGAAGGACGTGATTTCGGGGTCCGCGACCTTGACCTTGGCATCGGGGTTGACGCGAGACTTGCGCGTCGAAAGGTCAACGGTGCGGGCGGCACTGTCGACGGCAAGGATAGCACAGAGCACATTGTCGTCGACGCGGAGCGCACCGGTGCCCGCCGCGTTCGAGAGGTCGTCCGCCTCGTCGCAGGGGTGCACGCGTCCACGGATGTGCTTGCCGATACGGAGCATGGCGCCCGCGGTCGTCTTGCCAACCACGCGGCCGGGGACGACGTCGCCAACCTGCAGGTCGTCGAAGGAGCGCGCAGCGGCAGAGACGCCGGAGGGGATCTTCTCCTTCTCGCGGCGCTTGTTCGCGACAATGAGGAGGCCCGACTTCTCGTTCTTCGAGACGACGACAAGGTCGTCGAGCTTCTCGCCAGTCTTGAGGGACTTGCGGAGCTCGTCGACGCCCATGCCGCGGTGGTTGGAGAGGTTGGCAAGCGAGAGCAGTGCGGTGAGCTGCGAAGGCACGAGCGTGACGACGACCTGCTCGGCGTGGATCTGGGCGACGATACCCTTGACAGCCGCGCCGACTTCGAGCTTCTCGGCCGCGACAGCGGTGGGGAGCGCCTGGCGCACGGAGGCAACGAGCTTGCTTGCCTCCGTGTCCACGTCGGTGATACGCACAGTGACTGGCTTGCCGACGTAGAAGATGTCAGCGAGGTTGGCGACAAAACCCTGTGCAGCCTCAGACTGGGGCACAAAGGCGCGCAGGCCGCCAAACAGGTCAACGAGGCAGCCCTTGTCGAGAAGCTTGGAGACAACAGCAGGCGTGATCTCGCCCTCCTTGACGTCGTCAAACGCCTTCGGGACTGGGAGGTCGGAGTCGACAAGGCTCTTCTTGAGAGTGAGAACAACACGGTTGCGCGCCGGCTCAAGCGCCCACACGCGAGCCTTGACGTTCGAGCCGGGCTTGAAGCGCTTCTCGGGGTGCTTGAGGCGGATGTCGGCGTAGTGGAGGGGCCAAACGACACCGTCCACACTTCCCTGGACGTTGACGAACAGGCCCTTGTCAGAGAGCCGCTTGACGGTGCCCTTGAGGACCTGGCCGACCTCGAGCTCGCCAACGGCCATGAACACCTGGTTCAGGACGCGCGGCTCGAACGAGAGCAGCAGCACGCCGTCAAGCGGCGAGTGCCCGATCACGCGCGCGCGGTGGTATGTCCCCGACTTGAACTGGACGGTGCTGTGTGACAACGTTGCGAGACGCTCGTCGGTGAGGTGCGAAATATGGCAGAAGCCCTCGACACCGTCGTCGGTGCGCGCGACCACGCCCCAGTCGGGAATGACCCGGGTAATCTTGACGCTCGCCAGCGTCTTGCCGATAGGAACCGCCTCCTCGAGCGGCTCCTTGGATCCAGTAAGCGGGGAGGAGAGGTTAAAGATGTGCGGGAGGACGGAGAGGGCAAAGCGACGCTCGCCGGCAGCCACAAAGTCGTAGAGCACACGCGCCTTGAGCTTCTTGCCGATCTTGAAGCGCGCCTCGATCTCGTCCTCGCCGAGCCCGAGATGGGCGAGGTCGATCGTGCCATCGTAGAACCCACACAGCTTAACGTTGAGACCCGAGGGCACGACAGCGGTGATGAGGGCGCTCACGAGCGTCCCTGGCAGCAGAGAGCCGATGTTCGACACCTCAGTGAGGCACGAGTGGATCAGTGTCTGCTGGTCGATGCTGAGCTGGAGCACGCGGCCCCCTGCCGTCGCCGTCTTCACGATCGCGGGGAGGAGCTGGCCGGGGATGAGTTCTGGAGTCAGCTGGGCCCGACGTGTTCACTCACCTCCGTCCACCTCTTCGTTGCGGAGGAAGCCCTCGACGCCGGGGGCGGACTCGCCGAGCCCCAGGCCAACACGGTATCCCTTGTCCTCCTTGCTGAGCACCTCGCCGGTGATGCGGAAGCCGTCTGTGAGGTCGGCCTTGGCGACCTCGCCGTTGATCTTTTCCGGGATGAGGGTGAGCTCGATGCGGGCGGCGAGCTTGGTCGTTTCAGACACGGGGTACTGGGCGACGAAAGCCTGACTCGCCGTCGGGAACGCGTTCAGCACCTTGGCCGCGACGTACTGCCCCGGCGCAAAGAGCTCTGGCAACTCCGGTGCGCCGCCTTCCTCCTCCTCCTCGTCTTCCATCTCCACATCCTCGTCGTCGTTCATCTCCTTGTTGAGTGCGGCGGTAAGCGTGTTGGACACCTCGGTGATCGGAACATGTGCGAGAAGGTTGTTCGGCAAGCTCACGACAAGGTGCAGGGGAAGCACAGTGTGTACCCTCCCAAGCACGAGTGTGCCGGGCACAAGGCGCTTGTAGCTGAGCTCCTCGACGCGGATCGTGTCCTTATCGCGCTCGGCGCGCGCAGCGTCGCCCGACCCCGTCGCCTTCTTGAGCCGCTTCGCGTGCCGCTCCGAGATCTTGCGCGGCTTCGGCTTGCCCTCGGCGTCTGCCTCTGCCCGACCCTCCGCCCGCACCTGCTTGACCTCGAGCGGTGTGAGTGTTGTCCCGCCGCCGCGCGGGAAGTCGACCTCTTCGGCCTTGAGCGCCGACGTGAATGCGGGCGCGGCGCGCGGCGCCGGCCCCGCCGGCGCGTCCGTGCGCGCCTTCTTTGCCTTGCCTGCGGGACTGTCGGCCGCGCGCTTCTTGCTTGTTTTTGGTGGTGCCATAGTGTTGTTGGAGATGCACCGTACGCAATGAAACACGACGCCGCACCAACAGAAATTCTCAACTTTCAGCCGTCATGCCACGTGCCGCATCACGTGAGGTGGAGGTGCACTGATCTCCGAGGATCGAGGCGACGCATGATGGCGGCGGCGGCGATGGTTTCATTCATGCAACAACCGAGGAGGACGAGCGCACCTCTCCTCCTCATCGTCTTGATCTTGCTTACCATGCCGGGCGATCCAGAGATCCGAGCACTGGTGCGTTTCGAAATCTGGGGAGCTGACACCAAGGCCGAGGCCATCTTTGCCGACCTCCTCGCGGACCAGGTACTGACTACGACAATTGCCGCCCACCGCGAAGTCAAGCGCGGGCAGGCTGTATGCGCGACGTGTGGGACACGGTGAGCTTATTCCGGCCGTGGAGGCGCGGGTAAGGGCTCCTGACACCAGATGTCGTGCCCATGTCCCGATCGCGCCGCTGGCTAGCGGGTCAACGTCAGCTGTGGGATCTCGCGAGAGCAGTCCTGCCCGGGGTATCACAGTGCGGCCGAACGGGTATACGATCGGCCCGGAGAAGGGTACGGGCGGTGGAACGGGCATCGGGAGTGGCAGCGGGCGTGTCGACGCGGCGGGGAACGCATTCTTCGACTGTCTTGTGTGTGGAAGAAGTGTGAGTGTGCGCAGAGGGTGCGCGGCTTGATTGTGACTTGTGGCACCCTGGCACCGTGGCACTGTGGCATCTCACCATGCTTTCGCTAACATCAGGTCACATCCAACCGGTACGCACCGCACCTGGCCTCCTGCCTAGGGTTCTCGGGGAGCACGCGCCGTGGTGCGAGCCGCGTCGCGGCCGCCAAAGCGAGACTGGGCGCGGACGGGCGCGCCAGTCCGTCCCCCTACTTGACCGGCGACGACAGCGACACCGAAAGCCTGAGCGGCAAGCGGAAGAGTAAGCCCACCCCTTGCTGCGCTGACGCCAGAACTTCTCAACGGGAACGGCAAGCGGGCGTCGTCGCCGTCAAAGGCAACGCTAAAGAAGGCGCGGCTCGCGCAAGGCCACAGCGGCAGTGCGCCGCCTGCGTCGCGCCCGCCGCACCCGCCGTCGCGGCTCGGGCGGCCGCCGACGTCCGCGAAGAGCGCGTCGCCGTACGCGTCGCCTGAGAAGAGCGGGGCTGCGAGCGTGCCGGTTTGGCGCGAGGGCAGCGCCGCGTCGTCGACTAGCGGCGGCAAGAGCGGGAAGAAGAGCGTGCCCCCGCCGCCAGCCCCGCAGAATGTAGCGGACGGAGAAGAGTCGAGCGAGGCAGACGACGACTACTGATTGTACATGTGCATAGTGTCGGCATGTATTGTACCACACAGGGAATGGGGTGTCAGTGGCGGTATGTGACGCGGTGAGTCGTGCGAACCGATGCGACTTGTCCGCCGCGTGCGGAACTGTTTGATTAAATGCATGTTACCATAGTAGGCTACAAGAAACGGCATCGTGCCGATCGAACTTCTGACTTCTCCCTCTCTACGCCTACGCCCACGCCTGTACGTCCCTACGCCTCGCCCAACTCGCGCCGGATGCGCTCCCGCACCTCCCTCAATCCGCCAGTACGCCGCACGCGCCCGGGGCTCGCTGGCCCCGCAATCCCGGGGCTGGAGAGGACAGAACCAGGCGACGACGGCGGCTCAGCCCGGAGCTCGAGCCAGTCGTGCCGCCCCACGCGTTTGGAAGTCACGAAGAAGGGACACAAGTCCACGAGCATCTGGAGCGATGTCTCGGCTTCAGCAATGGAGATCGGTGTCTTGGAGCTCTGGACCACCGTTTCGGCCACCTCGGAGAAAGGGAGAGCGCGGCGGCGCGCGCGCGGCGTCCCGCTTCCCGAGCCTGGCGGCGGGGCGGAAAACATCCTGTCGTCAGCGACAATGAGGGAGGGGAGACATACATCCACACGCCCTCGGCAACGCCTTCGAGGCGGCTGAGCGTCGCGCGCCGCTTCAGCTCCTCTTGGTCTGACCGGCGGTGGATTACGCCCGAGCTTGAGGCCAGGGACTCGCTGAACGTAGGCCGGGAACGGGCTTTGATCTGTCGTCAGCGAGGCTTGCGGTCGGAACTCACGCGCGCGAACAGCGCCTTCTTGCGTTCTTCGGGCGTGCCGGCCGCCGGCTTCTCCTTGATCTCGAAGGGATCGGAGAGGAGCGTGGGCTTCTTCGGGGACGAAGTCAGGCCCATTTCGGACATGGCGGGCGAGGAGAAGAGGTTGCCCGCTGAAGGCACGGAGGGAAATTTGGGTAATGGCAGCAACGGGATGGGCGGGATGGCTGAGCGGCCTGACGTCCGTGTCGTTGGCGTCGGGAGATGCGCCGTTTCGAGGGGCGTCACCTCTCCGCCATTGAGCTCGACCCAGCGCTCGAGGCGCCGCCTGACTTCGTCCTGGCGCAGATCGGCGCCCGCATTCCACCGGCCCATCAAGCGCATGCCTCCCCCTTGTCCGCGGTTACCGAGCCCGCCTGGCGCGCCGCCGAGGAGCAGCTGCCGCGTCTCACCGGCTTGGATCTCGAGCTCGATGCCGATGCCGTGCGTGTGCACCCGCCGCCCGGCTTCGAGCGTGCGCGTCACGGTGATGAGGTAGCTGAGGCCCGAGACGGACTCGACCGCCGGGCGCACGAGGAACGGGTTGTCGTCCTCCGTATCTGCGGGCAGGGATTCGCCGTCCCACGTCCACAGCCAGGCGAGGCGCGCCAGCTCTTCGCGCCCGAAGCGCCGGCCGGCGGTGCGTTCCACCACACTGCGCAGCGCGTGGAACGTCGTCACGTTCGGCACGCCGACGCGGGTTGCGCTCGCCGAGTGTGGTGGGAGGACGGGTGGGTGTTGTGCGATGTGTAGAGACAGGGCGATGTTGAAGGCGTGGTGCAGCGTCAAGAGGTTGGCCAGGTGCTCGGGGAGGCTTGAGCGGGGCGCAACGAGCTGGCGTTTCGCTGGAGGTTGGGAGTCTTGTGAGTCGTCGTCGTCATCGTCGTCGCGTCGACGCCGAGTCTGTGGTGTGGGAGGGAGAGAGCTGGGCGTATTGGGAGGCCTGGTGTGAGCGCAGAATGATAAAGTACTCACAGAGCACGCTTGGCGCCGCGCTTGCCAGGAGTGGCCTGCACGCCTGACATGATGTTGTGTTGTTTATGCCTTGCAGTTGGGATTCCGGATCCAGCCGGATACAAGGTGGGAGACAGGTGACGGGAGAGTACTCTCACAGAGAGAGTGATGGGGAGGGGAGGGAGGAGATGGAGGAGGATACGGGGTGGAGGGGGATTGTGGAGATGGAGAGAGCGACGAGGACAACGACGGCGACACGACGGGTGAGAGGAGGGGGCTCGTGCAGCAAAAGCAAAGTAAATGGCAGGAGCAGGGATGGCTGGTCATCTGGCTTCAGGGTAGTGCCACGCGACAATGTCATGAGGTTGGACCAATCGCGTTGATTTTGTGTGCCTGTCCTGAAACGCGACGACTCTGGATTTGATACTGCTCATGAAAAGAATGACACGAGTATACCACGTGCTGGTCACATGACTTACCCGTCAGTCCGAATATGTTCTGGTGAGGATTGATTGCGTGCAGGATGCGGAGAACGGAGTGCGGGGGCGGCATGGCAAGGTCCGCTCGGCCTTCGGCCCGCAAGAGCCGGCGTGCGTGGCTGTCTTGACTATGCTGCACTTTGATCGTGAGGCCGTCCTCGCCCGTCGGTCAGCTGCGAGCAGGGCCTGGCCCACGACCACCTTGTGCATCTCGTCGCTGCTCGTTCCGCCCATGCCATCAGCAGTGATCTCGGACCAAGGCGAGTCCGCCTCTTCGGGTATGAGAGTCGCGTTGAATAATGGCACCTGGGAGGAATTGCCTGGGTGACATGGCATGGGCGGACTGCATGGACTGACTGCCCTGGCCGATGATGCACTCGTGTCCACTCTACTGCTGTAAACCGACCGACCTTCCTCCTCCCATCATCATACTCTGGCCATTACCACATCTCTCTTTCTCTTTCTCTCCATTCACTCACTCACGCCAACTCACATTCTACACAAAAGACGTTCAGCTCGTCCACTCTCTCATCACTCGAGCCCCGTAAGTCCGTCGTCATCCAGCCATGGCAGTAGAGGGATCACCTGGGACCCCCCAAGCCATTGCCGCACGTCCTGAGCGGCCCATTGGTCCGGTCTTCCACCGATCATTGGGGACGTCCACCTTGTTCCATCCCGAGTGCATCGCCGTTCTGCAACGTTCAGCCAAGATATGAGCGTCGGCGCATGCGCAATGATGACATGGAAGAGTCGCAACGCATGTCTAGTGCTTCTCCCATGTTGGTGCACGTTTCTGGGGCGTGTCTGTTGCATACATCCTATCCTTCCATTGCCGCAGGTGCTGACGTAGCTGGATTGGTCACAACGCGCACGCTCGGCCCCGATCATTCCCATTCCGGCCTCCTCACCTGACTGCTTTATCCCCCACAATACTTGTTCTTATCCGTCCACGACTCTTCTTGCACTCCCACGCTCAACTCTTCTCGACTGCTACTCGCACCCCGCCGCCGACGTCGCCCTCTTGATTGCGATTGCTCTCTGTGAATTGTTCCAGTCAGAGGTACGTCACGATCTATTTCATGTCGCCCTCACCTGCCTTCCCTTGGGCTTGCCACAATTTAAAGTTCCGCCCCCTTTAACCAGAGGGCGTTGCATCATGAGGCCGGTCCGACCTCGGCTACACTCACACCCACACATCCGCTCCAGCGACTCACACTCTCCCCTGCATCGTCCATCGCACTGACTGGCCTTGCAGCTTTCATCCATCCACCATCATGGCCGCCTCCAACTCTCCTCGGCCCTCGCGCGCCAAGCGCGGCTCCATCCCCTCGCTCGAGGCTCTCGGTGAGGCCTTCAAGAACGAGACCATTGTCGTCGTCTTTGGTGCCTCAGGCGACCTCGCGAAGAAGAAGACGTTCCCGGCCCTCTTCACCCTCTACCGCCAGGGTCACCTCCCCAAGGACGTGCACATTGTCGGCTACGCCCGCACCAAGATGTCTGAGGAAGAGTTCCACAAGCGCGTCACCGGCTACATCAAGAAGGACGACAGCGTAGACGACTTTGATGAGAGACTCGAGGGTTTCAAGAAGGCTCTCACCTACATCTCGGGACCCTACGACAAGGATGAGGGCTACCAGGAGCTCGAGAAGCACCTCGTCGAGATGGAGAGCAAGCGCGGCCCTAGTGAAAAGGCCAACCGCGTCTTCTACATGGCGCTCCCTCCTTCGGCCTTCACCGACGTCGCTGCTGGTGTCCGTAAGAACAACTACTCGAAGAACGGCGGCAACCGTATCATTGTCGAGAAGCCGTTCGGCAAGGACCTCGAGTCGTGCCGCGAGATGATGTCGGCTCTCAAGGCCGAGTGGAACGAGGACGAGACCTACCGTATCGACCACTACCTCGGCAAGGAGATGGTCAAGAACCTGCTTGTGCTTCGCTTCGGCAACATTGTGCTCGATGCCGTGCTCAACAAGTACTCGGTGTCCAACGTTCAGATTACGTTCAAGGAGTCGTTTGGCACCCAGGGCCGTGGTGGCTACTTTGACGAGTTCGGTATCATCCGTGACGTCTGCCAGAACCGTGAGTACGCAAGCGTCTGTGACGTTCTGCTGTGTGGGGGCTGCTGCGCGGGAGGATGGTAGTGCCGCGTCAAGATGGGACTGCCCATCTCGGCGTAGGTGGCGTTTGTGCTTGGATCCCATCTCCTTGACTCATGTATGCCGACGCCGTGACTAACCATACCCCAGATCTTATGCAGGTCCTGTCGATCCTGGCCATGGAGCGTCCCGTCTCCTTTGCCGCCGAGGACCTTCGCGACGAGAAGGTCAAGGTGCTCCGGTCGATCCCTCCCATCAAGAAGGAGGACATGTACCTCGGCCAGTACGTCGCTGGCAACGGCGAGCCTGGCTACCTCGACGACGAGACTGTCCCCAAGGGCTCCACCTGCCCTACCTACGCCGCCCTGTGTCTCTGGATCAACAACCCTCGCTGGGAGGGCGTGCCTTTCATCATGAAGGCCGGCAAGGCGCTCAACGAGAGCAAGGTCGAGGTCCGTGTTCAGTTCAAGGACGTCACCTCGGGCATCTTCACCGACATTGCGCGCAACGAGCTCGTCATGCGCATCCAGCCCGACGAGGCTGTGTACATCAAGCTCAACTCGAAGTTGCCTGGCCTCATCACCAAGGCTATCCCCACCGAGCTTGACTTGACCTACAAGGACCGCTTCACCGATGTCGAGGTGCCTCAGGCGTACGAGGCGCTCATCCTGGACGCGTTCAAGGGCGACCGCTCCAACTTTGTCCGTGACGACGAGCTCGAGCAGTCGTGGAAGATCTTTACGCCCATCCTCCACTACATTGACCAGGAGAAGCCCAAGCCTGAGCCGTACCCGTTCGGCGCGCGCGGCCCCAAGGACTCGCTCGCGTTCTCCGAGAAGTACGGCTACAAGCGGACCGACGAGGGCACCTAGTGAGTGGAGTGGGGAAGGGTGGACACCACCCAACCTGTTCCCTTCCCAGAACGCACACTGACAACCAGCACTTGGCCCGTCACCAGCGTGTCGGCCAACCTGTAAGATGGATACCGAGCAGCAACATCAAATAGTCCGCGACTCGTTATATGGAACGCAGTCCCCTGTAGAGTGTGACATGGAGATGAGATACTGGATGCGTCGGCGTGCTCGGCGGTAGTTTGAGTATTAAGGCAAGGCCGTAAAGGTCATGGCCCTCGGATTAGCATCTTGAGCGCCGTGCCATTGCCACTGACAAGTATATAGACGCAGGCACAACGCGTCGTGCGGCGCTAAAACATGCTCCGGCCTGGGCGGCATTGAGTGGCACCAATTGCGAGATCTCTCCCTGTGCCCTCTTCTCCCCCCCCCCCTCCCCCACCCCCATCGCAAGCAGAGTACATATGTCCGTGTCTAGTTCTAACGCTACACGCGAGGCCAGCTCGTCTCATTGGGGCTAGATAAGCGCAGCGAGCGCGGCGAGCGCAGCAATCCCTGCGCCAAGGGCAACACCAGCGCGGGGTGCGCCCGAAGTGGCGCCGCCGCCACCGCCATCCTTGGTGCTTCCGTCAGCGCCTCCGCTTACGTTTTAAACTCACCCCTCGCCAACAAAGTAGTTAAAGTTGTAATCTGCCGGTTTGTCGGTATACGCCCAACTGCCACTATCGAAGCGCAGCACGGCCTTGCCGTCACGCGTAACTTCGCCGCCGACAGCGCCCGCCGCACTAGGAACCTTGAGCTTGGCGAGGCCGGCCTGCAAGTCCCACGCGGCGCTCGAGGCGCCGCTCCAGATCCGCACGCGCGCGGGCGAGGTGAGGTACGCGACAGCGTACAAGTTGTCATCGGTGTCGTCGGCGCGCGCGGGGCGCGGGAGGGAGGGCGCGTTGGGCGTCGCGTCCTTCGGGTGCGGCCTCGTCCAGAGCCACAGGCCTTCGTCGGCCGGCGGCGCGCCCGTGCGGAACACCGTCGCGTAGTGCTTCACCAGTGAGAGCAGGCCCGTGTGCGGCATCCCGCGCGTCCACCCGTCCGACTTGGGCTGGGCGGAGGCCGCGGGCACCGGCGCGATGTAGTGCGACTCGCCGAAGTCTGGTGTGAGCAATTCGTTCTCTGCACTCTGCTCGGAGAAACCTAGAGACCGGCCGCCGCTCGCTTGCTCGCTTCGCTCGCGGCTCGCGGCTCGCGGCTCTCGGCTCCGCACTCACCATTCCAGCTCAGCAGCTCAAGCATGTCCACCTTGTCGCGCATGCCGATGACCTGCTCGAAGCGGGTAGCGAGGAGCCAGTCGTCCGAACGATAAATCCAGTTCTTGTCCCAGCTGTCCTTTCCGTAGTAGGTGAAGAAGAACGGCGACACGGGAGGCATATACCCTTTCGTACCGAGGGCGGCGATCCACTCGGTGTCGTTCTGCGTCGTGAGCGCCTCGGGGCCCTGCGGCCACGCAGCGTCCCAATGCATCTGGCCGTCGTACCACCTCCCCTCTTTAACTTGGGCGGTAGTCATGAACGTCGACGGCATAAAGTAGATTTCTGTGCCGATGGCGCGCCGCACGGCGTCCCATCCAGCCGCGACGCTCGCCTGGCCAAACGTACACCGCTCGCCTGAAAACGTGCTGACGAGCACCTTGCCCCCGTACATAGCTTGTGCGGGGTGCGCGGCATACTTCTTCGCAAGCTCGGCGACGGCGCTCACATCGCTGGCGTTCATGCACGGAAAGCTCGTCATGTCGAACGAGAAGAAACACTTGAGGCCCGCGGCGCCCGCTGCCGCATACGCCCACTCGACGTTCTGCGGCTGATACGCGTCCCGGCCCATGTTGAGGGCGAAGCCGTCGATCCCCGCGCGCTTGGCGAGATCCACGTCCGCCGTCCAGTTCGCGGACGTGTAGAACTCGGTGTTGCCAATCATGTGGTGTGCCCACACGTACTTTGTCGCGCTGGACGCCGGGACGGCCGCTTGCTGCGTCACGGCGTCGCCCGTGCCGGAGACGGCGGGGGGCGCTGCGCCGGCAGCGGCGGCGGCGGTGGCGGAGGCGGTCGTGGCTGCCGAAGACGCGGCATTAGAGGCGGCACCGCTCGCGCTCGCACCAGTACCAGCACCAGCACCGACCAGCTCGAAGAGATGGAGGGACGTGGCGCCGCCACATGTCTCACCCGCGTCGCCGGGACATGGGGACGTGCAGTCGCTCGCGGACGCAGGCGTGCTCTTCATCTCGCGGGCGCAGTAGCACTGCTGTCCGTCTGGGGTTAGCCGCGCGTTGGAAGGAAGCCGGCGAGGCGAGGAGGTCTTACGTCCAGCCTGCTCCTCGCCACCAGGCAGCCCGTGGTGGCGGCCCTACTGGCCGCCTCGTACTCACTCTCCACACCAGCAAACGAGTACATGTTGTCACCGCATAGCTTGGTGCAGTGCGCCGGGCTGTTCAGGGCGCCCTGGTATGCGAGCGTGTCGAGGACGCGGGCGGCGGCGCTGTCTTGCACACACCCACGGTCGGACCATCCTGGTGCGGGGGCGCGGGGGGCGTGTGTGTGTGAGTGTTGGGGATGCGCTGCCGCCGCGAGGGCGAAGAGCAGGGCTGCTATCATTGTGAGGTTAGTGGAGAGATGCAGAGAGCAGGCATGTGCAGCTGATATCTATTCTATGTGGGTAGCTGGGAGGCCGTCGTCAAGTGGAAGAGGCAAGCGAGAAAGCGGCGCGAACGAGACAGAGCATGGCATCAGCCGGAGAGAAGAGCAGAGATATCTCGGTGGGAATTGCCGGATCGAACTTTGCGGCCCTGAGTGACATGCGTTTTAGACAGGGGGCGCAGGGAGGGCGCAGGGGGAGGCGTGCGTAGGTTACGCATAATCCCTGACACAAGGGTGAGGGGGGTTGGGAGAACTGGGGGGATGGTGATAAGATGTCCTAGGAGCATTGTCCTGCATGTCCGCCATGATTGCGATTGCAGAACTGCAGCGACCTGACGGAGACCTTGGGTCAATAGGCCAAGCAAGCGACAGTGTGCGTACGCTACTTGTCTGCGGCAATTGAGTCCTGTGGTCTAGTCTATTCAATGGAGGATTATGGGGTGGCCGTGTGTGAGGCTGTTTGAGGCTGCATGAGGCAAGGGCGTGGGAAACCTCCACCCTCCACCCTCCACCCTCCACCCTCAATCTCGTCGTTCTCCAGATCTCTCTTGAAACTCTCTCTCGTCCTCATCATCGCTGCTCAAAGCTCACTAGCACCATTCACGCTTTCCTGCATACGCTTTCCTGCGTCAGCCTCACCGTGTTCAGCGTCCACTCGCGCCGCGCCAGTGTGCCCTGCGCCGCCAAACACGCCGCGCGTCGCCAGCTCGTCATCGCCTCGATTGCACGGCGCCGAGCGAGGCACGCAACGCGCCGAGCCCAAAGCGCGTAGTCGCGTAGTCGCGCAGGCGCGTCGTCGCGTCGTCGCGTGGTGGCGTACTCTCCTTCTTGTACGCCCACCCCCGATAGCCATTGACCATCGTAGACGCATGAAACTGGATGTACGACATTGCCGCTGTTCCCGCCAGCGCCCCCGGCGCTGCCGCCGCAGAGTAGGTGTTGGATGTTGGAGTGTTGCGTCGAGTGAAGCCCGATACGATGAGGGCGGCGAACACGAAGAAGGAAAGATTGATCTTGATCATACCGCCGGCACGTCGCTCCGGGCATGCCCTCAGCACAGACACAGACGGCCTGCTTCTTGCGGGCACTTGACGCTCGGACATCGCGGGGGGAGGGGGGCGACGCCCTTCGCACCCGTGCGCAGAGGTGTTTTGGTCGTCTACGCTTTGTCTCGTTCTTCCTCTTCCTCTTCTTCTTGTCCTTCTGCTCATCCCTCTTCCCGCTCGTCCTCTCCTTCCAGCTTCCAACTCATTCCCACTTACTAACATGCCCCCCGTCAGACTGCGCGCGACGGCGACGGCGGCCCCTCTTTCCTCCAACTCTGGGCAGCAGCTGATGAATCCCCGCCCACCTTCCCCCAGCGACGATGCCTGGGACGACGATGTCGACGACGAGCGCATCCTAGACCAGATCGAGCTCCTCCTCGGCAGCGACAGGCGCAGGCAGAGCCAGCGCGACGTTGAGATCTGGCAGCTCGAACCCAAGCACATGCTCATCGGCTCGCTGTCCGGGAACACTTTCCACCAGGTGAGTAACCGGTAACCGTGGAACGAGGTGCGAGAAGCTCTGTAATGACTCACCGCCCTCGCCGGCGTCCGGCGTCAGCGCGTCACGCTCGTGCACCGCCAGTGCTCATAATGCTCTCTGTGCACAAGTCTGCAATCTAACGGACAGGTAGTCGGACGAGCATGCCTGCAGAAGCAACCCCGACCGTACGGATATAAGGCAAACCAGCCCAAGCTCCCCCTGTCCTACGTCTCGTTCGACTTCAAGCGCAAACTTATCGTCGCCAAAGTCAGCTTTGCCGACGCCAGCAACCTCCCTCGAGTGCTTAACCCCCTCGACATCGAGCTGCCGCTGTCAGACATCACCGCTGACGGCTTCCATCTCTGGTCCCAGGTCATAACTCCTAATCTCCGCGAGGTTCGTCTCACGGTAGCCTTCCGTCGCCCGCCACGATACTTCTGCCGCTTCGACAAACAGATTGTCACCCCGTCTGGCCACGTCCTCTTTCGCCGGCGCGCAACCCAGTGTGACTTCACTTACCACCACATTGTCAGTGGCCCCACTCTCCTTCCAGACCTTAGGAGCAACTAACCTGCAGCAAGAGGCCAAAGAACCTATAATCCGGCCGGTCAATGACGGTCGTGCAGGCTTCGTTTGTGAGCACCGCCGCCAAGCTGACCATCTAGCCCGTGCTATGGAATGCGTATCAGTGGACCTTTGAAATGGACGACAAGCAGTTCAACCGCCTTCGGGCTGCAAAGCTCATGATCCAGCGCATCCCAGACCTCCACATTCTCTCCAAGGATACCTCACCTGTCCCCGTAGAGCCCATCCTTCGCGTCAAGTGGGTAGCGCCAGACCTCAGCGCTCTAGACTTTGAGGTGCGCGTCCTTCTGGAAGGACTGATAGGCACTGGCATCCTCTATCCAGGAGACTGGCCCGAGCTCCTTGCAGAGTTGGACACCGCCACAGCGTCCCACCCGCGAGACGTCAAGCTCCGTGTGCTCGAAAGCCTCTTCACTGAAGAGCGCATCCACAATATTAAAGCCACATTGCGCCGAAGGATCAGAACGTTCCTCACCGTGCCCAACATCCCCGAGATCAAACACCTTGTGCCCATCCGCACGGTCCAGGTCACACCGACGCGCATGCTCATCGGCCCGCCTCAGCAGGAGGCGAGCAACAGCGTCACGCGCAAATACTCGGACCGCCTGCACGGCATCGTCCGCGTGCAGTTTGTGGACGAGGGCGACCGCATCCACGTGAGTGCGGAGCAATCGGCGCTGACCACAGGTCCTGGACTACGCGAGGCAGGCGGACATCGCCATGCCCGAAGTAGGCCTGATGGCGCGCATCCGGCGCGCGCTCAACAACGGTATTTGCGTTGGCGGGCAAGTCTTCTTCCCTATCGCTTCTTCCGGCTCTCAGCAAAAGTACGACACATGCAGCGCTGGACTGATGCCAGGGATCACGCGATCTGGTTTTTCGACCCGACCGTCATCCATCACCTTGAGCTTTTCCTCTGGATCGGTAAGGTAACCGAGACAGTGGTCGCGAAGTACGCGGCGCGGATGGGACTCGTGAGCTTGAGGGAAGGGTGATGCTAAGTCCAGCCCTTCAGCACCAGTCGCGAGGTAGATATCCGTGTCTCTCTCGGTACCCGCGCGGACGTTGAGAGGCACGGCTACTGCTTCACCGACGGTTGCTCCGTCGCGGGCGCGGAGGTGATGTGGAAAGCGGCGGAAGCGTTCAAGCGCAAAGGGCAAGTCGTGTCGCGACCGTCCGCGATTCAGTTCCGTTTAGGGTGAGCTCCACCGCGGGACCAGCTGATTGCAGCGGCGCAAAGGGCATGCTCGCGTGCTGGCCGGATCTCGCCGAGCCGCACCAGGTGCTCCTGCGCAGATCGCAAGTCAAGTTCTCCAGCGAGCGGGATGCGTTGAGCATCATCCGAGTGAGGGAGCCCGAAGCCCATCTGACCGCAGACGAGCCACTTTCAAGCTGCCTTTCTGAACCGCCAGTTCATCCTGATTATGGAGGCCAACGGCGTCCCGCAGAAGCTCTTCCTTGATCTCTTCGACGATGCCCTCACGCACATGCGCGGTTTTGACGCCCGCATTGCGGCGGGCGCGCCGAGTCCGGACGATATGGCTCTCCTGTCGAACGGCACCCCGTTCCCCCTCGCCACGCTCATCACCTCCGGGTTCAACACCAACCCCTTCGTCCTCGATCTCTGCCAGCTGATCAAGAGACGGGCATTGGCAGATCTCAAGTGCCGCAACCGCGTGCAGATCAGCGGCGGCGTGTACCTTATGGGTGCGTCTGGCCACCTATTCACTGACGGACAGGCATTTGCGACGAAGTGGCTTGTCTTGAGGAAGGCGAGGTATTCTGCCAGTACCAGGTGAACGACAACAGCGAGCCCGTCATCGTGACGGGATACGTGCTGGTCTGCCGTGCGCCCGCCCTGCATCCAGGTGATGTCCGGCGCGCCCTTGCTGTCGACCGCCCGGAGCTGCGGCATCTCACAAACGTCATCGTCTTCAGCACACAAGGCGCGCGGCCCCTCCCAAATATGCTGGGCGGCGGCGACCTCGATGGCGATGGTAGGTTAGCAGGCGACGCGGCTGACGCTAGACTACACGCTGATTTGGGATAAGCGGTTCGTTGAGCCGCTGAAAGAGTTCGAGCCAATGAACTATACTGCCCCGCCACCGACGCGCGTACCGCAGGTGACGCAACAGCATTTGAACGAGGTGCGTGGATGTTTGACCACGGCTCACCCCAGAATTTCATCAATTTTATCATGGTGTGTAAGGAAGGATGCGAGAGGCTGATCGCAGAACGATATTCTTGGCCAGGTTGATAATGCTCACCTCGCGACATCTGACTGCCTCTCGCCCTTCCACGATGATTGCCTCAAGCTGTCGGAGATCCATAGTGTAAGTCAACGAGTGGCGGTTCTGACGGCAGACTGCGTGAGTGGCGTGAACCAGTTACGCGAGGGGATGTGAAGCTGACCATGGCAGAGTTGACTTTGCCAAAAGTGAATGAAATATCCCATGGAGCTGACTTTAGCGGGTCAACCTGCGCAGCTCACCCGCGAGCTGGTTCCTACCACATGGCCCGACTTTATGGGCAAGGTGAGCTTTGCGTAATGTTGCGCTGAATTAGGATGAGTACCAGTCCTATTTCAGTGGCAAAATTCTGGGCTTGCTTTATAGGAAGGTGAGGCTACGTCTGTACCTCGCTCACCTCTGGTTGATCCTGAGCCTGCGTTCCGGCCGACCAACCTTCTCAAGGCTGCGTACGCCCTCCACCCCGGCCTCATCGACATCTTCGATCTGGACGTAAAGATGCTGCGCCACATGCAGGTCGTGAAAAGCCGCTACGAGTTCGATCTGCAGTACACGATGCGCCGCTTCAACGTTGAGGAAGCGGAGGCAGTCTCGGGCGTACCCGCACACAACCGGAAACGCCTGGGCTCGCGCGAGCAGCGCCATATGCATGTGAGTGCATGGACGGGAGGAGCTGACGACAGGAAGCATTGGACGTCGTGTACCAAGCTCACGTCGAGACGACGCGCGGGAACGCGCTGAAACTCACTCAGGACGTGAACGTGCCCGACGGATTCACACTGGAGGAGTACATCGCGTGGCATGCGTACATGCTTGTCTTCGAGACTAGACACGTCCTGAGAAGAGCGGATGAGCTGGACAGCGTTTTCAGCGACCTGGAGACGTCCGCCTTTGAGGACGGCGAGATACGCGGGCTGTACGTCAAGTTCTTCAGAGTCTGCTGACAACAAGGCCGCTGATGAGCTTCCCCTTCGTGTGGTGGCCGGAGCTTGTCACGCTCGTGAAGACGGTAGCGTGAATGTATTACGAGTGGATTGGGCTGTCTCACTGTATCCAGTTACATGATAGAGTTTTGTCAAGATGCATTGTGTCCATGTCAGTAGTGCGCAGTGCATTTCGTTTATACCTCTGGGCCGTCAAACAACCTCCACTTTGTGCTCACGTGACCACCCATGCGGAGGCAAAATGTTGATTGCTCGAGCCGGTTGCGGAGTGTGGAAGGATTTGAGGAATTGGGGTGGTGAAACAGAACACTCCACATCACAACAATGTCAACAGCGGCAGAGGTCAAGCTTCTCACCCTCCTCAACGTCAGCGCAATTAAGCGTCCACGTGAGCTCGATCTCCCCGGCGGCTTCCGCTCCCCTGGGACGAGCCGACCACAGAGCCAGACCGGTTCACCTGCCCCTGCAGCCGAGCCGCAGCCTAAGCGGCGGCGGAGCGTCGTCTTTGGCGGCGAGGTCGGGCCGAGCGGCAGCTCGTACGGGAAGAAGACGAAGAAGGCATCCAAGCTCGCCACGGACGCAGTCGCGAACGGGAATGCCAACGGGGCCGCCGAGGCCGAGGACGCAGAAGGGCGGATCGACGAGGGCGATGAGGCGCAGGTGGAGGCCGAGGTCGACAGCGACGAGGAGGCTGAGGACAGCTACGTGACGCACTTTGGTGCTGAGCCTGAGCTGCTGTATAGCGAGAAGAGCGTGTACGAGGCCGCGAGTGAGGGACGATGGGAGACGTCACGCGGCAGCGTGAGCGGGTTGGGGAGGGTAGTGGAGCAGTGGCCGGCAGGCGGGTCGCGTGCCGACGGCAAGGCGAGGGTAAGTCCTCCGTACAACAGCGCTGACGGCAGCTCGTACCATCTATCGCGGCGGCAATGAAGGGCGCACCCGCGCTGGCATCCACGCTCCTCTCCCACCTGGGGACGTACTCGGACGTATACGCGCACAGCATGGACGGCGAGGCGGACGGAAGCGAGAGCGGGCCCTTTGCGGCCGGGACGCACGAGGCGCTGCGCGCGGCGGCCGGGGCACACGCGATGAACCACGTGCTCAAGAACCGCCGGCGCATCGTGCGCGGCAACGAGCGGCTGGCGCACGCCGCCGCCGAGGGCAAGGACATTGAGCCGCCGCGCGACCAGTCTTTCACGCGTCCCAAGGTGCTCCTCCTGCTGCCTACGCGCGCGGCCGCGCACCACTGGCTGACAAAGTACATCTTCCCTTTGGCTGGCGCGGGCACGCAGATCGAGAACCGGCGCCCGTTCAGCGAGAGTTTCACGCTGCCGGAGGGTGTGGAGGATGCGCTCGCCGGCGGCGACTGGCCGGCGGACCACGTCGAGAACCTCGGCGGTAACACGGACGACAACTTCCGCTTCGCGCTCAAGATTACGCGCAAGGCGTGGCGCGTAGTCATGCCGCCCGCGAACGAGGCCAAGCTCCTCGACGCCGACGTCGTCATCGCGTCCCCGCTCGCCATCAAGATGGCTGCCGAGCGCGAGCGAAGCACAGACTACCTCTCCTCGATCGAGGTGTGCATCGTCGACGGCGCAGACGTCATGGCCATGCAGAACTGGGACCATGTCGGGTACGTGTTCAAGCGGTTGAGCGAGGTCGCCGAGAAGCCGAACAGCACAGACTTCTCCCGCCTCAAGACGTGGTACGTTGAGGGCAAGGCCAAGTATCTCCGCCAGACGCTGCTGCTGTCGCGCTACGACATGCCGGAGGCGCGTGGGATATTCCACCACGCATGCCACAACGTCGCGGGCAAGGTGCGCGTCGACGCCGCAGCGGGATTGAAGGGCGTGTTGGATCGCGTGCGCCCGGGCGTGCGGCAGGTGTTTGAGCGCATCGACGCGGAGGAAAAGGCGCTCGGTGCGGAGGCCGGCGTCGAGGAGGTCGACAAACGGCTCGAGTGGTTTACGAAGAAGGTGAGTGATCGCGAGCGGCAGTGGCAAGCCGCAGTGGCGTAAGCCACGGCCAAGTGCGAGCCTCTGGCTCGAGCTGGAATCATCGCAGTATACGGAGAGTTTCTCACACCAGACCATCCCCACCCTCCTCCGCGCCGCCGGCAGCCGTACGCAGACGCTCGTCGTCGTCCCATCCTATTTCGATTTTGTGCGCGTCACAAACCACCTGCGCAAGAGCGGAGCAGTGACCTACGCCGCGTTGAGTGAGTACTCGTCCAACGCCGAGATCTCGCGCGCGCGCACCCAGTTCTTCAAGGGCAAGCGCGCATTCTTGATCGTGACGGAGCGCTTCCATTTCTACCGCCGGTACCGGCTGCGTGGGGCGCGCACGCTGGTCTTCTACTCGCTGCCGGAGCACGCGGCGTTCTACGCCGAGTTCCTCGCCATGCCGTTTGTGGCGGCACGTGGCGCAGCCTCCGACGTCGACGAGGACGTCGACCCCGCCGACGTGCGCGCCCACGTCCTCTTCAGTCGCTTCGAAGTGCTGCGGCTCGAGCGCGTCGTGGGGCATGCGCATGCGCGCAACATGCTGGGCAGCGGCGGGGCGCGGTTCGAGTTCATGTAGGGGGCTGTTACAGCTAGATGGTTGCTTGCATATGCATATATGTAGTCAGGCTGAGGATTTGAGGATTTGGGGATGAAACGGGCGTGTTTTAGGCCTTGGCAAGGTGGAGGGAGGTGGAGAAATGCCTCCGCTGGATGGTGTGACGGTAAGCGCCGCAAGCCACCGTCGATGCAGCCACCACACACACACCATCATCGTCCCGCTCGCTCTCGCCATCCATCAAGTCGTCCTCGCTCCCTCTTTGCTTGTTCTCTCTCCTCTCTTCTCTTCTTCGATCACAATCACACATTCAAGCCCACCCCCCTGCATACCTACAAATAGCATACACATAACTCACACCCGCACCACACTCACGCGCACCATTGCCACCTCCCATCCCCCCCATCCCCCACCCACCCACCATTCCACTCTCACGCGCCATCGCCCCCTCCTTCCCTACATAAACCACCATGCGCGAGTCAAACCACACCGTCCCGCTCTACAATCGAGCTGTCATCGGCATCTCGCAGATGATGTACGACCGACGAGGTGAGTCCGTTCACGCAGCCAGCCTTCTAGCCGCCGCGCCCGCTCCGCCATGCCCATGACCGCCTTCCTCCAACATGGAGGTCTCGGTGCGTTGCATGCGATGGCTGACTGCACTCGTTGCATTTGCCACTGTTGCGCGGCCTCCGTTCACCTCTCTCCGTCCCTCCCATCTCCGATCTCGCCTCCTCCCCATTCACCGCCCCCGTGACGCCCTTCTTGCTTCTCGGGCGCGTGACGTCCATGAACCGACACTCACCCCAGCCCTCGACACAAACTCGACCTTGGCCCTGCTCAACAACCTGTGCCAGCTCACATACTTGACCTCGACGTCGCCGAGGATACGAGAAGTTTTGACCATGGACGGTGGCCTTGAGCGCATGCTCGACATTCTGCGTGACTCCTGCCTTCCTCGCGAACCAACGCTGCCGGATTTATGGGGTCTGAACGGGCCGTGCACTGCAAGAACCATCAACGTCGACCGCGCTATATCTCTCCGTCACTCGCTCGCATTCCAATGTGTGGTTAACATTGGTGTCCGCGGCAACGAGGCGATTCGCACACGAGTTGTCCAGGCTGGAGCACTCGACATTGTGGCGCAGATCCTCGAATCTTGGCTCAAGAAGAACGGCATCGCAATCTTCTCGTCCTCAGTTGGAAGTCAGGCTTCCGTCGACGCGCTGGCCTCCGGCGCACCATTGCCTGGAGTAGATGCCCGAATTCGCCGCCGCCAGGGATCGTCACGGCACGCCGGGGCCAGCAGCACGCATAACAACGCTAGCTCTTCGCGCGATACTCATGCCCAGTCATCTCAAAGCGCCCCAGCCCCACCTTCTCCGCCTCATGTAGGGGGCCACCCCTCCGACGCTATCCCGCCCGCAGGACTGGGGGCGTCCCGGGCCGCCGCACCTCCCTCGCAACCCCAGGTTAATGCCCCGACTCCCTCTCAGCCCGTTCCCATTCCTCCAGGCCCGTTCGGGGCTGGCGCTCCGTCGCGCGGGCTTGGCCAGTTGATGGTCAACCTTCTCTCCAATCGCCTGCAGAACCGCCAGACACAGCAGGATGCACAGCAGCCGCCAGCACCCGCGCGCGTGCAGACGGGTTCATCGATTGACACAGACGTCGAGATGGCCGACGGCGAGACCGAGGAAGGTGGCGAAACTGACACCGCTGGCGGCGACACAGACACGGGTGCAGACATGTCTATGGATGTCGAGTCGGACGCAAATGTGGCTGGGCCTAGTGCGACGACAACCACTCCGCGCGCTCGCATGACGGTCCTCCCCATGCAGATCCCACGGCGGTCCCCCGATCCCCTGAGTGAGGCGGCCAGCGCAGCAACTAGCAATGCCGCGTCGCTTTCTGGCGATGAGCCTCCAGCCATCCCCCGCGCTCGTTCGGACAACAGCCTCGCCACCAACGCGGCTGTGCAGGCTGCTGCAGAGTCGGGCCGTCCTGCGTCTGGTATGGCGCGACCTGCCCAGCTTGGCGCCGACCCCGGGCAGTCTCTGATCCACGGCGTTGAGCATGTCGAGGGCATGCGGGGGCGTCGTGGGACCGTTGTGGGACGACCGCTGCTTGCAAACCGTGATCAGCAGCGCGCTGCGGACGAGAGCGAGGTCTCCGACCACATGCCCGAAACCGACTTGGCTTCAGTCACCGCACTTACAGCTGCCGCGAACGCAGCTATGGAGGCCGCAGCCGCCGTTCCGAACCAGGAGACAGGGCCCCAGCCTGCCATCGTTGAGGGACTCGCCGGCTTGGCAAACGATGAGCCCGACCCAGAGCAGTTGGCTGCTGAGCAGGCCCGATTCGACATGGAGGCTGGCGCACCTCCGGGACAGCCAGGTGCTGCGCAGACTCCTCGCGTAACGAATGCGGACATGCAGCAACAGCCCGCGGAGCTCGCGACACAGGCTGCTCCAGTACCCCCGGCACAGATCATCATCGCCAACCACGCGCCGCGCGGCTTCCAGGACCTCGCGTCGTATGTTGGCGTCTCGCTGCTTCTCAACCCCGAGGGCACCAACTACTCGGAGGACAACATTCTGCTCGCGCTGCAATTGCTTGCATATCTCTCAAAATACGCGCACGTACGAGCAACATTCCACCACCCTCGCCGACCGATGCACCGCACTTTCGACCTTCCCTACGACGAGGAGAGCCCCCTTGCCGAGCGCCCCGCCTACTCAGAGACACCCAACATCTTCTCTCTCGTGGAGAGATTTACATTCCGCCCATCGCCTTCCGACCCACTCATGTTCCGCATCCCCGGCGAGATCCAGTACTGGGCAGGCGTCATCATGCGCAACGCTTGTCGAAAAGACGACGCTCAGGGTGGCATCCGGCAGTGCGCGTACATGTCGTGCGGCCGCTGGGAGAAGTTCCCACGCGAGTTCGCAAAGTGCCGCCGGTGCCGCAAGGCCAAGTACTGCAGCAAGGAGTGCCAGAGCAAGGCGTGGAGTGAGGGGCACCGCTTCTGGTGAGTGCGACTGGAAAGCGACTGGCTAACGATGTAGGTGCAGCTTGCGCTCTGAGCCTGAGCCTTCTGCTGACGCAAACGGTGGTGGTGGTGGTGGAGGAGGTGGTGGTGGTGGTGGTGGAGGAGGTGGAGGTGGCGGTGGCGGTGGCGGTGGCGGACACGGCCGCCATGACCCACCTGCTCGCCGTGACCATGCCGATGGTGACGATGACGTCGAGATGGCGGATGGCGATGCAGTCCAGCAAACACCGCGCGCTGCGGCGCGCCACAACACGCACGCAGCTGCACCGCCGGGCATGATGAACGTCACCACGGATGCGCCGCCTCCTCCTCCTGGCGCGAGCATGCCGACATTCGGGCGTTTGACTCCAATGCGCCGCCCACACGAGTCGCTCGCCCTGGCTGGAGAGGATGTGCCTGAGCGCGAGCGCACACGCCGCGCGATGCCAAGCACCACCACAGGTACCCCGTCCCCCCCGGCTGGTCGCCCGTTGCCAGCGTTCCTCAAGCTCGGCCAGCCCGGTGGTCCGAGCAGCACGACGGAGATGAACGCTGCCATGGCTCGCTCGGCCACGACCGGCGGTCGCTCGACGCCGACGAGGGCGGGATGGTAGACGAGTGGGGCTCCCACGTGCCTATGAGTGCCTACGGGCAGTAGTTGTCATGATTGTTTAGCATGGTCTTGTCATGTAGCCTGTGACTGGTGACTGGAGCGTGGGGTGGGGTTAGTGAGGATGGGCGTGGTGTCGGCCCAGACCGCAGTTTATGAGGTGGCTGGCGTGCACGGAACATGTCACGTTGCGCGGTCTAAGAATGATGTATGAGGGCTATGGTGTCACTGACTGTCAACGGCACGGCATCAAGCTACAACCTCACGCCTACGCCACAGGACTCAGCGATGTCGAGCGCCCCTGCTCGCGTCATCGCCCCTAAGAGAGTCAGTCACGCCGCCACACATCGCTGATCGGCCAAGATTACAGAATACATGACAGAATCGGATACAAGCGATCAGGCTACAATTTGGTTTATTTAGTTTGATTATGATAAGTGTTTAGAAGATGTTTTGGGGTTGAGAGTTTCGTAGAGTCGGGGAGCCCAGATGGCGTTGTGTTTTAGATAGTGTCTCGATGTCCATTGTCTTAGGTCACAGCCGTTGTCGCGAGTGTCCAATCTGTCCATGTGTCAGAACGGTGTCCAAGTCTTGAACGGTGCGCAGCCTTATGCCATGACCGGGGCGACGGTCGCGACCTCGGAGTATGGCGGGGGCGGGTCGTCCGCCTCGATGGCAGGATATGTGATGTGCACGTGTGTGCGGGCGCTGCCGAGAGATGCGCTGGATCTGGACGACGCCGTAGAGCGGGTGGACGTGGATGAGGCGGAGGACGAGGCGCGCCGCTCCCGCCGCTCGTATGTCCGGCTTGTGGGGACGGGGCGCGCGGGGACGGGCGGGAGTGGCGGAAGTGACGGGGAGGAGAGGCGGGGTTCGTCGCATCGCGCGCAGATGCATGAGCAGGCGCTGCGGGATGTGGAGAACGAGGCGGGGGACGTGTAGGCCGTGGAGGAGGGGGCGGGGGACGCGATGGACGCAGAGGACGCAAAGGACGCAGGGGATGCAGGGGACGCAGAGGATGCGAAGGAGGCTGAGGACGCGAGCGACTCGGTTATGGACGAGGTGGACGAGGCCGACGAGGATATGGACGAGGAGGCGGACGCAGACGAGGACGCCGATGACGCCGATGATGCCGAAGACGCCGAGAAGCTGCGCTCCCTCCGGTCACGCCAGCCTTCGCATGCGCTTGCACCGGCTGCGCTAGCGGCACTAGCGACGCCGCTGAGCCGCTTGGCGCAGCGCACGCAGGCGCAGGCCGGGTGCACGCGGCGTATGTTCGTGTGGGTACGGTTCACGAGGTCGTAAGGCGGGAGGTTGTAGATCTGGCGTGTGACGGCGACCTGGTGGGCGAGGTGGGGCTGGGCATCGAGCACGCTGTCGAGGGCGGCAACGATGGAGCGCTTTGTGCGGGTCGCGATGCGGGCGTCCACAAAGTGACGGAGGAGCGACTGCGCCGTGCTGCTGTCAGCGATTCAGCGACCGGCGGGGGGCTGGGGCGAAACGTACAGTGGGTCCGGGGCGGCGGCTAGGTGCTGCTGCAGCTCTTCGAGCGTGGTGGCTATGGGCACTGTGGGCTGGCGTTAGTGACCGAGATCGGGCGTGGGGAAGAGGGTACCCACTAGTGCCGCTAGGGGGAGGGCTAGGGGGTGCCCGTTCACGTCGCGGAGCATCGCCATGGCAAGAGGGCAGGAGGGAGGCAAGGTCAGGCAAGAGGTAGGCAAGAGGCAATAGAGTGTGGTTGATGGCAGAGTTAAGATGAGAGAGACGGGTGGCGGCGGCGTCTTATCACTCCATTTATGCACATCATCCAGGGCTTGTGTGTGATGAGCAGACACCGGCGGCGGCGAGCGGGAGGTGAGCGCTGGTGTTGGCGCTGGCATGGGCATGGTAAGCCGCGGGGAGCGACGATGAACCGACGTCAGAGGATTGTGGATGACGAGATCCGGCATTCAGTCACTCAGGAACGGGGCGTGCGGTGCTTTCGTCTCCCTGCGTGGTCATGAGATCAGCAGGGCTTGGCCCAACGGAATGCGTTGTGAGTCGTACTGTAGGTCAAAGTCTACAGCCAACGTAACGGCGTGCAGCCCGCAGTTTGTCCTGGCTTACGTCGCAGTGCGATGGCGCTTGGCCACCCGTCAGACCGTATCTCCCCTGTGGTCAGCTGCGCCGAATGTGCCGGGATGGTCACTGATGGCACCCGACAGCCGCGGCAGGTGGGCGATACCGAATCAGATACGGCGAAGTCGCACACTGGCAACACCGGCGGCGATAAGGATGAACGCGTGAACATATGTGCGTGCAGGGCTGCACCGCTGTGCGTCTTGGAAAGAACGCTGTAGACGGCGCTGGACGCTGAAGCAGTTCTGGTGACCACCCTCGTTGTTGATGGTGGTGCATGAGATGGAGAGATGGAGAGGGTAAGAGACAGCCCAGGGTGCGTCAGTGGCGTTTTGTGTTTCATCAGTCGCGCCGCCCTGAGACAGTCGCGTGTTTGCCACGTGTTTCTCCAGGGGACTGCGTGCCTGCAACCGAAACATGATCCGTCGATCCGTCGAGCAAGTGTCCAATGCATGAGTGAGAATTATGAGGTGTTACCTGATCGTATTATTGTGATGCGAGTCAACAAGTGTTTTAAGCGAGGAGCGGCGTCGGTGGTCCCCTGGTCTTGTGGAGGACCCGCTCCCCGCGCGGCTCATCGGCACGCCAAGGGCGCTGAGTGCGTCCTCCGCATCGCGCCCCGCAGCATACAGTGACGAGTTGACGCCGGCCTCCGACGCCAGGCGGTGCGCAAGGAGGCGCGAGAGGTCGAGGTTGGCCTCAGCAGGGGCATATGGCGGCGGGGGCGCCACACTTGCTTCGCGCGCATCTACCGCCGCTGCCGCAGCAGCGTGGTGCGCGCACGGGCATAGCGAGCGCCGCGCCCGCCCGTCCTCAGACCCGTCGCGCTGCAGCCCATGTGTCTTGTGCACGGCGCGGAACTCGGCGGCAAATTCGGGAAACTGGGTGAGCGAGCTTCTCAGAAGAGGCTCACCTCGCTTTCGAGCTTGTGTAGTGTCGCTTCGAGCGCCGGGCGGTCGCGCTTCGTCACGCCCCGCCAGCGAATGTAGGCCGAGAGCACCGAAAGCACGTAGCTGGCGTCAGTGACGAATTGGAGTCGGCGCACGGTGGATAGCTTCGTGCTCGTCGTGTGTGCAGCAGGCGGCGGACCTCGTCGAGTTCTTCGAGCGAAGAGGTGATTTTGTAGGTCTGCGGTTAGTGGGGTAGCAGGGTTAGGCTTGCCTCTCTCCGCGAGTGCGTCACCGGCAGTGCGACGGCACGGGCAATGTCCAGGATATTGACTCTAGGCATCGTCGAGGGGAAGAGGAGTAGGGGTTAAGGAGGGGAGGGGGAGAGTCAGCACAAAGTCGAATCCGGGCCTATGTGGACAGGTCGTGTGCGAGTGGAGAGGGAAGAAAAGATGGGGGGGGCGTCAATGGCGCAGGGCGATATGGGCCCCGGCGAGACGGAGAAGAGACGGGTATGCGGAGCAAAGAATAGTGGGGATGCAGAAGATGTCGATGGTAGCTTCAAGGGGCCCATATATGACTGCCGCCCTCGGCATTCTGCTCCTCATCAGCGCCCCGTACGAGCGTACGCAGCACGGTCGCGGCCGGTTTACATGAGAGAGCAAGGGGCGGTTGTTGCATGTCGGGACAGGAACTGCCTTGCTGGGCGGCACAGCCCGGCGCGGCATGCTTACTTGTACTCATCACGTATACCGATCAAGTCCTTAATTCTCCAAAGCAATCGCCGCGATCCCTGCGGGGAGGCCGCAGATGAACGCCACGACGCGGCATGCGCGGAGCGTTGTCGATCTTCGCAGGTAGTATGGCGATGGCGTGGGCAGCTGAATCGTGCCCGGAGAGAGCATGCGCATGGATGCGCCGAGTATCGTATTGCTAGCGCTGACACTCAGGCTGCGTACTCCACGGCCGAAGAGGCAGTGAAACCGTTCCTGCGTCCACGCCCCTCGCGGCAGCGGATGAGTGTGCGCGGTGTGCGCGGTGTGCGCGGTGTGGCATCTGTCGACTTCTAGCTTGCATCCGAATGCGTACGCTCGCACCAGAACGCCAAACTCTGCACGTACAAACTTTCCAGGTTTTCGGCTGAGACATGCAAACCAACTCCCATATCATCGAGACATCTCCTCCCCGCAGACCATGCGTAGTGACAGCAGCGGGAATGGTGGCGTTTATTTCTCGGGACGGCGCGCATGTCCGGCGAGCTTAATGCCTGCATGACGCGCTACATGGCCCACCCGCATGCTGACGCAAGCATTGCACGGACGGAGTGATCGACAGCCGTACATCCCTGTGCTTGCAGCCGCCGTGTGTGACACGAGACGCGGCGTATAACTAGGATGCTATGTCCTGGCATTGACTGCATTCCTAATTCTTCTTCTCCTTCTGCTTCTGCGGCAAGATGGCGTGACGGCGCGGCGCGCCCCCGCGCTTCCGTCCCCCCGCACCGCGCACGCTTCTTCTTGACATAGTCGTCTCGTCCTGCTCGCACGTCGTGACGGCCTCATACACCGTGGCGTCGGGGCAGTCGCCAGCGAAGCACGCGACGATGGCCTCGGCGGTTCTGATGCCCTGGTCCCACGCGCCTTGAACGTACCCAAACGAGTCGGCGGAAGTGGCTTCGCCCGAAAAGTGGAGCCAAGACTGGGCGCCGCCGAGCGGCTGCCCGAGGTTTGAATGGTGCTGGTCGAGCGCACCGAGCGGCCAGTTCGAGTACGAGCCGCGGAAGAGCGGGTCGAGCGTCCAGCGGGGCACGAGGGCGTCGAGGGGCGCCGGCACGTCGCCGTACATCTCGCGCAGGACGACGAGGGCTTCCTCTACAATCTCCTCGTCGCTCATCTGCTCGTTCCGTCGCCCAAAGGCGCCCGTCGCTGTCACCATCAAGACGTTGTTTGCGCCGGGTGGGAAGTAGCCTGGCGCATTGATGTTCTGCCACACCATGTACCGGCCACGCTCGTCCGGGTCCGAGTACATGATGAACTGGGTAAGCGGGGATAGAGGAATGTGCCTACCTCTGAATCGCCCCAGAACTGCTTCTCGAACAGGAAGAAGATCTGGCGTCAGTTATCACCATACTATGCGCACCTTCTGATAAGTCGCCATGGCAAAGGTGAATATCGCCTCCTTTTTCCAGTCCGGCAGGCGCGGAACCCACTTCACGTCCTGGTGCTGCAGCACGCCGACGCTGAACGTCGATACGACGTGTGGCGCGGCAAACGTGCCCTTGTCGGTATGGACGAGGATCTCTGGCCTGTCGGGTTTGGTCGTGCCCGCGGTCTTATCCTCTCTCTTGTGCTCCTCTCTGCGCCCGTCCTTGTCCCCGCCCTTGCCTTTGCCCTTGTCCTTGTCCTTACCCCCGGTATCTCTACCATTACCAAGCGCAGAGTAATCAATGGTATGAACGGTCGTATTCAGGCGCAAACGCTCGTCAGTGAGCTTCTGCCCGAACATCTCCCGCGCCTCCTGCACGAAAATGTACTTGAACCCACTGGGGTCAGCGAGGATCGCCTCTCCACCCACCGGGGATCCACGACAAAGTCGTCGCGCTCGTTCGCAATGCCTGCTTCCTGCGCAAACGCATTCGCGAAGCTGCTCTCCTCGGGCGACTGCGCGAACGTGTAGTCGATGTTCCAGTACTCGTACGCCCGCTGCAGCGGCGTGACGGGCATCCAGTCCATGATGGACGTGGCGACGCGCACGGAAACGTCGACGAGCGAGTTGTTGCTGCGCCACTCTGGTGTCAGATTCATCGGGTCATCGGGAAATGCGCGGCGGATCTACATGATCGGGAGAGCATGGAATGCTCGCAGATCACCAGTCGCCAGATCAGATCATCAGATCGGCATACCTCCTCCTTGATCCTTGGCCACCCACTCGCCACCTCCAGCCCTCTCCTTGCTACCACGCACCAGAATACCCCGGCGCGTTCTCGATAAAGTCATCGTAGTCGAGCATGAATGCGTCCGTCTCCTCGGGCGCGAGGAAGCGCCCGCGCTCTCCGTCGGCTTCGACGCCGAGCCCCTCGAACCACACGGCAGACGAGTAGTTGGTCGGCGTCGTCTTGAGCCCCCACTTCTTCGCGAGCGCGACGATCGGCTCCTTCCCCGGGCCTTGTATCCAATTACACCCTTTCTCAACGACGACGTCGCCCGCGCTCCCGCGCAGCGTGGCGGTGTGCGCGCGCCCGCCGAGCTCGTCCCGCGCTTCGAGGAGCACAAAGTCGGTGATGTTGTGCGCCGTGAGGGTGCGCGCGAGGCTGATGCCCGATATCCCGCCGCCGAGGATCACGACTTGCGTGTGCCGCACGTCCGAGGCGGCGGCGGCCGCGAGGAAATACAACAGTGAGAGGGGGAGCATGGTCGATGCGTTGACAGACCAGGGGGCACAACGCTCATGGCCTTGATGTACCCGCACGGACAACTCGCTCAAGATGGCTAGCGCCGCCATCTCCATCCGCGCTGCCCGCATGACGCCACGCCGTAGCGAAACTCAATGGACGCACTGGCTCAACTGTTACGCCTAATCGGTATATCCCTCAGATTGCGGCAGATTGCCCCATGAACACACGCGGAAGGCAATTCATTATCGGCCATTCCGCGTGACCCGGGAACCACAGACCGCAGACCGCAATGGGCGTGGAACTGAATTGACGATCCCTATCTGAGCTTAAAGCTCGGCCTACATGGGCGTCACGAGATCGCACACGACCCACGGCATCGGTATCGACAGCACATACACTTGCATCGCTACAAGCCCCTCCCGCTACGCCCACAGCTTGATCAACCCGTCCCACGATGCCGTGATCACCTTTGACTAATGTCAGCGAGCCGATAAGCCGGGCGCAACTCACGTGTTCGTTGGGCAGCCAGCAGTGGTCAATCACCACCTGCTTGTGTGCGCGCAGCCGCTTCTCAATACGCCCCGTCTTCCAGTCCCAGAACACAACGTCGCCCCCGCCCGTACCAGACGAGATGTACTTCCCATCGGGCGAGAAATTGATCGTGCACGCGTACCCCGCGATCGTGTGCCCTGCAAATCGCTTCTTCTTGTTCTGCCGGAACGTCCCGTCTGCAGAGTACACAAGGATCTGGTTGTCGAGCGACTGCGCCGCGACCCACTTATCTGATTGTCAGCAGTACCTCGAAACACAACTCACTCCCGGGGTGCTTGGCCACCGACGGCATCGAGTGCATGTACGGCTCGGCAATGTACTTGATGACGACGGGGATGTCAAAGTCCCACCCGCGGATCGTTTTGTCGTCCGACGTCGTCATGAAGCGTCGGTTGTTGTCGACGAACGTGATCGTGTTCACGGGCCCGAGGTGCTGGTCGTACGTCTGCACAATCTCATGCGAGCGCGTGTCCCACTGCAGGATCTTCTTGTCCTGCATGCCGGCCAAGAAGATGTTTTGCCTCTCGGCGTCCGGGTGGAATTTGACGACGTTCGCGACCTTGCCTGTGGAGAAGCGCGAGATGACCTTGCCTGTCTCCGTGTCCCATAGCTTGACAGTGCGGTCGAACGAGGCCGAAAGGAAGCGCTCGCCTTTGCGGTCGAACGCGACGTCCTTGACGGCCTGCGAGTGGCCCATGAATGTCCGCAAGCAGTTGCCCTCGTGATACACGTCCCAGAGCTTGATCTTCGTGTCCATGCTTCCCGACAGCAGGAGGTGGCCGCTACGCGGGAACAGGCGGATGGCCGACACGCCCTTGTTATGCCCCGTCCAGGTGTGGAGACACTTGCCGTCCGGCACGTACGAATTGAGCGGTGGAGTCCCTTCTGTTGGGTTAAGCTTGACGTCAACATCTGTCGGGATGTGCAGGTACGATCGCCCGGCGTAGTCGTACAGCTCCTTTCCGTGGAACGTCGACTTTTCCTCGTTCGACTGCTTCATCTTCTCCTGCGCAGCCGCCTTGGCATCCTCGCGGCGCTTCTTCTCCACGCGCCACTCCTCGTCCTCCTCCTCGTCCTCCTCGGCCACTGCCATCTCGTCCTTGGGCTCCTCGTATCCCGCCCATGGGCCGAGGTATGCGTCGGCGCCATCGGTGACGCTCGCGTCGCCCTTGCCCGCCCGTTTCCTCTTAGCCGCCCGGCGCTGCGCCTTTGATGGCCGCAGCGTGTCGATCATACTGAACCCGTTCGCCGCCGCCGTCTCCGCCGACCCGACTAGCGCGCCATTGCCCGCAATGGATGGATCATTCGCATACCCGAGGACTTCGAAAGTCCGCTTCTGCCGCTCGAACTCGTACGTATCCATGACCTGCTCCTCGACGTGACCTTAAATTAGCTCGTGCATAGCGCTGCAAGACTTACCTGCGGCCGAGTTCATACCCTTGTTCTTGGCCTGGTTGAACGGGTCTTCCGGCCCTTGGACGGGTTTGGTCATGTCCTCGTAGCGCAGGTTGACGTTGACGACCTGGTCTGTTGGGCGCGCGACGATGGCATTTGAGACCATGTTGGGGTCTTCTGCCAACACATCCGGGGTCGCGGTGACATCGAGCTTGGTGACGACTTTGGACGCCTTGGCTGGTGCCGCGGATGTGAGGCCGAAAGCATCCTTGCGCGCCTCAGCCTCGATCTCCTCGTCGTTCTCGTCGTCATCTCCGCCGTCGACATTCACAGTCTTAAGGACCGAGGGCCCGGGGATGTCTTCGTCGTCGGAAGAGGCGTACCCAGCGAGGAGGGCAGACATGGCGGGGGTGTGGGTGATGGATATGGAGTTAGGTGGCCAATTTCATGTTGGTGGTTGTCGATGATGTGCGGAGGCGGATGCATGCAGAAATCTAGCAGGCCTAAGTGCCACGTGAAGGTCGCGTGGGTGTGAGGGTAGGCGTACAAGCGTCAGAGGCTCCGATTTTTGCATGACAGGCCTAATTCTCGATTGCGAGATCCCGAGGCATGCTTAGACGGAGATGGCCGATCCTAATGGAGCTTAATCCCCAGGTAATGCCGATTAGGAATGGACTAGGACCTTGTGCGGGACGGTGGTAGCCGCTGTAACCGGAATGCCGCGGTCAACCTTGTCCACACCGGACGCTCAGCCGGCCAAGTGGGATGCTTGAGCCGGCCACCGCTGACATCTCCTCGTTGCCGGTCACTCTCTCGCCGTCTTTGTCAACCCTCTTTGCTTTGTCAACACCTCCTCTCACCTCAGCCCACTTGTATAAGCATCGGTTTCAACGCCCCACCCTTCTCGGACTTACTCTCACCCTCCCTCGTCCAACACTGCAGCCATGGTCCTCAACACTGAGCTCACTCGCCTCCTCAACATCAAGGTGGGTGGGCACTTCATATCCCAACTTTCTCCCCTCGCCCTCGCCTCGTCGCAGCACGCTAACTTCCCAGCACCCCATCGTGCAGGGTGGTATGCAGTGGGTCGGCTGTGAGTACACTCTCAACTTGAAGCCGAACGCGCCGACTAACCCCCAGTGCCCGCGCTCGCCGCCGCTGTCGCCAAGGCCGGTGGTGTCGGTATCCTCACCGCCCTCACCCAGCCCAGCCCCGACGCTCTGCGCGAGGCCATCCGTGAGACGCGCAAGATCATCGGCGACGGCCCCTGCCCCGGCAAGTTTGTGAGTTGAGCTAGTCGTCTAGCTAAGCGAGCCTCTCGGCTGACCGCAGGGCGTCAACATCACCCTCCTCCCCTCGATCACCCCTCCCGACTACGCCGGCTTCGTCCGTGCCGCCATGGACGAGGGCATTGAGATCTTCGAGACCGCCGGCAACAACCGTGAGTGATGCGGCCGGCGACGCGACGCAACTAACAGCAGCCGGACCCATCATCCAGCTCATCAAGACGTACAAGGCACCCGGCCAGACCTCGGTCCCGAAGCGTATCGTGATCCACAAGTGTGTTGCCGTCCGCCACGCGCTCTCGGCTCAGAAGATGGGTGTCGACGTTCTTTCGATCGACGGCTTTGAGTGCGCCGGCCACCCCGGTGAGGAGGACATTGGTGGCCTCGTGCTCCTCGCCCGCGCCGCCAAGGAGCTCAAGATCCCCTTCATCTCGTCGGGTGGTATTGCCGACGGCCGCGGCCTCGCTGCCTCTCTCGCCCTCGGCGCCCAGGGCTGCAACATGGGCACGCGCTTCATGGCTACCGTCGAGGCCCCCATCCACCAGAACATCAAGGAGAAGATTGTTGCCTCGAACGAGCGTGACACCGTCCACATGTTCCGGTAAGCCTCCCATGCGCTATGAACTAGTGTAAGGGCGCAATTAACATTCAGCACGCTCAAGAACACCGCCCGTGTCTACAAGAACAAGGTGTCGACCGAGGTCGTGCGCCTCGAGAACCGCCCTCACGGCGCCAAGTTCGAGGAGCTCCGTGAGCTCGTTGCCGGTGCCCGCGGCAAGCTCGTCTACGAGAACGGTGACCCCGACTACGGCATCTGGTCGTGAGTGTTATTGCACGGCGGGGTGGAAGCTCTCGTTCAGAAGAGAAGCCACGCCAGCCCTGCTACAGATGTTGGCGAGACGAGCTGACGGACAGGGCGGGTATCTCCATGGGCCTGATTGACGACATTCCGACCTGCAAGGACCTCTGCGACCGGATGGTTGCGGACGCCGAGAAGATCATCACCGGCCTCGCATCTACCGTTGTGGGAAGCAAGGCCAAGCTCTAGATTGTGGTGGACATAGCACCGCTAGAGGGATTTGTAGAAAGGAACAGCAGTCTTGAGTGAGCCGAGATGAGATGTGAGACGATCTTGGTCGCCTTGGCACTTGCGAAGCGGAGCGGGGGGGGGGGGGGGGGGGGGGGGGGGGGGGGGGGGGGGGGGGGGGGGGGGGGGGGGGGCGTGAGACGATGAGAATGGAGAGTCGTGAGATGCCAAGAGCAAGGTCGTACAGCAGCAGAGCGGGTATCGAGTAAAAGATGATGGAGATGATGCAAGATGGATAGACTCGTGATGGGTAAGCCAGATGGAGCGAGAAGGTGGAGGTTTGTGTGAGGACCCCTTTCACGAGCACGAGGGTGGGACCTTTGACACCTTCCCTGGCAGCCAACGCATCGAGCATCGTCCATCCATCCTCCCTCTCCTCGACGACAAAAAGCTCGTCTTTCTCTCTCTTGTTCTCTTTCACTTCTCTTTCTCTCTCTCTTTCATCAACTCCATCCCCTCTTGCTCTCTCTCCCTCTGCTCTGCACTGTGCCCCCAGCTACGTCGTAACCTCCCCCCCCCCCCCGGCCCGCTCCATCCCCGTTTGCCACCCCTTTTCTCCTCCTCTCGCCGCCCTCCTACCATGAGCCCTCCTCATGGTGCGGGCGGCATCAGCATCCTGCCTCTAGCAGGTCTACCACGCTCAAATGGCTGGACGCGCGGCGGCCCTCTCCCTCACCCCCCAGCGCCTCCCACCATTTCCACAGAGTACGATTACGACGCCGAGTCGGACGATCCCGACGTTCTTTCCGACGACCCGGCCGAGCTCGACGATCTCACTCCTGGCACCAAGAAGCGCAAGGGTCCTGTCCCCGTGGTTCCCGGAAGCGATGCGGACATGGACTCTGGCCGCGATGGCCTCGACCGCAACCCGCCACGAGCAGCGCGCGAGGACACCGAGGGATCATTGCGCATGTCAGTAAGACGCCTTACGCGGTCAAACGGTGCCACGCTCGCTGCGCAGCGTCGTGCTTTGTTCCAGAAGCGCAAAGTCGCCCTCGTCGCGCTCTACTGTGATGCGCAGGCTGCGTATGACGCAGCGAATCCATGCCCCATCACACCAACCTCCGCCACGTCGACAGGCAAGAAAGATTCCAAGGCGTCACCGAAATCTGCGCCAAAGGGCAAGAAGGGCACATCGGGCACTGCCTCGCCGACCAAGAGCGGCGCCGCCTCGCCCGTCTTGGCTGCTCCTGCAACCCCTGCTGCGGCTCCAAAGTCTGGTCTTCCCGACGTTGCCGCATTCGAGCGCCTGCTCCCGGCTCTGGAAGACGTGGTCGTGTGGCCGCCTGACGCCCCAAGCTGGCGCGAGGGCGACGACGCCGCACGCCCTGTACCCCGCCGCACCCTCGAACGGTGGCGCACTGGCTTTGCGCAACGCAAACGCCAACGCACGGACCGCCAGCCCGTCCACCGTGGTGGCTGGATTCCAGAGGGCAGCTTTGAGCTGGACATTGCTTGCGAGGGTGAGTGTTGTTGCGTGGGCGTCACGGAGTAACGGGGTTGCGAGGCGACACGCACGCCATTCGGCGTGTGTTTCTGTCACACACCCCGGGAGTTTCCAGAATACAGGACAGCGCATTGGGCTTTTGCTCGCTCGCACCAGCTAACACCAAGCGTCGACGCGTGCGCGTACCCGCGCGCGTGAGCGTATGACGCTGCTGCGCCTTGCGGAACAGCTGCGCGCCCTGGTCCTTGCCTGCAACAAGATTCCCTCGGCGCCCGAGCCCATGAGCCCGCCGCCTTCGCCCGCGGTCGTCCTCGAGCCGCTTGCGCAGAAGCTACCCCCATCTCCGAAGAAGAACTCGAAGAAGAAGAAGAAGAAGCGTACGACGCTGGCCAACGAGGGCAACCCGCACCACGTGGACAAGTGTGAGTTGAGCGGTCTAGCTGCGACATCCTTAAGGGGCCGGCCTGCTTAATCGCTTGTGATAGCCGTGCGAAGGCGCAGGCGCAGCTCAGTATTCGAGCCGGAGCTTACCCCAGACCGCCCTTCGCGACCGATCCCGACCACGGACCCATACGAGCCGTGGCCCGGTCACTCATCTCTCCTTTTCCCACCGCCCATGCGCGTGCTTGCTGCGCGCCCGGGCGGAAAGGACCAGCGCCCCGGCGAAGACGAGTACATCTGCTGGTCGTGTCAATACGCGCTGTTCTATGGCTCGGAGGCGCTGCGCAAGCACGCGATCCGGCAGCGGCGTGCCGAGATAAAGCGGCGCGAGAAGCTCAAGGCGCGCGCGCGCGAGGTGGCAACCGGCACGCGGCCGTACCGCCCTGGCGGCGATGATGATGACGAAGACTACGACGACGAAGAGGACGAGGAGGACGATGACGACGACGATGCCTGCGAGGGGCGCTGCAGCTGCGGGCGTGCGCTGCCAAAGTGTGAAGAGGACAAGCCACCGGACAAGGACGCGGGAGGCTAGGCGGGGCTTGAGGCCCGATAGCGGCTGCCGCTTCGGGTCTCACGCGCCTAGCGCGGGGCTAGGAAGGCGGTGGAGGAGCGGGGAGTGCGTGGCGCGCAACGGCGCGGTGAGGGTCGGCGAGACGGTGGCACTGTGAGACGTAATGTGGAGGAGGTAGACGCACCATTCAGCGCGGCGGAAGGCACGAGGAGGAGGTGTGAAGCAAATCGCTTGAGACGAACGAGTCGCTCATTCATTCATCCGTTCAACAACGGCATCATTAGTCCTGTACTGTCCATAATTGAATGCATCGCATGAGACGAACGGGTCGAGGAGCATGGAGCAGCAGTTCTCGGGACTTTGGCGGCCTCGGAGGACCCGTTGCGCACCAGAAGGTGACAGAGGACAGCGGCACACATCCGCACCAACTCGTAGTCTCACCTCGCGCGCGCCAAAGCACCGCTCACCAAGACGCCAAGAGTGATCTCGGCGTCCACACTCTCAGACTCCCACCGTCCCATTCCCACATTTCACCTCCCACGTCAGTGGTAGACCCAGCCCGATCCCCATCCCCAGCTGCCAGCGCAAGTCACACCCTCCCAGCTTCCCAGACTCGCTGTGGCACACTGTGGCACACAAACTCCTCGCACTCCCATGCTGTCATATCCAGCCTCCTCGTCTCAAGCCTGCTCTCCCTCTCTCTTCAACATAAATACCCTCCCCGTCTCTCGTGTTTCCTCGCCTCTCCAATCTCTTAGCCGCGCTCCTCATTTCCTATCCTCTCATCTCCTACCACCTCATCTACCGTCTCCTCCTCTCCTGTCTCCTCATCTCTCCTTGGCCTCCTCCCCGCGCCCAACAATGCCGATCAACCGCATTTGCTATGGCGACCAGAGCGGCGAGAACGCCGGTTGTGAGTCATCTCGACCTCTGCTTCATCTCCCTCACTCCTTCGCTCTTCGTCTCCCCTCGTAATCCTCCCCGCCCGCGCTCTCTCATCGCCCTCCTCGCTCTTCCGCTCACCCTCCCTCATCGCCCTCCTCATCTCTCTTCTTGTCTTCTCACGTCCATCCTTTTCCCCTCCCCCTCCCCGCTGCACGCTCCGCCCCTCCTCCCTGTCCTCCTCTTTGCCCTCTTTCTCCATGCCGTCTCCGAGCCCTTCTCTACTCTCACTTTCGTCCTCTTTACTCACCGTCGTTTTCCTCTCACCCCCCTCCCCCCCTCTGTCCCCTTCCGCGCCCGCTTCCCCTGCTCTTGCTGCTTCGCCTCCCCCTTCCACTCCCGCTGCTCCTCGCGCTCCTACCCGCTCCCCTTGCTCTTCCTGCTCCGCCCTCGCCTCCCTTGCTCCCCCACTCACACAGCCCTCTGCTATCCCGAGCTCTGCGGCGACCTCATCCACTGGTCGTGCTACTTCTGCCACGGCGACCTGACGATCTACGCCGAGCCCGAGCCGCAGACCGCGTACGCGTCCGCGGCGCCATACGCATCTCCGTCTTCATCGTCCTACGCTGCGCCGCCCACGTCCTACGCGCCATCCTACGCGCACTATGCGCCATCATACGCGCACTACGCACCCACCAACCCAACCTACGCGGACGACACCCCCGATCCTGCCGGTGACTCACGCCAAGCCTGGGGGCCGGGGTGGGGCACGACCTGGGGCTCGCACCGCGCCGAGGCTGATGTCCCCCAAGTCTCGCAGCGCACGCAAACTCCTCTACCCACTAAGTTTTCGCACAACTCCCGACCCGCGAATACTTCGCGCGACTCACAGGATTCGCAGAACTCGCAAGAATCGCAGGAGGCGCGGGAATCGCAGGGGTCGCAAGACTCACAGGACGTGAAGGGTAAGAAGAAGAAGCGGTAAGCGAGCTTGGTCTACGGCTTTCGAGGATGGGAACAGGAGGCGGCTGTAGTTTTTTTTTTTTTTTTAATGCAGAATTGTGAACAACAGATGAGTCCCGTCATGTCAGTAGTGCACTCAGATGAGATGCACGCAAGCGTTCAAGATGTGACATTCCGATGGGTATTATCTGCGCTCCTTGACGTAGAACTGGAGCACCAGGTAGCTGGCGAAGGTGAAGACTCCGAAGACGATGCCCAACAGGGCCGTGTCGGGCCACCAGAAGGCCTGGGCGTGGAACCCGAACGAGGACAGGACTGGTGTCAGCGTGATGACGTCTGGGAACGCCTCCACACAACTCACTCGTGGCACTCGGCACCTGAATGTCGAGGCCAAACTTGTGCTCGATGAGTTGGAGGTACCGCAGCTCGTTGACGAGAAGCGCCTCATATGCGGCATGGAAGAAGGACAGGGTCAGCATCCAGCGCAGGCTTTCGGCGACGCGGTCGTAGTTCATCAGCAGTCCGGCGAAGAGAAGGCTGGAGCGTTAGGAGGCACAGGGTGTAGGCTTACTTGTAAAGCATCACGAGGGAGCCGAGGAGGTTGGCCACGCCCTGGTCCGCGACGGACACGGAAATGAAGAGCACGATCGACGCTGCAGCGAGGTTGAACAGCACGAGGATCATGATAAATTTCCAGAAGCACGAGACCTCGGGGTTGAGGCCGGCCAGGCCGTAGACAATGGAGCCAAGCACGAAGGGCGGAATGACGCGCAGTGGAAGAATGTCAAACAGGATCTTGGAAAGAAAGTAGGATCCCGGGACGTAGTAGCCGTTGGCACTGGTATTAGCCCGGCCCCAGTTTGAACAAAGCCTCACCGCTCGCGCATAAACAGCATACGCTCATTGGCAAAAATGCCCAGCGACGAGAGAGTTGAGAAGCCAAACAGTGACAAGATGAAGAGGAAGAGGCCAAGACGGTTCCTGCGCTGTCAGTTATCTTCGATTTAGGGGACTCACTGGAAACCCGGAATGTCATTTGTGACGTGGTAGAAGAAGAAGCCACACAGCAGGGCCACCACGATAGCGACGACATAGTGCGTGAACATGAGCATTGGGTTGCGGTAGAGGTTCTTGAATGCACGGCCGCTCAACAGGCGGAACTGGGTCCAGAACGTCGCCTTGTCGTATCCGCGCAGCAGGGCGATTTCCTCGCTCACATCCCGCTGGTCGTTGGGGATGCCGTCCGCCGACTCGCCCGCCTCTATGCGTGCAATCTCAGCCTCAGTGATCTTGGACCCGTCGCTCGCGCGGCAGGCAAGTACCAAAGTCGCGAGCTGTTCAGGCACAGCGTAGGGGGCGTCACGAGGGGTTGCGGTGCCAGAGGAGAACAGGCCAAGGAGGCGTGCAGCCTTCCTCTTGATTCCCACAGTCACACCCTCCACAGCACCGCCCTCCTCGAAGGCCAGCAGGTGATCTCTCCTCGAGTGCGAGGAAAAGCCAGCCTCGGCGTCGGAAGGTCCGTTGCGTGACGCGCTGGCGCTCGGACGGGCTGGCGTGTCTGTCCCACTTGCAATACCGCTTGCCATGCCACTAGCGAACCCGCTCGCGGCTCCACTCTTGCGGTGGTCACCAGCGGCCTCGACGGTTAAATCGATGAGGAAGTCAGCGATGTTGAAACCTGGAGGGCAAGGGTGTCCAATGCCCTCAAAGTGTTCCTGCGCCTTGTGGGCATCGTCAGAGTACACCATCTGACCGCGGGCCAGGAGGAGAAGGCGGTCGAAGAGTGCGACGATGTTGGACTGGGGCTGGTGGATGGTGAAGATGACGGTGCGATTGTAGTCCTTCGCGAGAGTCTTGAGCGACTCAATGACGTTGTAGGCATTGTATGAATCCAGACCAGACGTGGGTTCGTCGAGGAAGAGAATCGATGGACCAGTGACAAGTTCACACGCGATAGATACACGGCGCTTCTCACCGCCCGAAATGGACCGTTTGCCTGTTTCGCCAATGCGCGAGTCCTTGATGCCGATGATTCCCAGCTCCTCCATTGTCTCGAGGGTGCGATAAACCTTCGCCTCGTAGCTCATCTCGCGAGGAAGACGGAGCAAAGCGGAATAGAGGACCGTCTCGTACACTGTAAGAGTCGGAAGGAGGGTGTCTTCCTGGTCGACAAATCCCACTACGCGACGGAAGGTCGAGGAGTCGAGGATGCGGCCGTTCACATACACCTCGCCCGTGACGGTGCCAGTCTTAGCGCGCCGGCCGAGAATGTCGAGGAGAGTCGACTTGCCCGCTCCCGACGCGCCCATAATTGCCATGATCTCGCCTGGCCGAGTGGCTCCCGTGATGTGCGAAAGAAGCTCCTTGCCAGAGGGAAGCGTGTAAGAGATGTTGGAGAAGTGAAGAGTGGCAGGAACGTGGTCAGACATCAATTTGGCGGCCTCCTCCTCTGGGAGTTTGATGCCGGACCTGCGGCCGGGCAAGCGCTGAGCGCGGCCAGCGTACCACATGACTGGGTGTAAGCGTGTGCTAGGCATGGAATGACATACGAAGGCATGCAAGCACGAAGATGGTCGCTGCGATTGCGGCACTAAGCGCAACGAGAGCAGAGTTGTCGGGCTTGGGCGGCGGGTTGTAGCCGGGAACCTGGGTGTAGTGGACACATTCGCCCGACTCGCAGTCCAGTGTGATAGAGCGGTCGCCGAAAATGTCGTTGATGAGTTGGTTCATGGCTGGTTCTTCGAAGGTGCAACCCTTGCCCGAGATGCAATTGAAGCTTCCGGGGCCCTTGATCTCCTCGCTGAGAAAGTCGTCGATGTCTGGATGGTCAGAGAACAGTTCACTGCGACGCATGTGAACTCACTAACACTGCCGTCCTCGCCACAAAGGAAGCGGCCGGGAATGCACGCGCACTCAACCTTGTCACAGCGGTAGTGGGTCTCATTGCTTCCATCTGGGGTCAGCACACCGGGCCTGACAATGCTCTCACCATATCCCTCCTCGGCCATCCAGTCGCACTGCTCCAGCTTGCAGTAGAACGACTCGATGCGGTCGACCCAGAACTGGAATCCGCAGGTTCCCTTCTCGTCCGACGGTTCGAGCGAGTCATCGCCAAGCAGTCCGTACCGGCCATTGCCCAGCGTCGAGTTGCTCTTGGGGCCGCCAGCAGAGCAGCTGAACGTGACCTGGGGAGGCCTATTGCCGGGAATAGTGTCGATAATCTTGCGGTTGGTAACATCGCACATCTGGAAACCGCGGTCGACAGTCAGGCCGCCCTGGTAACAGGTCATCCGCATCTCGTCGTCATCATCGTCATCGTCGGAGTTATGGCCCGAAGGATCATCGAACCCGTCGACGGGGTAACGCATCTTGAACCCCTTGCACGCGCGATCGTCCTTGCAGACTGGCGTCAGGGCCATCGCGCCACATCGGCCAATACACACCATTGCAGTTGATGCCGCCCCAGCCGTCCTTGCACTTGCACAGCTCCTTGTCGGGACGGGGGAACCGCTCGTCGCCGTCCGCGAGCGAGCCACACACTGCACGTCAGAGTGACTGAGTGGAGTAACGCACATGGAGTCAGACAATCCTGGCCCCCAAAGCCGGCGGGACACCGGCATTGCCCGTCGAACTGGTTGCACTCGCCGAACTGCCCGCAGTTGAACGCCGGGAGGAGGCAGTTGAAGCATGGCGGGCAGTCGTCCTTCGGCTTGCCTGGTCGCCGCCCCGGCGGAATCTGAGATGTCAGCGAAGAAGAACGCCGGGGTTGCGGATGTGCCCCGTCTAAGCAGTGGCCACAGCAGCGCCTCGATATCTAGAGAGAAGACTTACCAGGGACGCGTTGGCGGACCAGTGCGACGCAACAGGCGATACGCCGGCCCCGCGGAGATCCGCGAGCTCGCTGCTCGGCGGTCCAGCACGCGACGCGACAGCGCCAAAGCCGGCCCTGGGGGAATCGGCGAGAGCCGATGCCGCACCGAGCACGGCGTGGAGGAGGAGCCACATGAAGTAGCCCGGGAGACGGCAGTTGTTGACAGCAAGCAGTTATAAGCCACCAACGGCGTAAGCAGCGATGTGTTGAGGATGGAGAAGGTGTAGGTTGCAGTGTGTTGTGTGGACGTATGGGGAGTGAGGAGTGGCGAGAGGCGCGAGGAGGCGTTGGAGGCCGACTGCGACCGGGCCGATGACGTTTGCACGTGGCCACTTGATAGGTCAGGAACTAATGCGCGTCATTATCAGACTAAAATTCATTTCGTTATTGCCCCACTCCTTGAGTATTGTTTACCTACATTCAGTCCTCTACCCCGCTTGTCAATGCGTCACATCCGCGATACACATAAATATGCACCTCCAGAGCTACACAAATACAAACATGCACATTAATCGAGATCGATCATATCCGGGCTGGGATCCCGGCACGTCTTGTGTCTCTTGTTCAGCGCGGTGCGATCCACCGGCTTCCTAAGCGACGCAATGAGGGCCGCGCGCCGAGCCGACTGCTCTGGCTGGCGGCTCGGGTCGAAACCAATAGCGGTGATCGCGGCAGGCGAGAAAACCTGGCGCCGCGCGGGCGCTGCTTCCCCCACCTCCCCCGCGCCCGCCTTGGCGCGCCCGCGCTCCGCCTCGGCTGCACGCAAATACTTCGCGCCGGGCGAGTTATCGTCCGTGCGCTCAAGAATGCGGGCGAGCGACGCGCGCGCCGCGGCCTGCTCTTCGCGCCGCCGCTTCGCCGATGGTGCTTGCACGGGCGCGGGGCCACGCTGGCCTGTGCGCACGACCTTGCCTGCGCCGAGGACGTATGTCGCGCCGCTGTCCTCGCCGCGCGGAGTGGCGCGGACACCGGCACGGTTGTCGGACCGATACATGCCTTCCAGCGCCGACGTGGCGGAGGCGAGCTCGCCGCGGCCCGCGCGCCCGCGCTTCAGTTCCTCCACTTGATGATGCTCGCACAAGTCGTCTTGTCGCGTATCGACCCATGTGCTGCACTGCGTGCCGTCGCGCTTGCGCGCTGCACAGCGGCCTACATCTTGCGCATGCCCGATGTACGTGATGGAAGTCGCAGATGTCGGGTTAAGTGCAAGAGGGAGGGAGAGGGGATGAGGAGTAGCACCAGACTGCTGTTAGCTAGAGATGCTGCTCGATGCCTACCTTAAGGGGACGGAGGATACGGGGGTTGACAATGGCGATGACGCTGCCCACAGCCAAGTTTGACCACTTCTCATAGGCGCCGCCGGAGCCACCACGATATGACGGTTCGCCGCCTTTGCGATGTGTCACGTCGGCCTCAAAGAGGAGGAGCTGGAAGCGCGCGTCACCTTCAGCCTTACCGCTCCGCGACCGGGACGGGAGCGAGACAAGTGTGATGCTGATGTACTTGCGTGGTGCTCGCTTCTCGTAGACCTGGGCCTTGGCCTTGGCCTTCCCCTTCCCCTTGGAAGCCGTCTTTGATGGGCGCCGAATTTCCTCCTGCTCCTCAAAGTCAACGTCGTCCCCTGCGTCTCCTGCCTTTCCCCCGCTCGCACGCACATCGCTGCGCTCGGCGACGACCGCGATCGTCGCCCACTCCTTGTTCACCGGCACATTGTACGTCGCGCCGTCACGATTCAGACGAGCAAGCGAGTACACGCGCAATGGGTCGAGGTAGTATCGTCTCCGTAGGAGGTCTTGAACCTCGGCATGGGGCATGGCCCGCTTTCTGCAGTCAGCTAGCACGTCTCGGCACTAACGACAAGCGGATCCCAGAGTTGGGCTCGAGTGCTCGCCACTCGGCCCCGCCGTCGGGGTCGAGCCCGAACTCTCCGGGTCCTATACGGAGCCCAGTGGGCGCAGTATGGTGCTCAATGCGCTCTTCGCCGTCATCTGTACGTCGCCGTGCAAGGGCAGCGGCAAAATTGCTCTGTGACGAGGGCAGCGAAGGAAGCGACACGTTCTGGGGGCGAGATGGTCCCGCGCGCGCGGAGGAGAACTTGGGCTGTGAGGGGGCTTCTGGAAGCTCATAATCAATCGCCGATGCTGGGTGTGAGCTTGCCGCAGCATGCGCGTAAGACGTACGCTTCGCCTTGGTGGGAGTGCTCTGGATGAGGACTTTTGCTGCCTCTCTGTCACGCTCGCGCGCCTCTGCCTCAGCTTTAGCAAGACGTGCTTTCTTGAGTGCCTCGAGTTGTGCAATTTGCACGTCGAGGTCGTCCAAGTCGAGGTGCGACATGGCGAGCAGGAGTGGAAGAGGAGGAGTTTGGAAGAGATGGATATGAGACGACGCGCAACATGACAGTCGCGTCCATGGCTCGGTGCCTGGCAATATCGATGCGTGCCTTGAAACGTGGGTTTCACCCCCTTTTCCCCTGTGCCCCTCTTGGCGTCACGTGTCAGGTTGCTAACTTGGAGCTGCACTTGCAGGACATGTTGACGACGAGTGCAAGCCGCAGTCGGCCTCTTCGTTCCTCAACATCACAACATTTCCGCATATTCTCATCATGAAGCCACGAGATCCGTCACGCACATCTACACCCCGTCTAGACCTCGCTCCCGATGCCTCCTCCCACACACGCATGAACGGTAGCGCCTCGCCCAGCGCAGGAGGCAGCCGATTCGCGACCCCTCGCATGTCTGGCGATGAGGACCGCGACTCCGAGCGCGACTCTGAAGACGCGATGCGCGACGCCATCAGAGATGACGATGATCGTGGCATCGAGGAAACACTCGAGCGCCTCGGCTTTGGTGAGTACCAGCGCTGGGGCCACCGATGTGGCTTGGTATGCTGCCGGACCGGTGCGCCGTGCACGCTGCCCTCACCTCTGCGCGCCACCGTCTGCGCAGTCGGCCTGCTTATCTTGGCATATCTATCTCTCGCTTGCTCTCCGCTTTCCGTCCGGGGGACTCTGCTGATCCGCAGGCGCGTACCAATGGCGTCTCTTCGCGCTCTGTGGCTGTGGATGGATGAGCGATAACAGCGCCCTGCAATGTATTGCTGTCGTGCTGCCTCGTGTTCGCGTACACTTCAATTTGGGCAGCGAGATCGCGGGATTGCTCAGCGCCAGCATGATGGCCGGGGTAAGTGGCGCGGACGCTGGCACGGCATCACTGACTCGTCGCGCTGATACCAGATGATGCTCGGCGCCGTAGGGTGGGGCGTGGTCTCCGACATTCTCGGTCGCGCTCTTCCTTTCCACGCCACACTTCTCCTCACGGCCGTCTTCGGTATCGCTGCCAGCTTTGCACCAAACTTCTGGGTGCTGTGCATCTGCATGTTTTTCTTGGGCACTGCTGTGGGGTGAGACCATGCGTCACAGCTTCGCGCTAACGTGCAGTGGCTCGATGCCGACGGACGGAACCCTCTTTCTTGAGAACCTCCCACATTCCAAGCAGTACCTTCTGACTCTGCTGTCCGTCTTCTTCTCCTTTGGAGCAGTCTTGTCTTCGGTCGTTGGATACTTCCTACTTCCGTCTGCGAGTTGTCGCGATCACGACTCATGCGACTTTGAAAATGGCGCAAACAATGGGTGGCGCCACGTCCTCTTCACTTTGGGGGCTATCGTGTGTGCGCCGTGTATCCTGTTTCTGACGACAGAACCTCGGGTGCGCCATTGCTCGCAGCCTCCTCTTCCGTCTGCACGAGTCTCCGCGATACCTCGTCTCCTCGGGGCGCGGCAAGGAGGCTGTGGTTGTTTTGCAGGCTATCGCCGATTTCAACCAGCACTCTATGGACATTGACCATAACGACGTGCGACCCTCGCAAGCGGCTGGAGACTCTGGCGTATCGGCTCTCTCGAACTTGTCCGGCGCCGAGGAGGCTCGCGCCCTAATCCCTCCTTCAGAAGATCCGATCATGTCGCCCCCGGCCTCTCCCATGGCGCCCTTGAGCCCGCATTCCTCGCGGTCGCCGCTCACACCGCGCTCGCGTAGTAACAGGCGCGGCGGGCGGTCCAAACCCAAGTTTGACTGGCTGCACGACTGGCAGAAGCAAATGGCTAAGCTGTTCTCGCCTCGATGGCGTAGGACAGTTATCTTGATGTGGATTATTTGGGGCTTGATGGCGTTTGGTAAGGCAACGCTTGAGTCCTGATTACTGACACCAGCCTACACCATGTTTAACGTGTGGCTGCCGAGCGTGCTCGAGAGTCGCCAAGGGGATGGAGACAACGCTATTGAGGGTGCTCTGAAGGAGTATGTTCTGTACGCCGCCGCTGGCTGCCCTGGATCGGTAGTGAGTGACAATGACTCATTGACGAACAAGACTTTGCTAACTCGTCTCAGATGGGAGCATGGATGATCCAGACCAAACTAGGCCGCCGCAAAAGCCTGGCAGTGTGCACGCTCGGCACGGGCGCCGCCATGCTGGCCTTCATCCGCGTGCGCTCGAAGACAGCGAGCACAGTAAGCTCCATGTTCATCTCTCTCGCCGGTACAGCCATGTACGCGGTTCTCTGTGAGTCTCAACCGTCGCCGAGTCCGAGCGCGACAGACACTGACCGCAGACGGCATGACCCCCGAAACGTTCGGAACGAGCATCCGCGGAACAGCGTGCGGTACGTCGGCGGCGCTGTCGCGTCTCGCAGGCGTCATTGCGCCCGTTGTCGCGGGCGTGCTACTGGCGATCCAGCCGACGTTGCCGTTGATCGTGACGACCGCGGTCTACGGCGTCACAGCGTTCTGCGCGCTCCTGCTCCCGAAGAGCCACAGTTCGCGTGGGGCAAGCGGCGGACTGATGCATTAGAGGGGCGCAATTCCGACATCACTGTATCGATATGCAATACACAGAGTACATGAACATGACAGACGTGCCAGGTATGCCATGGCGCGCGTTATCGTGGGCGAGAGGACAAGGCGCGGACGAGACACTCACGTCGATCGTAACCAGGCGAGGGGTAACATGGACTGCACGTTCAAAAGGGCGATGCCTCTCGCCACCACGCTTTGCATGCGCGATGGCTGAGTTAATCACCCGCATCACTGCACGACTGCAAGCTACACGCCACAAGCTGCGATGTTTGGATCTACGCACAGGCCACCTCCATCATCAGAGAAAGGGGGAGAGGCTGGCGGGCACAGACCAGGCGACGCGCCAGAATGGGAATTGGGTCACAACAACAATCATTCTTCTTTCCCTCTTCTCATCCATTCTCTACTTCTAACTCCTCCCTCTCGCTTTTTCACATCTTCACTATTCTTCACTCCTCACTCTCTACTCATACTGCCTAGCAGCTCACCGAACATTGCGCACCCCCCAACATGGCACCCACTGCAAAGCCCAGCAAAGTACGCACACGTCCTCATCACGGCGACGCCTGGCGCCACCTTCCTCCACTCCGCTGATGCAACAGGAGACCACCCGTCCCAAGTCGTCCCGCCAAGCCGATGCTAAGGCCAAGGCTGACAAAGCCGCCACCGAGGCTAGCAAGGTCAAAGACAAGGTAGCCAAGAAGGCCGCGTCCTCCAAGAAGGCGGAGAAGGCAGATAAGGCGGACAAGACAGACAAGGCGGACAAGGTCGAGTCCAAGACCCGCGCGACCAGGGCGTCCAAGGAGACCAAGGCCGACAAGAAGTCCGACAAGGACAAGCCAGCCAAGGCGACAAAGGAGAAGGCCACTCGCTCCAATACAGACAAGGCGGAGAGCAGCAAGGCCAAGGTCAAGAGCAAGGAGAAGGATGCCGCGGCGCCGAAGGAGAAACGCACCAAGGCCATCAGGCCTCCTACGGCCAAGGCTGCTGGTGAGGACTTCATTGTGTCCGCCCAGGCGATCCAGATCGTCGTGGCCGACCTCAAGTTTTCGGCGGAGCCCAAGGTGTTCAACACTCGGTAAGTCGTATGCCGCTACCTGGATTGACTTGAGCTCGCATGGTTGGTCTGCTAGCAAGCATGGTAAGATCAACGGCAAAGACGTCATGGTATGTCTTGTCTGCGTCGCTCCTGATCCTAGATCACTGTTAACATTACCGTCAAAGGCAGCAAGAAAGCCGCGGAGGCGGAGATTGCGGACGAGGCCAATGTCGGGGACGATGCTGAGGACAATCTCAATGGCGCCGCTGCCGATGAGTATGCAGCCGACGACGAGAGCGACCGCAATGAGCCAGGCAATGATGTGAAGGAGGCTGAGGATGATGATCTTGACGAGCACGACTCAATGGAGTCTGGGGAGCCTGAAATGGACGGCGACGCTCTGCGCATCCGTGCGACCCCGAGTGATTCTGAGGCGGACAACAAGGAGACATCCGACGAGGCGGAGGAGGAGTACGAGGAGGACAATCGGACTCCACGCTGCGCTCCTACCCAACACTTCCGCTCTGTTTCTAGCAACGAGTCCAATGCGCCTCCCTCTAGCGCCTCCCGCGCCCCAACCCCAGTCCTTATTGAGGCCAAGACCCGAACAGTCAAGCGGTCCGCGAGCGCGATATCGAAGTCATCGAAGAAGGGCGCGACCCGCAAGCCGAGTAGCCGCGCGGCGAAGAAGCGCCGCTCGGCCAGCCCCGAGTAAAGTGCCCCAAGTATTGTGCTCTGCGTGCAGCAAAGGCTGCACCGCCATTATATTTGTGATGTAACCTTTCGTTTCATGTCTAGAAGACCAACACTGACTCGCAGTGACATTATACATGCCGACCCACATAGTCCCTCAAAGTCCTAACCCGAACTTGCAGTCGAAATCTCCACTATTGACTCCCTTGCCGTCCCCGTCCGCGCTCGTTGGCCAGCTTACTGTCACCATCACTGATGCTGGAGCGAGCGCTGCCGGCCTCGGCACGCGCGGCTGCCTCCGCTTGCTGGGCAAAGATGCTCTGCCGCATACGCGACTCGAGCTCGGAGATCTGCCATCCACACGCGCACCACTCCCACCCCGGCAGCCCGGTCGGCATGTCGTCCGTGGGACCAGGAATGCGGTCCTTCTCATGCGAGCCGTACGTGGGCAGGTCAAGGACGGCGGGGACGAGACAGCACGAGGGCACGGATACGGGGCGCGAGACGCGCAGCAACCGCAGCCCGCCGAATGTGGGGTGGCTCATTTTCTTGCCGGTATCGTCCTCTCCCCAGACGCTAAACGCGACCTCGAGGGTCATGGTGTGGCTCACGCTGATGGGTGTCACGACGCCGTCGACGGTGCTGGGGCGCGCGACGTTGTCGTTGGGCATCCGGACCTTGTTGTCGATTGTGATTTCGCCTCCCTCACGCTTGCCCCGCGCATCCTTGCCGCGCCAGATGGCCGGGTGCCGCAAGTCCGGGTAGTAGTATCCCTCTGGGGGACGCTTGCCTTCGGCGAAGATGGTGAAGGTGCGGACGAACTCGTGCGGCGTGGCGTCGGGGTCGCGCGGCGACACGATGCTGTGCGTCTGGTTCAGCAGGAGGGAGATGGAGAAGACGGTCGTCGCGGGCGAGATGTTGCTTAGGTGGAAGTTGAAGGAGAGGAGCGCGCCGATACACCACACGTCCGAGAGCATGCGCCAGCTCCACACGCCCAGGCCGGGGACGTAGCCGCTCGCGTGGTCCGCGAGCTCGTTCACCCCGCCCAACGGGTTCGGGTTGTACACGATCATGCAGTTGCGCTTGGCGATGTGCGTACCCGTGATCCAGTCTGGCGTGGGCGTGTCCGCGAGCGACAGCTGCGCCATGCTGTCGTCGTAACTCGGCACGTGGGGAAGCACGACCTCCTCCTCGCGCGTGATCGAGAGGTTGTGTGCGCCGCTCACGTGCGCCGGGTTCGGGCGCGGCGACGCCGAGCGCACAGGCGACGCCGAGCGGCTCGGCACAGGCGATGTCCCCGGCGAGCGGAAAGGGAAGCCTGGCGTCGGCGACGCGAGGTTGTTGAGCGCCGCAGTGATGTTCGCGCCGCACGCTGGGCCCGCTGGCCCCGGCGCGTGCCCCGAAGCCGCTGCCGACCCGGACGCGCCTGCGGCAAGGGCTTGGGACCGGATGGCGCCGCTGAAGCTCGCGTTGCGCGGCACGGGGGAGAGCGGGGGCGACGCGGCGGGCGACGAGCCGCGCGACGACGGGGGCGGCCGCGACGCGCTCCGCCCGCCCTTGCGCAGCCCGAAGAGCGAGTTGCTTGACGCAGAGCGCACCATCCCGTGCGGGTCAGGCAGGCCCTCGACCTCGGCGTACAGCACATGGCTGATGACGCCGTTGGTGTGCCAGTCGTGGCTGGCCAGGTCGGCGGGCACGATGATCGTAAAGTCGAATCTGGGTCAGCACAGCCGAGTCACGCCTTACCGCTGCAGCCCCTCCTCGAGCCATATCCCGTCGCCCGTGCTCCCGATGATCTCGACTTTGCGCTCAAACAGCACATCCTCCTCGAACCGCCGCCCCTGCCCCAAGTCGAGCGTGATCACGGTGCGCAGGCCCACGCGGATGCTCTTGCACCGCCGCGCGCCGCCGGGCGGCAGCGTGACTTCGAGCTCGCCGCGGAAGGGGAAGTCGTTGCGCGGCGGCGCTTCCGTGTCGGTCGCGAGCGGCGGCTCGGGCGCAGGCAGATATATCACGCCCCAGTTGGGCACCACGAGCTTGAGCTTGATCTGCGAGTCCGCGCTCGTCGCTGTCGCCAGCGAGCCGCGCAGCGGCGGGTGGATTTTGCCCTTGCCGCCTCCCGCGAGGAAGCGGAGCATGGACATGGCGGCGGGAGGGGTGGCGGTGTGGTCGGGAGGGAGGTGGTCGCGAAGGCCGCGGCAGAAATGATCGCCGGAACACGGGCGGAACGAGTAGCCAGTCGTGCGGAGGCTGTCACTCAGTGCTTTCAACAAGAAGTTGTTTGCGAGTGTGGGTTTAGAGCAGAAAGTGATGAGGAGACGGAAAGGCACTCCGGCCTTGTCGTCAAGAGTTGCCCGCGGCCCGTGGAGCCGCTGAAATGGTTGCGGGAGCCAAGGTTGTTGATGAGCTCATCCACCCGGAAATTTCGTAATCTTACATCCGGAGCGGGAATGCCGCGACTAAGCGCGATTTGGACGGCCCGGACCGACGCCGGCGATCTGCCGAGGTCCTTAACTCTGGGCAGCCCGTATGGGCCAGGAAGCTCATGATCAGGTGCAGGCTACACGGGTCGACGCCTCCGAGCCTGCTCAGGTCATTCATCGAGTCAACTCCTTGTCAAGCGCTCACCAATTTCCGGCTGCAGGCCCTTCCAGACCAACTGCCACCATCACCCATATCTGCTTTCATTGGCTAATTTACATGCATGCAATATGTCTACTAAACCACCACCTGCACCCGCTCCATGAATTTGAACAGGCTGCCCATGTTGACAAACCGCCGCCCGTTGCAGTCGAGATACTTGTCGACTACACCTAGAGCGGACGCAAGCCCTGCCGCGTTGGACGCGACGAGGGCGCGCACGTCGTCGAAGCGCGCGCCGCCCCGCGCCGCCGCCAGCGCCTTGTCGCTGTCAAACAGGTTGCGCAGGTACAGCAGCTGGTTGTACAGCGCGAGGTCCGAGTACTCGAGATGCACAACGCCCTTGCACCCAGGCTTGCTGAATCCCAAACACCGGCGGCCGTACACGCTCATTGCGCGCGTGCGGGCCCCGCAGTCGTCTGCGTCGCACACCGCCCAGCCGAGGTAGTACTTGGAGATGAAGCTGCGCACAGCGGTTTCCAGCTGCAGCGCGACGCTCGGGAAGGGGACCGAGGCCGAGCACGACAGGCACACGATGCCGTGGCGGCGCAGCGTGGCGCCTTCCGGCTCCTCGGCGTCAGAAGCGATGCCTTCAAATGCGAACGTCGCGTCGCACGAGCCGCAGCGGAGAGCGAACGGCACCGCGTCCTTGAACCGTTCCTTGTCCGGGATCTGGCTCTCAAAGCGGTGGAATGTGCGCTCGGCCACCTCATGCGAAGAGGTGGTGTATCGTGCTGGGTCAAGACCAAGGCATTCCGCCAGGCGTGCGCGCTCTGTCCCCTCAATGTTCTCACACAGACGCAGCACTGGCTGCAAAACCTGTGCGTCGAGGTAGAGGTCGTAGTCGATCTTCAGCTCGCTGCCCTGTCGCCGCAAATCGTCAGGATGGAATGCGCGGTCAGCCTGCGCGCTGCGCGCCGCCTTGCCATCCGTCCCCACACAAAGGATGTACGGGACGACGTCATGAGCGCGCACAGTCGCTCCCTTCGACTTCATGCGCAGCGCGACCTGGACATGTGGCTGGCTCTTCTTGTCTGGGTAGTCCTCCGGGTTCTTGCCCAGTCGTTTGAAGATGATAAAGTCCTCGAGCGGCACCCCGCCGGAGCGCACCGTTTCTCCAAGCTGCGTAAGGTATTCGTGGATGTTGGCAATGACGTTCTCGGTCGCCTCGCCGCTGAGGACTTCTTTGAGCACAGCAGAAGATGCGTCCTTTGACAGCTTGGAGAACTCGCGACGCTTCATATCGAGACCCTTCACTTCGGTTGAGCGCTCGCCCGCCTCGTCAATCTTGACAGCGGCGTACTTCTTCTTATTGAGGAGGAGCACGCGCTCAAACGTCGCGTCCAGGTCAATCTCGAGCAGCTTGTACCGCTCGTTAACCGCCACCTTGAACTCGTTTGCGATTTTTAGCGCCTCAGGGTATGTTGTGACGTTTGAGTTGACAAAAACCGAGTCGGTGTCACCATACACAACATCGAGCGAGAGCGACTCGGCGAGCTCGCGAGTGTGCGTAAGAATCTCACGACCCTTGAAGGTGGTGAGGGCGGCGAGCGGCCGCGAGGAGAACCGCGATCCGGCGAAACCAAGACAGCCGTACATGGAGTTGGCAGTGAGCTTGAGCGCCTGCTGTTTGATGTCCCACTGCTGGAGCTTGGCTGCGGCTGCATGCTTGTCCTTCATGAGACCTTTCACTTGGCGACGGCGCTGAACGAGCGTGGCAATGATGCGCGGAAGCACGCCCTGCGCGGTGTCGCTAGGCGGCACGTCGGGGATCTTCTCCTCCTCGCTGTCCTCAACGTCCGCGCGTTCGACGGTTGTGAAGTCAATGTTGTACTCCTGGATGATGGATGGGTACAGCGAGTTGAAGTCCATGACAAGGATGTATGTGTCCCACAGCCCACGCTTCGGCTCAAAGACGAGACCACCAGCGTACTTGGCCTTGCCGCGCTTGTGACCTGCATTGACCTCTTCCTCCTCGCCGTCGTCGTTGATAATCTTCACCTTGTTCTGCTTGAACGTCTTGTCCGGGCAGACGTATTTAAGTCGGTGGAATTCGTGGAGCAGAATGAACTCGTTGCGCACGGCACGACCGCCATTGAGCGTTAGGTTCCAGGAATTACCCGCAAGGTTGGTAAGCTGCTTCGTCAGAGGAAGGAGCTGGACGCGCGACGCGATCGCCATCTGGAAGAACGCGTCGACCTCGGCCAGACGAATGTACTGGATGAGCTTGTCGGGTGTGCTGAGGGTGTGGTCGAAGTAGGTGTGTGTGTCTTCTGGGTCGACGTCCTCGCGGGTAACCTTTAGATGTGTCGAGACCATTTCAGTCAAAGACCAAGTCGTCGACGAGATCATGCCCTTGGCCGCGTCGCTGGACAAGTCGGCTACAAGGCGACCAGCGAGCAGGCGCACATTGGAACCCGCCTTGCTAATCTGGAAACCCTTACGGCGGAAACGACCGATACGGCTCCAGTGGTCCGCCTTCAGCTCCTTCAGGCGGTAAAGAAGCGCCTCAAACGTGTTTCCGAGGAAGTTGTGGCCGACAAGGACATCGGGGTCATGTCGCTGGATGGTCGCGAGGAGAGAGTTGAGCAGCGCACGCTCCGCCTTGACGGCTTGGAATCTCGAGCGCTCAGTTTTCGCGCGTTCCTCCAAGCCAGGCGGGAACTTCTCGATCGGGCGCACGATGGTTGTCAGTGACGAGGGCTGGCTATCGGGCGGCGTAGGGTCCTCGATGTTGACATTTTCCCATGTGCGTGTCGTCGCTATGAGAATCTCGGTCTTGTTCTCGCGGTGATTGACGATCGTGCGGAGCGCAATGCTCATCATCGTAAGCGGAGGCATCTCCTTCGGCGCGGAGGGGTCATCCTCGTCCACAGGGTTGACGCTCTTTGGATCCTTGACTGTGAACTCGATCTTGGCCCACGTCGCCGCCTTTGCAGACAGCTCCGGCCCGTCGATCTTGAGCCAGCAGGGGCCCATGATACGTCGCTTGAGCACGAGCAACTCAAAGGCGCTCGTGTTGGAGCCGAAGACGTGCGAGAAGGTAGCACCAGTGGTCCCTTGGGGGATCTCGGGCTGGTTGTAGGGGTAGACCACCTTCATCCACTCGCTCTCGCCATGCTCGACGGTGTGGTCTTCGAACGCGTACTTGCGGGTAACAAACTTGGCACGCCACTCCTCGATGCCGTGCTTGTTGCGTAGGTTGTCAAACTCCTGGTACACATCGTCCTGCGAAACCTCGAGGTGGGTCTCGCGACCTCCGGCTGACGTCAGCAAAAATGCGCCCGTGTCACTCACCAAAGCGTTTAACACGCGGCTTCACGAAGAGATTGCGCTGAATGCCCTGCACGCTCACACATGCGCTAACGTACTTGCCTGACTGGCGATCAAGGACTTTGCCAATGAGGTGAACAACACCGTCTTGCTCTTGAAAGTCGAGCCAGAAGATGTTGAGCGAATCATCCTTCTCGAGGACGTTCTCGGCCTTGGTAGAGCCCTGGGGCACACGTACGGCGTCAAGGTCCGAGTTGTCCGCGAGGGCTGCTTGGACGCTCTGCCAATGTGCGCGTTCTGGGGCAGGCTTGCGGATGAACGCAGGTTTCTTCCTCTCGACCTCCGGCTCCAGTTCCATCTGCGGCTCTGGTGTGGGCTCCTTCTTGACATGCTTAACGGCGGTGGAGTTGACCATGCGGCGCCGAGCGGCGCTTGGTGCGGCACCAGTACGTCGCGCTGCCGGCTTGACGGCCATCTCCTCGTCGTCGTCATCAACCGGCTCGGGCTTGATGACAATGTCGTCGTCCACGTCCATTGCGTTTCCGAAGTCGACGCCTTCTTCATCTGACAGCGGCTCAGGCTTGATAGTCGCGTCTGAGATACGCGGCTTCTTGCTCATCTGACCGCGCAACGGGTCCCACGCCTCGTCATCGCTGTTGTCCCCGTATCGCTTGCGCACGCTGCCAGATGAGAAGAAACTTGAGCTCGAGCTAGGAGCGACCGGAGAACTCGAGGGGTAGTCGGGAGATGAGCGGCGGCGACGGGAGGGCTCTGCCGTGACGGTGGATAGAAGAGACGCCATGAAGTCGTCCTCATTCACGGTGGGCTTAGCTGGTCGGTACGCGGCAGCGGACGCCGCTGGACGTGCATAGTCTGACAGTGCGGACTTGGCCTTCGGCTTTGGCTTGGCTTTCGGTGCCGCCTTCGCGCCGCTCTTCTCAGCCTTCGCGCGCGCCTTCTCGCGCTTCAGTTTACGCGCTGGTGTCAGATTGCACCCCCAACAATGCTTACCCTTGCGGTACTCCTCGTCCTCGCCTTCGAACGCGTCCTCGTCCTCACTCTCCTCCTCGTCCTCGCCGCCGCCCCAGTCGTCCATCCCATTCTCGACGTATCCGCTCCCATCGTCATCAATGATGAAGTCGTCTTGCTCGAGACGCGATCCCACGATCGAGCGGTACTGCTCGTCCGTGACCTCGTCGTAAAGTTCCGCGTCTCCGGCCTGAATGTCAGCCAACGCCAGAAGGGCACATACCTTCCACTGGGAGAGACGTCCGCCCTTCTCACGCGCCTCACGAAGCGCAGCAAGGCGATCAGACTTGGGTCCGCCTCGTGGTGGCATACTGGTGTGTGTGTGGCGGTGAGGTGAGAAATCAAACGGACAAGGGATACGCGCGAGACCAACATTGCAGGCGCGTCAACTCGACGCGTCGCACCACGTGGCCAAGTTGATGCCGCTCGACGTCATGGGTTGAAACGCCAGTGTTTTTGCTTCATATCGAGAGTTGCACGTGACTGCAATCGCACCTCCACCACAGAAGTCCGATGTCTCGAGAACTCATCATCACCCACATCACACCACACGTCGGCATGTCGTCCTCGACGCCCACGCCCACTGCTTCGGCCTCCGAGACGTGGGTGTGGAACCCTAGCTTGGGGGTGTACTACCACGCCGCCAGCGACATGTACGCCATCCCATCCGCCGGCGAGTGGACGTACTGCACTGCCGCGGAGCTCGCCGCCCGCGGCGGCGCCGGGCCATCTACCGCTGCCGGGACCCAGGAGATGGAGGAGGGAGAAGTGGAAGACGATGTCGGATGGGGAGGCCTGATGGACCCGGAGAAACTGGCTCGCGTCGTCGCAAGCACTACTGGACCAACACATCCGTCAGCGGACGGCGGACGGAGCACGCACGACAACGACCGAGATCGAGAGCGCTACGGCAACGGACACGACCCATACGGGCGCAGCGAAGAGCCAGAACCTGAGAAACCCGCCCCCGATCATATTCTGCGCTTCGTCGTGCGCCGATCGAAGGTACTTCCCCTCGGCGGGGTCGTGCTCCTCGACGCCCGACCTGGTGGAATCCAGATCGGGCGCGACCGACGAGGCGCGGGGGATCCGGCGCGTGTCCGCGTCCGCGAGATGGAAGTGAGCAAGACACACGCGCTGGTGTATTGGGGCCGGGAAGGGCGCGTGGACGCGGCGGTGCGTGCCGTGCGCAGCGAGTCAGGCAGTCGTGGCGGATCAGAGGATCCATGGGAGCTCGGCCGGGATGCAGAGGACGAACACGCGGCTGGAAAGGCGGTGCCCAAACCTGAGGATGCGGAGGGGTGGTGGATCGTCGACCTGGGCTCGACGCTGGGAACGTACGTCGCGCACCGCGGGGAAAGGGAGGCGACACGCCTCAGCGAAGCGAAGCACGCAAGTACCCCGCACCCGATCCGCCACCTCAGCCGCGTGACGGTGGGCACGACGACGTTCACGGCTCACATCCATACGGACTGGCCGTGCGGCGACTGCGCGCTTGCAGGCGCTGAGGAGATCAGGCTCGAGGTCGACGCCGAGACGGCCACGCCGGACGGCGGCTCGCCTGCCCCATTCGACCCTCCTGTCGGCGCGGCGGCGCGCCGTGGCCAGCGCCAGTTCAAGCGTAAACTGGCGATGGATGCTCTCCGCGACACATTGCTAGGCGAAGACGCGCGGACCGCGCCGTCGCGAGGCGCATATGTCGACCGCTCGGCGCAGCGCCGGCGCTTACACGTCTCATCGCCACCACGCACGAGCGGTAGCCCCGGCCCAGCGATTATTGCTCCGCCGCAACCGGCGGGGCCGTCCGCGGCGGCCCGCGCCATGCTCGCTCGTCAGGGGTGGGCACCCGGCTCGGGCCTCGGCCGCGATGCCTCTGGTCGCGCGGAGCCAGTCGTCGCCGTGCTGCGGAACGAGCGAGTAGGACTTGGCGCGCGGGGGCAGGTAGCGGACCAGGGCGATGGCGCGGGCGGAGACTGGAGGTCGAGGGGGAAGCAGAGGCGGTGGGACGAAGTAGCACGCGGATAGTAGACCAAGCACGTAGCTCTAACTAGTTGCTGGCATCCAGATCGAAGAGTTTCGATGCAAGTACATGTATCTAACTGGGTATACCTCCACCTACTACAACCTACTGCTGCGACTGGGGGAGCAGCGCGAGGCGGCCAGCAAGCTCGACCTGCGCGCGCACAAGGTTGGACAGGTACGACACGGTGAGCGTGTCCTGCAGGCCCTCCTTGATGCCGCCCTCGTCGGCATTCGAGCCGGCGCCGGCCGACCAGCGACCAACACCCTCGAGAAGGTAACGCCCGACCTCGGCGTCGCCGGAGGTCTGGCCGGCGTTGACAGCCTGAACATACTTCAGCGCATCGTCAATGAGCGTAGAGAGCTGCGACAGCGATGAGGAGAGCGAAGGAAGGGGCGGGAGCGAGGGCGACGGAGTAGGGTTGCCCGAGGTGAGGAGGTCGACTGGCCATTAGCTTGACATTCATTCCAGATGAAACTCACGGCCCGCGCGCTCCGAGTCGGCGTACTTGATCACGACGGGGACGGGAAGGAAGACGCAGTTCTCAGGCTTGGGGTTGAGGCCGAGCGAGGTTGAGACCCAGCCCTTGATACCGAGGCCCTTCTTGCCGCTGGCATCGAGGTCAGTGTCGACGGTAAGGTGGATAGCCTGAGACGCGCCAGTCTCCTGGGAGAAATAGTTCTGGATGAGGGCAGAGTACGCGTTGAGTTCGGGGTGGGTAGCGTACCAGCCGACAATCGACTCCTTGATGCCGTTCTTGGAGAGAAGCTCCATCATGCCCTGCTGGAACGGCATGTCGAGCGCGACCTGCTCCTCGCCCTCCGAGTGCGGGACGGCAAAGCTCGAGCGCACGTCGATCTCCTGGCCATTCTCGCTGCGCACACCAAGAAGAGTACCGATAACGCGGGGCGCGGTGCTGTCCGCTGGCCGGCGCTGGTGGTGGGTGAGGATGGACGCGATCACGGAGGGGTGGACCGTGATGAGCGCGGGCGGCCGCCTGTTGTGAGCGAGCTCGTTGGACAGCAAGAAAGGGGGCGACTCACAGGTGCGACGAGCCACTAGGGGGCTGAGAGAGGTGGATCGCGGACGTAGGAGCGTCGAGCGACATTTTGGGCGAGAGTAGAGAACAATGAGCGTCGAGCGCGGCTTGGATGGTGGTGGTGAGCAACGACGATACAAAAACGACCTTCCTTTCACGTGTCTAAGTGGAGGGTGAAATAACGTTTGGGTTGCATGACGATGCCGCCGTGTTGAAGTGGAGGAAGGTCGCCGAGGTTTCAAGAAACGCCATGTACATCATCTTTCCACTTGTTGATCCTCTCCCACCGCACAAGCATGACCAGCATCAGCAGCACCGACAAGCTTCCTCTATCCATCGAGGCCGGCGCACACAATACGAATGAGAAAGAGGACGGAGTCGTCACTATAGATGTCGATGGCACGCCCATCAAGTTGGACAAGCTCGGGCCTATGATCATCAACGGCGATGGAGTGAGTAGAGCCGACCACAAGATCGCTCGCCACTGGTTTCTACCATTTGGATGCTCATCATACTCACGCCAGACCATTTCGCGGATCACAAACTGGGCGGAGATGGGCGAGATCGAGCGCAACCGCGCAGTCCGTCTTATGGTGAAGCGCAACCATTCGCGCCTGAAGAAGCTCGCCCAAGAGCACGGGGACAGCGGCGACGAGCAGGTCAGCGCGCTCAAGGAGGCTTAGATGCAGCCCATTGCAACCTCTGCGATCGTCGGGGTTGCCCATCCGCAGCGCCTTGTGGTGTCCGCCGACAGGCCCGCGCGACGACCATACTGCCCGCCTCATGTCGCGGCCTCCACCGCCCTCAACATGCGCAGTACTCAATCGTCCATTCGCCGTTGTAGACAAATCGCCTAGAACATACGTTTAGACCATCTGTACTTGCGTTCTGGTATTGTTGTGTGGCCACCACTGCGCTGCATGCGTCGTAGTGGTGGTTTGTGATGGTCGCTAGAGCACTGGTCCCCGTATCTCTGATCGCTCTCGGCCCGGGCGGAAAGTGGAGGTGTCTCAGGGCACGTCACGACTTCCACGGCACGTCCAACTACATCGACATCTCTTCATCCCCCGTCATCCACACCCCTCGCCATGGCAGACGACGCCGCCATCCTCGCGGTCGACGCGGGGCGATTCACGGGCGAGGGCTCCGACCTCTCCCTCCTCCACTACCTGCGACAGGTCGATGGAGCGCTGGACACGTTGACGCCCGACGCGATCCTCCCGCATGTCGCCGTCCTCCACGCCCTCTTCCTCCGCCTCCTCGTCCCCAATCCCCAGACAACCACTGCCACCGCTCTCCCGAAGCCTGGACGCCCAATACGCCATCTTGCTGCGCGCGTGCTGGTCAAATTGCACAACCGAGTTGAGAGTCATTCACTCTTCGACCTCGTGCAGGCCCTCCTCCGTGGCGTAGATGGCGGGAACAAGTCGATGTCTGCGCTCGAAAATGTGCAGCGCGTTGCTAGCTGGTACACTGTCGGCGAGATCATCAAGGAACACGGCGGCAACGTGAGTCTAGGCAGGCCCTTGTTGGTGGCCCCACAACCCGGGGCGTGCTCAAGCCACCAAACGAAAGAGTGCGCTAACCATGCCAGATGATGTCGTTCATGGCCGAGATCTGCACTTTGGCGCTCAAGGTCCTCCGGAACTCCAACTTCTCCGTCATCTTGCGAACCCATGCCGTTTCAGCATTCTACAAGTCGCTGGTGTCGGCCGGTCGAGCGCTTCCCGATGCTCTCGTCAAGGACCTCCTCAAGCAGCTCCGCTCGGGGTTACAGGACAAGGCGCTTCCCGTCCAGAGAGTGTGCGCTGAGACTTTCATCAACCTGCAGCTTTACTCGCCTGTTTTGCAGCTGCAGCCGACACTGGAAATGATCACGCCCCTCGCTCTGAAGGGCCTTGAGAGCGCAGATTATCTCACGAGACGCTCGCTATGCCGCATGCTCGCACATTTCCTTGCAGCGACGCAGACGCCTGGCTCAGGCATGGCCCCTCCGGAGCCCAGGAAACCACCAGTTAAGAAGACGACAGGCGACGCTGAGGAGCTGGATGACTCGGGCCCACAGATCATCACATCGGCGCCGGAAGACAAGGTCAAACCCATGTTCACCACCGATCAGATGCTCAAGTACCTGTCCGTCCCGTATAACCGGCCGAACACTGTTCGCAAGCTACGAAACGCCCTCATCGACGTGTACGCAACCCTTCTCACCCAGCTCGGCCCTGATTACGTCGAGGCGCACTACAGCGAGATCGTTGCGCACATCGTCGACGAGATTGTGCTCTCTCCCAAGGGGCTCAGCACTCGTTACGAGATTCTTTCCACGCGCGAGGCTGCTGGGATCCTTCTCCGCGACCTCGTGGGAGTGAGCATGCTGTCTGAAGCAGGGCAGGTCAACGCTCTCCGTGAATGGGGCAACAGCTACCTCCGCAAGTGGAACGCGACGCCGCTCGCAGGGCAGCGTAATCCGCACAAGCAGGCGCTCATTGTCGCGCTGCGCGAGGTTTCCGGTCTGCTTGAACAGCTCGGCAATGCACCACCATCGATCATCGAGCTTCTGGCCGAGCCTCTGGTCCGCCTTCTGTCGCACGAGTCCTACTCAGTCCGTCTGCAGGCAGCGGCCACTCTTCGTCGTTTCTGCACCACGAACCCGAACCAGCTTCCTCACCTCTTGGGTGGCCTGCTGGCGGATGTGAACAAGGATCTCGGCCTTCTCGGGACGCCGGCGACGCCGAAGGAAGTACCCGCCCGTGTACTCGGCAAGGCCTTCGCCCTCGGTGCGCTGGTGGCCACAAGCCCATCGCGTCCGCTGTACGTGTCCAGTGATCTGCCATCCAAGGTCTTCGACATGTCCTTCTCGTTGCTCAAGCGCGCCGGTGACCACGACGTTGCGCCGGCCACCATCGAGGTGCAGGTCGCCTGGCACCTCATTGCATCGCTGATGTCCCTCGGCCCTGGGTTCGTCAAGCTGCACCTTCCTCAGCTTCTCGTTTTGTGGCGCAACGCGCTCCCGAAGCCGACGAGCAAGGACGCGTCGGTAGGCGACCGCGGTGAAGCTGACTGGAACTTCTTGCTGGTAGTGCGCGAGAGCGCGCTGGGGGCCATTCACAACTTCCTCCAGCACAATATGTCCCTCGTCAACATCGATGTCGCGCGTCGCCTCGCCACTCTGTTCACTAACACGCTCAACTTTGTCAATGGCTTTGCTACCGCCTACTCCGAGTTGTTGCGCGAACAGGCGGCCAATCCACAAGGCGGTACCTCGCATGCCTTCACGATGCGACCATCCCTGGTCGAGCGCGAAGCTAATCTTCGTCGCCGTGTGCTCCAGTGCTTCAGCGGCCTCGGTCCATCCTCGGCCACGGAAACGATGCAGCCCGCTCTCATGCAGGCGGCTATTACGGTGTTTGCTGATCCGGAGAACTACTCTGGCTCTGCGGCCCAGGCAGCGATTGCCGCCCAGGCGGGTCAGTTTTCAAGCGTGTGGCAGTCAACCGACGGATACGCGTTTGGTGTGACAAGCCTGCTGGCAGCTCGGGAGCGCGAGGGTGGCTCGACGGATGAGGACGTGTTCCTTAACCGCGACCGAGTCGAAATGTCCATTGAGTCACAACTCTCACATCCCATCATTGGCTCGCTGGAGCACGACTACGTCACTTTGTTCGCACGCGACCTCAAGTCCGACACGCCGAAGCCTGCTCCCGCACAGACAGGTGTTATCGACGCGGGCGTGGAGCTTTTCTCCACGCTTTTCGCCCACCAGAACCTTGAAGGTCAGGTCCAGAGCCTCGCAACGCTTAGCAGCCATGTTCGTTCGTCTAAGCTTGAGCGCAACCCTGGACGCAAGCAGGCCGTCGTTGGAAACACAATGGAGGCGCTGTGCCGCTCCTTGGTGCTCGCCGACGCGGCAGGCGCTCGCGCACGGAGGTCACTGGGCAGCCAGCAGGTCAGTGACGTGATCAAGGCGCTCCTTCAGGACGCGGTTCTCGACTCAAACTCCAGTATCCGCGGCGCGGCTGCCCGCGCCATGGGCCATATCTCTAGCCTCGCCGGCAGCAACTACCTCTCGTCGCAGGTGCAATGGCTCGTGGACCAGGTCGTCAACAACCGCGTGCCGGATAGCCGTGCAGGATGCGCGGTGGCATTCGGCGCAATTTACAGCAGCGTCGGTGGCATGTCGGGTGGCCCCATACTTAAGACTATCGTCAACATCCTCATGTCGCTCGCGACTGACCCACACCCCGTCGTCCACTTCTACGCACTCGCTGCGCTCACCGAGATCGTCAACGCGGCAAACCTGTCGTACTCGCCGTACGTGCACACGACTTTGGGCATGATCGCAAACATCTACCTCCTCGAGACCCACGAGCCAGACGGTGGCTCATTGGGCAGTGTCAACCTCCGTGGTGATCTCCCGGCTTACCAGGTCATTTGCCGGCTGCTTCATGCCCTCATTGGCGTCCTTGGTCCTGAGTTGCAGGAGCCTGGCAAAGTCCGGTCCCTCGTCTTCCTCCTCGTGCACGAGTTCCGCGAGGAGACCGATGAGGGTCTCGCAGTGGAGGCGATTAAGTGCATACAGCAAATCCTCATGTTTGCGCCCGGTGAGGTGGACGTTCCTAAGCTTGTGTCTTCCTTCCGGCAGTACCTCGCGTCGACGCGACGGCCGCTCAAGGTCGCCGCCATTACCGCGCTGTATCAGATTGTCCAGCGCGACGCACTGCTCATGTCCAAGATTGGAGGTAACCAGCTAGTTGAGGAGCTCTTTGGTCTTTTGGACAAGGACCCGACGATCGAGGGCGTCAAGGCGGTCATCACGAGCTGGTTGCAGCAGACCGCCGCAACGCTGCCGTCGGGTTGGATCGACTTGTGCCAGCGCATCATGACGCGCACTCCAGGTGCCAAGGCTGCTGCGCCGGCAGCCGCGAAGTCCGCCATCCCTATGTTTGTCGATGACGAGGGCGCGTCGCTGGGAGGCGATTCAGCGGACCGTGGGTCAACGCTCAGCTCGCGCTGGCGCACGCAGAAGTTCGCCCTCGTCTGCCTCCACAATATTGTTGTTGCCGTTGCCGACCATGGCCGTCCGGAGAACTTCAACCCCGTGCTCGCACGTCAGTCTGGCCTCAAAGCGCGTCACCTTCTCTTCTCTCGCGTCGCCGATCTCATCCGCATGGCGTTCTCAGCCTCGGCAGCGATCGTCGAGGACGTCCGTTTGGAAGGTCTATTGGTGCTCAGAGATGTTGTGCAGTACTTTGCAACGGCACCCGATCCGGACTTTGACGGAGCGCTGCTCCTGGAGCAGCACCAAGCGCCGATCGCTGCAGCGCTGACGCCGTCCTTCGGCTCGGACTCGACACCTGAGGTGCTTGCGCGTGCAGTACAGGTGTGTGCTGTCTTCGTCGGCTCAGGCGTTATCAAGGAGGTCTCGCGCATGGGGCGTATCCTCAAACTCCTGACAGGGGCTCTTGAGCAGTGCAAGGACGGCGAGATGGTGTCTCTCGGTGACGTCAAGGATCTGTCGAGTTCGGCGTCCGTGATGCTCAAGATCTCGATCCTCGCCGCTTGGGCGGAGCTGCAAGTCGCATCGACCAAGCAGGCGTACCTTGTCGAGGTTATTAAGCCGTACCGCTGGCTTCTCGGTCCCTTCTGGGTCGGTGCGCTGCGTGACTACGCATACCTCCGCACCGATCCTGAGATGGGTGCTGGGGCAGCTGCTGGGATGGACCTGGGCACAGGCATGGGCCGCGATGTCCTCTTGCCCTACTACGAGAAGGCTGTGCCCAAGTTGCTGCACGCTGTGGCAATCGGGCTTGTGGCCAACGACCCCTTCGTTATCGGCGCAGTGGACGGGCAGACATTCACGTCTTCTTCTGAGCCCTCCGCCTCGTCCGCTCCGGCAATCCGTCCTGAACCCGCCACCAATTTCTATGTCCTGTACGGGCTGGCGTTTGAGTGCCTCACCCGCGCTTTGGGGTCGGACCCTGCCATGGCGAGTGTGACACTGCGCACCATGACGAGTCTCGTTCGTCCCCAGCTGTCGGGCACGACCGTATTCGAGGGCGCATTCTTCGACGAGTTGTGCACTATTTGCTACCGCATCGCGATGAGTGAGAGCGCCGCGGTGAAGTCTGATATGGTCGAGCTTATCGCCACATTTGCGATCAGCCGCAAGGGGAGCACGGGCTTTGACGCGGCGCAGGTGCGGCGCGCGCTTGCTGTCGTCGCCTTTGTTCTTCGGCAGACCATCCCCGCTCCGGGAATTGCGTCCAACTTCTCCCACTCCGAGGCCGCCGCCGACCGCGTCGCATTCATCCGCTCAGGCTTTGCCGCGTACTCTCGCATTGTCGACGTCATGGAGATGTCCCAGCGCGCCGATCTGTCGGCAGTCGCCATCCACCTCTTCTCGGATCTTCTGCACGACGAGACGCCGGGCATGGACCTCGCGGGGCAGTGCCTGCCATCGCTCAAGCAGCTGCTCGACCAGACGCTCAGCTCGCAGGTCCCGACGATTGGTGCTACGAGCGAGCGCGTTGTCCACGGACTGCTTGGAGCCTGCCTCTCACACATTGACGACATGCGTTCGCGCGTGAATGCCATTGCCAACATCAAGATCAAGAATAACATGTTGGCACTTGTGCTGATCCTTACTACGCTTCCACTGGGTGTGCCCGTCTCCAAGCCGGTCATTGAGCAAACGGTGTCTGACATGGCGCGGTACATGACGCCAGCCGCGATGGCGGAACGACCAGAGCTGGGCCTTACCCCTGTGCACTGCGCGACTACTCTCCTCCAGGCATCGCTGCGTCAGTTGCCCGGGGCACCGCCACGGCCGTCGCCAGCACTGCAGCATGCGACGTTGTGCGTCATCGCCGCACTGGTATCGTACGTGGCAGAGGTGGTGGTGGCCACCGCCGCCGCCGACGACGCAGCAAGCGTGCCGCTCGACGGTGTACGTGAAGTGCTGCGCGGCCTGGTGGCATGGTGTGCCGGCCTCCCCGAGTCAGCCAAGCCGAGGGGATACGGCGTGCTTCTCCCAACTCTAGCCCTCCTGCTCGACCCGGCCGAGCAGCAGCCCGCGAGCCCGCTTCATTTGCTTGCCACAGCGACGATGCTGGGCCTGGCGCAGAGTGCACCCAAGGCATTCAAGGACGCGACACAGGCCATGCCCGAGGGCGAGCGTGCACAGCTCGAACGAGCGGTGCGGGAGGCGGTGAGTGCTCGGTCTGGACCTATGCCGCAGCAGCAGCATCGCGGGGGGCAGGGTATCGAGCTGAAGAGTTTCGGAAGATAAGATAATTTTATGCAGAGGCGCAGAGAGGTCGATTATTCACGTGAGATTGAGGGTGGTGGTAGATTGGCTCGGGGGGCTTATGAGTTGAGTAGAGTTAATTTGGGATGAGTGGGGATGACATGAGGAGATGAAGATGACAGGGGTGGGTAAAGTGGGCGCGTTGATCTCGTCAGTCGGTCGAGGGCTGCCACAGCTACTGTACACAGTTGAGCAAGCTGAACAAAGTGGAAAAGGTGAGCGAGGCGATGAAAGCTTATGTACGTGGGAGTATCTTTACAGTAGTGCCGCTTCGACGCGTCGTTTTTTTATGCGTTTGATTGCATGTTGCTCGCGATGATCAGCTCAAGTCGCGTTGAGATTTGCTTCAGGCACCCTCATGAAGCATCCAAAGGAGGGGCCGAAGGAGGGCGTTAGGGCGCAGGGGCTGAGGGCGCAAGGGGCCGACAAGCCAGGGGTCGGAGTTTGGAGTTCACATTAGGAGGACATTAATCGGCATAACGCGGGTTATTAATAACAAGTACTTCCGACCACTCGTGTTTTTACTAGAGCCCACCTGTACACGCCTATAGAAAATGTATAGGCACCAGCCTCTGGCGCACGCCAATCCCCTGGTGGCGTGCCTATTCCCACGCGCCCATCACGTCACGTCGATTCAGTTCACTTCCTCAACATCTTCATCACCTTCATCACTCTCAATTCAACATGAACACCTCGTACACGTCTATGGCGCTCGTGACGCCGTCGATCGCGAGCACGGCATCATATGAGGACGGCACCGAGTCTCCTGCATCGTCCTTGGTGGCGGCGCCGCCGCCGCCGTCGGGGGCGTCGAGGG